TGCGTCATGTCGAAACGAGGCAGGCTGAACCGGGATCGTCAGCCCGTCTGAGTTCGTCCACTGAATTTGTAGCACAGCGTGTGAATGTTGTGAGTATCAGCTGAGCCACGGGCCGGATTGTCATGCTAGACACACTCGGCATAAGAAGTCGCAAGTAACGGAAGTGTGTGTACCGCCATCCATCTCAGCAACACCCATAGTCCAACTACATAGCTAGACGAAATCGGACACTCGCCATGGACAAGTCAATACAACCGGAGAGAAATACAGAAACACCAGATTGCGATTACTAACTAATCTCCAGCCGAACGGGGCCGACTCAGCCGAGACAGCCATTGGTCACGCAACAACAATGTCAAACGCAACGCGCACAAGAAGCAGAATTGTAGTCAAACAGCATAAGGCTGTGCATCTGTTTAGCGCGTGCCTCGAGGAATAGAAGGTCCCTGAGTCCAACAATAAGCATGAGCTACACGCATCCTCCAGCAGTCTCGCGACGGACGCGCGAGGCACCACGGACGTCATGAGTCTGGCTCGTGCTGTGAACCCAGTGGCTGGCCGCACGGTGGCATCGCGGAATGCGCAAGGCCTCCTCTATGCTTGTCCGGAGGTAAGCTGGTCTGGAGGGCAAACGCCGTCTGCTGGCTGCAGAGCCTGAGGATTCCACGACTTGGAATATGTCAGAAAGTGCCACACCCCTTGCAGGGATGTTCTCTTGCCGGGTATGATTGTGTCGCATCACATGTTTCCTGGACTGTTTATGTCATTGGACACTTCACGTGCCGTCCCAACCATTGATCAGCAGACCAGCGTACTGACAATGCACTGGCTTCTGGGAGTTCAGATCTCAAGATTGGGTTTGCGCGCATAGCGAAGGCCGTGGGTTTAGGGTGTGCAGCGGTCAATGCTATCTTTCTGTGGTACCACTTGCCAACGTGTCTGCTTTCTTTCCTGTACCTAGTGACCCTCCATGATGAAACCTCCACCTCGAGGTCACTCAATCCTCCTACCGGCTCGTTGAAGCTGTCGAAAAATGGAGTATTGACCGCTGTTCCTCATCGACGGCCCGCTCAGTCATATCTTGGGCGAGAGAATCTTCGCAATGGCCACTAGCAGCGAGAGCCGGGTCTTTGTACAGACTGACGAGTTCGTCGGAAAGCTCCAAGTTCTGTACTCCAGACCACTTCTCCGAACACCGGCAGGCTCATCAATCGCGCCGACACGGACGTCCACTTGAGCCGTCGGGACCTATTCCTTCGAATCAGTCATTTCTGGAAAATAAAAGTCAGAAATTGTACGCCATCTTCCCATTCAGACCATATCCGCCCTGTATCGTCTTACCCAGGCGGGCTGCTGGCACCCCGGGATCTGCGCATTAGCCAATGGCGGCGACGAACAGACACGAGCACGACCTGCATGCTTGCTCGCTTGACAAGCTCTTGTGCTAGCTCTCAAGCAAGACGTCCAAGTAGGCGATCGCCTCTTCACTTGGTCGAGCTTGCGCAATCCTTGGCTATCTTGGACGAGTCAGAGTGGCAAGGGTTGGCGGAATGGTGCGGATTGGCGTGGCCTGCCTCTGCAGACTACCAGGATGCCGCTCCGGCAGGCCACGCTCTGACCAGCAACAGCAGCCGGCCCCTCGGGGCAAAGGTTCATGTTGCTTTTCATATTGCTCCACGTCGTGTTGCGTGCCCGCAATGACGGGGGAATCAATGGGAAAATGCTGTGGCGCAAGACAAGTGGATAACACAAAATACCTACCCAGCTGAGCAAGATCGTGAAGCAACCCCTCGGTGTGGGGCGTCATCGGCCGGAGGTTCATGCCCTCGTTGTTCTTCCTCACCCACCACTTGCCCGGCAGAACGTCTTTCGGGAAGCTGAGGTCAAAGACAGGACGGTTGAAAACTAAGCCCGTGAGGGTAAAGATGAATGATGCTGTGCTTATCAAGTTCCTGTAGTGCCTAGCTGCAATCGTGCTGTGCCATTGATCATTCGAGGCACTACTACAGGACGAGGATTCTTTGCTTGCTTATGGGCGCAAGGAGGCTTTCTTGTTCTGGGTGGACCTATTGGATGATACCGCAGGGGTTTCCGGGCTGGGCAACGGGCCGGCAATTTCGACCCTCGACTTGGGTATCACTCACTTGATATGTCGAAGGGATCAAGGCTGATGTGCATTGGCATGCGGCAGCAGGTCAATGCACAACAATATGGTCGATATATTGCTTAACAGACAGAAGCAGCCTGCCGCCCTGGCTTCTATTTCGAGAGACGATGCATGTGTAGCTTGCGGGCCGCTCAGTGGCTTTGCGACTGATTGGTCATCTCGTTTTTATTGCCGAATTGGGATGGGCGCGGAATGGGTGGGCCGTTGCCCACGCTAGATTGATTGTTGTTAACTGAACATGGCTGAGATAGGTCTTGTCGGTGTAATGGCCAGGAGCAGTAGGCCCTTCGCACTCCTGGTGTCTTTGAGGCACCCGTGTAGTGGGCCGCCTCCACTGACGTGCATAGCGTTTTGTGCCCGGAAGGGGCTGGAATGCCCGCCGGAGTGAACTAGAAGCCGGGGTGGGCAATGGTCTTCTTTGATCCAGTGCTGTAGGGCTCCCCGACAGCCAAGACAAACCTGAGAGGCGTGGCCCTGTCGCTACTGGCGCTACGTCCGAACATGGCAGGCAGCTAGACTCATGAACAGCTCGGAGTCTTGAAGGTTGACAAGAGTCCCATATGGAAAGTTCGGGCGCGTCTGACAAGCTGCAGCTGGGTGTGTTTCCCCGTGGACCAACCACAACACCGCTCTTGACCATCAGTTGGAGTCCCTAGCAATAACGCGGTAACACCATTCAGCCCCCCACAGCTTGCAAGGAGCGACGGACTAATCGTTAATTCGAACAACCTACGCTCGGACCTTTGTGCAGAACACCATGGACGTCTGCTTCTAGAAGATGCACCGGTTGTCGGCTAGGCCGTGATGCAAAGCTCGGAATTTTCGTGCTGCTGGTACAAAATGTGCATCACATACACCAGATCTGAGCCCGAGTCAGCACTTCAGCTTCGAGTGCGGTGGTAGGATGCATGATTCAGCTTTGACACTCACAAGGTCTGCGGGAACGGGACCCGGAACGGGAATTCCGATCGACACTAAGTTCAAGGGGTAGTAAATTGGCTTCAGCCGAGTTGGGCGTCAGCATGACATTCTAAGCCACCGGCCTTGACCGATGCCCTTGGCTGAGACATTGTTGGTGCAGTGTGGGCTGATCCTCAAAAGTTCCTTCCGCCGTGGCATCCCGCCGACTTGTTTCGTCCGGAGCAATTAATTCAATCTCCAAGGCAGCGAAGTTCACACTGGTATCCCGAATGCAACCCAGGCGCGTGCGCACTCTTTAGCCCGTCGTGTTTGTGCATGTGGTGAGTCGGGAGCTTAGCCTCGGACCTTCAAGGATCATCTAGACCAAGAGAATGAGCTCATGGACGGCGGCGTGGATATGCACGCGACAGTGGCTGGTGAATGTGATGTCTCTGCTGAACTCAAAAATGAGCAAAACCTGGTGATCCACACCAGCATAACAGTTTTCAGCCACATAAATGAAATAATGATTGGTTTTCCCCCGGCCGTGAGTAGTAGTGTCCTTTACGTGCTACTTTACACAACGTCTGTGCAAGTAGCAGACGAGATAGAGACAGCCCCTGGCTCCTATCGATGAGCTTTCATTATGACTTGGGATCGGCCACTTTGTACCGTGGAGATGTAGTATTTTGTGAGATACTGCTTTATTGTGCGAAATACTCCCACTCTACCAAGTTCACGAATCTCGATTAGACGAGTCTCTGCTGTGGAGCTTCATATTGCATTGGATACACGATCGGGGGCCAGCCAAAAGAGGCTGCATCGTCAAGTTACGAGTGCCTCGGCGCTATCCGTTGCCGTTTTTGCGCAGAAAGCAGTCGTTTTGCTCTCTAGCCTGGTTGTTGGAGTGTCACAACCTTGTGTGCTAGATGTTCTTGCTGCAACGGTGGTTCTGGAACTGAACTCGTCAAGCCGGATGACGTTGACAGGTGGGCCGATATTCAGACACCACGTGCCCCCGAGGAGGCTGTCAATAAGCGGTTTCATCGTCGGAACGCAAGCAGTGACGATAGAGAGGTTACAGCTTATTATCAACCAAGAGAGAGGTAAGACACCATCCCAAGTAAAATCGCTCCCCCGACCGTTGCATATATGCGACGTGTTGTAGAACAGTGCCGGTGCGGCAGTCAAAGGACACCTGGATATGATGTAGAAGAGATTAGTGGCTTGCAAGAACTCCTACATGGCGACTGTGATTCAGGGTCCACACATACACAATGCGGATGCAGAAGAGCGCGATGACGGTTGCTTTTCCTCGCATACCTGTCCGAACTCTGTACATCATGAGTATAGCGAGGAGACAACACAGCGCGTCGATAATCATACACATCCCCACGGTGTACTGGTAGATCTTAATGGCGGCAGAGCACGCCTGGGCTGATTCCACGAGCCAAGGGGTCGGTAGATGTCGGAGGCCCGTAGCCAGGGAACTCGAGACGAAACTGCTGCCGATAAGTACTCGAAGGGCTCTATTTGCAATGCGAGTCCCCTCGAAGGGGTTGATGGCATTGATGAAGAGACAAATGCAGATCTGGGTAGATGACACCACTGTGATGCTCAACAGGAAGATTGCGTATTGGATCTAGAGGAGGGAGCTTCTGTCAGCAGATGGAAAAGAAAGTATCAGAGTGTTGATATGCGAATTACTCTACGAATCTGATCGATTTTATCGTCGTCGAGGGTGGCGGCATGCTTGCCGAAGCCCAACGACGCAGCAAAGACTGCAAGGCTCGATTGTATGCCTACGGCTAAGAACCCCAAAAAGAGAGCACCATCGTAGTCTTTGGCCGGGACGAGCTGTTTCGAACATATCAGGCGGCAGCCGAGCGTGGCCGCAGATATCACCATGCTGGACGTCGCCGCGATCGCAAGGATGCCAGTGCTATCTCCAGAGCCCAATTATGACACTTTATTGCAGAAAGTACTCGACGTTGGTTGCGGAACAGGTATTTTTGACCCCGCAACCCTCAATATTGGCGCAAACAGCAGCTGACTTTTCCACACAGGCATCTGGGCAATGTGAGCAACGAAACTCTAAAATGACGCTCTACGAGCCCGAGCTGACATCCTGCAGTGATTTTGCAGACCATCATCCCGAGTCCGAAGTCACCGGCCTGGACATCTCGCCGCGACTTCCACACTGGGTCTCTAGTAATCTGAAATTCGAGGTAGATGATATCACGCAGCCGTGGACCTATCCCGCCAACACATTCGACTACATACACATGCGCTGGCTGGTAGGCTCGATACCTGACTGGATCTTTCTCTACAAAGAGATATTCAAGTCCCTCAAGCCAGGCGGTATATTTGAGCACAAAGAGTCATCCTGCGTGATTCAGAGCGACGACGGCATCGTAGGCCCTGCGCTTGCGCAATGGGGCAAGGTGTTTTTGGAAGCCGGCACGAAATTTGGCCGCACGTTCGCCGTGCACGAGGAGCGCATTCAAGTGACGGCCATGGAGGCTGCGGGATTTGTAGATGTCCAGGTCACCGAATTCAAGGTAAGAGTGTCGCGATGGCGCTCTTGACGTATGGGCTGCAACTGACTTTGTACAGGTGCCGATTGGTGATTGGCCTCTTGACGAGAGGATGAAGAATGTCGGCAAGTATGCACAGCTGGCTCTCCAGAGAGATGTTGAAGGTAGGATATGGTTCCACTCCCAACACACACCAGCTGCAGTACTAACATGTTGGCAGGCTTGGTGACCTTCATGTGGAGCTCTGTGATGGGTTGGTCGCAGGACGAGATTGCGGTGTACGCTGCGCACCTGCGAGGAGAGCTCAACTCCGGCAAGTTCCACGCTTGGTGCCCCATGAAAGTTGTCATCGGCAGGAAACCTTGAGCGACGAGACTGGATCGTGGTGGTTTTGCCAAGAGTCACGAATACCTGGCCAGGTTCCATAAAACCTTGTGATTCTGCCCTCGAATATGTCCACAACCTTGCGGGACCTGACGATATCATCTCTCATGCTCTCCCGCTGGTTTCTGTGGGGAGACTACCAAGAGGACTTGCTCCTTCTCCGAGGCCTCGTTGCGTTGCATGGGGCACCCTGGCTTTTGCATTGGACACAAGCGGTGAGGGTCGACTATGGCCTGACACCGTGCAAAGGACCACCCTTTTGCCCGCTTTGAGTTCAGCCATTCGGATGTGGTCATTGTGCTGACAGTATTGAGTACCAAGGCTGAACGGCGGCTGGCTCAGCAATGCACTATCCCATCCCGACGGCTCTGGTCATCCCGCCGACGAGTACACAACCTGGGTCAAGGACGAAAATGCACTGCCCAATGCGGTGCAGCATCTCGATAGCGTAAGCTGGGAGGATACAGACCTCTGTGCCAAAAAGCTCTTCCCGCGCTTCAGGATCTTCAGAGCGGCGATCGACTGCTTTCACGCCCACATGATCTTCACCAAGGTGCGGAAGAAGTCCCCTCGCTGGTCGTCGGCATTTAGCTAAGACTTTGGCAAAGAGAAGGTTTATCCGAAAACTCGCTTCAGCGATGCGCAGATTGTACTTCCGCTGGGTATCACGGATATGGGTCTGTCCGCCCAGGCTCTTGTCCTGCAGGACCTGCTTCAGCACGAGACCCGGGCGATGCTGATGCTGCTGAAGTTCAAGGTGATACTGGATGATTAAGCACTTGGCAAGCATACGAATAAGCATCGTGAGACTCTGCAGCATGAGATAGGCTTTATCGCTCTTACAACACACATAATGCAATTCCTACTCCCATACTTGCTTCTTTTGACAGATGCCATCTCTTCACTGAGCAGTTGTGTCCGCGCATTTCCTCCCCAAGCACCAATGCAGAGCAACTCATTGACATGGTCATCGTGATGGACACCGACGTACGCGCATGGTGCCCAGTCCATCGAGCTGGACAACCTGGGCGTCGTGAAGAAACGGCTGAGTTTGCTGGCCCACAACAGTGACACAGCGGCGGCCGTCTTCGTTGACAAGGACGACACCATCTGTGTCGTGCAATGTACCTATCGCGTCGAGCCGCTCCGCACATCGCCCTACTGCATGCGGCTTCTCTGCGTAATGTCTCTCCTGGCTGTCCGACCCAACTACATTAGAGGACAACTGTGTTAACATGTATTCTCAACACGATATACTTAGCCTTTAGGCGTATTTGCGAACTCGGCAGAGGCCAGTCCGTCGTCTCTACGTGTCGGGAGTCTGACTCATGGGCCGCAACGAGTTCGCGCAGCGAGGGTCCATCTCTGACGTTCCAGCCTGGTCCATCTCTGAGACATGGCATGAAGTCGGAGTAACGCGGCATTCTGAGCGAATCAAGGCTAGCGGCACGAAAGCCACAGCCAGCTGGGGGCACAAGCACGCGGCAATGGCATGCTTGGTGTTTTTCTTCATCGCTGGCCGCTATTACAGACGATCTGGCCGAAGAGTTTCTCAAGGATGGCGCAGCTTCTCGAGACGTGGTGCCGCCCAGCTTCGTAGTCAGACACTGCAACTTTCAGCCAACCCCCTGGGCGAAACGCAGCGTCCCAACGCTCCCAGGACCTCGACGCGACGGGACTTTTCGCAGCGATCCTTCAAGAGCATGAACACAAGCTAGCATCCGAAGCCGAGGAAGAGAGACAGCTCGACCGGCTGGACAAGGCGGAACGACTAAAGCACGCCCTCCACTGGGACGTCGTGGCCATTGTCCAGACCAGCAGCATACCGACCCCACCTACAAGTCGCTCGCCGACCCCTCGGCGCGCAAGTATATCCCAAGCTGCGCCGTCGCCCAGGCCGAGTACACTGCACGCGCAACTTCTAGGCACGCCGACTGTGGGCACTGTATGCGACTCGTACCAGCGGCCCTTGCAATGCTTTCGACGAGGCCTTACCCTCACCGTCGCCCCAGAGTAGCAGGATGGATCTAGTGGCGACCGCACGCTGAACCACATGGTCATTATCAGCCCATATGACGCCCAGCACCTGATGGACACGGTCGAGCAATCTCGTGCCATGGCATCGCACCTTTACGCGCCGTGGTGTCACGAAGAGTTACGCACCTCCAAAGGCACGTCAAGTCATCTCGATCTATGGAAATATGACCGTATGGCTTGACATTCTTCCATCCCACCCACAATCTGCTCATCCTTGAAGAATGTTGACTTTTCGTGGCCTCCGCCTCCAGCTTGTCACTCGTACAACTTTTTCTTGCCATGGTTTTGGGCATCTCAAGCCGTTATGGACGTTGACATCGTTCCATGGCTTTCGAGCAGCCTCAGAACCAGGTTACAGCTGGCCCAACGTCTGACGAGCTGTAGTGATGGTCACGGTCTACGGCCAGCGGAGGTTGCCCTTGGACGAACACTCCACCAGCAATCGATTAATCCTTAAACGCTACATGCAAGACCCTGCTACAGGATTCCATTCCGCGGAAAGCTTCAAGTACCTCTCACAATCAACAGTACTTATCCTTTTTCCCCCATATTGTCCTCATTTGCTGACATTGCTCTTCCAGATAGTCCGAGCTTTATCCAGCTCGTCTTCATCCCCGAAACGAAGGCCGTGTTCCCGGCAGAGGATACCCAGGTTGTGGAGACACATGAGTGCTATGGGATGGTTGTCTCCAAGTTGACTGTGCCCATATCCGCTGCTGCTTCGAACAGCTCCAAGGCCTCGTAATATCTACCTTGACCGTTGTAGATCATCGCAAGACTGGATTGAGACACGATCGTGTCCTGATGAAACTTTCCAAGGGCCTCGAGTGTGGCCAAGGACTGCGCGCAATGAGCTTCTGTTCCGCATACACATGCTGCACTTGATCCCTAGCAAAGTCGTCCACATAAAACGATCTGAAACTGAGCCAGCTGCCGAGAGCCGAAGACCTGGGATATGGTCATAGGTACTGTAGCTACCCCGCGGGGAGCTGGGAGATGATTGGGGACAGGGTTCTAAGCACGAGAGAAAAGTTGTGCACTTGAGGTGGAATTGGGTCAATCAGCTCTGGCTAGTCACAAGGCGGAACACCAGGAATCGGATTAAGCATGTCCGCAGGGTGCTGGCCAGACATATGTGACGGAGCTGGACCCGGTCCCCTATGCGCCGGGACGCCCGCCTGGCCCCGAGATTCTCGGCTGATCTCCGTGCGCTTGTGGAGATAGCCTGTCATGTAGGAATTGACTCCACAACATCAAGTTGACCTTGCGGCAGCAACAGTCTGCATAAGACAGGCGAGAGGCCGGGCGAATCTGTTGGCTTGATCTGCCAGTACAAGAACCCGCCAGAACTGGGTTCCCATCAGACGCTCCATCGCCGGTGATGATGGGAAGTGACGGAATCTGTCACGATGTCTCCGATACAGCTCAGGAGGAGATGCGTGCGTCTCTGGTACGGCCTTGTGGGATGCAGAAGCATGAAATGTCTATGGCATGATACCAGATACGTTGTGAAGCAACGCACAGCCGTTCAGTAGTGTAGCGATGTCCGACGCAGTGTGGCGATCAATGCACTACGTCCTAAAGCGAAGGCCTCTTCCGACGACATGCGCGCAGCAGCGCAGCATCGCAGAATATGATTCACGAGCAATGGCCAACGACTGTCAGTGTGGCCGCCGCACGGCGCACCGCGGACTTCTTCAGGTACAGACTCATTGGAGGCGCGGCTCGTGGTAGTCTGTGACCCGCACTGTGTTGCTGGCCTCGTGCCCGATGACTGTGTCCAGCTTTGGCTTTGTTGCTGTGGGTTGCGCTGCATTGTGCGCAATGCGAACATGGACAAAGAGATTGAGAGCAGAGCAGGAAGGAAGAGAGGCAAACGATCACCAGCCCATAAAGGGGGTATAGAGCAGGGCGAGCAAGTCATTGATATGGCTGCGTGATGTGCGGAAAATGCAATCCAAGTTCAGCGCGTCCAGCAAAGCCTCCCTCGCAGAAACAACTCATATGGCGTCGCTGTAGCATTGCCGAGCACGACGATCAGGTGGGCCGTAGTCGATGTTGGAGAAAGCTCCGTGGAGAAGGCAACAGTCATCCATCCAGAATTAATCAGACTCAATGAAAGCGCTGCATTGTACGGGTTGACTTGTGACCTCATACTGCTCTCTGGTGATGTGATCTGAAGCTAAGTGGATTGTGTTGAACTCGTTCACTGATCGTTCAGGTGCTTTGCAGGGCCAGTGTCACGAATACCAGGTATGGGAGCAGCATCTTTCCATGTACGCCGTAGCAGCGCGCCACGGAGATGAGCTTTCCGCAGAGCACTCTCCGGTACCACTCTATTGAGCCACCACACACAGCTCCCCCATTGAAGAGAACCCTTTCATCTCCCCGAACAGCCTGAAAACCCATCTGAGAATCCACAACAGTGTCCATCATGTCTAACACCATCAGCATCTTCGGCTGCGGCATCCAAGCCCCATCTCGTGCATCCAGAAGATCTGCACCCCGTCGACTGTCTCGACGACGGCGTCAATAGCCAGTTTGGCTCCCTGGACTACCAGCGTCGCCGGGCTAACGGGCCACGTGGCCGAAAATACCGTGATTTGGGGGAACAACCGCTGCGCGTGGCTCTGGTGGTGTCTCCGGTGGTGGTGGCTCCGGTGGTGCGACAACACGTCGACGACGGCGGTGCCGACCTCGACTTTGGGCAGCTCGGGGTCTTCTCCGGGTCAGGAGGCTCGAGCGCTGGATCCGGGAGCGCGCACGGCGGTGCCGCGGTCAGTGTATGCTATGAGCGCATCAGCATCGCAAAGATGCTTTCTCAAGCTCTCTGTCTCGGTGCCGTTCTGAAATTGTAGGCGGAAAAGCTATTCTTTGGCTGGACGCTGGTACAAAGCCTCGTCGTCACCTTGATCGTATGCTGCTTTTACATAGCTCTGGAATCAAAGCCATGCGAAAGCTCAGGTCCTTGACTATTCGATTTTTTCGTAGCCTGTCGCGGTCCTGGCCTTTCAGCTTGCTATGATAAAGCACTCCCCACATCATTGATGTTGATGCAGCAGCTCAGCCGTAGATATATTATTGTGTGATGCCATACCCACCACCAGCGAGATGCAGCGAGTTGGCCGGGCAAATTAATACTCTAGCAACCCGGCCCGCTGATTTTGAGTCGGAAGACGTATCGGATGATGAGATGGGAAGCCCTGAACATGACGTACTCGTTGAAGCGCAAAACGCCTCTTGAGTATCCCTCACCATATGGTGAAGTCGTATCTGGCTGTTGTACCGAGAATTGATCTTGTTAGCTAAGGGTGCCAGAAATTCAGATCACTCAACACCTGCGCTCCATAATTGAAGTACTTGCAAAGTCAAGAAAGCAAATCCTGAGAGGGAGGCTATGATTTGCGATGAACTTGATCGCATCCGCTTTATATGCCCCCGCCACTCGTCAAGGTCATGCGTCCGCAACTGGTTCGTCACTCATCGCTAGAAGATCAACTCACCATTAGCACCACTCCAGGCTTCGCCGAGGGAGCAGCCTGAATGTTCCACCCCACCCCTTTCCACGCGGCAGGGCCATTCTGCCCAAGCCCTTGAATGCAGCGTTGCTGCCCGCGACTCGCTTCGACAACATTGTGGCCCTCAGGTATGCAATGCTGGCTCAGCAGTCTGTTGCTTCCCACGTCGGCCTCGCACAGCAGCAGCACCGCCTCTGCGCTCTTCGACTTTGTGGCACGCCCAGCACCGCCCGAATTGGGGCGTTGCCCACCAGAAATCGAAGCCCGATTGGCATTCTCTTGATGTCGGCAATAACCGGCAGACTTGCTCGAGCAGTCGGCGAGGTATATGCCGTTGCCGAACATCGTGCCCGTGAAGCTCGCGCCGCGGCGGCGGATCTGCAAGCCCAAATCCAGGATGCCAAGGAGGGAATCGAGTGGGGTGCCGTGCCAGAGAAGACGGCGGTCTTCTGCGTCTCTGTAGCTGGTTTGTATATTCGGTGGGGATTCGCTTGTCGACATTGAACTTGTGTCCGAGGTTGGGGTCTTGCTGTCGATCCATTCTTGGTAGCCGTTGGGTAGCCCCGACTTGATGAAGACTCGGTATATGTCCTGAACCTCAAAATACGTGCGGTGCACGGGGTGGTTGGAGCCATGCAGATACTGACAAAGCTCGCGATACTCAAGCGAAGACCGATCTGTCAGGCGTCTGAAGCCATGTCGTAGCGAGCTGTATGCCTGATATAGCGGCTGAGCCAGCACGCCCTGTGTGTGCCAGTGCATCGTCGCGCGAGTGCACACGCTGTTCGCGGCGCGGGAAATCTCCTGTTGCTCTGGCCACAATGACGAAAGCAGCCGCAATTCGAGAAGGAGGGCCTGGTAGCTGGATATCACTGGCGTGTAATGTGTTGACGCCCGGCAGTGCGGGATTTGGCTTCTGTAACGTGATGTGAGCCGCTGCATGGTTTTCCATTTGACGGACCCGTCGGTGGCCTCCAGGACATTCCCAATGAGCTTGAGTATCCTGAAGCCCAGGTACATTGTATATTGACTGAGCTCCTGGTATGGCGCGGTATATGACGACCATGACCTCGTCTGTTCCAAGTCCTGCGACTGCTTCGAGGCCTGCGCAGACGCCCCGTGGAGGATGAGGTCCATCATGGTTCTGACTTCGTCCACGACCGTCAAGTTGAGCCAGGTATCATCGGGCAGCTCAGGTGGGCTTGCTCGTCTCGAGGAAACGTAATCAAGCTCGACAAACTCGTACTGCTCAGTGCGCCGCCGGAACTTTTGTTCCGAGTAGCGCTGCTCCCAGACTTTGCCCGTTGCAAGCTTGAACAGTGCTTTGAAGCGAATTGTCACAGGTCTGAGTGAGGGCGCCGACAGTACCTCGCGACTACTCGTGCTGATGTGGCCGAGCTGACCAACACACCCATCTCGTACCAGAAGTACGTAACGCTCCAAGACCTTATTGTAGATAATCTTGCTTGTTTGTCAGTCGAGACAATTATATTGCTCAGCATCTTTCTATAGAGCGAACCGCTTACCTGCTGCCGCCTGAACCGATTCACATTTCTGGGCACGTCTGCTCGCAGCAAGTATGCGTCCCATATCGAGTGCGTCGACTTCTCCACTACAACATTCGACTCAGACCCAGCGGCGGGATCCACAAGGAGAGAGAGCCTCTCGATATGCAGCATCTGCGACATGAAGTAGTCGGTGTGCCTCGTCAGCCGCTGTTTCCGTAGACTCAGCCGTGCGGGCACTGTAGATGTCTTGCGACCACAGAATGCTTCAAACTCGAACCGTGAACCGTGTCCATGCCCAAAATGAGCACTCAATGGCGAAACAGAAACGGAGTCGGGTTCTGATGATATCCGTGGCAGTCGTGCTTGACAGAGTGCGGTTTGATGAGAAACGGCATCCCATTGGTTTGTGCTTCCTGCGTAGGTCTCAGGAGGTGTTGGTGAATAGCCTAAAGCTGAAGTTGAGGCTATAATTGGAGTTGGTGGCGGGGTAGGCAGAGACGCGGCTTTCATGATGAGCATGTTATCCTGCCAGCACCATTCACGCCAGGAAGACTGGAGGATGGGAAGTGAATGGTGCGACGAAGACGTGATGGGATAAGGCTCTGTCAGGAGAGTTTTATTGCAGTACTCTGCCTCGACTTGATGCGACACTGCCGGAGCCTTGCACGGTTATTCATAAAATTTCATGTGAAATTACGGCGCAGCAAAATTCAGAGGTGGTACTTATCCTCGTAAAGTGAAATGGAATAAGCAGGGGTGAAAAAGCGGTCGGTCAGTTACTATACCATACTAGCCAGGGGTGACAAGCTTCAGCCTCACCAATCGGCGAAGTTGTCTGCCTTGAAGAGCCTGATGGGCTAACTGCAGGCTGGGCTGAGTCGTGCATCTTCCGCTTTCGTTCGATTCCCGCACGTCTGTAAGAGCGCACCCAGACGAACTCCACGCAATCGGATGGTGATGATCAAAGCAATCAGCGGCTTCGGAAAGACTGGTGAAGAGTCAAGTATAAGGTGCGCATGGAAGCCATGTTAAATCATTGCGCACATGCGAACTTTGCCCCCGGAGATGATGGTGTTGCCGAAGAATTATGACTCCATAGAGTGATGCCTTGAAACTCGAGGTAATGTATGAGTGGACGACAAGGAAGCAACAAATCGGGTTGAAATTTAATGCTTGCGTTGGGTGTGTACTTATCTCCGTGGAGATGAATGATAGACTGGGCCATTTTAAGCTTGAATTTGGCGCCCTCACATGCCCAAGATCAGTGACTCAAAGGGGGATATTTTGGGACGTCAAGTAGTGAAGTAATCCAGTGGCTGAAGTGGCGCCTCGAGCTTCGCAATGGTTTCTCTTCAATTCTGTTTCTGTTTCTTTCTCTTGTTTTTTCGGACTGGGCTCCGGTGCTGGCGAGCTGCTGATCTTCAAGACCGACGGGGTTGTGGCGGCCGCACCTGGTGTCACTATCTGGTGTTTCGACGGTAACATGAGCTCAGCCACCCTCACCTTCATTAGCATCACGCGCTTGACACTCAAGCTCGACGACGCGCTTCTGGCCCTGCTGTGGCTCGGCATCAATGGTTGGGGCGAATTTGAGAAGTCCATTGTCTCGACCCGTATCTGACTCTGGACTTTGAGACCGGCCTCTAGGCCCTCGATCGGACGCTCGCGGGAATGTAGCTACAGTGGGACAAGGTCGGTGGCACCATCGACTTCAACCCGCTCAAGGCCAAGGGCAATGTATTTTCGACGTAAGTCTCGACCACGTTCAATTTTTCGGGTGTGCCTACGGCCAAGGCCACGTTCGGCCTGCCCGTAGAGGTCAATGTCGCCATCCTTGTTGTGGCTGAGTGCAAGTCCAATCACATGGCTGGCCAGGGCGGGCACGAGTGCCCGAACGGCATCCACTTCTGCAGCAACCTCTTCAAAGAGCTCGAAATCAACCACTTCGACGCCCCCATGTTTATCGAGGGCACTTCTGTTGGTGCTCTGTGATTTGTACTGGCGGTTGTCCCGAGGGACACCGTCACTTTAGTATCAAGGTGCGGCGGTCGATCCCTGCACGTACTCCCTTTTCAACTTGCAGTCGACTCCGCACCTGTGGCGAGTTGATGGCGTCTACTCTATACAGAACTGATGCATTACCGGTGCAGACGAGAAGCGCATTGACTACCAAAACATCCTGCCCATCGCGTCACAGAACCCACGAGACTTTCCACCGGATGAGATGATTGACATTACAGTGCCGTCACATCATCAGAGTTCAACGGCAGTGTCGTCATCACATGTGAGCGTGCCGCGCAGTTCGACATTCGCCTGAATGATATCTTCCCGGCTCCTGAGTAAGGAGCCCCCATGGCTGATCAGTATCTGCACGGTTGGAGTGATCGACGACATATCGTACCTCGTTGCTAGCGCTTCTGGTCTCGTCAAACGCGCCGTCGGTAGGGGAAAAAGCATGTCCGATTCCTCCTTGCTCAACCCATCTTGAAGTGAGCCGCATCAGCCTCTCTGACAATAACATGAGCGTTCGCTTTCCCACGAGAAGGAAGAGCGCCAGGACAACACTCTCCCAGCCACTTCCCAGGGCACACCGCCGCCCAACCCTGCGGGGTCGATCCCGCCACACCGATGATCGCCTTCGCCACCGCGACCAACATATCTGGCGTGAACACAGCCCCCATCGCTGATGCCGTGTTCTCTGGCCCCTCCGACTACAACTTCAGCCTTCAAGGACGTCATGTCCCTCACGGACGGCGCCCCACACAATCTCCTCGCGCTGGTCCTAAGCAGCGGCAAGCTATTCCTCGGCGAGGCCCAGCTCCTCGACCTCTAAGGACAGTCCCGCCTCGCCGCCGCTGTGAAGTATTCTATCTTTGTGGCCGGGGTCATCTTCGAAGCTCTGATTCGGGTACGGTACCATGTGGGCGGCGGTGTAACTCGACTCGGGGCTGTCCATCCAGGCACACCCATGTCCTGCAGATGCATCCCGCTTGACCGGAAAGACGACCCGTGTCACACCATGATCCTTGTCGAGAGGTTCTATTTGTACACCCGGCAGGGAAGGTCCGCTCCAGTAATCGTCACTCCCCGCACCTCCTGCAGGTCGTATCATTGCGCGACCACCCTTGGCATAAGGGTTGTGATCCAGGCCTCCGTCGCAGGTTCGCAGCGCACTCAGTCCATCGAGACGTCCGAGTAGCACCCGGAGGATGAAAGACCGCGGCTGGCTGAGTGACTTGTTTCCCCATAGTTTGACATTTGGCCTCCCGGGGAAGCCTACATGGGCTTATAAGGCGTGGTACACGAGCCATAGGCTCAAGGGATCGCACACGAGCTAGCCTGGAAGGACGTAATTATGCTGCGAACAAGGTGCGCTCCTCGTCAACAGTGCAGAGAATAAGCTTCGCCCTGTCCGAGATTACCAGGTGTTGCGGTGAGTTACAACGTCGCTACCGCGCCCAGGCGCGAAAATGCACCATGGAGTTTGGCGAGCACCAGCCCATTCCGCTGCGGGATCAATAACGAGAGTCAAGCAGAACAGCGAGCTTTGGATCAGCTGTGGCCCTGAGACCCCTGAAGGCCGGAACGAGCTAGATACCCCAGAAGACCTACGTGGAGCCAAAGCACGTACCTAGCAGCCACGGCCTTGGGGTTTCCAGCCTCACGACTGCTCTCGGGGCGCGATGGGTACGACGCAGAGATTCGGACACCTCCACCCACCATCATCAACCCCAGTGCCAGGGATCGAAGCTTCCAGATTGACCACCCGTAGGCCACAACGACTCATACCAGCTTTGCTCTTGATTGAGACCGAACTGCTGTTTGCCACTTGCATCAGCCACAAACATGCTGCCTAGCCATACTCGGGGTTCTGCACAACATAGTGAACATTACCGCCGACGACGACTTCCCTGCTGTTCGAGGCAGTGACGCCAGAACATAAGTCTGACAGCCAGTGCTGCCATATTTTACCAAGAATGGGAGGCAATGAGGATTTGTGAGAGGGAGAAGGGGTCGTCAATCCTTCCACGCCAGGTCAGTCCGCAGCTGCGAGTGCCAAAGCTATGCTAACGCCAGCAGAGTGGAAGTCTCACCTTTGTGGATGTCAGGACACGAACGTCGAGTATCCACCGCGCTCGGCACGGCCCACATGATCAGACCACCACTCCACAGAGCTAGCTTCAACAGTGTCATCGACCCTGCTCAACCGCTCCTCTCTCTTCGATCCATAAATTATGGACGTCTTGAATGCTGTCCGTACATCTTTGGCAGTACCTTTGAGTGTTCCGTCAGGCGCAGTCTAGTCAAGCAAGCCGTGCTTAGACTTCTAAACCAAAATACAGTGCAGATAGCTTGCAGGTGGCCAACAGAAGATCACCGGGCTGCGAATGGGCTGTGACGTGTGCTCGTGCAGCCCTACCTCAAGGCGTAGTTCTAGCCGTGGTGAATCGTAGCTTAGGCGAGTGGCTCGAAAGAGAACAAACACTGTGCTGGAGATCAGAGGGTGAGCGTGCCGACGCCTGTGTCCGAGGCTGTGACGACCTATACAATTCCACGGGGCGGCCGACATCGCCCATCGGTAGTACGGGGTAGGCACTTGCCAACGCGCATTGTGTGTATGCTGTGGGGCTGTGAAGTTATCATGAAGTCATGAAGTGAAATGCGTGTCTTCTCGGCGACAACAAAGATACGCAGGCATCAGTGCGTGGTGTCTACCAGCCAGCAATCCTTGCAGGTCCAGGCCACGACGAACGGCATCAAGAGCAAATTGGCAAGGCCAGCAAACTTCGCGGCCAGTGCACCATGGTTGATCTGGAAGCCACAGCACAATGGCACGGGTATCGACATATCAAGGCTCCGTGATCCTGTCAGGAAGTGCCTTGGCTAGTCTTGTAACCATAGAGCGCCTTAGCTATGCGCCAGTGGTGCCACGACGACCACCGCGCTGAGAAAACGAGGGGCACTCGTGCGTACGACTTGCCGAGCACATGCCATGAGACCGAGGCGCAGCTCATCAAGGCGTAGTTGGACCAGGACGCAGCAGATGTCCCTCGAATCCCTGCCCCGCAAGACGCGGGAGCCGAAAGCTTGAATTATGTATAGATTACTCTTGTAGATTAGCTCTTGTACAGCGCAGGCGCAGCGTGCTCTGGAAGCGACTGGTCTCTTCGTCGCTATCCCGTCTGGCGGATCCTTGGACTACTGTACGCTTGATGGCCGACGCAGATCACAGCTCACACAGACGCAATCGCACAGATACGTACCCAACCCACGAGTCGGGGCCGCAGCAGCCTTCTGAAGATAAGGAAACAAATGGTGGGCTTTTAGGGGTCCGATATGGCCAGGCTGTGAGCAGAAAAATCCAGACACTCTGAAAGGGATTTGATTGGGTCAGTGCCCGCTACAGAAAATGTCCTCCTGCTTACACGGGAGCTAAGCTCAGCTACCAGTACTAACACTAGGCAGCCTCCATGCTCACACAATTAAGTTATCCATGAGAAGGAAGCATAATAGAATCGAGGGTGCCGTGACGGCGTCAGATCGAGATCTGACACATAACTCTGCGTGCGATGGACATACTAGAGGCAACCTAAGGGCTCCAACATGCCTTCGTGGTTGACGCTGAAAAAGAGCTGAACAAACTTAAGACTGTACAAACTATTTACGCAATGGGTCTAATGAAATTATAAGGAAGTGATTTCAGCTGCCACAGAGCTCCTCTGGTAAGGCACATAATGCCAACCTCTGGCTCGATCTCTGTTTCGTTCGATGAGGTCTCGGCGGAAGTTGCATATCGGCTGTCAGAGCGAGAATCCCCCGTCATGTGCAGATCTCCCATTTTGGGATCCCCGAAGTCTTTGCATGACTGAAACCTCCTTTATGCTGGACCTCTGCTGATGTGTTCCCTAAGTGGAAAATCCTGCGAGACACCTCTCGGGAGCGAGACTTGTACGTAACAATCATGCTCCGTGTGATCTGCCAGACTGTCGTTCATCTGAGATGTGAACAGCAACAAGGCTCAAACACCTTCCGGTCGGGATTGTGTAAGTCTCCGTCTTTATGTAAAGCGTTCGGCCAAGGTCTTGGACGTCGCTGGCCAGAGCCGTAAGATAGTAAGAATGCTGCGGAACTTGGAACGAAGGGCATGAACTCCCCATCCCATCTGAATCGTGGCTTTGAGGTGGTTCTGGACGCTGGATCAGCCTTCCAAAGCCTCGTCCCAGGAAAACGACACCACCTGTACTTCGTTGGAAATCCGCCAACTGCCTCCCCTCCACGGGAAGGGTCGCAAAGCTGGGTCTTAGAGGATCCTGTTCTTCCACGAATTGAGAGAATTCCCAACCTTCCAAGTTGTCGGTACGCTCTGCGTGAGCTGAGGCGCATGGATGGCTATTTGCGTCGTGATACGCTATCATTTGCTCAAGGTGATTGCAAAAACGGTTGAGCTGGTCCTTGAGGGTGGTCTTCTCGTTGTGATAGAGTTGCAGCTTCAGATTCTCCTCATGCATGAGAAGATCAACAGCGGACTTTGTCGTATAGGGAACCTTGGCCTCGACGAAACATTCGGGCTTCAGGAGAAAGTACGGCCCAAAGTCGCTGGCTCTCACATGCTCGATCCAGGCACGGAGGAGATGTAGCAGAGCACTAACGCCGTCTACAAGCCAGCCCGTTTTCTCCTCCTCGTCCCAGAAGGTCACCTTCTGGCTGTGGAGCCACTGCAAGCGTCGTCGATGTTCATCTTGATCGGAGCGGCTGAGGTGAGCTGGAGTGTCTTTGGTACCGATCTGGAATGGTTCCACTCCGACAAGTCTGCCGCGCTCCACAATTGCGCCATAGAGAAGGCAATCTTCATTGACTTCCGGAAGCAATGAGTACTTGACCGAGTATTCTGCGTCTAAAGCTTCTACACCAGAACAAATTCTCAGCATGAGGCAAAGATGTCAGGTTTTGCTCGAGTCATTCCACAGCAACTCACCTGCGAATAGCCGTGCGTCTCTGCACCACCCGAGAAAATGGCGGTGGCCAGTTTGAAGGCGCCGCAGATCGAAGGAAGGCGCAAAACACGACAATCCCCTCGCAAATGACATGTATTTCGCGTCGACGTTGTAAATGAGATGCCAGGTCATGGAATTATGTTCCTGCCGTGTCGGATATAACAGAGAACTGAAGCTTTTGATCATGGGTGTCTTATGGAACGAATTCAAGAACTGTGCTTTGGTTAGACTAGCCATCATCGGCAATGTGATTTCAAGTCCAAGCCCGCGCCTGTCGTACTCCGAACGCTCGGGGATCGGATAGCCGGGCGCCACAACTGCATTGCGAAAGAGACCATGCCAGCATTGACCATAGGTGGGCTTGGTGTCTGGATCAAAGTCTCTGAACAAGTAGTTGACCTGAAAGCTGTAGGTGACGTTGTGTGGCAGGTTCCTTGCTTCAGAAGCTGGATCTGACGTCTGGATCATCGGCTCCGAGAAGCAGAGAGCCTCTGATGAGTTGGGATTCTCCCGCAACGCTGCGCCGAGCCATGCCAGTTGCTCACAAATGTCGCACACGAGAGACTTGGTTCCATGTATCTTGCCCACTAATTTGCGATCCTCGATTCGCAGTTCAAGGGAAGAATCTGGAAATTGGGAGACTAGATATTTGTTACTACAACGGCGTGCTATGAAGGCCTGGCCTTGCAACTTACAGTCTACCCGAGATACGTTGCTGCAGAGGCACTCCACAAAGCACTGCATGGTGTCTTGCCCTGTCGATGGCCATGTCTGCAGCAGATACTTTTCACAGGGCGTGGCTTGAGCATCCACGTCTGAGCCGACCAGGACGATTGCTCGACCAGCAACCTCGTGAGGCGCTTGCTCATACTGTTGCTTTTCGAAAAATCCACGCGCATCCCAGTCGATTTCGATGAGCACACCGGACTTTCTTTGTGCAGGCAAAGCTTCAAATTCTCGCCTGATTTGACCTTGATGGTCAGGTTCAATCCGTGGTAGTGATGTTGGGCGGACTCTCGGATGTCGCCATGGCGTCAAGAGTCAGAAGCCTGGCCGAGTTTGTCATATAGCCCGCGTGGGTGGAACTTCGGGAATCCGAAACGGAAGCTAAAGCACCTTTCTTAGTCAAGGCGCCCAGCCTCTGAGACGAATGCGATTGTTGGTGTCGTGATGAAGATACGTCGAGGAATAAATGTCTCGCCTGAGTTGACGATGATAAGAACACATCAGTGTCACTGTGGACGGGCACAGTCCACCTTTTGAGCCCAAAGGTGGGTTCAGGCGCTTGGGAGCCGCTGTCGCATCGCCACCTCTGCCAATGCGCCCCTTCTGGGTAGGCGGACCGCTGAGGCCAAGGCTGATAAGGATGACACATACATTCTTGATTGTCCCGTGAACCTCCCCCAGTAAAAACCGTGTCGTTCCTTTCCTGCCGTGTGTTCAGCACTAACCGTGAATCTTTCCCCGTCTCTGCCTTACGGGTCCTTCTGCCTCACTTCGTGCAAGATTCCTAGTAGGCCCAATCCCAGAAGCTCCCATTACAGCTTGCATAGCTGCCAACTGGTGGCGGCTGGACCAGCTCCGGCTCCGCGACTCGGCTGGCAGCGTTGAATTTGAGGGCCACTCATCGTTAGCCTGTCTAGGTACCAGGATCGTGCGGATGGGTACAAGCAATCTGGGCGCCAACTGGGCGTGCTGATAGCATGATCGGAAGGGGACATTGGCGCGCCATCATCACCTTCGCCTAAGATCACATGTGCTGTCATCATCTGCCGACATACAATCGCCCTTCGCATCGACATCAATCAATGGCAAAAGCAGCATCGGTCATGAAGAGAACCCTCAAACTCTCTGGCTCCGAACCTGGGTGGCGTGGAGCCTGCGGAACGAAGGAGCGCCGCGAGACGCAAGCGCGCACCCTGCCACTGTACACTAAGGCCATCAAGACTTCCCCAGCGTGTCATTGCCGGAGGACCATGTGGTTATTCGGGGGTGGAGAACCGCAGCTGGTGAGCAAGGTCGTATGCGCCGGTCGACATTCGGAAGCCCTACGTCCTTTGTCATCTGCACTTTCCCGACCACGAGAAGCCATCGGATTTTGACACGTTGTGACTCCGCCGCGTGGCGCAAGATGACACCTAGACGTCCTTCACATAAATCAGTCACGTGGATGGTGTAAACCAGCTGTAGCCGCATTAATTATTCATCCTTGATCGTCGGATCTTCTTGTGCCTTGCGCAAGATTTCCGTCATCGAGGAGTAGAGTTTCAGGTCTTCCTCGCGGTCTTCCTCGTCTTCCCCGCCGTCTTGCCCGCCGCCTTCCTTGCGCAATCTCACGCGCGATTTCCGTCGTCTCCCGTCCGGAAAGACCACCATTCGTAAGCGGTTGACGTAGGGTATCAATACCTGGTAGTGCTTTGTGAAGTCTTTTCCGACAGTCTTAATGAAGTCGTCCTCATCACTGACCAGCCCCTTTTTAAGCGTCGCCAATTCCTTTGGATCGGTGTAGTTCCACGGCTCGAACCATTTGTGTATCCTCGGCTCGCCGTTTTCGCCAAAGTGGATGCATATCCAGAAGAGAACCCAGAAGAATGACTCGAGATCATGCATGAAAGTGTATTGTTCTCCCAGAAGCGCACCGATGGCCATAAAAGCTCGCGTACCGGTCATGCCTACCGCCCCCGAAGGACCCCCTCGCTGTTTTCTGATGCCGAGGTCCAGGTCGATAAGCAGTCCATTATGCAGCACGCCATGATTATCCTTGCGGATCAACAAGTTGTTGATGGAGATGTCTCGGTGGAGCTGCTTAGACTTGCGCCAAAGTGACTCGTGCGCCTTTATGCAGTCTACCATAGCCCCAAGGAATGCTGAGCGTGAGGGCGCCAGGTAGATCGGTATTCCGTAGCCGTACGTGATGACGCGCCGATGAACTCTGTTCGCCCGCGCGATGCTGACGGGCTTTGTGGGCGACCTGGAGTAAGGCCGCTTGTTAGGCGGCGGCAGAGCACCTGCTTGGCTGGAGGACCTCTTCGAGCCGGCCGCGCCGCTACGGCCTGTTCGCGCCGACCCTGACACGCTGGATCCTCCTGCCCTTCCGAGGTGTGCTGGCTGATGGACCATAGCTGTTGTGGTGTCCAGCCCTCGGCGCACGTTGTTGACGACATCATCAGCCTCGTGGCCGACTTGAACGTTGTAATAGTGGTAGTAGCGAGGCACATTGATCACTCCGCTCTCGTTGGCTTCGCGGAGTAATTCGCCTTCTTCGGTACGCCTGCAGCATTGCCACGAATCCTTGATCACGAAAGAGGGATCATCCTCGCCCTCTTTACGAGCTCTCCAGCATGTTGTAGCTCGGCCAACAACAGACCGCGAGCGGGATATCAGTTCGATGATAATGAAGCGCTCAACGGTGCCGTTCAGATCAATCTCGATATACCGCTGGCCGTCTGCTGTCCTGAATGTTGGGTCAAATCCGAGTCGCTCCTCGTCCATGCAGAGAAAGCCAAGGATTATGAGCACGAATCGTTCTCCATCCTCGTGGATATCGAATGACTCTGACGCAACCGCACCCCCCCGGTCGAAATGCCACACTCCTTTTGTCATTGGTATACCCTTTCAGGTGAGAGCTGGGCGAAGTCCCTGATACCACTGATAGAACGGAACCAGTGTGATATTCGCCAGTTTTTGGAGTCGCTGGATGATTCTGTAAACCCCCATAGCAGTCTGCGTGTCGCCCAGGGGTAGTTTGTGCCACAGAATCTGGTGGTCATCGTTAGCTCAACGTTGCATACGACAACTCATATTTGAACGAGCTCACCCTCTTTCCCTCCGCATCCATCGTGAACGCCACCAGGTTCCAGTCGTGGCCTTGTACAAGTATTGCCGGCAGGTAGTCAGGCTTCTCTATCCCAGACGTTGATGAGGTCAGTAAGCTAAGCTCGTCAACTTTGTTCTTTTGCGCGCTAAGCCACGTGAGCAATTGCAGCTTCGCGGCCTCGGCGCCGTCACCTGCGCGCTTGACCTCGACAGATAAGACAATGGGTCCTTCAGTTAGGCCGGGATAGCTGGTGAAGTTGATGCTCTGTTCTTCTTCTGAAAGCGGGCTGGCCCGCAAGAGTTTCTGGAGTTCGCCTTTTTTGTGCTTGTCCCGCGGATAGTACGCAACCGCAAGGTCCACCTTCTTCAATGGCGTTCTGAGCGTTTTGTAGTGAGGGATGATGGATGCAGAGGAACACGGGATAACCCTCAGATCGGCAAGCTCATCCTTACGGGAATTTGTGTTGTCCGCCAGTCGGCCTGATGGTGTGGGCCATAATGCGGTGCGTAGGAGGCGATAGATAACCGTGGTTGTCCAAGCCTCCTCATCCAGCATCAACCTGGCGCAGTTGTCGGCCTCGCCAACGATGTCATCGATATCGCATGGGTCTGGCGTCGGACCCAGTGCGCTTCGTTCCATGCCGTAAAGCGATTTTTCGTGCCATTGTTGAGCGTTTCGTGTGGCTCCGTAATGTGCCTGAATTGTGTCACGTGTTGAGGAGCACAGCAAGGGTGATGGCGACTGGAGTGTGTTGAAGACTTCGACTAGCCCCGCGGGCATCCGCTCGTCATCAGCGTTAAATCCGCATACTTCTGCGCCACCTTCGGCTGGATGAGCTGTGCGCAGGGCGACAAGATGTTTGCGCGGAGAGCTCGAGCGTGAACTGGACACCGACGCAGAGCTAACGGTGGAGGCACTGCTCTTGGGTGCAAGGCGCATTGAATGTGCCGGTCGGGGGGTGGCTTGCTCGCCTCGCAGACGATCTTGGTCGGATAAAGGATCGCTGACATCGGGGGGTGTGCTGGTCCGTCGCTGCCTCTTAGACGGAGACGCGCCGGATGCGACCGACATGGGGGGCGACACGAGGCTTTGCCCACGCTTCGTGTACAAGTGCTGCTGTTTTGTCCGCTGGGTTGGAGGTGATGCTTGTTCGAAAGCCTTCTGGCCGGCTGTAGCGCGGATGGAATTGACCCACTCGTTCACGTCCATAGCCGATGTGCCAGTTTCCCGACCGTGACCGTTGGTTGGTGATGGTGCGGTTGGTGTTGGTAAGGACGGGTGAGATGGTGGACGATGGTCAGATTGTTCCCCCCACAACCCGGGAAGCGGCTTATATAACCCGAAGCGGGGGTGCCTCGGTTCCCAGGGCAACCACTCGAGGCGGGTAGCAGAAAAGTCGGGCACTGACCCAATCAAATGCCCAACAGAGTGTCCGGACTTTTCTGCTCACAGCCTGCCATTCTCGGGGTCCGCCAACTCTTGGCTTTCACAAAAAGTACTTTGCTGCTACCCCTGCAGGTCACATGCTCAGCCTCGCCTTTATCAACTACTTTTGTGATGCACGGATGCGCCTTCAGCCAGCGCTCGTGCAGGCGGGCTTCGTCCTGCTACTTGTCGGCATGGCTGGATGGTAGTCTTTGAGAAGGTTCGTCTCAAGCCGATACTACGGGGGAAAGACGGTTTTGAGCTCATGTCGAGGAGATGGTTGTCGGCAAGAGCGAAAAGTGAAATGCGAAATCACGACGAGGAGTTGTGGTCTCAGCACGTTATCCCAGACGAGCGCGCTCGCCCCACCTGCCCTTGAGCAGGCACCATCAGCCGCCTGGGAACAGACGGATGAAGTCGACCACTGTGGCCGACAGCGACCCGCAGTGTGGACTAGGACACCAACTCAGCACCTTCAGTGTGCATTGCTGATACCTGCTACGAAGGCATCCTTTCGACGCTCAATTACTGGTGACGTTGTACACCCAACCCCCACCCCGCCACTATCGCGTTGATGTAGGCAAGGTTGACAAGAAGGCCAAGATCTGTCCGGCGACCATCCAAAGACAGTAGCATACACCACCGCGACGAGCTGGTGCCAAGCGCTATCGGCCCGGAAGACTTGCTACATGTAGCCATCGCAATTGATAAATATCGCATCACTGTCGCTCTCAAACTCGCTCTGGCGCAATGGCTACATGTTGACGACAGCATGGATATGATATCAATGGGATACATCGTGGCTGCATCGTATCGTCTTGCTGGTGAGGAAGGTTCGCGGAAATCACGTTAGCGCTCATTCTCGGCCAGGAAAGTTTCGTTCTGGTGCCTTCTCGAGAATGACGAGATCAAGCAGGTGGTGCCAGCGAAGGCAATATGCAAGTAGAGGTCTCGCTGTAAGACTCAAAGACAGTTACTAATATTGCCCTAGACCTACTTGAAGAACGACGGACTCGACTGCGGGCCGAAGTGTTGGATATGCTGGCGACAACGGAAAATGCCTGTCAGGATTGTCACTGGGGCATAAAATTTGCAGCCAAGCGCATCAACCTCCAAAACAAATGAAAGCCGCTGTACATGCTCCAGGCTCCGCTTCGTCAGGTCATCAATCGGGCACAACCACACGACCTCGCGTCATCCACACTCAATTCATTGCCAACCCACGGCTCCGTCGGCCTTCCACTTCTTGCCCATCGGACAGTCGTGTGATGGTCTTCATCGCAGATATACGGAAGCGTTAGTGCCATGCCTGGGAACCAATCACCGTGGACCAGGGTGGAACCAGAAGGCATGACAGCAAGCTACATCAATGCAAGCCAAGAACCTCAGCGCTTTCTACGATAGTACTGGGGGGGAAAGAAAGCTGAGCGTGATACGTCGCATCGAGGCTGCACGAGGGACAACGGCCTGGACGCCACCAGTCATCACCGTGTTGAAAACGCCGGAATCCCTCCGCAACTTCAATTGCTGGTCTCGCGAATATTGAACCACCGGCAGTTCACAACAGGCAGCATCCCGTCTGAAAATGAGAGGCTTCATCGTGGCCATTTTATGCTTCTCCACAAACATAAATTCCAGCACGGATGTAAGGTCGCAAGATTGGGCAAAGGTCAGGAGCAGGTCGTGCACGCTGAAGCGAAAAATTTCCTGTGCAGAGTCCACCGGTCTACGCAGGGATCACTTGGCATTTCACCTCTCACAGACCGATCCAGACGATCATTTGCAGATGAGCGGTATTCTTCCCAGCCATCGGTTACAGTACGACCCGACCAACAGATCTCAGGAAGCAGGGGCCCGAATCCCTGCGAAAACAACTTGCCAAGATACTGGATCTGTGCATTTCATGTTTGGAACTAACAGCTCCACGAACGGGCCAAGCTTTTCCACAAACAAGCCCCACAAACAGTTTGTGGGCCGTTGAAGGAGGAAGGCAACAGTTATTCCCTTTCTACCCTGTTACAGTATAGGAATCAATCTATGTGTTGTGTCATTCCAGTCCCACACTTGACCTAGACGCGAAATTGCACAGAAGTAATATCTTATGACGATCCGACCAACAGGCCGCACGACCGGGCCGAGGACAAGGGCAGGCCATGCAAGCGGGCCACAAATAGCGCTTGCGTAAACATTTCATCAATAGGAGGATCACTGGATCACGGAGTGAGCCGGTGAGCCTCACCCTCGGACCATGGTGATCCACACATCGGATCACGGTGATCCACGTACGGTTTGTTTGTGTTTGTCCGTGTTGTTCGTAACCAAACATGATATAAATGATGAGGATGAAAGGTTCACACGAGGAGCAGAATCCTCACAGGCAGCCAGCACATTTCCTTCACTCCTCAGCGATGAATCTACGTATCATTTCTACCAACACTTGAACAAGTCACTCAATTGCCAGAAGTAATATCTCTGACGAAGAGACACGAAGCCCAGAGACACGCCAAATTGCGAATCGATGCTGTGACGGCCTCACCTACCTTGCAGAGCAGCAATCCCAGCGTCCAGACCAAAGGTTGAACCGGACGGCTGGGTCGGGATATATCTTTTCCCAGAGACACGACAACCCCAGAGGAAACACGACAGTTACGGAGTCGTATGGCTTAGACTTTACCCACGTGCGCAAGAACAGAGCTCACAACAGCCCCGTCAGGCGGTTGGACCCGCCGGCCGTATCGTGATACCGCGAGACACGACAGCGTCGACCTGCCGGAACAGATATCCACAAAGCGCCGAGATCTGGTTGACCGCGGAATCAGGATTACAACACCAAGCTGGTTGACAACACAACAGGTATACCGCGTGGGGAGCCGCCCAGCCCCGTACAATATAAACACTTCAGCACAACGGCGGCTGCCTATATCCCCGCTGCCGCGATGCTCCCCCCCTTGCTGAAGAGCAAGTATACACGGTACAAAGAGGGAACGGCAGTCGTGGCGGAGTGGCTTAAGTCTACAGCGTCAAGTCTCGGCTACAAGACGAGCGCATCCGGCGGCAGCGCCGCTGCCCCGTCACGAGGCGGCCGCCGCAAGGGCAAGGCTCGCGCGCAGGCCAAAATGGAAGCTAGTGCCGCCTCCGCTACGATCTCCCCATCCACAGGTCCTGTTTCGAGTCAACCACGCAAGCCAAAAAAGCCATTTGCGCCGTATGCGCTCGAAATAAATGAATACGTGCGGGTGGCCAGACACATTGCCGCCAAGCAGATTGCGGTGCCAGACTTCTTCGGTTGTGCGCTGGACCGTACGATCACGGCTCGCAGTGAGTTTGCTAAAGATTTCAGAAGACTCGGTCTCAACACAGATGAGCATATAGCTTTGTCGCACGAGCACTTCGTCAAAGGTAGGACTGGTGTGAAAGCAACCGACGGATTCTCAACTCATTCATCTGACACGCCATAGCTAATTGATGGAGAATCAGTCCTATCCCAGGTCCGCGGGATCCTCCTGCCAGGCCAGAAGCCTCTCGACGCGGCGCTTGACCCGGGAGCCCCAGAGTCCCCAACAGTGGGTTCGCCGGTCTTCGCGATGAAGGTGGATGACACATATGCCGAGGCCATATTCGCACTGACGATGCTCATCAATGAGCTCAACGAGCTGCGCTCGCGCGTCAGATGGATCTGGGAAAACTACAAAAGCGGCTTTTTTGACTTGGCCGCAGCCGCCCTGGCGACGGAGACGGTGGCCCGGCTCGCCAGGGACATTATCAAGGACGTCACGCCGCTCATCGAAGACAGCGGCGGCCTCAAGAAGCTGCTCACTGATTTTTACGTGCTGCAGCTTCGCCTGAAAGGCTGGAAGACGAAAAAGATCTTCGTTCGCAGATCAGGGAGCGAGGACAACTTCAATTATTCGACCTACGACGAAGCTGAGAATACCCTTTTCGCAGCATTCCGCCTTCTAGAGTTCTTCGTCTCCTCTCGACGTCAACATGAGCTTCCCGTGTACAGGGACAGCACGTACAGCAGATTTGACCCATCGTTGGGCCCTCGGCAACAGAAGACCGGCGAGCAGAAATTCGAAGACGACCGTGCTCTAGCGGTGCCATTGTTCTCCGACTTACTCACCATCGTACGTTGCGTGCCGGACTGGCCAGTCTATGACTCCCTAATGTTCGCGATACGTGAGATCGACAGCACCGACGTCATCCCCTTGCACGCCGTTTTCGCGCTTCAATGCCACCTCGACATCACATATACTCTTGCTGAGGCCATTTCGGACCCGTACGATACCCTGGCAGCCCAGACGCGGGACATCTCGAACGACCTGGCCATGCATCTCGGGTTTCACCGAGAACTCAAGAGCTCGCGCTGGCCTGACTCGAATGACGACAAGCTGCGCCGCATACGGAGCAGTATCACGCGGTTCATGACTGATGATCCAGTTGGCAGAGTGCAGAGGACGGCGGAATGCGACACGAGATCGGCCATCGACACGGGGCGTGGGACGGCGAACGGACGGATGCCACGCTCATCGCCCATGATGTGTGGCCTTCTGCTGTACCACTATCGCGCCCAATATCGCGATGCTGGGCTCGCCATTGCTGATGCATGGGGTTCGATCAGCTGCGCCATGCACCTGCTCAATGCAGTGGAGAAGGAAGGCATGCTCAGCATTGAGGAGGAAGAGGATGGTGGCTGGAGCACCGGCTCAGCGACAACAGCGAAATTCAAGAAGACGCTACCATGGGTTGACATGGATCTTGTTCGCATGATTTTTGGCAACGAGAGCTTTTTCGTCGACGGCAAACCGCCTGCTGGCCCAGCAGAGTACCTGAAGCTATTCTTTCAGCAGGTTGGCGGGGCGCTAGCTGTCGATTCCACCAAACAGCGTCAGCAACGCGGCCGAACAGGGAAAGAGCAAAGCACCCATCTGCAGGCCGAGCACGAAGCCGGTGCAAGGCGACTCAAACCTGGGGCGCCCGTGCAGACCATGTTCAAGAGGAGGTATGTGCACCAGACGGAGGAGCAGATAGACTTGTCCGTGTTGCAGGAGACAGTCCATCTCGGAATAACCGGTCGAAAGCTGGGCAGCGATGGTTCTGGCCACGCAACGAAAGGGTTCATGCTGGCGAGGATCCAAGACGAGGTGCGGGCATGGAGGATCAGGCAACAAGCTGCGATGGCGGGCACACCACAACGACAGGCACCTGTGATTGACCTGGCCGAGAACATTGGCCAAGCCGCAACTACAGCTGACGAGCTCATCGAGTGCCTGACCCTGACCCTCCACGCAGAAACGGTCGAGTTTGCATTTCCCCTGCTACGCCTCCATCGCTTGTGCTGGGAAGTGCTGCGGGCTGTAGATGAAGAGTGCCACGCAGCCCTAGCGCGCTTGTTCGGGAAGAGGTACATTGAGCACAACGATCAGCTGCCTTGGGTTGTGGGATTGATTTTCGGGGCAGCAAGTGTGTCAAATATGGTACCACTAAAGCTGGCCGCGCGGGCTCTGCGAGTTTTTCTGGACTCTGGGAGGGGAGATGTGGCGCAGGACATGTATGTGAAGATGCTGATTAGACCGGACGTCTAAGTCGAGGTCGCGTGGGGATGGATCAGGAACGGAGTATGTGTTGCAGGACGGTGACAGATCTCTCAGCCAGCCACCAGCTTTTCAAATGTTTAACTGAGTCGTAGTACGATGCTCCGAGAGCAGCGTTTGGCTGTCTTCCGAGAGCCATAGTGGCTCCTCCACCCCACTGATCGTGTCCCATTTTACCCCACTGCGCAGCTCAACATGAGAGCACCCGCGAGGCCCTTGCTTTCAAGTCATTATGAACACTCGAGACGCGGCACACAAGCCCTGCTGTAGAAAATGTACCTGTCGTGGCTGCCTAGGGCTAGCCCACAAGATAGTCATCCTCCTGCTGCGCGAGATGTCTGGGTAACGGCCCCAGTTTCGCAAGCACACGCCCACGGGCATTGGGAATGCCCACTGACGAGGCACGTGTTCTTTAATGCCCAACTACTGTCTTGATGGTGTGCCCCATTAAATCAACACGTTCAACTCAATATGAGGCCCCATGTGCATCAGTCCATGGAGACTCTGGTACCCGTAGTGAGCCCGCCATGGCGGCGTAGTTGATCATGACATGGTACCATAGTAGTGCGCCAGTGTACGCTAAGTATCTAGGTCAATTGGATTGTAACTGGGCTCAGGGTGCTCTTGGTCGGAGCTTGCTGCGTCCGTGGCCCTGCGACGATGGATTACAAACGCCGCCTCGGGCGTGGGAGGGTGGCTGCTGAAGTACCGTCCACGGCATCAGTCCGCAGTGGTCCGACCCCTGAGAGCAGCCTGGCAACTATGCGGGGCTTCATCTGTGCCGAAGCGCAAGAGGGGAGGGAACGCGCGATGCCTGACGTGTTGCCACTGCCACAAAAGAGCGTCTTTGGAGTTGAAGCTGCCTCTGCTTCCGACGTCTTCGCGAGCTATCAGCAAGCACTGTAGGAACTGCGCAGCGGCAAGTCGACACCGCAGGACGGAGGGAAGATGATGCTCCCTATGTCGAAGGACAATAAGCAGATGAGACCGCATCTCACTGCACGGCGCCGGAAGTCGTTTCAGGTCCGAACGGCATCGCTTGATCGTGCTGTATCCCTGAGCGAGATTGCCCAACCAAACAAGATGCTTCTCGCGGACACTAGGAAGTCGAGACACCCGCGGACGATGGCGGCGTCTGTAATGAGCTGTGATGCGTGAGGAGCAATGAGAATGAAGGTCCGGAGAGCTTCGGCAGACTGCCACGACTACCTCATCCGAATGATGAGGCAAGAAGGCCATGAAATACTCTCTAGCACATGCAAGAGGCTTGTGAAGCTGATGACAGAGTTGCAGACTGCGAGGGGCTTCTCAAGATGTGACCGAAAGCTCCTGATGCAGTCGGATCAAATGAGGGATCCAAGGGCGATACTGAGCATGACACAGAGACCGAAACCGGAAGAACACCGCGATGACAATGACTCAGGCTATCTGTATCTGCTGACTGCAGACCTACAGTTGTGCTGTTGAATGGCTTCCCATTGAGTATGAAACGGCCTCCCACACGTAGGACATGGAATCGATGGAGTGCCATGCCTTTCACATGTCGTTGTAGTTGGTGGTTCTTTTTGAACCTTTTGTTGCATCCTGGCTTATTGCAAGCATAATCTCCCGTATTCCTGGGCCTTTACTGAGTGTGTGGTTTAGCTTCATGGCTTTGGCGGGAAGCATCGCTCTTGAACTCTTGTCCGCATTTTGAATAAGAGAAGCATTGCGTCTTATGTGTTTTCTTGTGTTGTGCAAGCAATTTGAGGGTTTTAGAACGATGCTCGCAGCCGGGATGAGTGCATTTGTGTGGACGCTCTTCGCTGTGTGCGGTGGCTTCGTGTCTTTTGAGATCCTTCTTATATTTCGAGCTCCAGTCGCATGAAGGGCAACGAAACTTTCGCTGGTCAACATGGACCGTATTTTTATGGGTCTTGAGATCTCCTTTCCTTTTGAATTTTTCCCCACAATCGCACTCGAATTCCCGTATGTCGGAATGACAGTACTTGATATGTGCGTTGAGTGTGTCTCGGAGTTTGTAACGCATGTGACAGTCGGCGCAGGCATGCGGGTACTGCGCTGAATGGCCCTCAACGTGCTTCTTGAGGTCTCCACGTCGCTTTGAATGATGGTTGCAGCCTGAAAGAGGGCACCGGAAAGGCCGCTGCGTCGAGTGCGTGAGCGTTGTATGCTGATTGAGTGCGTAACTTGTTTTGAAGGAGTAAGTGCAAAGCTCCTTGCGGCAATGATGTGGACGCTCGTCTGTGTGCGCGAACTCATGGTTCCGTAATGCCGTCTGGGTCTTGAACTCCCAGGTGCAGCCTTCGACTTCGCATACAAATGGCCGGGCGTCGGAGTGAACAGTTTCCAGGTGCTGCACCAGGTATTTATGCTTCTTGAACGTGCTTGGGCAGTCATCGAATATGCATTTGTAGATTTCTCTACGGCGGTGAGTTTCCATGAGGCTTCTGACCCAGATATCTCTCTTTCTCAACTGGAGGACTTCCTCGAGACTTTCCAAGTGATTGACCGCAGACTCGACATCGCCGATCTCGAGATGGTCGATCTCCCGACCCATGAGCTCGAAAGGTGCTAAAGCATCTGCTTTGACCCATCTTACGGCTCTTGTTGTTGACGTTAGCTTCATTCAATGACACCGACAGGTAGGTTATACTAACCGAGTTTCGCTGTCATCGAAAATCCATAGAGGATATTGTCGATCCCAGACACCGGCATCTCCATCACGAAAGCCAGGAGCCCATCCGGTGACTTGTGAGCCATCTGTGGTCATGCGGACACATTCCGGCACATTCTGCAACAGCCCCAGTCGCGCTAAGCTAGACCCTGGCAAGCCGACCGTCTCCAGTTTCTCCCATGGTAGCACAATTCCGACAAACGCCGTATGCTCATAGGCACGGACCAAACTTATTGTGGCTGGTGCAAGTACGTCGGAGCCAAAGTTGTAGATGGGAATCATGGTACCGAGCTGGTGTTGGATAGCGCAGGTTCCGGTAGTAGGGCAGTGGAGGCAGAAGTGCAAGAGACTTGACTTCAGAGAGAGGGAGGAGCCAAGGAGTGTCTCCGGGATGAATGTGGAGAGTAAACAGACTCGTGAGGGGGTTCGGGAGGAAAGTAGTCCGGCGTCGGGATGATATAGCTGTTCCGCAAAGGGACCAAAGTTGATCGCTCTGATCATGGTCGGAGGAGGTACAAGGCCTCTTGGTCGGAGCCGCAAGTGAATATTTATGCCCATGGTCGCTGGTCATGCCCCCTGACAGATCAATGGCCAATCGGAACCACCGCGCTGGCGCCGGCATGGCTGTGGTCTTGATGTGCACGACCTTGCGCAGCGTAGCTCTTGAAACCCGTGTGCACAGACACGGCAGGGTCGCGGCCTTGCTGGCCACTTCCTGACCTGCAGATGTATTTTGTGGCGGCCGCGTAGGCGGTCCGGCAACCAGGCGAATACCAAGCAAGTGCTCGACAACGCGTGTGTGACGCGAGTGCAGGTTGCTTAACGGGTGCTCGACGACCAGCAACGCGTCAGGCTTTGAGAGCCAGTGACTGCATGCGTCCCACTACCCGTGCCACGCCCCACTTTTGTTGGTTCTGATGAGAATGCAGCCTGGCCATTTCCGAGGATCTGTCCGCGTCTGAAGGACCCTGAAAGCCTTGCATCAAACCACCCAAGAGGTGTCTTGGGCAGCCTGGGAGCAGCTCATTGACTGCGCCATCGCAGGGGCTCGCTCGACACTGTGATAGAAGGGCCGTCCTTTCGGGCAGCCAGGAATAAACTGACGAAGCTGGAGAGAGGCGGCGACACACTTCAGGCTGATGCAGAGCGAGACAGCCCAAGGTGCACGGTCGGATGGTGGGAGACTAACTCCAAGGGCTCGCCGAGCGCGCAGGCAACGTCCGGGACGAGGCAGCTCACGGCATATTGAAGCACAAGCATAACTACGACCTAAGTGGTGCCGCCTCAACTTGCACGAAATGGACAAACCTGGCGCCTGGGGGGCGCCGCGATGTGGCAGCCGTGGGGCGTCCTGAGCTTTTTCTTCTTAGCTGTGTGCACGCACTTTGGGCGGGATGGAAGCTTGCAGCAAGCTACATTTGCTTGGGGCCGGGAACCGTTCCGTGCGCCGCAGCCTAGGGGGAGTGACCAACAACTACTTGCGTGGTGCCTGGGGCGAGCAGCATGGACTTTCAATCTGTGGTCTGCACTATGAAGCCGACTTGTGTCCGAGGCGAGCTTCTTGCGCTGGAAATCTTCGAGGGGCGACGGTCAGATGCCGCCGCCGTCAGTGTCACCGCCATCGCCATGACGAAATAGTACATGAGATAATTTCGCGATAAGCTCGTGGTCCGGGTCGACTGACACCGAGTTCACGCTTTGCAGTACTACGACGTTGCGTTTCACCAGCATCAGCCTTCATATAAGGTACTGTGAGCCATGAACTCTCTGCTGCTCACTACCGGTCAAGGCGGTATCGACACTAACCTAGTGCTGAGGTTGCCACCGACGGCTCAACCCTTGGGCTGCCGACGTCAGTCCTCTGGGATTCACTTGTAAGTACCCGTATCGCCACGATGCTGCCGTCGTTGTCCACGTCCACTTCCCCCCTACGTCCACTGCCACGAGGGTGAGCCAACTCCTCGAACCACGTGGGCTCGTTCCATCACCGCCACGATGCGACACACCGACGCGCCCCTGCGTCATGGCCCCATCGCCGAGAGACGACACTTCCAAAATGTCACGAGCGGGCACTATTTTAGCAACAGGACGCCATGCAACGCTAGCTCCAGGGGTTGTGAGTCCATGCGCGTGAGCGAGGTTGTTTGCATGCGGTAGTTGCGCGCACCGCACGCCAGTGATTCCTTTGATTATTCGACGCGGGGACATGGCACCCCTGGCTTGCGGGGGTGGATGGGATCGAGGTGTTCGAATCTCTACCTTGAGGTACGTATGCACGTGCAGAGCGTACCTGGCGTGCACCCGACCCCGGTCCTAGGGGGCATGCCCAGTGCCCTAGGCCCCTAAGGTACTTAGGTGCAGCGCTAACTGCTCGCGCTGGTACTGACTGACCTGCCTGGAGCAGACTCATAGCCTGACTTGTACAGTACCGAGATGCCATGGGCCATCACTCCTGCAAATCCGCCCGCTGGAGCTGCGCAGCCACCCTAACAGTCGTTGCTCCCGAGGTCTGGCATTCCAGCACATCTCGAAGTGCCAGATTCCACTTTGACGAACTCGAGAGGCATGACAATGACCTGCTGTCAGCTGACCGACGCAATAAGGCCTTCACTCTCCGGTTCTGTCGAGTTCACCCACGGCTGATGTAAGAGACGAATGCATTGCCATCAGACCACCTCAAATTCCACGGTCATTTCCTGACCTTTGTGAACCATCCACGAGACCTTTTCACGTGGCAGCAGTAGTCCTCACTTCCTTTTACTCGCAGATGACCCAGCGGCACCCATGGCGTCTGCCTATCGTTGGGCACACTGAGGATTGATTGCCACTCGCAACGCCGTGAATGGAGCTACAGGCGGCGAGGAGGTTGTCGAGGCACGGCCGGACCATAGGCTAACTATTGCCGCCAACGTTACTGGGAGAAAACGTCGCGCGCGCGTCCTATGTGATGGCTGAGCTCCAGGGGTCCTGCTTCTCTAAAAGGGGCATCTCCGAGAGCCTTCTGTACGGCATTGTGCGGAAGGCATGTGAGTTACCCATTATCCGTCATTGTTCCGTGACTCGGCTCGGAGCTGGACACCACCCGAGGGAGTGTTAACTGAAGATGCCTGTCCTGCTAGAGGGCTTATAAGTCGATCGAATTCTGGCTGTAGAGAATGGCTCAGCTTCAATACATCTCGAACCTCCTTGGTCAGTTGTCGCACTTCTTCAAACGCGACATTCCGGTTTTTTTTTCGATCCGCAGAAGCCTCAGCGGTCTCCTTGCCTCTTCGGCAAAAGCGGACTGCGAGGAGCACGTTTTGACGACGACCTCACTCATCGCGGCGGACATTCCTACGCGCTATCACAGATGGGAATCAGGCAGATTTTACGAGTCTCGTGTGATGGTAACCGACGTTGAGCGACCATATACAATGTTAAAAGCTGGAAAAGAATGGGGGCGGTCGTACTTGGAGTCTTGAGGAAGACAAGGGTACCACAAGATCAGATGTCTCATTCATATGGCATTCTCATGTTACACTGGTGCAGAGGTATGTCGGATTTGGCCTTAGATTCAGACTACCAGAAGTCATATTGCAGAACGTTCCGACGAAATAGGCTCAGTCTACGAAGCAGGCTCTTCCGATCGGATTCTTTCTGGCTCCATCTTGGGTTACCATCTCGTGTGAACTTACGAGCAGTTTTCCTGCTGGTGACGGAAGGTGCAATCCTGCCCTCATGTAATCATGGTACATGCCTGCCCGGGAGCCAGTTGAGTTCGCAAGACCGCCGAGCTGGACACTGGCTGGGTCGAAGGGCGTCGAGCATCACTTAACCTCACGTGGACTCTTTTTGGGGTTGCACTTGTAACAGCGCCTCAGTGAACTTGCAGCACTTCGCTAAAGTCGTGGGGGCCATCGGTTTGAGACGCACTTTCTTGCGAGTGAGGCTGAACATCCTCTGCGTCCGAGGAAGAACTTCCACCGGCGCGTCTTTGGTGGATCGCGTAACAGACATACTTACCGGGAGTCGTCTGGTGCGCGATGCCTGGATAGCCAGGCCTGCCAGCGACGGCAGAAGAAGGAGAAAATGAGGACTAACAGGGCAAGGCAACCATCTCTTGGCTATTTTCCAAGCCGCAGAGGGTAGCTCCCCAGCAAGACAGCACCTACTTGTCGCTGGGGGGCATCGCCCGCAAGGACGCCTTGACAAAACTCATTTGTTGCAAAAACAAGTCAGCTGAGAACACCGAGCTCTTGAGCGGCCTAGTCTAAAGAAGCTATTCCAGATACAAGTCTGGGAAGAGTCTGGGAGGAGTCTGCGGCAGGTTGGCATGCATTGGCTCCTTGCCTGGAAGTGCACGCACAAGTGGCTTCTATCCTCATGCGGGCAACAAGCTTATCCCCGCCATGCGAAAGTGTTCATACTGCCTATACCAACAGCTGCTTTGCGATCATCGTTGGCTCCTCGAAGGCTAGCAGTGCTCAGCAACTCAAGGCTGATTTATACTTCGACTCTTGTAAATCGTGGACGCGAAGCTTTTGAGCTAAGCTGCAGTCAAGGTTCCCCAGCACTTGCTTCGCTGATGCTGCTTAACCTTGATTGTTTGCAGCGCAAGAAAATAACACACCAAGTCGTCTGGTATGCAAAAATGGTGAAATCCCGTGTTGGCCGGCTCCGGATGTGCGTCTGTACTTCAAAATGACGGCAGAACAACCAGAATGGACGTCGATAAGAACCACGAAATCAATGGCAATCTTTGTCCAATGGGAGACATCATTTTACGCGTTGGACCGCAAACAGAAGATATCAGAGTACAATCTCACTACCTCCGAAACGCCTCCAAGGTCTTCTACACCATGTTTAGAGTTGGAATTCTCTTTTTCAGCACGTCACCAGGGACAGGAATGAGGACGCAGACAACAGGCTGGGATGGGCCGCGGTGCGCACGAATCAGTGATGCCCTACCCGGCTCTAGCCTGTCCCTGTCGCGTTGACCTTGAACCTACATCTACATGTACCATCCAAGACCGCCGGTCTTAGGCCTCCGATGACTTGCATCCCAGGCCCAATTCAGCCCTAAATCAGGGACCTCCCCACCTCAAACCTTGATGCTAGCGTGATTTCCCTGCCGTTGTCGCAAACAGGCTTGAGCAAGGAGCCATGTCGGGGACTATCAGTCTCCCTAGCATAAACAGTTGCGCAGACAGTCGATCCGAGATTCCCATTCGTTCTCGTATTTGCACAAGTTTCCATTCCCCGTATGCCTCATTCATGCTGCGATAAGTGCGAGACATACAGTGCATGCGCAGCTTCTGGAGCTAAGCTGCGGAGTCAAGCCTGACCAATATATGTTCTGCCTGTGCTCGCAAACCTATGGGGCTTGTGTTTGCAAGCTGGAAGGACAGCAGAGCAACATGGTTGGACGACAAAAGCTTCCAGCTGAATGAGTCCATTTGTGACTGGGCAGACATTGTATTTCTTGTCGCGCCACAAAACCATGTTGTGCTGGTCAACATCGTGCCAGTTCCCGCGACGGGTCTTTGAACTTTGACCCAATTGCACTCCGCTTCTTCTACCATGTCCCTAGTCATCCACAATGAGATACTTGAGTTCGATTTCGATCGTAGTAAACACTTCGACACAGAAAGAGGATACACATCCGAGCAATCATAGGAATGCTGATTTCTTGCCGGAGGCAACCTGTAAAGAGTGACTTTCAGGCCTGAGTCGCTGCAACCGGCCGGGGGGCTGCGCGTCTGACCAGGGACGCCAGCCACGCAGGTGGCGCTGAACGTGCGGCCTCTTGCACTGTATGGCACGCCGCCCGACAACTAACTGTACCATTCCACTCCTCCACACCCGGAAGGCATGTCAGTGCAGAAGTGAAGAGTCTCTCCGAAACTTTCTGTCCTCAAGAACACTTCACCCCTGGTGAGTTCGGCAAGACAAAATATTGTGTCAGAGCATGTTATTGTGTGATAAGTGCTCCACAGCCTGCTGCCTTAACTTATTTGCGGGGACGTTAGAGCTAAATAACAATACAGTGCAACTCTCCGGCTGCCCTGAACCCCGCCACATGCGTACTGGCGAAGTGCGGCGCCCCACAGATCACACGCGGAACTATCTGCCATCGTCAGGCGAGCGAGAAGACGGTAGTGCGGCGTGTCGAAGGAGCTTGCTCAATGCGACATAGCGTGCCAGATCTTGTCAAGGAATAGCCGGCAATCGAGGAGTACTGGTAAGTCAAGGTTGACGCTTGTGTGCAGCAGTAGAAATTGATGTTACAGAGCCTCGGGCGAAGCAGAGACACGAGTCCGCCAGATTGCAGGCGACGCATAATAGGTTGACCGTGAGGCCCTCTGGTCCGCCGTGTTCGTGCTGCTGGTCTTCGAGATATTCGCGACTTATCAATTTGACTTGCCCTCGGCCGAATCCTTCGCTAAGCCTCTTCTATGTGATAAGGCCTAGGCACGGAAGGCCGCTTTGACATTGGCTACATAGGATGATGATCAATGTGCTTTTGCAAGATAGTCTAAGTTAGACATCCCGCATCTCAGGACACGCCCGGTTTCTTTGCAGACCAGTGAATGGACCTCAGCAATCTTGGCGATCTACGTAGGTGGCCTACCACCATCTCTACGACGCGCGTCTTTTCCTCCGCACGTGAATTAATTGTGCTGTGAGATGTTTGTGCTAAACCCAAACGTTTGGTTCTGGCCACGGCTCCAAATTCAAAACACATAAGTTGTCAACTCTGTAACCCTGATCCCATCTCTGCAACCTCTCTTGCGCCCATGTGTCCATGGAGAAGGTTGCGACACGACAGACCGACAGACTCCCTATTACTCTTCCCTTTTCGAGCCTGCAGTTCGTGCAGTGCTGACCTTCCGTCATGGCGGCTGCAACCGACAGTATATCTCCCAAGAGTCTTCTTTATATGATCAACCACCTTTTTCTGCCTCCACAGCTACCGCAGGAGCATGACTACTCGCAAACATGTGTCCAAAGCTTTCTGACCTTTGTGACACGTGCCCTGCGGGACTTCGAATCTCACTCAAATGCTCAAGGCGGGACCATAACCAAGGCGGCCACAGACATGATCACCACCTTCGCTGAGCTGCACATCATTGGAGAAAGTCAGGTCGCTGTCCAGCCTGACGAGCTTGCCCGAAAGCTGCAAGTGCTGTGCAGACAAGGTACGAATACGTCATGGAAAGACCATGCTTGCTTACCCACTAAACGTCTTGCCTTTCAGGTGGTTGTTTGCTCCTCCAGATCTCTTCTCAGAACGCCGGCATCCTCATCAATCGTGTTGAAACGGACGTCCACTTCGAGCTGTTTGAGCTTACTCCCTCCAATCACTCGATTCTGGAAACAAAAGGCAGGCTCGTGCGGCAATTTCCCGGCCAGGCCATAGCCGTCCCCGTATCCTCCCTTCAGCAAGACGATGTCATGAAAAGCTTGGCCAGCTCTGTCTCAACAATGAGCACCCAGAGCACCACTCTCTCACAGCCAACTTCCAGAAAGGCCGGATCTGAGATCGTCGAAGTCCGCCACTCGGTCAACCCTTGCATTGTCACAGACTACCTCTCCTCCATCTTGCTCGCCCACGGCTCAACAGTTGAGGTGCGTGCCATAAACAAGAAGATGCGAGAAGAGGTGATGTATACATCCTGTCTCATTCCCTGGACTCGATCGCAGACGTGGCTCCTCTTTCGCGTTGGCCTTCAATTGACCATGTCGAGGCTGCAAGGAGAGCTCCACCGAAGCGGTAACTTTGCCGGAGCTGCTGTGTACAAGGAATTCATTGTCTACCTTATGGCCGCACTACTCCGTGAGGCACACAAGGGTGGAATCGAAAGCGACCTTCTCTCAGTCATGACTTCCAAGGTCAGCTGGCGCCTTCGCAAGATCGGCGGCATTGCAAGCAGCTGGCTTCTGCAGTATGCAGACAGCATCATTGAGAAAACAACCAAAGGCTTAGAGGGCCGCTGGGCAGTCATCTGCAAGAACGACACTCACAACCCAAACTACGCGGCCCATCGAAATCTCAACTTTCACAAAGACACCATCGCCTCCATCCCAAATCTTGACGCTTATATCATGTCTCTCACCCAGCTCGACTTGCAAAAGCCAATAGCCACTTTTGCGCCCAGCTTCCGCCTGTATAAGCTTAGTCCCGACAAGCTACCCTCTGTCCACGTAGATGCGAACGACTACCGTCCATTCCACCTGGCAGGCCTTGAGAGCTGGGTCGAGGATTCGCTCAACAGGTGGCTGGCACGCAATATCTCGGATCTACATACTTGCAAGAAAATTTGGCATCTGCTCGACAAGTACCATGCTGCCGCAAGTGTAGCGTATCAGAACAATCCCGAAGCAATCTCCCTCATGATTCTCACCTGCCTCGAGTTGTGGATTGCTTGCAACAAGTCAGCGCTGATGATCTGTCCCGAGCTCGGCAGGTACCATTATGCCAGCGTGCAGCCTGGTTTGATTCGTGACCTGCTTCAAAGTCTGATCCTCCCGCGCAAGTCCCAACTCGAGAGGCTGAATCAGGTCGAGGAGTACCTAAGCCTTTGTTTGAGAAATTCGAGTGCAGTCGCGCCGTCTATCTTCGACAGCTTTGGTAACAGAGACAGCTTCTATGTGAGGTATTTTCAATCATCGGAGCAGCAACAGGAGTTGTACAATCGCATTGAGAGCGAAGCTAGACAGGCTCGCCAGCAGAAGGAGGCTGAGCTCGCCACGAAGAAGGAGCAGCACGAGATTCTCAAGAATCAAGCCAACGGCATGTGCTGCAACTATCATTACGTGGCCCGCGGCGAAGAGGTACGTGAAGAGCACGATCAATGGAGCTGCAGAAAGTGCGGCATTGTGAGAGAATATCGGGCAATGGAGGTTAAAGTGCACGAATGGCCGCTCCCGAAGAACGTCCTGGAAGCACGGAATGCCGTCTTCGAATTGGCGCCTCCAAGCTGGTTCCCTGCCTGGCGAGATGCCACTGCATTCCTTCTGCTTCGTGTTCTGTCGCTCTCATACACGTTCGGCATGCGTTCTCAGCAGCAGTACGCACTCTTTGATTATCACGGGCTCGAAAGGCACTGCCTAGCCCGACCAGCCAGATAATCATAGCGGTCTCCCGGGCAAAGTCTTTTCTTCAGTCGCATTACAGGACGATCAAGATCGGCTCGATCAAACATGATTCTGACGTCCTCGTTGACCACGGCCTTCGGTATGAATACTTCAACTCGCACGCTGGCGTTTTCACCAGTTCTGCAGCCTTGACGGATGTCATCCCGCGACAGTGCATGCTGAAGCTGCCCTCTAAGGACTCCGCGATGCAGCCCTTCCTCTATCGCCCGGCCAGCGATCCGAGCGGGCCGCCCCCCAACGCCGTCATTGCTTCCCAGTATGGCTGCCCGCAGCACATGACCGTGGCTGAGTTCAAAGAGCTGTGCGTACTGCCTCTCGGATTCAAGCTACAGTGGCAGAACATCCTTCGCCAGCTACAGGCGCCTTCCGTCAATTTCAACGAGGAATCAACTTTCGTCTTCATCGCACAGTGCATCACCCAGGCCGGATGGCCAGATTCAGGCAACGTCCTGCGAGCATCGCATGCTATTTTGGCGGACCCTATTTTCGCGCAAGAGCTTCTAGATGGCGTGCTCACTGCCACCTCCCGTGCCGCAGAGTCGTGGCAATCTGCCGAAGCTCTCCGGACATTCATTCTCATTGCCACTCGCGCGTCGCAGCTCACTACAGACACTTCCATCGCACGCGGATATCTCGACTTCCTAGCGTCCGCGAGAAGCACAGCACTCGGTTGGGCAGTCTCGCTCCGGGATAAGGCACGATCAAGTGATGCGTCCCAAACCCGAATCGACTTTCGGCGTCGGGCAGCTAGATGCGCTCTTGTCTGCTCACTATCATTCGATTTAGGGGACGATCATCTGACCTCTGTTCTTCAGTGTAGACTTGCTGCTTCTCAATTCCTGCAGTGCCTGCTGATCGCTCGCGAAGGCATCGAAAGTGGGGGCAGCGTCGACTTCAAGGAGGCCCTATTCTGGCAGTCGCAGCGTGTCAGCCATCGCGCATTCCCAATCCTCTTGCGCTTCGTCACAGATGGAAGCCCCGCCCTGGACGAAGCCATCCGCAGCTCCTGGTCTGGCCACGCCGCTCAGGAGAGTTGGGCTGCCGTGTCGGATCAGTTGCCGGAGTGGTTGGTAGGCACAGGCTGTGATGTGAACTCTCCTGTAGTGCGCTTTAATCTGCTCACAGGCGAGCTTCTGGTCAATGGCCTGCCATTAACCCGCCTCCCTCCAGAGTACGAGTGCCACGCAACCTACAAGACCCTCTTTGGAACCTCCATCGTCGATGTCATGCCAGGCAGAGTTCCTGGCTTCCCGTTCTCCACAAATGTTCCCTTCTCTGGGTACGACGTGCAGTTTGCTCTCGTGTCGTCTAAGCTATATGTGCGAGCAAGCAAAGACCGCCACATTTTACATTTTGTACCAGGTGGACTCCTGCGCGGATTCTTCCCAGATGCCTTCGTCGACAACTACGTCCACTTTTACCATGAGCCCACTACCAATTTAATATTCCACTCGCTTGAAGATCCCTGGGTCACACCACATAACTCATGGGTTCTCTTACATGTGGCCGCTAGTGATCAATGGCAGCTGCAGAAGGACGACACAACCATCATCAGCCTCGGCACGCCGACTTCAAAGACCATGGCAAAGATCCTAGGCACCCTCGAAGACGAGGTGCGTATTCACTGCTTCGTCTCAGACAACCACAAGCGCCTCGACATTGAGCTTCCGCAGCTCCGTTCTCGTTTCTTACTCCAGGCAGGAGACAGTGCTGTCGCGAGCAGAGATTTTCGCGGCATGGTCATCGATGAGGATCAGAATGTCGGCACCTTGGTCGGCCTCTTCAACAAGCTTGTCCTGAAAGACCCATCTTCGTTGTCCGATCGGATTGTCCTATTGCTGGGTGGCCAGCCCCAGGTAGAGAAGACTTCAACACACGTATCTGTGCAGATTATCAAGACCTTGAGCACAAGTCTCTACGCATATCGGGTAGATACACTTCTTGGACGGCTCGTCGACGGTGGTGGCCTGCAAAGCAAGCTCTTCTTGTCTCTTCTCCACAGCTTGACAGCTTTTTGCATCCCTGACCAGCTCACTTCGCGGACAGGCACGGAGGAGGCCTTGCGCATTCTGCGATCCGCCGCGGTGAGATCAGCAAATGGGCTAACTAAGGAAGCGATTGGGACACTGGAAATAATCGCCGGCTTGACTCCAAAAAGGGAGTTCTATCCCAAGCACCTGCGTGACATGCAGACAATGCACTTTGACCGACGACTTGGGTTCATGGCTCAACACGACGACTTCGTTGGGCAAGTCCAAATTCTGCTCGGTCAGGCCACAGAGAACAACTTCTTCCACGAAGGACATCCCGAAATCAATTCCTCAGGCTTATATTCTGGGATCAACACAGAACTCCTGGCGCGCCACAAGATCCGCGTGTCCCAGTTCCGTGTTTCGACGTTTGGCGCTGAAGATCGCAGCACTGCCCACGACGTCTTCTACAATGCCCGAGACGTCCCCCGCAATTCTGCCACTGCCACAGTGGCGTACAAAGTTGCGGACACCATACAGTGTAGTCGAGTCAATCCCAGTCTTGCTCTCACCAGTGACCTGCCTGCGAAAATCTGGACCTTCTTGCAACGAAGCTTGGTGTCCGGTACCTGGACGGGCTTCGGCATGCAAATCCCCTCCTACGATGCGAAGTGGTTCAAGCCCTGGCACAAGGACACGGGAACGCATGCCTTCATTGCAGAAAACTGGCTAAAGCTTCACGACCTGCTCAGCCAGCCAGAGATCCAAAAAGAGCCTTTCGCAGTTATAACCTGGCTGGCTGCGATCTCCTGTGCTGAGCACGCGAACACCGACATCGTGCACGTTCTGACAACATTCTTTACCTCCTCGAGCAAGATGAGGCAGGTCGGCCTGCCCCCATCTACCACTCAATTCGACTTGAGCCATGGCTACACGTTCCGGCCAGGAGATATCTCTAAGATCTTGTGTGAGCACAGGCGCGACTTCAATCCGAGCACCGACATCATCGAGACACAGGAGCAGCGAGAACCGCAAGAGAAATATCACAAGCGCGGTCGCAGAGAGTGGCTGAAGAGGGCCGACAAGGCCGCACAGGCTCTCGTCGAGCATTTTCGACAACAGTGGCCGCGTGCCGTGCCGGTCGGGCCAACCGGCCGTGACCGCAACGACGCGTATGAATATTTTCGCATGAAGAAGGGCGGCGTCATGTCCCAGGTCTGCGCCATGTTCCGCGTGTGGTACGAGAATCTGCAGTTCTTCAAGTATCTCCAACAGGTCTGCGCCATTGTGTCCCGGGAGACGTGTCCCGTGGTCCAGCCAACCCACCAAGCGCTGGTGGTGGCGCCGCTTGTACCAAGTGTCAGCCGAGGCTTTGTGTCAATCTCTGGATTGTTCAGCCAAGCTGCCCCATCAATGTCTATGCCAGCACCCACTCGCTTGCCCCAGATGCTGAGCTTGTCACCCAGCGCCAGCACTAGAACTCGCGCGCACTCCCAGCTCAAGAAGTTGGTCGATTCTCTGAAAGTCATGGCCAAATCGCCATACGAGAATGATTACGTAGCAGATCTGGAGGCTAGTCGCGCTGCGCTTGAAGGGGGCCAGTTCACCCCCAAAATGTTCGCTGTTGAAGATGCACACTTGAGAGCCGTCTTAGTGAGCCGTTTGGCATCATGTCAGCAACATGTAAATCACCTGTATCATAACATACGGAGGGTCATGACCGACGGAGTCGCGGATACCTACCAGCTGCCACGCATCTCCCCAATGCTCCTTCTGGAGCAGCTCAGACGTGACAAGTGGCCTCTTCTGGGTGACGACTGGAAGAGAGTTCTCATCGAGTATGCAGTGGCCTTAACATCACTCCAGCGAGCGCAACGGCTTGTCAACGCCCGGGGAACGACTTTGGTGAAGGAGCTACAGAACGACGGCCACGGCAACTGGGATCCGTCCAAGCATCCCGAATGGCTCCTTCTCGAGATTGAAGGCGCCATTCTCATTCGCGACGTCCAGGTCGACATCGCCACAAACATGCAGAACCCTGCTGATGGCAGAAACGCCGTCATGCAGTTGAACATGGGTGAGGGTAAATCCTCTGTCATCGTGCCCATGCTCATCACCTCGCTCGCGGACGGTGACAAGCTCATGCGCGTCCTCGTGGCCAAACCGCAGAGCAAGCAGATGGCTCACATGCTTATCTCAAAACTCGGTGGACTCGTTGATCGCCAGGTCTTCCATCTCCCATTCTCCCGCGCAATCAAGGTCGGTCAGTCTGAGATCAGCGCCATTCAAAAGCTTCTGAATCGCTGCCGTGACGAGGGTGGTGTGCTTCTCGTCCAGCCCGAACACATCTTGTCGTTCCAACTGATGGGCATAGAGCACAAGGTTAGCCAAAAGAGCTGGACTGCCGACCGGCTCTTGCAGCTGCACGAATTTATGCGCCGCCACAGCCGCGACGTGGTTGACGAGAGCGACGAGAACTTTAGCCCCCGGTTCGAGCTCGTCTACTCACTCGGTCAGCAGCAGCCGATCGACCACAGCCCGGAGCGCTGGGCCTGCATCCAGGAAGTTCTCGATATGGTCCGGAAGTGCCTGCCCGAGGTCCAGCATGACTTTCCCAATGGAGTTGGCGTCCGCCCGGGACCTAAAGGTTGCTTTCCACATGCACGACTAGTCGAGCCGAGGGCTGCAGACAAATTACTCGACATGCTTGCGGATCGGGTGTGCCAAGACGGTATCAAGGGATTTCCCATCACTCAGGCTAGTCTAAGTCTTCGTGATGCCGTCCACGAGTATATCAGAAACCCTGCGGCATCTGGCAACATCATAAGTCGTGTGGAGCAGGTTCGGCCCGCGGGTTTCTGGGCGGACAATACCAAGAACACACTGCTCCTTCTTCGCGGTCTCATTGCGAACGGCATCCTAGCTTTCGCATTTGGACAAAAGCGGTGGAGGGTAGACTATGGTCTCGATACCACCAGAGCACCGCCGACCAGCCTGGCGGTGCCGTACCGTGCAAAGGACCACCCATCTGCCCGCTCCGAGTTCAGCCATCCTGACATTGTTATCGTGTTAACCTCGTTGAGCTACTACTACCAAGGCTTGAATGATGACCAGGTCAGCCATGCACTGTCCCATCTCGACCGCTCTGATCAGCGCGCCGACGAGTACGCGACTTGGGTCAAGGACGCCAATAAATTGCCCAATGCGCTGCAGCATCTCGGCGGCGTGAACTTGGAAGATACAGACCTCTGCGTCAACAAGCTCTTCCCGTGCTTCCGGCACTCCAAGGCGGCGATAGACTACTTCCTTGCCCACATCGTCTTCACAAAGGAGCTGAAGGAGTTCCCTTACCGGCTGTCGGCATCGGGCTGGGATATTGGCGAACAGAAGGCTTATCCGACAACCGGCTTTAGCGGCACGAATGATGCGCAGATTGTACTTCCGCTGGGTGTCAAGCAGATGGCGCTGCCCGCCCAGGCTCATACCAATGCTCTTGTCCTGCAGCACCTGCTTCGGCCTGAGACCGCCGTGAAGCTGATTCCATCTCTTCGCTTAGCAGCTGGGTCCACGCATTCCTCGACAAGCACGGATGCAGAGCAACTCCTCAACATGGTCGTCGTGATGAGCCCCCCCGTGCGCGTAATTTTGGACGTTGGTGCCCAGATAATTGAGCTGGACAATCTGGGTGTCGCGAAGAAATGGTTGAATCTTCTAGCCCACGAGAGCGGCATCGAGGCGGCCGTCTTCGTTGACACGGACGACAACATTTGCGTCGTGGACCGTAAGGATCGCGTCGAGCCACTCTACACGTCGCCCTACTGCACGCGGCTCAGCCTGTGCGTAGTGTTTCTCGACGATGCTCATACTCGGGGCACTGATCTCAAGCTGCCCGAGGATTACCGCGCCGCCGTTACGCTGGGTGCGAACCTGGCCAAGGACAGACTTGTGCAAGGTGAGTATTTGAGCCAAGTTCTTGTTGGTCCTGCGTGAGAAGACAACTGTGCTAACATGTCATTCTAACGCGGTGCAGCCTGTATGCGTATGCGTGAACTGGGCAGAGGCCAGTCCGTCGTCTTCTGCGTGCCGGAGGAAATCCACCGCAAGATCAACCAGCTCATGGGCCGCAACAACGTCGCGCAGCAAGTATCCGTCTCCGATGTCCTCGCATGGTCCATCTCCGAGACTTGGCACGACGCCCGGCGCAACGTGGCGCTCTGGGCGAATCAGGGCAAGCAGCACGAGAGCCACAGCCAGCTGTGGGCACGAGCACGTGGCGAAGGCGTGGTTGGTGCTGCCCTTCATCCCCAGCAGCCGCTAGACCTGAACTTCACTGAAGATCTGGCCAAAGAGTTTCTCGAGGACGAGGCGCAGCTGCTCGAGACGCGATACCGGCCGGCCTCGCAGCCAGACACCGCAGCTTCCGGCCAAAACCCCCTCAGCGAAACGCAACGTCTCATCTCTCAGCGCTGCCAGAACCTCGACGCGACGGGGCCATCCTCTGCGATTCTCCAAGAAGAGCAGGAGCGCGAGCTAGCACCAGAGGTCGAGGAGGAGAGACAGCCCGAGAGGCCGGCCAAGGCGGAACCTCTACAGCACGCGGTCCACCCGGACGTAGTGGCGTTTGTCCGGACCGGCCTCTTCCCGGCCGAGAGCAGTACGTTCATTCCCGTCTACAAGTCCCTCGCCAACTCCTCGGCAGGCGAGTATATCGCCAAGCTGCGACACCGCCAAGGCCGAGTACACTGCACGCGCGACTTCCAGGCAACTATCAAGCCGCCAACCGTGGGCTACGAATCCGACTCATACCAGCGGCCCGTGCAGTGGGTCTTGACAAGCAGCAATGCCTTCACCGAGGTCTCGCCCGAACTCTCGGACGTGGAGGAGCAGGCTGGTTGTGGTGACAAGCGCAGGCGCACGCTGAAGCACATGGTCATCATCAGCCCATACGAGGCACAGCATCTCATGGACGCGATCAGGCAATCTCGCGCCGTGGCCTTGCATCTCTACGCGCCATTGCTCAACGAAGGGTTTCGTAGCCTGGACAAGCTCGATCTGTACACGGTCCCGTCGTCGTTGTCGATGACAAAACCCTTGCCGGATATCCCCATGGAAGTGACCCTTGAGCTTGATCTGTTCGCTGGGCAGCTGTACTTCAAGTCGTATGCCGAGTTTGAGGCATTGCGGGTGTATCTGCTCGATCGGTCTGTTGCTGCATTCGATGGCCAAGCTGGCGGCAGTGAGTCGCGGTTACTGGACGAGAACCTGGTTGGCCTGCTCAATATCATCATGACGAGGATTCGGCGCTATTGTGAGACAATTGACAAGACTCATACTGGAAAGGCGCTGCATGGCTGCCGGATCGCGGAAGAAGATTTCTGGGAATGAGATCTGCAGAGTTCATGATCGCCATGAGATTGAGAGGTCATGTACGAGACGGAGTAGACCGACACGGTAGCATAAAATGAACTTCACACGATAGTAAACACGTTGTGGAGAAAAGCAGAGCCATTCAGCCGCGCAGTGATGTCAGCTGCGATGTGGCAAATCGTGCGTAGCGTCCTCGAGCGCACAACAGAGCACAATGGCAGTTTGCGGGCAATGCCCACCAACTGCTTGCGTGGTCGATGGGGCGAGCACCGCGGACTTCCTGGTACATACTGGCTCGAGGCACGGCTTGTGGTAGTCTGTGGTCTGTACTGTGCAGCCGACTTGCGTCTGAGCTATGAGCCTGGCGCGAGGCCACAGGCTGCGCGAGACACTTTGGCGCGTGTTGGCGCAACGCGTCAAGGCGCCTTGAAACGCAGACAGATCCCAAAATGCCTGTTACATTCTTATGAGAACCAATAGCGGGGGCCAGGCAGTCAATCACTGGCTATCTGGCCGGCGGGACCCTGCCAAGTGCTCGAACTCTGGGTTCTTCGCTCTGAGGATCCTGGCACGAGGTTGCAGGCATTCCCGTCAGCCCTGGGAGCAGACTGGCCAGGCGGTCTGCTCGTAGGTCCGCAGGGCGACGAGGCACTTGGGCGAGGGCAGCTGTTCATCGTAGGGGCAATGGTGGTTAAACCCCAATGGCAAAACTCGCAGTCCGTTGCCGCCTAACCCACAGAGTTCAGACCTTCTTAAGAAGTGGGCCATGGGTGAGCGAGACTCCCCGCAGATGCGCTAGTCAATTGTCGCTGCTTGAGGAATGGGGTCAATGTCTTCGACGAGCTGCAGTCTGAATGAAACCCAGGGCTTTGACTGATGCGAACCCAAAAGTGACCATTTGCTCATTTGGCGAGTGCTCATCACGCTGGCTCGACACATGTACAGTCAGATTCGAAATCGGTGTCCGTGTAGGTCATGCACAAATAGTTCTGCGCACAGGCCCCCTGGTCTTGGCACACCACGTCAAGAAGTTGACACCGCTAGCAAAAAGGTGGGGAAGAGGACAGCCAATTCGTGCTCCATAGTCAGTAATGGCTTGAATAACACTCCTCGCTTATTGCATGGACGAAGGCGTCACATTATGAGAAAAACACACGATTTGCAACGAATAAGGGTCTTCCGACCAAACGGTCCCCCTCTAGAATACTGCACCCGAAGGACCGGAAAGATGGCTGCCCAGATGTACAGTAAGGTAGCTGACTTGTAAGACTAACGCCTTGCACTCCATAAGCTTGGTTGCATTTAGGCACTCCAACACAGTACAATACTGGGTCGCAGTGCCAGCCTAGCTTCCCCGCTTCTACCACCATGAGTAAACTTCATTTCTGACATGTACTTGTTGTGGGGCTGTCTGCACGGTTTTCGTCACACTGTGCCACAATGAGCTGGACCGTGCGGAAACAGCAATTCAGTTCAAAAAGCGGACATTATTCAGTGGTTATGTATGACATCCTACTGACTTTTCTATTCATATGAAGACCTAGGACTCGCTTCAGCTTGTCTCGTCGCCTCGGCTTCGACATCCGAGGTTATCTTAGATCTGTCAAATGTTGGTCACCACTCGAAGACGTCCCACCTTCAAGGGCGACATTTGTAAGCTCGAGAGTTTGTCGCGCCGATCGGACAGCCGGATGCGATGGCCCGAGGAGCTGCTCACGACCATCGTGAGCCTGTCGATAATATTGCCGCGCTTCACTTGTACGGTTCTGTTCTAATCGTAAAGTTCCTAGGTTCGAAAGGGTATTAATCGTTGGTCAATATGTCGCAACATTGTCAAGTCCCATAGCTCTCTCGTATCCATGGAGCGCCCGCAAGTACATCTTCTCGGCCTCGCTCAGTTTCCCCTGATCTTTGTAAAGGCTCCCAAGGTTTTCGACTATAGTGAGCGTTGATGTGTGATCCGTTCCAAGTGCCCTCTCGTATCCATGGAGCGCCCGCAAGTACATCTTCTCGGCCTCGCTCAGCTTCCCCTGATCTTTGTAAAGGCTCCCAAGGTTGTTGACTGTAGTGAGCGTTGATGGATGATTAGGTTCAAATAACCTCTCTTTCATTTCGAGCGCCCACAAGAACATCTTCTCGGCCTCATCCAGCTTCCCCTGATCTTTGTAAAGGTTCCCAAGATTATTGACTGTAGTGGACATCGCTGGGTGATGCGGTCCAAGTGCCCTCTCGTATCCATGGAGCGCCCGCAAGTACATCTTCTCGGCCTCGCTCAGCTTCCCCTGATCTTTGTAAAGGCTCCCAAGGTTTTCGACTGTAGTGAGCGTTGATGTGTGATTGGGTCCAAGTGCCTTTTCTTTCCCATCCAGCGCTCGCAAGTACATCTTCTCGGCCTCGTCCAGCTTCCCCTGATTTGAGTAAAGGATCGCAAGGTTGTTGACTGTACTGAACGTTGATGTGTGATCCGGTCCAAGCGCCTTCTCGTATTCATATAACGCCCGCAAGTACATCTTCTCGGCCTCGCTCAGCTTCCCCTGATCTTTGTAAAGGCTCCCAAGGTTTTCGACTGAGGTGAGCGTTGATGTGTGATCCGTTCCGAGTGCCCTCTCGTATCCACGGAGCGCTCGCGAGTACATCTTCTCGGCCTCGTCCAGCTTGCCCTGATGGAGGTAAAGATTGCCTAGAGAATGAAAAACCCAGTTCGAAGGAAGATCGTTTTCCCGTACCGTTGAACAAGACTGGATCGCATGTGGTACCAGCCTTTTCTGAAGCAGCCAGTATTCAGGTTCAACGTTGGATGGAACCTGCGACGCCACGCTTTCGACTGCAAGCTTGTTCAACCAGCCGTCCCACTCCTTGTTCAATATATGCATTGTCCAAGAATGAAGGCAGCCATGTATGCTGTATCCCTGTGTCTCCTGGAACATGGTTGTAGGTTCGACAAAGCTGTAATCGTGGAGTAAGCCTATCGCATCGTTGAAGTTGAGCTCCTCTGAAAGCTGCTTCATCCACACCGGGCCCATTCGGCTTCTCGCTTGGACAAGACCAAACCATATGTCTTCGTTGTTGAAGTAGGCCCACCACCGGAGCAGATTAGCCGCGAGTGGGTTCTGTGCCTGAAGATGCTCATACGACAGCTGCCATGTCGAACTCAAGGTACGATCTGCATAGGATCCAAGATACAGATCACTGGTAACTCTGGCCCAGGATTCCTGGTAGTAACGAAGGTACTTGCGTATGCTAACCGGGACTCGCTTCAGATATGCTCCGGCTGTAGCTAGAGCGAGAGGAAGCCCGTCCAGTTCTCGCACAAGTTCTTGTGCATCACCATCTAAAACATTGTTAGTGGTCGAAAATGAACTACCTTGAGATTCTTACCATCTTGTAAGCCAATCCGGCCAGATGCCTTTGACAATATTTGCAGACTCTCGTGTTTGGATTTTAGTTTCTCAATTCGGATGTGGTGTCCTATGTCGATCTGCGCCAGCCGTGTTGTGATCACTATGGACCCCTGATGTGCCATCGGCAGAAATTGGTGTATGTCGACCGCCGCGTCGGCTCTCCGCCCGGGGAGCTTGGGGTTGTCGTAGTTATCGTACACGAGGAGCCATCTGGTGTTGCCTGGCAAGCTGAGCCATGCCTTCACGGCCTGAGCTATTTTATTATGGTCTTGCTGCAGGTCCAGTGCCTTGAGGCTGCCGGTGTCGGCATTCTGTTCGAGAATCTGCGTTGCGACCCTAGCAAAGCTCTGCTGAATGGACGCCTCGTCCTTGATATTGAGCCAGAAGATGGCAGAGTACTCGTCCCGATATCGGTTGATATAGGTCGCAGCGAGCTGTGTCTTGCCAATGCCACCGAGACCATGGAGCACGACAACGCGACGGCTTCCATCCGAGCACAGCACTCTCCGCATCTCGGCTACTTCTCCATCTCTTGCTACGAAATGTGGAGTCTCGGGGACGCCCGACAGGCTGAAGCTGATCGAGAACTTGTTGTGGTGAGTGCCTAAGTGCATTAGTCAATATGAATCCTCTCTTACGAGTTTCTGAGCTGTGTCTCGCCTTTTACAGATCTCTGGACCTCTTCTCGCAATCTTCTATGTGCTTGCTCGCGACCCTCCCCGTAGATGAGTGGCATGTGAACACCAAATATCCCAAGCAGCGAGTATGCCATGTCTTCCTCATACTTTGTTTCCCGGTTGCGAACCCATGCCTCGCGTTCGGAAGTCGTAAATTCAGATAATGGCGTGCCTCTCAGAGCCTCTGCAGGGATACCTGTTACGTCGCGTATGACAGCCTCCAGCGACCTCCTATCACCCAAGAAGACCCCTTCCTTCGAGTAAAACTCGACAATCTGCGGGGCGATGAGCTCTTGTAAGGTCCAGCCCCGCGTGAACCACCGACTGCCTCGGAAAGCTGTCTCCCACAACGCTACGCCTGGCTGCTGACTGGATGTCGAAGAACAGGAGTTTGATGGACAGGAGACGTCAGACAAGAACACGTAGCATCGCTTCGCGCCACGGTACCATCTGAACATGCTGTTGACCGCAGTCTGGAGTTCGATGGCGTCGGATTTGTCGATACAACAGGTGTCTACCCAGAAGTGCTGCAGGCCATGTCGCTTAGCCTGATCGGCGCAGAACTCGATCTTATCGTAGCCGGCTTTCTGATGCCAGTCATTGGAACTCGTTTTGACATCGTTGTAGATGACCTCGTCGGCGCCCCAGGTGTGGGAAAGGATTGCGTATGGGGGAATGTCGTCAGGGCGCAGATCGTCCGTGACGGTGTACGTGTTGGCGTCATCTCGATGCAGTAGCCGCATTGTAGGGTATGACCCATGGCATTCAGGGTTCCTGGTCGGGGTGAAGGGATCTCGGTTGCCCGAATGTCACGCGTGAAGGTGAAACGGGATGCAAAGGAGCAGGCAACAGCATCATCATGGGTGGGATATTGGGCCGTCTCGCAGCTCCAATGTGAGGCTGTAAGTGCGGGGTAAGGCAGACTCGGCACTCATCCGTGACAATATAATGTGCACAGCTACGCTCAACAGGCACAAAGTGAGCTTTAGTGCTCCGCGTTATGAGGACCGTGCCATACTCTGCCGTCACCCCTGCGACGGGCATAGCACACGTTGTCCGACGATTCATAGTAATCATCGTTGCAGATGAGGTAACGAAGAAACGGCCCCAACAACCCACATGTTATGCTGCAACCTACTTTTGGGTTATCTTGCCGATCTGCACAGTGTGCAGTATAATGTGTCACACTTTTACGGTCCGTGCGGAAGCAGTAACTGAAGTCTAAATGCGGACACAAGTCGTAGTCATTATTGTAAAAAGTAATTTGTCTAATAAAACACTTCAAGACAACTTGGGAGTCCTTCTGAGGGTCCGTCTCCAGATATCATTCTGTTTATGCAATAAATGAGGGGTAGGGTAATCCGATCTACAGCCTGAAATGGCTGTCGTGACTGCCCCACTTTTCTATGGACAACACTGCATCGCCAAGACGAGATGGACCGTGCGCAGAGAGAGTTGCGTCCGGGGAAAGGACACCGATTTCGAATGCGACTGTACGCCGTTAAGTCTCCGTGTTTAATCAATGTACTGATTGAGCTTGGCACATTACTCACAGTTGGCGGGGTTGTGCCGCACCAGCATCACCTGCAGTAAACTACCCTAGGGCGCATGCCTGTGCCCAGGCAGCCATTCCGGTCTAAACTTTGATCGTCAGTCCAACAGTACACCAGTGGAACGAAATCACTCGCCAGCATTCAAATGCAAATGGGTGAGCTGATGAGTCCGCAAGCAAGCTCAAACTGCAAGCCGAGAACTCCAGGGTCCTTGATTCGGCGAGGAGAAGTCTGAGCAAACCACATCGCGTCAGGGCTGCGTGGAGGACGACCTCAACCACACCAATCACCACCCTCTGCATGGGAGCGATCGCGAACTGTGGCATCCTTTCAGCAGTGACGGGGCCATCTGCACGTACCACGAGTTGTGGTGTATAGTGGCGAGCGTGACAGTTGACGTCGTGTACCAACTGTAAGTGACTTTCTGAATAACAAGGCAGCAGCAGAACTTGCGGCAAATCTTAATTACACTTTCGGAGCATCAGCCCGCCTTTTCTCGCAGCCATAGAATTTACTCTGCAAGCTACAGCACCAACTCCGCAAGAACTCTGCATAGCATGCATCGTATTCGCACACACTAATATTCGTTGAAACTCAATGTTGCATGATCCTTTGGAGACCAGTGATACGCCTACCAACCGAGGCCATGTTATAGAATAAAATACAGTACAAGACATGACGACAATGACTTGATGAGTTGTGCCGAACGCCGTTTTCGGTTCGATCCATGCAGCAACAAGTCGCTGCACTGAAATCAAGTTCCAGCCATGCAATGGACTTTATGAGCAGGCTCGCGCGAGGCCTTCGCCGGAATCATAGTTTCTACCGTGGTTGCTATGTCTGTCGGGCCTCCCTGATTATGTATATATGTCTCCACCTGGATCTTGAATCTACAGTGCTTCAATCCACGACCCAGGATTCACAACCTGAGCACTGTTCCATCGTAAGCACGGGGCTACCAACGAAGCCAACATGGTAAGGAGATCATCAAGACGACGGAGGAACTCATCCATTAACCAATTCCAGATGGTTTCACCACAACGTGAGCTTTACGCCGCCATTGCTGGGCTTCACCTCAACAAGTTATACTCGGACTTGACCATCGCATCTACGACCAAGGAATATGCAGTCCATCGCGCCATCATATGCACGCGCTCCGAATTCTTCGCGGGCTGGTGTCGAAGTCGCTTTAAGGAAGTCGACGCAGGAATACTGTCTCTACCAGATGATGATCCCTCCGTTGTGGACGCGATGATTCGATATTTCTACCATTTGGACTATGATGTGCCAGTCAAACGACCACAGGGCCAGGGTGACACAAGGCTACTCTTCAATGCCAAAATGTACACTCTGGCAGACAAGTATTTGATACACGGGCTTAAAGACCTGGCAGTGTCCAAGTTCAAGTCTGCGTCTTCCAAGCACGAAACCGTGGACATACAAGACTTCCTGGACGCAACACAGGTGGCGTACAGCTATACTAATGAAAATGATCGAGTCTTGCGAGAGGCGGTACTCGAGACCTTCGTCAACCACAAGGTCCTGCTGGATAAAGAAGAGACTCAAGACATGCTGAAGGAAACAGATATGCTGGCGTATGACGTGTTGTTATATTTCCGGCAGCGGCGGTCCATTGGCTAGGTCTAGTTATCCTTATGAATATGTGGAAGCACGCACAGCTGCGACTATTCCAGGCGTGAGGCCTTCATTCTCATGAAAAGTTCCTGGTTCGAACCACGTCTCACTAGATGCGTCACCACCGTAGCCGGGGAGGAGAGCGGGAGACTGGCGGAGAGAGTAGGGAAGGGCTCGAAGTTTACCGGGTCTTCATGCGAGGTGGTCCAAATCGGCCCCCTCAACGACGGCGGCAGCCTACACCTCAGGTGGCAAGAAACGTAAAGCGCAGCACCAGCACCCGCGCCGGAGACGGACGAATGGGGAAATGAGGGTACTTACGAGCTCACAGCCGTGGCCACTCTTGGCGCCGGGTCCCGGCAACAAAGCAACAGGAGGCGCAGGGGACAGGGCGCACCTCGCTAGGTAGACCACACCTCTTCTTGCCCAGACAAGGTTCACTGCGGCTCATAGGCTTCTGCAATGGGAGAGATGGAGCAACTCCTGACCATGAGGAACCATCGGAATTTAACACGCTTGAGACTCTGCCGTCTGGTGCAAGATGACGCCTGGACGTCCTTTGTCACATGGATTGTGTAAGCCAGCCACAGCCGCAGCCGCAGCCCCATTAATCATTCAGTCTTTGATCGCCGTATCTTCTTGGGCCTTGCGCAAAATATTCGTCATCAAGGAGTAGAGCTCTAGGTGTTCCTCGGGCAATTCCTCGCGGAATTTCCGTCTTCTCCCATCGGGAAAGACCACCTCTCGCAGGTCATCAACGTACCGTATCAAAACTCGATAGTGCTCGTTGAAGACCTCCCCAACAGTCTCAAGGAAGTCGCGCTGATCACTGACCACTCCCTTTTTCAGGTCTGCCAAGTCTTTCGGGTCGATGTAGTTCCAGCGCTCGAACCGGTCGGTGATCCTCGGCTCGCCGTTTTGGTTATAATGGATGCATATCCAGAAAAGAACCCAGAAGAACGACTCAAGATCGTGCAGGAAAGTGTGCTGTTCTTTCAGAAGCGCACCGATAGCCATAAAAGCTCGCGTGCCGGTCATTCCTTCCGCCCCCGAAGGACCTTCTCGCTGCTTCTTGATTGTCAGGTCCAGGTCGATCAGCAATCCGCCGTGCAACACGTCAGCATTATCCTTGCGAATCAACAGGTTATTCAGTGAGATGTCTCGATGGAGCTGCTCAGCCTTGACCAACATTGACTCGTGCGCCTGTATGCAGTCTACCATAGCCCCAAGGAACGCTGAGCGAGAGCGCGCTTCGTAGATGGGTATTCCATAGCCGTATGTGATGACGCGCCGGTGCTCTCTGTTTGCCAGCTCGGTGCTGCCGGGATTCGTTGGCGACCTGGAGCAAGACCGCTTGTTTGGCGGCAGCAGAGCACCTGCTTGGCTGGACGTCCTCTTCGAACCGGACGCCCCGCTGCGACGACCGGTGCGCGCCGATCCTGACATGCTGGCTCCTCCTGCCCGTGCTGGCGGACAGATCTTAGCTCTTGTGATGTCCAGCCCTCGGCGCACGTTGTTGAGAACATCATCAGCCTCATGACCGACTTGAACAGTATAATGGTGATAGTAGCAAGGCACATTGATCACACCGCTCTCGGTGGCGTGGCGGAGCAGCTCGCCTTCTTCAGAACGCTTGCTGGGTTGCCACGAATCTTTGATCACGTATGAGCGATCCTCCTCGCCCTCTTTATGAGCTCTCCAGCATGTTGTAGCTCGGCCAACAATACACCGCGCGCGGACTATCGGCTCGTCGATGATGAAGCGCTCGAGTGCGCCATTCCGATGGATTTCGAGAACCTGCTGGCCGTCTACTGTGGTGAATGTTGGGTCAAGTCCGATTTGCTCCTCGTTCATACAGAGGAAGCCAAGGACTATGAGCACAAATCGTTCTCCATCCTCGTGGATATCGAATGACTCCGACGCGATCCCACCCAGTCGGTCGAAATGCCACACACGCATGAGAGATCCGCACATGGTGAACCCTAAGACAAAGCGCCGAGTATACTGAGCCGAGAGGACTTCTCGTACATAACGAGCTAGATCGTGCCATGTCTTCGACGAGGCATCTGCCTTCGGGTTGCTCTTCAGCTCGCCCGGGATCATGATATGGATCCAGGAATGACGCGCATCCTCACTGACCGAGTCTACAAAGCCGAGGTCCAGCTTGCGCTCTCCGGTAGAGCCTTGGATGGCTGTGTTCGGCGAAGCCAGTAATTTCCTGGACGGCAGAAGGGCGGCCGGCGAGAAGCTCGCGAGTTTCTTGGTGACGTTAACGAACCAGGACAGAACCCCGTCCTGATCAGCAGCCTCGGGCCACCCCGTCCAGTCCGTGCTGAAGAGTCCCTCTGTTTCGTCCTTGCATTTCTCGAAGACGGCCTTGGACGCGGCCGCAAGCCCCGGTATGCTTTCGAAAAACGTCTCGAAGAATTGAGGAATGTCGACATAGAGAGGGCCGAGTTCGGACTTGAGAACGTCGTCCACGTCCCGACGAAGTTCGGAGGAGTTCACCAAGCTACTGGTGCTGTACACCCACGGCGTCTGTTGATGGGATGGGGCGGTTGATCGAGGCGGCGGTGTCGCTTCTGGAATGAGTTTATAAACGAGGTCCCATAGTTGTGACTCGTCGATAGGCTCGACGAGGGCAATGGCCAAGATGGGATCCGTACGGCTGAGCTCAAAGTTGTTAGGGTGGGTATTTTCGAGGAGGCTTTTGAGTTCGTAGTCAATCGTGCGTGATCCGGAGCTGGTTGGAAGGAGCTTGGACGCAGTGCTTCTGCTCAATGATGAAAGAAGGACTGCTGTGAGGTTCCGTCGTTCTGCGCACTTGTCAGCTTCGTGGGGGAAAAGCAGCAGGCAAGCAAGCCTACCATTAGGAGGGAGTGCATCCAGCGCTGGAGGGGCGGCCAGTTGATACTTGACACATGCAGACCGTAATGACGCGCTGAAATCGGTAAGGCTGTCTCTGAGGGGGTTGTTTTTGATGATGGCGCGCTGATCGTGGACCATGGCGATTCTGGTGTCGTGGTAACGATCATTGTTGGGTTCAGTGGTCCCGAGGCGCGTGAAGAGCATCGCGCGCAGGTTCCCTTGGCAATGCCCCATTTTCCCCATGCACCTCGCTAGTTGCATAACTTGTCACCCTTAGTCTGACCTGAACAGAGATGCAGCGACAATTGAGGCGTAGAATCCAAGACAGGCCCGTCTACTCTGCACAATCTCGGACTGATTCAGCACATGCTCATGAGCGACTGCTCTGTCATCAGTACCATCGTACTTGTAGCGGCACTGGGGGATTGTACGTCGGTCAACATGGTCGGGGATGGAATGGTGCACCGCAGTGTGTGGGGCAATTCACGGAACACACAGGCCAGTACAAAGCGCCGCGCCTGTGCCCGCCTGGTGGAAGTTGCATGGGGGAAAGCACTTGGTCAATCGCGCAAGTGCACATGCCAGCCAGCCAAAGCAGGTCTGGAAGTGGCTTGTTCCTCGACTTTTCTTCAAACCTCTATCCGGAGAAAGGTCAGCTGTTCACCGACGACAGGAGCAATACTCGCACACTTCCCGTGATTATAGAGAGCTCAGCTCGAGGTCCATGGTTTCACTTATGAACGCAGCATCCGGACTGAAGCACCTGGCAGAGATCACAGATCGAGCAAACGGCCAGACACTGAAACTCATTGATCGACAGTACTAGAACCCGCAAGCAAACTTGTGGCCAGCCCCGAAATATCCACGCGCAGGCACATTTTACAGCCCCTATGTCCTTCTATGTCGCGCCTAGGACTTTTCTTCCTTGACCTTCTTGGCAGTCGTCGTCCCGGGTCTCTCCAGGATCCAGCTGTAGGCACGGCATCCACGACTTCAATGCAAAGCATGAAATCCGTGTCTGCCTGTGGTCGAGTGCCTCGTGGCGGGAGGCGATCTCTCCATGTTATCCGCGGCTACCATCATTGCTCCCACGGCTCGACATGGCCTCTGTTGTCCTCCAAAGGACAACTATGCACTGGTCAAACCTATGGATATCTGTGCATGAGCATATTACATATCGCCGAAGCGTAGTGTTTGCATTTGTGCAAGTAAGCTTTGTGGACGCCTGTCCCTGCACGCTGCACGGAATTCCAGAAGGCTCCTCATCGAAGGCCAGATGTCGTGTATAGGATCCCTCAGCTAGATGACGCAGGGAGGCCAGACATGCGTAACTCGAAATGAAGCATTCTCGGACGCCATGCCTCTCTCTGCACCGATGACCTTGTTGTCGACACAGTATCTCTCGAACTCCCCCAGCGGAAGGCGTGCCACAATGCAAGCCTCCGGGATCCGACCTTGTACCAGCCAGTGCGATGGAGCAGCGTGGTGAACACCGTTGGGATTTTCCTTGCAGTACGGTTTCATCCCTGACGAGACTTCCTAGACCATGAACGTGGTAATTTTCGGAAAAACAGTATATCTGAAGACCGAGTTCAAGCCTTTCTGGAACGTCTGGCTCAACTCCTTTCTGTTCGTCGGCAACAGAAAGTTGGCACAAGCCCGAATAAAGGTAGTTGATGAAGACTCTGCCGGCGCTTTCGGAAACGTCCTTGAGCTTGATTTCATGTCTCCAAGTATCGAAGCAGACTTTCTCCGCCCCCTTGAAACCGGTGATGAGGCCGTCATGGATTCGATAGATGATGGCCCCATCAAAAGAAATCGACCGGGTCTTGGTAAGGAAAGGTCTGGAAAGAGTCAGCAACGTGCGACGAGGACGGCACGGGTGCTTACGATTTGGCCGCCTGCGGTGGCTTCATCTTGGATTGCAACCTACGTAAATTTGAACAGTTTCCTGCACGTAATGTGGCAAGGGCGGGATCCTCCACTCTTATAATGATGGCACATGCTCAATATGCGCGCGAGGGGCTTCACCCGAGTTTGTCAGAACGCCGAGATGGAGACTGGCTCAGTCCAAAGGCATTAAGCGTCACCTAGCCTCTCTTGGCCTTTTTTTGAGTTGAACAGAATTTCCGTCGACTTGAAGCACTTCGCTAAGATCCTACTGGAGAATCGACTCCTTGGGGCGCTCTCCTCTGCGAACGAGCTGCACAGACTCTGCGTCTCAGGCCAATACGTCTTTTCTGGATTGCGTAGGGCCTGGAGCGCGATGCCTGGACAGCCAGCCAGCGACGGCAGATGAAGGAGAGAATCAGGACGAATAGGGCAAGGCGATCATCTCTTGGCTATTTGCCAAGCCGTAAAGGGTGGCTTGAGGGGATGGAACTGAGGAGCCCCATGGTTCGGCATGCTTTGCTACACAGCAAGACAGCACTTAGCTGTTGCTGAGGGTTCGAGCGCCTTTGACGGAACGTCGCGCAGAGCTACAGATAGTTGACATTGCGCGCCTTGACAAAAATTACTTTTTCAAGGAAGCTCAATAGCGCCGAGTTCTTGGGGGACCGACTTCAAAGAAGCTACACCGGATGTAAGTCTAACAGTAGTCAGCGGCAGGTCGGCATGCAGTTCCTCCTCGCCTGAAAGTGCACGCACAAGAGGCTGTTATTCTTATGCTGGCAGCAAGCTTTCTCCTTCGCGCGAAAGTATTAGTGCTTCCGACACAAACAGCCGGTGTGCGTTCGTCGTTGTGTCTCCAAGGCCAGAAGTGGTCAACATCTAAAGGGTGACTTATGCTTCAACTCTCGTAAGACCCGGACGCGAAGTGTGTGGAGCTAAGCTGCAGTCAAGGTTTGCCAGGACTTTTTTCACCGATGCTCGTTAACCTTGCTAATATGCAGCCGTAATCAAATACCGCACCAAGTCGCTGGTATTAAAGATGGTCGAGACCCCATTTCATCCGGCTCGAGTTTGTGCGTCTGTAATCTGAAACGATGGCAAACAGGCAAAATGGATGTCGACAAGAATCACCAGCTCAATGGCACTGTTTCTCCAACAGGAGACGTGATACTACTTGTGGGACCCCAGAAAGACGCGATCCGAGTTTAATCTCACTGCTTTCGAAGCGACTCCAAGGTCTTCGACGCCATGTTCGGCCCACATTGGCAAAGAAGGTCGAGATCTTTACAGCGACAATCCAAAGACAGTAGAACTTCCAGAAGACAACTTTCAAGCAATGTTCATTCTTTTTCGAGTCATACACCACCGCAACGAGCCGGTGCCACGCGCCATGGAGCCTGCAGACTTGCTACATGTAGCCACCGCGATTGATAAATCTCGCATGACCGTCGCGCTCAAATTTGCTCTCGCGCAATGGCTTTATGTTAAAGACAGCATGGATAAGACATCAATGGGATACATAATGGCCGCATCATATCGTCTTGCTGACGAGGAAGTCTTCGTGAAGGTAACGTTAGCGCCCATTCTCGACCAGGCAAGTTCGTTCTGGTGCCTTTTCGAGAATGACGAGATCAACCAGGTGTTACCAGCGAAGGCGATATGCAAGCAGAACCCCCCGTGAGGTTTGTAGACAGTCACTCACATCATCCCAGATCTACTTGAGAGAGGACGGAACCGAATGCAGGGCGAAGTCTTGCAGATGCTTGCAACAGCCGGAAATCCCTGTAAGCATTGTGCCTGGGGCACGCAGTTTGCAGCCAAGCGCATGGTGCTTCAAGGCAGATACAACCCGCTTGACATGTTCCAAGTTCCGCTTCGTGAGGTCATGCATGAATTGGAATCGATCCCGGTTGATGATATAACGAGGAAGGGCCTTTGTGCCGTCAAACGACATCGTGCTCTGTCCGGGGACGAGCTGCCTGTCGGGAAGATAGCTAGCCTGAAGAGCAAGGGACTCAGAGCGCCACATTTCGAAGCCCCAGAAGGCGCCGGTTCCTCGCGTGTCGAGGGACAGGCAGTCATAAGTCATGCAACAGTATAATTTGGGGTTGTCCTGAAACAAAGACGGTGGTGACAAGAAGGAGACCTTGGGCTGGACACCTCCCTCGTGTCTGTGGCGCCGAAAGTCGAAATTAATACTTCGACCGTCGCCTGCATTGAAGGTTGTACAAGGAAGGAATGTATTAGGTTGCCGTCAATAGAGGCGACCTACGGTCGCCCACACACGCCATTGTGTCTGGTAATGTCACCGGAAAAAAGAGAACGCTATGATCCCTTGGACTGGAGTCGTTTTCGTAATTGAAGAACGTGGATCCTTACATCACGGCAGTCATGGTTACATTGGCACAGCGCGAACGTGGCGTCAATTCCATAACAGTCATTGCTGTCTTGACCAAGGCGCCTGAACAGACTCGCCCGGGCAACAACAGCGTTCGAGGAGGTGACGGCTGCGATGGTACTGGCTCAACTGCGTGTCCTTCAGTCAGCCCCCGAACAACTGGCTCAAGAAGTATTCTATCACACTCTCCTCCCGGCTTCTTCCAAAAGACAATCTCCCGAAACAGATGCAGCTGGTGCCGACTCAGACCGTGCTGGTCTGCGGCATCCTGGGTGGATCACCATGATGCATCCCAGTGATGCAGCCTCGCAAGGACGGGCGGCTCAAAGTACTTCACAAGGGGGGCCCTGACTTGCGAGGCTCTAGAGGCAAGAGAGCCTCCTGGATGAGGGCTAACAAGTGGGCGAATGTGCGGTGTCGGCGGCAGCAGCAGCGGCTAGCCAGTTCTGGGTGTACCGCATGAGCCTTCGCCTATCTGCCGGGAAAGTTATTATAGTCCGCGTCAAAGCCGATCTGGACAAGTACGGAGTCAGCGCATTATTGTTATTTTAAGCAATCACGACAGTGGCACCAACAGGAGTTCTTAAGCATTTGACTAAACCCTAACAAGACAGACTGGCAACTAGGAAAAACATAACGTCAGTTACAGCGACGAGCAGCTCCGCATCCAACCGTCCACCACGGCGGCACATACTATTCGGCCTACACGCCCTGTATCTGCTTCCATCCTTTCCGAAGCAAATTGAGCCAGTCAATATGAAAAGGGCTCTATCCATGAGCAGAAACACATGGACCAAAGTCCCACTTACGCATGTTCAGACGAGGCCAGTCCGTATATTATCGTAGATCGATTCCGGATACAATAGCAAGTTGTCAGTCTTGTCCATTCTCGAGTCGCCATCCTGGCCGCGAAAGCAGTTCGCGATGATCGAGTTCTCGTCAGTTCGGTCACCAGAGGCCTCCCAGAACATAGTGCCGCCAAGGCCCTTATTTCTTATGTACTCTACTTTCTTCTTCACGCTAGTGATTGTGTCATATGATATGATGCGATGGTTCACGGTGTCCACGGAGTATGACGCGCCGGCGATGTAGTCGTACTCCTCGAACGAGCCCTCTAGAGGCAGATTCTTGTAGTCGTAAACTCCGACCTCCCATGTGCCGGGACTGGCGCTACTTGCAGCTTGGCCGAGTCCGAGAGCACCCTCGTAGCCACGGCCGTAAAGAGGGATGCCCATGACAATCTTACGGCCGGGTACACCAGCCTCAATGTAATCAGTGATGGCGCGGTCAGTCGAAAATGGGGTGGACTCTGGGTTTGATGGGTTAGGGTATAAATTTGCTTGGTGGCCAACTGCAGATAGGTCCCAGCCGCCGGCGTAGTCATAGGTCATGATGTTCACGTAGTCAAGTATCTCTCCCATTTCCTTGAGACGCAGCACGTTATAGTGTTCAGGAGCGGCAGGCGTCGCGGCAGTCAAGAGGAAGTGGTAGTCAGAAGCTGCACGCTCACGATAAGAATCAAGCTCGGCACGGACAGCCTTGAGCAGGAGGATGAAGTTAGCGGCGTCACTAGGCGTCGCCGGGTACTCCCAGTCGATGTCGATGCCGTCAAAGCCATAGTCCTTGACCATGGTCACAGCCGACTCGGCGAAGTTTGCGCGTTTGGCGGCATCGGCGGCGACGGCTGGAAAGTTGGACGACATGGTCCAGCCGCCGATGGACAGAATCACTTTCAGGTGGCGATTGGACCTCTTGAGCAAGGCCAGCTGTTTGACAGCTCCATAGGCGTTGTTACCCGCATTGTTCCAGGCTATTTGCGTTAAGTTAGCGAACTCGGATTACGGGTCTGTGTCTGTCAGACTCACAATCAGAAGAATCGTGCTGCTCGATGTCGGCGTATTTATCTCGTGTGAAGCTAGTAAAGAATCATTAAACTCTGCAGTAGCTAGCACGTGTTTTGAGTGATGCCTTACACAGTCCCGTCATTCTGGATGTTCATAAACGAGTATAAGACTTGGTTTATCTGGCTCACGGGCAGCTTCTGCGGGGGATAGTTTCTGTCATACACACTCCTATGGGAGACGTAAGTGATTTTTTGTGTACGATAAAGAGCTTCGAGGAGGTGGTGACATACCAGTTGGTCCAGTATACCGTGTTCTGGAAGACAGAAACATCCCGCCCAGCGGTCTGGGCCAAGCTTGCATGAGCGGAGAGCAGAATGAATCCAAGAGTAGTGATGATGGTTGGCACCATATTGCAAGATCGCCGGAAGCAGGAACGACCCAAAGACAGTAGCACATGTGATCCATTTAACTAATTGTCCATCCAGCATTTCTTCGTCATGGAAGACTCAGGGTTAGGCAAGTCTGACGCAACAGTCCGCTTCACGGTGAGCTAGACAGACGCAAGTGAAGCGGCCGGCTCATGGGCATCTGCACTCACAGCAACGCCGCATGACGTGGTTAATATATTCACGAGTTACGTTGCATTTACTTGAGGGCGCACTCGGTAGGCCTCTACGTCGCTGGCGCGAAAGACCAGCTACTATTTGGCTACGTTGGCGGACCATCCTCGAACATGCCACTAAGTACACCCGATCCGTCTATCGGATTCAAGCTCCATCCCAAGACTTGCGTCGTGAGTCTACAGGCGGGCGCGATTAGGTAATCAGGACGATTGGGTCATAAGGACTGACCCTGCGATCCTCGGGATGATGGTGATTGATACATCTCTATGAAAAATTGACGAGGAGGAGAGTTGCATACTGTGCGGAACGTCCATTGGCCAGAAAGTCCTACCAATCACCACAGATCTCGTCGAGAGGTGCTGTGTCTTTAATCACAAACATCTCGCACAAAGACATATCTGCGACAGCTTTGCCTGTGTCATCCAATCAGAAACCCAGCGAATGACCCTGGAGGCCTGGTTACAACATGCTGTCCAGTCGTTACCAATGACGTAAGTCATCACTTGCGCCCTGACCATTTCTCTGTGACCAGCCAAGCAGAGCGGTGCAGCTGAAGACGTGTGGCCGCCAGGTCATTCGAGTGGGTTACATGTGCTGCGAGCCGTGCCACCAAAATAGAACATCTGGGGAACCTGCTTGGTTGGCAGCAGGCGGCGCTCTGCTTGATAATAGAACGTGGCCATCACTTGACGTGCGGCTGCGAAGCTTGTTCGCGGATATGCGGTCCTTGTTCTAGGAAGCATCCTGTTCTCCGCCTTTGTCTCCTTCAGGCTCCACAAGTTGAGACAACCTCAATTACCCCACCCCTGTATCCCGGGCTTCTGAGCATCCACCCGCCGCGAGATTTCGTCGACCTTCCTCGTCGCATTCCGGGGAGACCGACAGGGTTGGATTATGGCCCCTGCTTATCTGCAGCGCTCTCAATCACCGTTCAAGAGAAGCCTGTCTTGGCGTTTTGGAGGATGCAGGGGTCGAGAACCAACTGCATGAAGCAGGGGTGAGAGTCCACAGCTGGCGACATTATGCCTGTCGGAGCAGCAGCGCGAAATGGCTCCTGCATGTAACCCATGCTCCGTGTGCAATTTCAGATTGCACGACGACCACCATTTGAGACGAGGCGGCATGCACGGATGTTGATCTGGAGTTCCGCACGGACATTCATCGTTGTGAGAGCCTGCGGTTGTCCAGGTACCTCTCCGTGTTCTGAATAACAACCTCTTCCCCGACTCTGGCCACCTGCCAAATATCCTGCGCTTATTCCCCCGCCTCGACCAATTCGACACGCGACACGCGACAATTGCTTACCCTACAGTGCGACCATGTCTTCCTCTTGCGCCGGCCATTCAACATGGCAATCGCCAAACACGACTACCCAGGCCGCCACCGGGGAGACACTGAACCTCACGCATGTATTCAATCGTTTCCCGACCCTGACAGCACTGGGGTTTCAATTTATCCTTGTGCAGAAAAGAGACGACGCGGAAGATGTCCAGGTCCCTATTCTCAGTGCGTCTCATCAATCATCATCTATCGGTAGTGCTGACCTGGATGGTTCACATCTATCGGCAAATATCCCTTGCTAATTCGATGGCAGACTCCACCATTCCTTGGGATCCCTCTACGCCCTTTGGACTGCCTTCTACTCAAAACTTGACGTCACCTGTCTGGGCGCCGATCGACAAGACCTGCTTGACCGCTGTATATTACATTTGGCAAATTCCATCAGACTTGATCGACGGTGACAGGTCCTTTGCGACCTTTTATGTTTCTTCAAAATGGGACCTCACATCGGACAACGGTACATTCAGCTCACCTGGTGGCCTGAAAAGCCAAGACTTCATCATACGGAAGCAGGCTGTGGCTGCACCTCTGCCAACCGACATGTCGACCACCGTGGCGAGCAGCAGTACGAGCAATGTAAGCCTGGCATCGAGTGCTACGAGCACACCGGAAGAAGGCGACATATCCAGCCAATCTTCGCCTGATGCCGGCACTCTGAGCTTCGCTGGCCGTCTCGCTGTTGGAATCGCGCTGCCCATCCTCGCGTGCATGCTCCTCTTTGTAGGCTGGTGGTTGTGGCGACGACGAGGACGAGAGGCATCGCCCCCTACAAGCCACCCGAGCACAAGCGAGCAAACAAGATTCGAGAAGGCTGAACTTGGCTCGCCAGCTGAGGAACAGCGACAAGAGCTGGACGGAAAGCATCTTGTGGAGGTAGAGGGCCATCACCACAGCCATGGCAGTTCACCCTCTGCGACAGATACGTACGAGCTAGACGCGTCGGAAGTCCCGCGCTCGCCGTCTGTCCCGAAGCCAGGCAACTCACGTTAGGGCTGCCGTTTCAAGGGCGAAGCGTGCAGAGAAAGTGACCGCTACGGAGGGTCTTTTATCCTTCTCGGCACATGTGTCGAAAACGGGGTTGCAAGAAACGGTTCGGAACTCAATCGAAAGATGCGATAGTCCAGGAGAGGCACCGAAGCTATTCCTCGCCTGGTCGCATCAAGTAGCAGATCGGATTCCAGGGAGATGGGCATCTTGGGCGTTGGAAAGAGTCTCAAAGCGCAGGGAGAGACAAAACTGCACGTCCAACGATGGGCGCGAGTCTGAAGAGACCCGTGTCCAGCTGGCGCGCTGGACTGGTCGCCGATCGCTGGTCTTGCCTGTCGGGAGAATTGTTCAAACCTTCGACTTCTGCATCTGCTGAGATTGATCTGTTCCATCCAATGAGAGATTCGATTATATCCTCAAGAGAAGCCCCTCGCGGTCATAGCCTTTGGTTCGCAAGCCTCTCGCATGTGCTTGAAAATCTTTCATGGTTTTGTTGGGCGTCCCGCCTCATCATGAGGATCAGCCCGTTGTGACTCGGTGTCCGCATACGTGCTGCACAGCCAGGACAAGACCCAAACGACTTTGCCGGACATCCTGCGAGGCAATTTTATGTCTACAAGCTCATGGACAAGCGCACCGTCTTCTTTTGTTCACTGATGGACTCTAGTCCGCTTCGTCTTGTCCTGGCTCTTGCATGAGCCATCCTGTGTGGGCTACTCGTCCAAGGTTACCCTGGGTCATCGCGAGGCCTTGCACGTCATGATCTTTGCGAACTCTCGGCGAATTTCTGTATGCATGCTAACCACCGGTTTCAGTCTGCGGTCCCGAATCTTGCACCGCTTCGAGGACTCGAACCAGGTCGCTGACGTCTGTGCGGGCGCCTTCGTTCAACCTCATCCCACGATGTCGAATCCAAGGCGCGCTGCTGAGGCCCCGAGAGCCCAAGGAGGATCTACTTCGGCAAAACCCATACTAGCGGTCGGACACGCTGTCGCAGAATGGTCCGATATCCCCGCCCTCAAGGACAAGATTCTCTGCGCGGTTCGCGCCCCCCCGCAGCTCGTCTTGACGCTTTCGTCTCGGCGTCAACCTCCCACGGCTCGAACAAGCGCGGCGGCGCCAATGGTCTCCGCATCTGCTAGGACCGGATGATCAAAATCTGCAGCAGCTCTGAAGACACTCGAGGACACGCCAACAACACAGCTCCGCTCCCGGGCGGCAGGAAAGCCTGGTCTGCCGACATCATCGTCTTCGGTGGGGTCACGGCCGTTGAGAGGGCGCCAAGGATGTTGGCCACAACTTCGAGGTGCCCTTCGCCCAGCTAATCCGAGCTTTTCGTCGACTGCGTGGAGGCCCACCGGTCCCGATTGCAAGCCATTGGAGGATTCTGACAAGAGGGTGAGTGCGGATTGGATCTCGTATTGACCTGGTGTTTGGCCCCGTTTCCGAGGTCCTTGCCTGGAGCGATAAGCGCCAAGGCCTGTCAGGGATTTGTCAATATATGGACCGAGATTGCAATATGGACAGGCTGAATCTGCACCCGGCGAAGCTGTAGCGAGGTCAGTGGCTGAGGATCTTCTTTCGGTAGCTGTGACGCTCGGCGCAGGCGAAGCTGGCCTCTACTAACCTCTCCCTGTTGTTCTGTAGAGAGTCTGGAGCAGGGGAAGCAGCCCGTTCCTTCAACCTGGGTGAAGGGGCTTGCCAAAAAGTAGTTGAGAACGGGACGTTGGTTTGGTGGACTCGTCAATGTCTAGCTCGGGCCCTGTCGTTCTGAGAAAGGAGTCTATCTGATGCTGTCCCCAGAAGCATTGACAGTATTGCCTTTGACCACACTGGTTTTCAATGAGAATGTATATTCAAGCGATCGCAATGACAATAGTGAAAGGGCAGCCTGGCCTACCGCTCGCAGGACGTGCTTATATGACTGGCTTTGCCTCCTGCAACCTCGCTGAGTTCAACTGCGCGGAAGGGTTGACGGAAACCCGGAGCAGCTTAGGGATGTTCTGCATGTAAAGCGCAGTGCGTGGGGTGTGTTTGAGGGTCGGTCACGAGTATGATCTGTGATTGCCTGCTCATTCTTAAAGCTCGTTGGGTGCTTCTCGTTGTCTGTGGCTCCTTTGACTTTTGCAGAGACGGATCACTGGACCTCACGTATCAATTCATGACGCACTTCTCGTCGACAAAGCACGACCACACCAGGAAATATCTCTACGTATCTTATCGATGCGAACCAGTCCTCAGCGGCATCGCCTTCCGACCAGAAGCTAACAACCTCTGGGCAGAGCCCATTGCATCTCGAACAGTACTCATGAAAGCCACGAGGGAATCACGTTGAAGCCAAGCGCGGGCCACACAGACGAACGGCGGGAGCAAACAAGAGCACATCAATCGATGCCTTTAGCACTGCTGAGGTCAGTCCACACCTGGTGTGTCCATGGAGTCCACGAGCAAAACCGGCCGTGTTGGGATCATGCCCACTTGAGTCTGTAATTGTCTTCAAGCACCTGGTGTCCGCTACACGCGATCGCGTCGCGCAGGCTGCCCGCGGACGGTGCACCTCCGCATTCTGCGACGGCTAGCGACTGGACGAGGCATCCATGCGCCAAGGACAACTTGCTGGTGACGATGCTTCTGCCGGGGTTAGCCCCTGAGGCTGTCTTCCCAGCGGTGTCCCTCTCGGTGAACGAAAGCACCGCCAGAGTTTATCGACTCGGAGGGTGTCGGCGTCCTTTTTGCGGACGGATAGATGGGCCATCCAGACGGCAGTCTCTGTCGAGCACATCAGCAGCGAGCGTGAGACTTACAAGACGATCGGTGCACTCATCTCGTCTCCCGGATCCAGCGCCTACAGAGCTTTCAGCTCCTGGAGATGCCATTCATGCTGAGAGTCGCTACCAAGCACTCAGAACAGGGACACGCGCCTTATCACGTTTCGAGGTATTGCTTTCCTTGTTGCTTCTCCACTCCGGACTCTCGCAGGGGAGAACGGCATCCACTTGCTAGGCCGAATACATTTCTCCACCGTGCCACCAGAGAAGGCAGTTGATTCTGTACAGCGGCTGTAACGCTTGTCCAGGAGGTGCGAGTGGTCTCAGGGGGTGTTCCTGGTTGGTGTAGATGTCAATTAGTGCGGCCCGCGCTTGGTGCCGTCTGCAGCTGGGACTGCAAACTGGGCGATCTTGTGGCTCGCCATTTGCGCAAGTCGGCAGGGCCACATGATTTGTGTCACGGTCGACTTTTTGCTAGCGGGTGCATTCTGTACTGTACATTCCTTTCTGATTACATGTCGACTCTCGATCTAGCTTCCGTGAGGGGCTTATGCAGCAGGCGCCATTACAGGCCCTCGGGTCGATGCAGAACGAACAAGCTAGAAGCCGCCCAGGTGAAGATTGGCGCAATTGTCCAATGTGCACACTGCGGCGGGAGCGCTGATCGACGGCTGCGCACAAGGCGGAAGCGGGTTCTTGCCGCCAAGAGCGGAGCTGTGTTGGCGTGTCCTCGAGTGTCCTCATAAAGAGGGGAAAACGAGTACATGGTTGTGCGCTGCACTAGAATACTCAGTCAAGCTGGCCAAAATGGTGCCAGGCGATGCTGCTGGGCAGACGAGAAAAAGAGACTTGACAGGCCATGTTCAAATGGCAGACAATGCGGGTGCGTGAGAGTGAGAACGGCTCCAAATCGGGCAGGAGCAACCCACTGGGCAGGGACTGACCTGCCCACGATGCATCGCTTTATCAGCAGGCACAACAGAGAGGTGAAATGGGGAATAGATGGCTGCACAACCAGCCCGCGGGCTCTTGCCGGGGCTGCAGGGAACATTGATCGGTGGTTGTAATTAGTGGACAACGCACGTAAGCTTAGGGGGGAGAAGGCCGCACCAAAAGCTGCCAGCACGCATCACCACACCTATGCTGGTGCATCTTGAGATGCGCTGCGCACTTTGAACGGCACACCACCTCCAGAACCACCAGACACACCAGATGAGTCGCTCGATCTTCCTTTGCGAACGGCATGATGAGCGGGATGGAAGCCATCAGGAACGGACAGGTACCAGTCGTTGATGCCCGTTCTTTCGTCGCTGATGCGAAAGGCAACGAGCGATAGCCCAGCCGCAGCTACGCCATGGCGAGATTGCCGGAATGGTAAAGGTTGAGGGTCATGAGGCGCGATGATCGATGGCGCCTGCCACCACTAGCCACAACGTGAGACTACCTTTTCCTCAGGCTCTTCTAGCCGAATCCAGCCTGCGAGTGGCGAACTGTCGCGCATCGCTGGTCGATGCCAGGACCGCCCTCTCAACCGTGAGTAGAGCAGCAGCCCTGCTTGCACAGCGTGACAACTCCCCGTAAACCACATACGCTCTACGCCTGTGCTCCAATTGAAGGAGCGATCCGAGACTCCATCCAGGGTGACAGAGGTTCGGGATTACTTGAGCAGCCGGACCATTCAATATGGGCGCCAAAGTTGATGGTTGTGACGTGCGGATGTCCCAGAGACGGCCGTTGTGCTCCGGGAAGGTCGGATTTGGGGAGAAAGTACTGGAGCTCGAATAAAGGTGCTGATGTTCAGCCTCAGTCGTGACGCAGGCAGCGACACCGCAAGCCTGGTGTGCCATGCGTTGTTGCTGTGCGTACTGTTGCAGTCACCACTGCCCACCAGACTGCGTCAAGAAGCGGTTGGCCGGGATGCTGCTGAGGGATCCTGGCAACGGCCCGTGCACAACTGTAGATGTGTGAACGCGTCGCGTGCATTGGCTCAGCCATCCCCTTCGACAAGAATCCCCTCGAAAGCATCTCATCAAATTGTAAGCTTTAGTATCAATGGTTCCGCTTCCACGCTGACCCAGACTGCCTAGCATTTAGTCGCACGCAGCATGACAGCAGCCCAAAGCAGGGAATTCTCCAACACCTATACGGATGTCCAAAGGTGGGACTTACTTCGCGAAAGTATATTGTCGAGGGTGGTGGTCCGGGAGGGGTTTGTGGCAGTGTTCCGGAACGAGCTTGTGGCAATTATACCCGATGCTAGTCGCAGAAAGCCAAATATCAACTCAGAATGGCGTGTCATTCCAACAGACCAGAACACCACATTGGCAGAAGTGGTCGGTGGTGCGCAAAGACCGAATACGAAATTCGTATCTGCACCAAACAGCAGCCATGAAGGTAAGTGCAAAAGAGGGCCCAGGCCTCTGGAGTCTCGGTCTTGTCGAAGGAACAGGAGACTGTGGCATGCCCGCATACCGAGGCGAACGTCAGAGACTAAAAACGAGCAGAGTCCACACCAGAGAATGCGGCCATAGGACACGCATCACAGGCCTCTGGACTGACCCACAGGGGATGTCATGTGAGTTTTCGTTCTCATTGTCGTACGTCCCAGCGGAGCTTCGTTGACAACTTTACCTAGGAATGTCCTTATTGTGGTAAGACGTTCGCGAGATCTGACGACCTGAAGGTAATATCCCAACTCTACCGAGACTGTTTTCGTGGCGGCTGACAATCTTGACAGCGCCATGAAAGAACTCACACCGGGGAGAAGCCTTATGTGGGTTTCCACTCCCACTATCACGCTGTCCCAGCGGAGCTTCGTTGACAACCTTACCTAGGAATGTCCTGATTGTAGGAAGAAGTTCGCGGATCGTAGCAACCTAACGGTAATATTTCAACCCTACCAAGACCATTTTCGTGGCGGCTGACAATCTTGACAGACCCATAAAAGAATTCACACTGGGGTGAAGCCTAATGTGGGTTTCCACTCCCACTATCACGCTGTCCCAGCGGAGCTTCGTTGACAACTTTACCTAGAAATGTCGTTATTGCGGTAAGACGTTCACGCAGTGTAGCAAACTGGAGGTAATATTTCAACCCTACCAAGACTATTTTCGTGGCGGCTGACAATCTTGACAGGCCCATGAAAGAACGCACACTACGCAGAAGCCTTATGTGGGTTTCCACTCCCACTATCACGCTGTCCCAGCGGAGCTTCGTTAACAACTTTACCTAGGAATGTTCTACATGTCATAAGAAGTTCGCAGAGCCTGGCTATCTGAAGGTAATATCCCAACCCTGCCAAGACTATTTTCGTGGCGGCTGACAATCTTGACAGCGCCATGAAAGAATTCACACTGGGGTGAAGCCTTATGTGGGTTTCCACTCCCACTATCACGCTGTCCCAGCGGAGCTTCGTTGACAACTTTACCTAGAAATGTCCTTATTGTGAGAAGAAGTTCATCCAGCCTGCCGATCGGACGGTAATATCCCAACCCTGCCAAGACTATTTTCGTGGCGGCTGACAATCTTGACAGCGCCATAAAAGAACGCACACCGGGGAGAAGCCTTATGTGGGTTTCCACTCTCACTATCACGCTGTCCCAGCGGAGCTTCGTTGACAACCTTACCTAGGAATGTCCTGATTGTGGGAAGAAGTTCAGGCAGCGTAGCAATCTGACGGTAATATTTCAACCCTACCAAGACCATTTTCGTGGCGGCTGACAATCCTGACAGGTCCATAAGAAGAAGCACGAAAAACGCCCCTGAAAACACGCATCTTGGCATTCGTGGCGCAATACACGTTCTCAAGCATATTCGGAGCTCCCCACACCTGTCGACTTCAAAAGAGGGCCACCAACGGGGCCGCTTCCATTCAACAGGCTCGTCAGACACTCAGCTTCTGACTGGCGAGCCATGTCAACAGAGGCCATGGCGTCCATCAAGCACCTCAAGAGCTGGGCTGGTAGCGGTTGGATAGCGTTTTGTGCTTGAGATACAACTGGCTGACATGATGACCTCAAACATCAGAGCATGACATCAGCCGATATTTTGAACAACTATTTTCGTCACTTGACCGGTTACACTTGTAAGGCACTCGGCCTCGCTCGCTGAGGCTGGATCAAACGCAAACGCGCCAAGGTAGCAGGCTGCCGTTGCGCCCTTGCCATTGACAGCTACTCACCTTTGACACCTGACGATTAACATTGATGGCCACTCATACTGCCTCGAGAACACCGTGTGCGATGCGACCGCTTCAGCCTTCCGACGTCCGGTCTCCTCCGAATGACTCCTCCTCTACGCCATCTACAACGGAGAGATCGCCTCCGACTGATTCGACTCAGTCGCATATACCAGAGAAATGCGGAGTTGTGACGTCGACTTCGGCGACACGTGTTTGCAGCGTCCATGAGAATTGCTGTATTGCCTCAAAATCCAGACTTGGACTGAGCCTTCGAGGCAGCTCTCGCACGCCATTGGGAGTGGTCTGCCGGTCGTTGCGTTCTTGGATGGGGCGTCTTCGGACCCTCGGTCCTGGTTACATGGTACGCCTCGGAGGGTGGGGCCATTGTGTAGGGGTGCCTTCGCGCCCATTTCCATACACTACCTTAGACCTCGCAGACATGCAAGCATGATTCACAATGGTTCGGGACGACTTCGATGCTGACGCCCTCGTGTTGGTTCTTCGCTGGGACGGCGTGTTGGTCCTGCTGTGGCAGCTCGCCAGGTTGTACCGTGGATAGGCCGAAAGGAGAATGTGGCCACAGTGGTGGTCGGTGAGCCGAGCAGATAAATACAGATATGTGCATTGATCGAAGGTGACGAAGACCTCTAGCAAGGCCGAGGACGGAAGCCCCACATGTCGAACTGACACTTTGGAGAGCCGGCTGTCTCGTGTCCTAGGAAAGATGGTCGAGCTCAGGAATGCAGCCTTCTGTGCATCTGACGGAGCTTGGCAGATGGATACGATGGCCTTGAATTTTGGGGTCATATCGACGAGGACCTGCAGGCAAGCCGAGGCTGCACAGGTTGGCAGCCGCGCGCAATAATGATCCAGCTGAAAGAACAGACCAGTACGTGTATTACACTACTTGTCACGTAGGCTCTGTGGCTTTTTTGAGGATCGTAGTATCGGCTCATCGGCTCATCTGCTCACCCTCCCGCCCACGCCTTCTTGGCGATTCTGACACGAGGTATGTGAGCATGGCATGTCGCTGTCCTCAGTAGCCTGTGGGCGAGACGACCTACGGTGCCGGTGAGACGAGCAGTAACCATAATCTTCCGCACCCTGTGGATTATCCGCAACCGTCAAATTACCTCAGGCTGTAACGCGATCGATAAGTAGTACGCGCAAGAATCGACGTATAACGACCAAGACGTGGATTCCCAGGATGCTACTTCGAACAGTACTTGCGCAATTCGTCCGTGTCACTTCACCGGCATGCGATGAACGTCACATGGTGCGAACGATTTGAAACATCTCTTGCTTTGTCGGCAAGCTAACTCCCCTTGTTGCAGGCCCGGGAGCAGATCACATCATTGTCAGCACGGAACGTACGCCAGCAATCTGTTATGATGGAAGGCGCAGGTACTGTATGGTATGATCTCAGGTCACAACAGGCCAAGAACGTTTCCCTCGGGGCGAAGGCGTTGGTATTGCTGGCGCACTACCATATGCGCTGGACCTCGTCAATCGCCGTCAGGATACATGGATTCTAGCATCCGGGCAGATCCGGTTCAGGAAGATGGACCCCAGAGTCTTGCCCTCAGAGAGCGCCTGAGGCGTCTCGCGACCGTTCGCACAAGAGCGAATTGTCAAGAGCTTGTGATTAGGACGATTGTCTGTGCCAGCAATGCCGCTATCTGCCGAGCCTTGCCAGTCAGACGTCGATATGTCTGTTGAGCTGTGTGCAGTCGGCAGGTCCGACGACGGACGGCGCTAGGAAAGCTGAAAGCCGCCAACCGCGCTCGCCGCACGAGTTTGAATAACACCGCTTAAGTCGTGGGCGTGCAAAGCAAGAGTGTTGAGACTTGAGCATGCCAGCTGGGCCGTGAATCAATGAGAATACAAACTCTATCTAGTAGTCCTCATACTTGCAACCACGCCACGCTGTTGGTAGCTGGTACAATTCATGAAACGGCATTATTTCATCTTGGTCCATCCTGAAGTGGCTTATGAACGACCTGCTGTGTCAGGGACGCCCAGGAAACCAGCTTGCTCTATCGACCGCTTCGCTGGGCAGACCTGTATTGGCTCGAGTGGGCACGGCCAGAGCGCCTTGTCCCGGAGCCACGGTTACGTACTCAGTCGGGCTTCAGTGGGGAGGCTGTTCGATGCTGTCGGTGTATGTGGGTCGTGCCAGTTCCGGCTGGTTCTGCCCTACGTGAGATATCCCCTCGTGGGGTTGACGCTTGCTGGATCGACCTGAGCGTCCCGGAGAAGGGTCGAAGGTCTTTAAGGGGGCCTTGGGATGAAAGATCACGAGAGCTGGGGGCACCTCGAGAGCTGATGGCGAGCCTCAAGGACTCAAGGTTGCCGGTCGTCTGGCGGTTTGGCTCCCTGAGTATGGCAGCGTTGAACGGATTTTGTCAGGCTGAAACCGATTATGGAATGTCAAAAGCGCGAGCAGGAAACTCCATGGTCTGTCCGAACATGAGGGAAGTCAGCGGCTGGTCGTGAAGAGACCCATGGCCTGGACTTACAGAGATGACTTGATCGAGTTACTATGGTAACCTGAGGCAGGCTGTAATGCCATTCATCCTGCACCACCGGCCTGCTCGTGGCTGCCCCATTGTTCCCGCAATAGTCTGCGTTTCCTACAAGGCTCTGCCCATCACTTTGTGAGAATTGGTGTTGGTGGAATCGTGCCTGGTTCATTGAGCCCCAAACATGCTGCTCCTGGGAGCGAGGCGGGTGTTGGTGTTGGTTGCAGGGGCGACCAGAGCAGTATGGCCGCCTGGGGGTGGGCGAGGAAGCCTGTAATATTGGAGGCGGAATAAGGTACGTTTGGGGGAGTGGTCTGACAGCGGCAACTCTTCAGGGGCTGGCGAACCCAGCGCAGAAAAAGTAAAATCCATCATAACAGCAACGCTTCAATTGAGGCCATCATGGACAACTTTTGAGGCCGTATCACACGGTCTTGAGCCTAGCCCTCTGCGGTGTGCCATGTCGAGCTAGTCTGTGTGTTTCTTGAGTGTCTATCTAAGTGCCTTTGGCTTCCTGCACGTAACTCGGCTATGCATACGATGGGATGCCTGACCTCGGCGCGAAAGAGCGCGGAATTGGACTCGTGATCGCCACATTCACACGCCGCCCAGTCAATCAAGCCACATCGGAAAAGATGCAGAACAGGCTCATCGCGGTGAGCTCCAGCCTCCAAGCGCGCTCAACGGTCTAGTGGTACGTACAATGAAACGAAGAGACCCACGTCTCATTGTATCGTAAAGAACACCAGTGACGCCCTTGCGCTAGACGCCTCCCAAGGCTGACAGACTCCTCCTCCCCGTTAACCAAGGATTGCTCGAGTACCTCGGCCGACATGCATACCTCTTGCTCTCACGCACAGTCCGAGAAGTGAGCTAAGGGATGATCCTCCACCCTAACCCCACGGCCCGAATGGAGGATCATCGAGAACATGCTGTGATGTCCTTCGTCCTGCAGCACCGGCCGACCGTGGTCGTACTATTGTTCTCGCTGTGGTCGGCATTTCCTACTGGCCTGTGCCAATTACTGCGATGGTCTTGTGAGCATGCTATCGACGGTGTCGTGCGTGCCTATTGAGCTCAGAAATATGCCGCTCCCGGGACGGGTATGACATTGAAACAGGCGCGGTCCTAGCTGCTGGCGAGGCCGCAAGGCAGGTAACATGCACCGAGCAGCGTTGCGGTGTGTCGGTGGTCGGATCAGCGTGCCAAGTCGAACAAGCAAGTGATTGTGGAGCGGGCTCAGCGTGCGGTAGGTGTCGGTTGCAGCGGCCACCAGAGCAGGATCAGGCATCGCCGAGGAGCTAGAGGCCCTGAAGCCTGTGGCGCCAGCGCCCTCTGCAACCTCTGAAGGGCTGACATGCCGGCGCCCTGCCCAACCCCGCTCTGCTCAACCACGGACATGCCCGCATGTCTGCGCCTCTTCCATTGACCTGTTTCATTCGGCATCTGCAACTATGGACTCATGCGCTTGCACCATGCGTTCGAGAACCCCAGAACGATGCTCAAAGCCAGAAACCGAGCCCTAGGGCGAGCCAAGGTCGGCGTGTGCATCTGCGGCAATAGCACAACGAGGTGCTTGCGATGGACTTGAAACCGCTGTGTTTGCTGCCATCGGTCTCAAACAATCGGTCTTTTCGGTCTCGGAGCCGTTCGGAGTCATTTGGGTCTGGTCTTGTTGTTCATTCATATCAATCAACGTGGACCGGCAGTGATATGGTCTGCAGGCAAGCAGAGACCGGCAAGCCCGCCATAAAGCAGCACAAAACCCGGCCGTCACCTGGTGTGTGAGGTACGGAAATATCGTCTCATGGAATTGAACGTGTTCAGCGAGAACCGACCACCTGCATAACTCGTTCTGTGATGTCTGGCTAATTAGGGGAGCAAGCCAGTTGCCCCGGCCGCGAAATTCCTCCCAGGCCAAAGCTGCCGCGATTGCTTCACGAGGGAGCTTTCCGTGGAGTCTATCCTGATGTCAAACACCAGTCACGCTATCTGCCTTGAGCTCCCGAGACCTTTGCTTGATGGCTGACGACAGAAGTTCAGCACAGGACGAACACTCGACCGAATCAGCATAATACAGAGCGGTCTCGCCTCTATTACACTTTGCCGTCGCATCAGCATTAGCATCGAGTAGATATCTAAGTAGCTGGCATTCGGTTTTTGAATGCGGCCGTTGCAGCAGAGTCAGCAGTGGAGTAAGGCCTTGGGAGGTTTGAAGCTCAAGATCGGCGCCGTGCTCAATCATAGCCTTAATGACGGCCATGAAAGAACCACTGTTTGTCCGCCATCTGCTACCCAATGCGACATGCAGTGCAGTCTCGTCATTTTCTGTTGTCATGTTGATCAGCCCGCGGTCCCACTGCAGCAAGAGTACAACCGTGCGGCGATTGTGCATTTCAGCAGCTTCCATAAGTGCTGTCCAGCCGTCCTCACGCTGCTTCCTCGCGTCCGCGCCGGCCTCGAGCAGATAGCGCATCACCTCGACTTTGTCCGTGAAGGCCACTTCGATTAGCAGGGTCGACACTTCCGAATTGTGTCCAACATGCCCTTCCTGGTTGTCGACCCTCACCAAACCCTGGTCAAGAAGCCAACGGACTTTTTCGAGGTTGCCTTTTCTCGCCGCTGCGCAGAGCAGTGCCTGCGGTGATACTCGTGATGTTTCCCAGTCCTGGTATTTGCCTAATAGCTCGACGAGGCCCTGAAATGAGGCATCGTCGGCGACTGCAATGCAGTCGAGCATCAATCTCCAAGAGTCGTCTTCGTGCCCTCCACGCTGGAGCTCGGCTACTGCGCCATGCTCGAGGAGGGCTCTGCAAGCACCGACGTTGAGTTCGCTAATTGCGAAGTATAGCGGAGTGCAATACCCAGAGACCTCGCCATTTAAGAATGTGCTGTAGTCACACTGACTAGATCTAAGCAGCAGCTCGACGATGGAGGCGTGGCCAAACCTGGCAGCGAGGTGCAGTGGTGTACTATGGCGCTTGTTGATATAGCAGTCGACTGACGAGTCATTGTCGAGCAGCAGCTTGGCAGCGTCGTAGTGGTTGCAGATGACAGCGCAGATGAGCGCCGTATATTTCCCCGAACCCCGCATGGCATAGAAGAATTTGTTGTTCTCCCCGAGTCTTTGTCTGAGCTTAGCATAGACAGGTTCCGCCAGCAGCGTGTTAACCCCTGCTCCATTCCTGAGCGACGTGGTGATTATGGCTTCGTTGTCAGTTAGGGCGCCGTAGAATAACGCGTAAGCACCGCCATAGCGGGCGTCGTGTTGGTAGAGATACGGGTGAAGTGAGCGGTGCGCACGGCAAAGGGCGCTGATGTCTTTGTAGCGGTCGAGAAACTTCACGATAAGGTGGAGAAGCTCACTCGGGAGCGACAATAAGCCAAGGGTCATGTGCAGGTAGTCAGAGTGCCCAGAGTCGGGCGCGAAGACGGCTGCGAGGGAAATCGTCGTTGTGTTGGTGAAGATGATCTGATCAGGAGTCGTCTCCTCACAAATAGCCTGGAAGCGTGGTGCTGGACGGAGTGGATTGTAGTGGGAGCCAATTGCTGATTGGGCTGCGGGAGGAAGGTGGCGTCAGTCCAGTGCCTTGCTTCAAGTACAAAAATGGCGGGCAGTCGCTATCTTACATAATAAAGCAAGCACGTAACAAGCAATTCTGCCCCTGTCTCCGCTGGACCAAGCTTGGCCGATCTGGCTGTCGACCTGCTTCTTTAGGCGTCAGAATCCCGCCCGGGGCTCAAAGCCAGCCACCGAGCCCGAGCCCGAGCTTCTGCGGCAAGAGTGAGCCAGCACAGGGCAAAGCCTCGAATTGAAGCTCTTGTAAACCAGTTCGAGGTTCTGTGTAATGGTCTAGAGCCTGGTTGTGCTAGTCTGGACTTTCGTTGCTAAAGATGCTCGAGTGCCTCCGTCGCCGCTCGAGCCTGACGTCGGGAGTCTGCGCGGGCACGGCGGGGCCTTAGCCATGCACAGCGAGCATTGATTCATGCCCACGGCGGCGCAGCAAGCACCAGTCACTGGTTTCCACCACAAAATTGTCAGGCTCCTTGTGCGGAGAATATCGCACCCAGCCAACAATACTCTCACCTGCAGCCTCTTGGCAAGGTCGTCAGGCTTGCATCCACTCCAAGGTCCGTTGTTGCATCACAAAATTACACTGCACCCTTGCGAGCCGACCGGGTCGGGAGCGACGGGATCTGACAGCGGCCTCGGAAGAGCGCTGCATTCGACTTCTGCCGTGGCTGGTGCACGTCGACCAAGCCACGCTAGAAGGTCCCGAGGTCCCTGTGAGCTCCAGCTCCACAGCGCGCTCAAATCAGCGGACATGCGCCAGCTGGGGCACTGGGGTGAGACGATCAGCCCTGTGGGACATTGCGACGCTTGGAAGGGTCCATTGCGGGGATTGCGTGACCCCACTGTTCGTCCTTATCCTGACGAGGGTTTGAACGCGTCGCATCGACGCGCCGAGCTGTCATATCTCGCGGATGCGCAGACCCGACGACAGGCTCGATCAGACACTGCGAAGGCATGTCGCTCGCATTGCCCATGCTCCAGACATGAGCTAGCAACACAGTGCAGCTCTCGCGCTGTCCTGAGCCACGCCTCACGCGACCATGTACACGGAGAAGTACGTGTCCCGTAGACCACCTCGGTGGGCATCCATCAATGCTTGTGCGCCCTGTCGTGCATAACTCGTCCGAGCTTTGCTTCATGCTCCGACGCCGCGCATTCACTACCACGGGGCACAACACTATGCTTGCATGTTCCTGCGTCGTGAGATGCTCCAGCCCCGCTCGATACCGCACAAGACTGCACACCGGGGACGCAGACCTGTGCGTCCAGACTCTGCCAGAAAACATCGTGATCGCCACAAAACTCTGTCGAGGCCTTCCACCCTGGCAACATAGCACTCGAAACCCGTGTGTGCAGGATCAGTGATCCTCAGACAACGGCTGCCAGACATCACTGTCTTTGCTGTATGTTGGCGGCTCGCCGTCCACGGTGTTGCGGAATCAGTGCACCCGTGACAGCTTGGCCACACAGCTGTCCGCCTTACCACAAAACCCCAAAGGGCGTCCCACAGCGAACAGGTACTACTTTGGCAATTTCTACTGATTCAACTAAAGGCACAACTTTTGAAGCAGCCCATCTGCCAGATAGACGTTTGGGTTGGCATTATACAACAACCTTACGAACTCTAGCGATTCCGCCACATCTCCAAACGCAAAGTGAACAGCCTTCTTTGTAGCGTCCAAGGAGTTCAGGATTATCTTGCTGTTCCGTACCCCTTCGCTTTCTTTTCCCCCGTAATCCTGTCGTGAGAACGACCCGAGCGTGAGCAGATCAACCTCAATATGCTTCGAGCTGCCAGCCACAGACCGCAGCATAGCACCATCTATGACCACCTCGATATTGGCCTCTGACGTCGTCTCCCACGGCGTCTGACCATCGAAGTACATCACCACACACTCGGTTTGTCGCGAGTGGGCCAGGGTCCCTGGCATATGGAGTCGATACCACGCACAGCAGGACCAGTCCTCTCTGTCCGCGGCGATCGAGGTTGGTCGCCTGCCTTCTAAGTGATTGGTTGGTTAAGGAATCGAGTACCTGATCTTGTTGTAGGAGCAGCTGCCGCAAAGTTGGCAGTTGCCCGGTTCAGTCGCGAATCGCTGAGGTTAGCCTGGTAACGCGCCTCTGCTCGGAAGACCACCCGGTGCTGCAGACTGTTCTTCACCGGGCGGAATCATCGTCGGACTCGAAATATAGACCTCTGCGAGGACTTCTATGAGCTCTGAGGTCCCGATCCGAAGCTTCCTGGACACTACCAGAGCTGGAAGTGCGAGGGGAGCTGCTCACAGCTCGACTGAACGGCAGTCAAGAGATACGGCGACAAACGTGATCGCGGGCGACCTTTCCAAGACTCAGAGAACGGGTAACCACCGCGGTATCTCCCTACGCTTGGCGAGCAGGAGAATTAGGCTATATGGTTTCACGAGGCTTGGAGTCGAGCCCGGCTTATTCAGTAAATTCTGGCCCAAAAACGCACTTGCCAGCCACTCTGGTGCAACCTACTGCGCTCCAGGAGTGAAGAGCCTGAGAGGTCTGCAAGGGAACCTAGTCTCCCAACCATTTCAACTTCCACGAGGGTTAACCAGTCTTACACCAACACAGAAACTCCCCATTACAGGAAGCCGTCCAGCCACGCACAGGGCATGCCTCTACTCCTCCGACAGTCCAAGCCACAGGAAACTCGCACAAAACTAGGGAGCGAAATGTATCTGCTTGTCGCAGGACCTCTCCAAGCAAGGAGAGCCACCAGGAGCGACTTCTCTTGAAGTTTTCGATTTGTTCCCTCAATGCCGTAGTGTTGTGCAGAGTCGTTATCCGAATGCGTCGCAAAGATGGTGGCAGCAATGTGGCTAGATTCTTGAAGTCCTTCCAGGCGGCCAGGAATCAGCCCATGCTGATGCTTAGTTCTTCGAGATGCTTGAATGCTGCAAAGCCCCCGGAAGGGGGGATTTCTCGAAATGGAAACGAAGCACATTTGGAGCACCTGCACGAATGGCACCGATGATCTCGCAAGTGGAGAGGATGGCAAATTCCTCTGGACACTGCTTGTTCTGGATCATGACTCTGCCCTCGAGCGATAGGTCAGTCAACTCTGGCATTCCGCGAAGCAAAGCTTCGAAAAGTACAGGGGATAGTCCCCCAGAAGGCCTAAGGGTAAAGTTGCGCAGAACTAGAGATCTAATCTTCGGGTGGAGGGTACGCTGGTAAGCATGGAAATTGAGCAAGGACAAATGGGTTAGGTTCGGAAGAGATGTGATGTCGAACTGAGGGTTGCCATTGAACTCGAACGAAGTGATTTTATCCAGGGGCAAGCGAGGTCCGAGGTTTGGACAAGAGATATCAAGTTTGTAGAGTTGGGTGATGTCATGTCGTTCGGTTGCCGTGCCCATCCGAGTCCGGACGCTTTCTGTTCTCGGGGCGAGCGCCAGGAGAAGCGCGATTTGTGACTCCAAGCGGTCAGGAGCCGTAGCGCGTGTCAAGAGGTGCTCGCCTATCTCCGGGCAGTACTTCTCGCCGAGGTACTTCCGAATCTCCCTGCTCTCGTTGTCACGAAGCGCAATTGGGACAGGGCCTGGGGCAATCTTTGCCGTGATATCGACTTGTTTGACGTATTCACGCATGTCCGGGCGGCGGATTAGTGTGTGATATGCGCGGCTGATGACTCTGACTTCATGACTCGGAATGGTGTGCCACAAAATGGGTGTCACGATCGCGTTGTAGTATCGTGAGCAGGTGGCAAGAGCTGCTTGTGATTTGACGTCCGTGTATCGCCCAATTGCTTCAATGAGCTCGTAAGGCAGGCGATTTTTGACTACTTGATTCACCTCTCTACTGCTTCCGTTTTGTGTCGATGGTGTGTCCCCCACCGACGCTGACTGCTCCAGATTTGAACATACCGCTGGGTTCGTTGTGGGCGCCGTATGTGGCAATCCGTCTGATCCAATAACGACCGGCTCTGAATTGTCTTCCGGCTTTGGGTTTTGTTCCGGCTCTGCGGTGCGAAACGACTCCTCGCCTGCGGTGTCAGACACGTCCGTGATGCTTTGCGCGATGAAAGTAGCGGCTGCGCAACGTTCTTCGGCCTCCTTCGTTGCGCCGCGTTCGCAACTCATTCTCCGTCTTTTCGCGAGACCACTCGACTGCTTGAGAGGTCGCGCCTCCGTGTCATGACGCCGTTTCTCTATTGGCCGCCTCTGCTGGGTTGTTCTGCCGAACGGTGCTCGAGAGTTCGAGATGGCTTCTCTTATTCCCATCTCGATCTCCTCGACGTGCTGGGGGAGGACCGCAAAACTGATGACAAGTGTTAGTCTTCATTGCGAGTGGCTGAGGTATGCCAGGGTGAACCTAGGGAGCCTTACCCTGGTTTGAGTGGTGCCATAGTGGTGGCCTGCTGCCCGTCAGGCAAAAGTAGGAACTCGTGGGGAGCGACTGGGATGGAGGGCGGCGATGAGACTGGTGTCGCAAGACTTTGGCGACCAGACGTGCAAACCTGGGAAGTGCTATGGCGAAGCAGAGATGCGTCGGGCAAACGGACGATAGGCGCCCCCGAGTCTTTCTAAAATGGTGGTGAGGAAATGGCGCGTTAATAGCCCCAAACAGGGGTTGTGATCACGGAGCAGGGCAGGTACGGGAAGTAGGCGGCAGAACCCAGCGGCTGCAGGGCGTCAACATGTCCTACCCAGCCAGCGGCGGCTCACAGTGCCCAAGCAGCGAGAGCCAATTGGTCGCCGGTGCCAAGCAAGCTGTTCCCGATGGTAATCCCGGAAGCTCACTTGCTGAGGCGGGTGCGAAAACGTGCGAGAGACCACAATTACCTCTGCACATAGTTGAGAAAAGCAAGCTGGCTTCGTGACAGGTCGCATGGTCTCTTTGGCGGATGCCTGCAATTGGATCAAATCGACTGAAAGGCGGGCCGGGGGCTGAGACTACCTGCGTAGGTTGGATTATGATTCGACAGGGGAAGCACTGCTGTGATACCTTGCTTTAACGAAGAGGGTCTGTCCGCCTAGCCTGCTCAAGGCTCGCGCCAACAGCAGCCCCGGGACGTTGATTGCCAGACCGGTCGGAAGTTCCTCTCACGACGCGCACAGCCGCGCACGCCAGCTGGAAAAAGCAATGTCGCCTACGCGTACCTGGTGCTCTCCGCACAACGCCACGCGCTATCCTGTCCCAATATCGCCCCACCCCAGTCTGGCATGCGATCGCTCAGTGCCTTCCGTTGGATCCAAACACCGTTTGGCTGCTATTCAGTGATACCCAGACGCGGCCGGGCGCCGCGATGACCGCCCCCGTCCCAGCGATGCTGACAGCCGAGGCGGCTTTGGGAGCTAGGCGTTGCCCCCATTTTTTGTAACGAGCACGACCCCATGGCAAACCAAACGCAGTCGTAGTCGTAGACCAACTTTAGCCTTGAAAACAGCGTACCTCTCCGCTCTGCTGACCACCTCGCCCACTGTGGTCCGCGTCCGTCGCTCGTGTCTCCCACGGAAGCCGCGGTGACTTTGAACGTGATAGGCGCACATTTGCACGGGTCTCTACGGCAACAACTCTCCGGATGGCGCCGCCGTTCCTGCATGGCCGCTCCAGGGTGGTGCTGGGCCTAAGCGTCTTCACTCATCCGATAGAACCATCTTGTGACCCAGCAGCCAACAGTTCAAAGGGCAACAGCACGCCTCGCCTGAATGGACGCATCTGTCCTCGCTGAGCCCACAAGGCGCTGAGCCCTGCCCCGACGCTCATCGAAGTACAGTACTGCGTAAATGATCCTTGTTCACGGGGAAGTGGCAAGTGCCGATCATAAGCACTTCTGTTCCATGCACAAAAGTTCCCCAAAAGATAACCGATCATCCTGGCTCGGATCCTGGACTTTCCCCACTCTTTTCGCTGTCCTCCATATGAAGCAAGGATACGGTGATCTACAGCGTTCACCGTCACCGTCGTTCTGTGGGATCTGACGGATGGTAACGTACGCTGCGTAGTGCTTCTAGTAGGGTGTGAGGGAAGGGCCAGTGGGGCATGTGTTCTTACGTAGAACCCAGAGGCGCTAAATCACCCACGGTGCCGTAGTAGGACCACTAGTCCTCAGTAGAGCACACCAAAGATGTGAGAGGGCCGAGCTTGCAATGGGTGGATGGGAGCATGGCTGATGGTGGACACCTCACTTCCACCCGGGTACTGTATCCTTCGATTCCAGCCAGCCCCGCGCGTCGTCACGCCACTCTGTTGCAGGAACAAGTCATTGATGCAAGTCTGCACCCACCCACTAACAAATTACAGCCTGGTGTCAGGCTACATTTCCGGTGTCCCAGTCACCCGGGGAGAGCACGCGAGCGAGTTGGTGAACTGGGAGAGTTGCAGGCTCTATCGTCGGCACGCTCCCAAATGCCCCATCACCGTGGCGGGTGGGGTACAGTCGCCAGGGGCATCGTTCTCCAGCTGGGGGCTGGGCGGGGCAAGGCCTCACGTCATTTTCGCAGCGGCTAATAGGCCCTCTCCTCTCAAAATGTACTGTCCACATCGCAGCTACGCAGCCTTGCCAATTGGCAGACCACAGAGCCCACTTGTCCTACCGACTCGAAGCAGCCTGCGCGTTCTTCCAAGTCGAAGTCGCCTGATCCCGAACTCCGTGTCTGAAAATTACGGGCTGCCGCACTGCCAGGTTTTTTCCCGATGGCGATGCCCGCGTGGACAATGTGGATGCCAGTAGGGTGACCCATTCCCAAGATGAGCAGTCCGTGGGCCACACCTACGACTCTATGGGCGACGTCATCCAGGTCGACGTGTGCGCTCATCGTCATGCCTTACGAGTCTGACTTCTCTGTCGCCAGGCTAACGACGATCGCTCACGACAGCTGCCCACCCGCGCCGTGGACCCCTTGGAATAGCACGTTCACTTTCCAGTACAGGTCGTCCTCCAGCACAACCCCGACATTGTTGATTCCACGACTACTGTACTGTACGGTCGTCGCAGCCGCTGACCAGCGAGTTCGCCACACTGCCCACGCCAGGCCCAGCCCTCGAGTTGTGGACCCGTGCCGACGCTGAAGGTCGGTCGACATTCTCCCAAGGTATCAACTTAGAACGTGAGACCCAGCTTGATGCCCACTTCATTCGTCCGCCGATTCGCGACAGCAACATCTCCTGTCTTTTCGATATCTCCGACCGGTATATGCGCTACAGGTTCGTGAGAGGAACACAATCTAGGTCAACACTGTGCAAAAGTAGGCCAAACGCCTGCGACGACAGCAACCCTTAGCCGGCAGTCAGGAGACACTTCAAGCACGTGCTATCCTCAGCTCGCACTCCGCGCGACCACACCCGCCAGCACTTGCCCGGGGGGCCGAACGCGAGGTCTTTGCAGACGCCCTCCGTAGGCTCTCGCCTGTGTCTCGTGACCAGCGCACGACGTAGGACAGATGGAGTTGCCAACACTGGCGACAGCGGCAAGATTGCTTGGGGCGCTAGCACGCGAAGTAGACCTTGCGCGCGTGGCACTTCCTTCACCACTCCACACCATCGTGGCCGAGGTGGTACGACTCAGCGGGGTCTCGATTCAATGTGGACTGATACCACCGTCCGACGGGGTCGCGAAAGCTCCCCAGACGTTGCAACAGTTCCCGCAAGCCACCTCTCGGTGGCGCCTCTCGTGCTTTTGGGTAGACACGACGAGCTCGGCGTCACAAGGTCGACATATCCGCGCCACTAGACGATCGCTGTCGCAATGACTACCAGCTTCCCGTCTTGGGAAACCGTCGCCTTTTCACTTGCCACGAATCACGCGAGGGCTTAAAGAACTCGCAGCCACCGACATCGACATTGCGTATATGCTGAGCAGGTTCATTGAGAAGTTTTTGGTCGGGGCAGCCGGCTTGTCGGGAAAGATGGCTGCGGAAGGGCCGTCAGTCTTTGCTTGGTCGACAGCTGGGATGGAGACTTCCTCCTTGGGCATCTCGGGGTCGACGCGTTGAACCTCGTCTTCTGAGTCATACCGCAGCGACAGTGCTTCTTGTTCTTGTGGAATGCGCCCGAGACGGACCCGTCAGCGCTCTTGGCCGACCACTGCGCTGGAGCTTGCCGGAGCTTGCCGGAGTCGTGGCTGTTCTTCCACCTGATGACCGCGCTACACGGTGGGGTGCGGAGGGACACGATTCAACACTTGTACTTGCAGTACAGTACATGCTTGACAGGACATCATTGCAGTCATGGCCCTGGAAGAGTCAATGGCCTCTGATCAGACTCACCGGCTGTCAGGTTGGATTGCTTGATTCTCCTCGCAAAGAGACTGCATCGCACACTGGCCTACAACCACAACTAAACTAGACTCACCATAGATGCGCACGACCATACAAGCCCTGTGTCACTCAGCAGCTATGTAAACCCATCTCGCGCTTGCCCACTGATTCTCGTCCAATGACCTAAGGCTAACTTGCGTCAAGTCCAAAAGCCTCTCTGATCGAGGCTCTCCTCAACCACCAGCTTGTTCACGCCGGGGTCTTAGTCCTGGGGAACACGGTTGCAATAAAGCTCACCCTGGACACCATCAAGTCTCTGACCGAACACCAGAAGGGTGTCTTTTGTGTCCACGGCAAGGCCGTCGCTGACGGCTGAACCAAGAAGGACCAGCAGGCAGAGAAGTTACACGATTTTGTAGTCCACACACGTCTCTGTTCTTGAGGATGGGCCCGCGAGAGGTGGTCACGAATACCATCCTAAATCATGAAGTTCGCCTGTCGGCAGCGTTACGTCCCGATCCATTCACTAAACAGTCTTGGACGCCATGCCGACGAGCATGAGACGCACCTGTTGGCCCCTCCCTTCCGGTTCGGTCACTTCCTCAACCCACACCTGCGCTCCCCCTTGGGCCGGCATTTTGATGTCGCCATGCGCTGTTAGCGCTAGTTTCAGCGGCTTCGACTGAAATCAACTACACGGGTACGCTGTGAGCATGTGACAGCAGCTGGAAGAGCCCGCCATCTCCCGGAACCTGCATCAAGTTTTGACCGTATGGCTGTCCGGGTACTCCATGAGGTGGGACTCGAGCGGACTCGGTTATAATAAGACGCCACTGGAGAGGACTACCATCACCTGAGAGAAACAAGGTGCACAACGGTCTCAGGCTGAATCGAACCACAAATCCGAGCCACGCTGCCAGGGTTGGCTGCGCCCAGGCGATTGTCACGTCAACACAATAGGCACTCTGCGATCAGTGACTCCTGGTGAGCTCCAGCCTCGCAGCGTGCTCAACGCATCTGACATGCGCACGGTTCGGACGTTTGAATTGGTCTCCGTCAATCACAGAGCTACAGGGTCCACTACAGGTGAACCCCGGTTATGCGGACCTCACATCAGCGGATTCCCTCGCTTCTGCGGATGAACTGGCTGTTTCCTTTCAAAACACATGCGATTCCGCTAATCCCTCGCGTTCATCGATTACGCACAAAGCGAGGCCATCGCCACGACCTAAATCCGCTAATCCGAGTGAAATAGGGGCGCGTTTGGACCGCGTTTTGACCCCCCGAAATGGCACCCCGCGCCACCGCACCCTCCAACTTGAAGCCGTCGCGGCGACCCATTTCGACTGCGCAGAAGCTAGCCCTTCGCGAACGACGACGTCTCCGTCCGACAGACTCCCATATCGAGCTACAGCAATGGTTCCTGAAGCAGTACGACCAGCCTATCTCGACATCCTCCATTACCGACATCCTCGGCAGCCGTTTCACGTACCTAAGCGAGCCACTACAGCAGCCACGCGCCCTCGACTTAACGCGGGTCAATAATAACCCTCACCGCGACCTCGAAGGCGCCTTATATATGTAGTACCAGCAAGCTGAAAGCTCAATTCCTATCACGGGCGAAGTCATCAAGGCAAAAGCACGGCAATTCTGGGCGCAAATGCCTCAGTACAAGGACCAAAAGCCGCCGCAGTTCTCGAACGGCTAGCTCTATCGTTTCCAAAGCCGACACGATATAAAACTACGCGTACAGCATGGAGAGCTAAGCAGTGTCAATATCGTCAATACTAAGAAGGAGATGGCCTCAATCCGACAGATCCTCTCGAAGTATTCCCATAATAACATTTACAATTGCGACAAAACAGGTCTTTACTGGAAGATAATTCCGGATCGCTCTCTTTCGACGCGCAGCCTTCCAGGCCGCAAAAAGGAGAAGGCCCGGATCTCAGCCCATCTCTGCTATAATTGGTCAGGTACTGACCGTTTACCAATATGGTTCATTAGCAAGGCAAAAAGGCCTCGCGCCTTCACCGCTGCGGGGGTCGATATCCGCCATATAAACCTAGAATGGACTCACAATAGGAAGGCCTAGATGACAGGGACTATATTTAAGCAATAGCTACGTTAGTTCGACCGCCAAATGGCTAGCAAAAGCGTCGTTTTGCTGATGGATAACTTCTCTGCTCATGAAGCCGGATATGAAGCTATTCTAACAAGTGCGACCCCCCTACAAAACACCGCTATCATATAGCTACCACCCAATACTACAAGCAAAACACAGCCTCTTAATCAGGGAATCATTGCAGCCTGGAAATCTCACTAGCGACGGCACTAGGTACGCTATATGCTGTCGGAATATGACGCCGGTAGAGACCCTCTTAGTACAATGAACGTACTAAAGGCTCTGCGATGGGGCATCCAAGCCTGGAGCTAGATGTGACTCCTGAAACTATCACGAAGTGCTTCAAGAAAGGCCTCATGGAGGCCCCTAGAGACCCCCAGCAGGCCACACTTGAGGCAGCAATTGCTGCTACTCATGAAGAAGCCGTTCGCGAGATTACGTACGGCTTGCAGAGGCTTCAGGCTAATCATCACGTCAAGGAGGTGATGAACATCCATAACTTCCTGAACCCGGCTGACGAGAATCTGACTGAAGAATCCGACGACCTTGACCAGCAGATTCTCGACCAGTTTACCCCGGCAGGCAATAGCGACGACGACGACGACGACGACGACGATAATGCTGAGCTTGAAATTGAGCCACGAATCACCATAGTTGAGGCCCTAGAGGCCCTCCGCCGACTGCGCCTTTACCAGGAGCAATCAGGTGGTGATACTGGCCTCATTTCTTACCTCAATAAGCAGGAAAGGGTACTTACGAACTCATCAATTGAAGCCTTACAGCAGAGAGATATCCGCATGTACTTTCAGTAGAATACAGAGCCTAGATAGGCGTGAAATACCTCAAGAATGACCTCCCCTCAATACTGCGGATACCTCATTTTAGCGGATTGAACGGAATGTCTCCTTTATTCCGCATAACCGGGTTTCACCTGTAGTGGCGAGGGTGGTTGATTGCACGGCCCCACTGTTCATCCTCATCGAAATCAAGCACGGCTCTTGTTCGTACACGGGCTTTGACGCGTAGCATCAACGCGCGCCGAGAATGCACATCTCCTGAATGCGCGGGCCCAACGACAAGCTCAATAAGGCACATCGCTCGCTCTCTCATGCTTCAGACATAAGCCAGCAACACAGTGCAGGTCTCGGGCTGTCCTGAGCCACGCCTCAAGCAACCACGTACCCGGAGAAGTGCGCGCATCGTGGACCGCTTATGTGGTCGTCCGCCAATACTTGTGTGCCCTGCTGTGCATAACTTGTTGAGACCCTTGCTTGAGGGCGCCGCCCGTTGACTGCACAGGGCATAACACGATGCTTCCACGTCCCTGAGTCCTGCAATGCTTCGGCTCTGCACAATGCCCGAACAAAAGGCACATGCCAGGGACGCAGACGTCTGCGTAAATTTGCCACTAAACATCGTGGTCACCACAACACTCTGTCAACTCCTTCCACCCCTAGCAACATACGGTCCGAAGCCCATTTGTGCAAGACCAATGACCCTCGAACGCTGGCTGCCGGACATCGATGCGTCTCACTTTCTCGATTGTCCTTGCTGTCTGACTGACGGCGACACGCGGGCCCAGTACCAGAATGGTGTCGCGGATTTCACTCGTGATGGCTTGCCCGCACAGCCGTCCGTGGCCTGCACTGGCACGAAACGTCGTGACTGCATCATACCCGGCTCGTCACTCACCATCCCCTTGTTAAGAGAACAAGTGGATCGTGCGCAGATCAATCCCGATCGCCACCAAGCTGGCAGGCGCTGGCCGCGGCATGGCGCCATCCGTGGCAACCTCGATACAGGTGATTGCTGGTTGTGACGGCGCGGGTGGAAGACAGGAGGCGATGGGATTGGCGAGTGGACAGTGGGTGATTGAGGATGAAGACTGCAAGCTTCACGCTCGCAACGGCAGATCAGGTCAAGAGCAAGCGAGCAGAACGATGGCAGTTGCTGCTTATTTCAACTGGGTGTAGTCAAATGCAGAGTCGCACAACGAGCGGTTGGTTGTACCTCCCTCAGGCGCCTCTCTGGCGCGTCAAAAACAAACGATGAAAGTAGTCGGAACTGTCCAGAAGCGTCCCAAGTGCACTGACACGTCAATGGAAAGGCGCATCCGTGACAGAAGCGAACCCGGCCCCGACCATCGACTCATCGCGGATGCTGACCTGGGCCCTGCCCGAGACCAAAAGGACTTGTGACAAGTGGAGCAAATCAGGCCCGGGGTAATTGCTCCAAGCGCACAGTCACGTTCGAAGGCGGACTCTTGGAGGCTTTCTCGCGGTCTCTCTCATGGTGTTGCGACTTCTTTGCGGAATCACAAAAGCTTGCAAGAAGCCGACTATCTGGGAAGGCACACAATCCCCACACCCCCCGAATAATGCGGCATATCCTCAATTCGTTGGCTCAAGAACCGCACGGAGACAACCCACGTCGCTGATTGCGGAGAGGCCGATGTTGTCAAATTAAGGTTGCTTGGCAGGATTAAGGCCCGCTTGATGAGGCTACACCAGGCGCCAGTGAAATGCCCACGCTTGCGAAATCCACTCTCTCCTATTCTGGTTGGTGTACCTTTCACAGCAGCCGTGGATGACTAATATTGCTTCACAAGACCGCCCAGATCATGTAGACGACCAGAGCTGAATGTCCTTCTACAATGGGGTGTCAAAAGACACCCAATTCCTGCGAAAGTCGGCTGAAAGTTTAGCTCGACCTCGACATGCACTATTTGCGTTGTTCTACATTGCCTCAAACTGTGGCCTCTATTGATGGTTTAAGTCACAAATCTGCCCCAATCGCCGATAGTGAAAAATCCAGCCACCCTCGTTTCACGGTACCTGCCTGACAACTCTCACAGAGATCTACTCGCACCAGAAAGGCGAGATGGCTTGGCTGCGCCCTCTTGGACTGTCTAATCTTGTAGCAACGGTTGAGCAGGGGCCTGATCCGGGGGCATCTTCGCCAGGCCTCAGTTTCCTAGCGGCCGAGGAGGCCAGTCAGTGCTGAGTGCCGGTCATGAGAGTTGGACTGCACGGCCCCGCGGGAATTGGAGTGGGTGTCCGGCACGGCTGGTTTCGACCCATGGCAGAGTATCCTTGTCAAGTACGCCCGGGTTTGGTGAGAATGCGGCTTCGATGGTGGGTGTGCCAACCGGTGTGAATCCAGGCACAGCTCCACCGGTGTTTGCCAACGTCGGCGTAGCTGCATGATCCTGGTCCTCGGCATTCACAAATATACAACAAACGCAAGGCGCGCGCACGAGGCGGCGTCGCAAGGCTCTGACAACTTGGCATGTTGGGCAGAAATTTGCACTTCCTGAATCACCGATACAGAGATGAAAAGCAAAGACACCGCTGTTTCCTGCTATTTCGTCGGCACCCTGCCCGGGGGCTCTGGCAGGGGTCTTTGTGGACACGATGTTACATAAAGAGCCTCACTGGCCGCAGCCAGAGTCTTCAGAAACCGTCGGCTAGGTCAAAGCCAGGTCTGTTATGATGGTAAATCAAGACTTTGCCTCGGTCTTTGACCAAATAGCGCCTCGCTGCTATGTCAGCGTAGCCCGATATTTCCGCACATCAGCCGACCAGGATGCAAAGCGTAATACAGCACACCTGCAGCAAGCGGTACGGAATCTCATTACTGTCCAGCCATGCCTTGATGGCAACCTGTCCGAGGATGCCTCGGCCTTCATCGACTTCCCTCGCGCCCTGTGCCAGAGCTCAATGACATCGAGATACGTGAGATCGACTACCGGCCGGTCTCATTTGCAGAACTGGAGGAGAAGCACTACGGCCCGAGCTACTGCTGCAACCCCGAGTTCGCGGTACCCTCTTTCAAGAGCTATGTCGTCCCCGTCTTCCGTGCTGCCATCTGCTGGTACCAGGACGGTTTCACCGTTCTGACGTTCCTTCATCACTGTGTCGGAGAGGAAAATGTGCATAAGATCAGGGATGTTGCGGCTAAGTATGATCCAGAGGGCGTGGTCCAGAAGCTGTGCCCGGGAGGGTTCAAGATCTCAGACATGAAGTTTCGAAGGGTCTGCAATTGCAATAGCCATGCGTGTTTTCCTCCTCTGCCAGATGCCTATGCAATCATTTCCACAAGACTCTCTTAGACTTCGCGCTATGATTGGAAATGTGTATCCGTTTCGTTGTTAAATCAATCTCTCTCTGTCCGTCGCCACTCGTGAGGTATATAAGGTCCGCAACCGTTTGGGCGGCGTTCACACCCAGCATGTCGGCATCGTGCACGCATGTTAGTACCTAGACTCATACCACAGGCGCTGGCAGATCCTGGAGGGGAAAGCAAGGCAATAAGGGCAGGTCGCACATCGTGGCACACCACCTGGCCAGCGCAGATTTTGTTGACCTCACTGTAACATCCTTGGAGGCCCTGTTCTATCGTTCCAGCTGCAGGAACGGGGAGCAGTTTCCGGCTCAACCGTATACCGCATACCGCATGCATGCCAAGAGATATGTATGCACTGTGCAAATTCGGGAGCTGATGCAAGGTTGTCCGACTGGATATCAAGCAGGATCGGGATGGGGGTGGAAAGAGAGAGCGGGCAGATTAGAGGGCGAGTTGATCGGAGAGGGAGGAACAAACCAAGATTGGGAGGGAGAGAAATCTGGGCCGAAAGAGGGAGGGGGGGATGTACACCGGTCCCGGGGGGCGTAAGCTGCAACACAAGCCTGGACAGAAACGGGACGACCGAAAGGACACTTGACGAGGGGTGGTGGTCTCCCAAGCTGATCTTTCATAAGGGGTACACCGACCGCCATGGAGGCAGACATCCAAGTGGTGGTGACTGCTTCATAGATGCGTGTCACTTCGAGCTGCAAGGGCTATCTGGCAATTGGCAAAAGGGGGGGGGGAGGCGTCCTTGGCGCCATGGATCCTCTTGAGGGTGATCAGTAGACATTTCTACGGCTTGCGGATGTAGTAGGCATTTGTCGGGACACCGCCAAAGCTACATTTTTCAACAGTCCCGCAACTCCGATCACGAGACATTTTGCATGAAAATCAGAAGCAGGACTGGCGCAGCCGGAGCAGACCATAACACCCAGCAGCCTTCGTGTGGCGTGACTACTAATGCCGGGTGGAAGCCTGCCATGCCGATTCTCTGCTTCCAGGACCCGGCACACCCGAATGACACAGCGATATCCTGCGCGTTGTGTCCGGAAGATAGTGTCACATCGAGTCCTAGTGTCATGGCATATTTTGAATTGCCGTCATCTTTTGCGGTGCCTCATGGCCTCGTTGCGTTGATATTGACTTGTCCGCCCTGTTTGTATCTTTTACCCACACCGCGCTTCTTCCCCCGTCCCGAAACAGCACGCAACTACACTTGGGGCGCTTTTTGTTCCAGACATCACGTCAAAGCATCAAACTATTTGGGTCAATGGTACCACGACGGCACCTACCAGGCCAGGCTAATCTACAGGTCGCTGGTTTTATGGGCAAGTTGGAGCATGTGTTTGCTCGTTGATGAAATGGCCCAGTCGTCCCAGATGCCACATGACGCCACCCGATCAGTGTGGGCTGTTTCAAAAGCGACCCGGCCCAATTCAGGTGAAGTCCACTCGTGCGCAGTTGTGATTCGCTGAAGCAGATGTCTTTGTCAAGTGGCAAGGCTGGCGATCGCATGCAACCCTGCCCGTACAGATCACTTGGGAGACGGATCCAAGGATAGCCAGCAGGGAAGACTGAGGTCAACATACCTGTACACCGATTTCGTGCATATGTAACATGCCGGTGAGCGCCCTACCCCTTATTGATGTTCGCTCGTGGAGACGAGTGTCAGTGTGACTTGAACCGTGGCTGCAGGCTCTTCCCCCGGTGCTCTCAGCTGCGGCATCCGCACTAGCTTGGCCGCTTCAAGGGGCGCGTATCTGATCAGGATATAGCAGAGAGCACCTAAGTGCTAGATCCGCGCCTTACCTCGAAGCAGACGCTTCAGTCCCTGCCCGTGCGTCAACCCAATCCTTGTCCACTCACAGCTCGGGCCATACGCCTGACTGACAAGCACGTTGACCGAAAATGAACAACTTATCGAAGAAGCCATCCGCAGCATTGCGCCAGATTGGAAGACTTCGAGTGGAACTGGTCTGCTCTCTTGGACACCCTAGTGCTCGGGCTCAGCAGGCTATTGGGCAGCTTTGCAGTTCAAGCGACAAGGATAGACTGATCCATGGGTGGCAACGCAGCTCACCTTGCACAATGCGTTGTAGAATAGAGCCCATGGTATACGACTTCGTGCTTGCTCTGACTGAGTCGCTATTTATACCGCGCTGTGTGCTCTTTCCTGTACCCGTGTCAAACTCAGACGAGTCAAACCACTGCCAAGTGCCCAAGTTTGAACCACATACCAGGTGTGCTAGAAGCCAATTTGCGACTGACTCAATCAAACCACGAGAGGACAACCCGAAGAGACACGACACCATGCATCCCGGCTTCTCAATTGATGTGTCTCCCACAGCAGGCCGGATCCATGAATACATGAGCACGCCAATGCCGACAAATCCTCTGCTTAATGTCAGTCAAACCTAGTTTGTCCAGTAATGGCGACTCGCTTCGCTGTTCTGGGCATGGCTATCATATGATGACACGGCTAAAACAGGCTATTAGGTCAATAACGGAAGCAGCAAAGGTGAACCACAAACAAAAGTTCGCAAGAAGTCGCAAATGGCATGCAGTGAGTTGGTTTCTACAGTAGAAAGCGCGCAATCAAGTTCAGGCTGACTCACAACAATCTATAGACGAATGTCGACGGCGCAAGGTTCGGTGCAAGCAATCCACCAGTCCAACATGCGAGAAGTGCGCCAGTCTCGGTATAGAATGCGTCATTGAGCGCGTTAATCCAGGCTCCGTCACTGCCAAACGGTTGAAGCCACTGAAAGGCGACGTCAGCTCGATATCATCACCATCAACAATGCTCAATGTGGGAGAATCTAGTGCAATCACGATGGACATGTACCCGCAATTGATGGGCAGCTACGTTGTTCAGGGCTCGAATTCGCCATATACACAGGGTAGGCGTTCCTACGAGCACGTAGACTGCGAAATATCAATGCCTCAGCTAATGGGTTGATGACAGGAGGCTACGCCACACAGATTTGTTATGACGATGCACCCGCGGTGCTTCCACAGAACAGTAGCTCAGGTTTTCAAACGGGATCGTGGGACCAATCTAGCTACTATCGATAGGGACAACTGCCGGAAACTTCTGGTCCATGTGTGGAGGCCAGGCTACCTTGTGAGGAGGCTGATCAGGCTGTGCAATAGCATTCTCAACTCCTGATTTTGAGACATCCGGATGCCTGAATTCCGAGCTACGTTCAATGATAATTCTGCTTGTGCCATACCTACTCGACATAACTGGATGGCTTGTGTTGCTCCAGGGTACGGAGCTAGAATCGAGGAAGTGCTCCCTTCAGTAGCCTGAGATTGCGTTTCCTAAAACCTTTCGCAAAGGAGACCGCCGGCGACAGAAATTGTAGCTGCTCGATGAAATTATTCTTGGAGTGATTACGTCAGATGGCTACGGTCACTTCAGCTTCAGATCCCGTTCAGCACAGCTTCGCGGCTGTGGTTCGGAAGCGTCAAAAGTCGGGACGATGGTGTCTCTGGCTCTGTGCCGATATGGTCACCCAGTGGAAGAGGAAGACTTCAGTCCTCCGCGGACATCAGCTTCTGTACCAGTGCATGGACGGGCCGGGAAGGCGACTGGGCGTCAGGGCGTGCCTCAATGCAAGGTATGAAGAAGCTAGCATCGATAAGGGTGATGGCTCAAGCGGGGAAGTGTGAAAAGAGCTCAACGTTTGTGAATGTCTTGGCTGCCTTGCCCTCAACTTGAGCCCGTCCGGAGACTCGGGTTCGGTACTCGATACTTCAAGACAGCGGCCAGCTGATGGCGGACTTTCAGGTTCGTTTCCCTGTTGCGCCGGCCTCTGACGCGGATCGACATGGGTCTAGGCGCCTTGCACTCACCCTGCCCGGCTCTGCTGACCATAAATAGGCGGCTGCCCCGTTGATTGAATCCCGAAAATTCTGAAATTCCATCCTCAGCTTTATCCTCTCCCATTGACCGCGCCTCAGCCGCACTGACTTTTGCTCCACCCGTCTGACACTGAAATCTGACATCGCCATCTTCTATCGGTAAGTTTGGCCATCGATGATGGTGAAGTGCTACCCATGGAATGCCCCTAATTTCTGTACCGCTCGACAGTAAAATGGCGGAGTTCGAGTACCTAGTCCAGAAGGTGCACGAACACGTCATCCTTACACTACCCTGCAAGCCCACCGAAGCACAAGCGGATGGTATCATCGATGAACATAGTACGACCGTTCCAATAATCATCTGCACCAACGCCACGCACGACGAGTTGCGGCAAGTCTTCCGGAGGGACCAGGCGGGTGTAATGGCACAGGGGTTTGAAGCTAGTTACGGCAATGTTCACGTGCAGAAGGAAAGCGAAAAGGAAGTCTTGGATTGGGTGAAGGCAGAGATGGATAAACCTAAGATGGAGAATATGTAGGTCTGTTCTGAGGATAACGAGAGCGATCAAGGCACGTAGAAAGCCCGTAGTCAAGACAATTACACGGAGTCCCTTGCAGGCGTGGAATGCTGGATCTTTGCCTTTCTCTAGAACTGGTGAGTCACGGCTCGCAACACAGCGTGAATGTCATGGGTGCATTTATTTGCCCTCCGGGATCCATGTCTTTAGCTTGAGCCAGCGAGTTCCTCATAGCTGAATGGAAACAGCGGCATACGCTGCAGATCCATGCAATACTTCAGTGCTGTCTGGTTTCGATGGCAGATCTTCGTTATCGAAGACCATGACTCTTTCACGTGAAAATCTGATTTACGCTTTGGCCTCCACAGACTGGATGCCAGAGTCCGACTTTGTTTCCTCAGTCGGGCCTTGGGTTCTGGCTGTTTGAGCGGTTTGAGCGGCTCCAGGACATCGGTATGCGCGGATACGTCCCGAGCCCGACAACCACTCACGTCATGTCACTCGCAAGGGTGAGACCGCTGCACCCCAAGAACAGCTGATTGCTCCGGTTGTCTCCAGGGGGAATACATCTCGAGGCCTGGGAAAGAGGTCGGTTGCGTAAAGTACAAGGCTAAACTGGGAAAGTTACCAGTGTATCACATCGACATGCATCGTCGTGTGCATCGGTCGAGCCTAATCGTCCGGGGAGGCTGCGGGTCTCCGTCCAGGGCACAATCAACGATCAGTACAACAAGGGACGCCCCTTGTTGGCGACCGTAACTTGCTACAGTGCGAGTATCGCTGCCTGAACTGATCCTTCGTGCATAAGTGACTGATAGTGATGTGTGGCCATTACGCCACAAGAGCCTTGCGTGTCTTCGTGTTGTACGATGGTCTCTGTGCCCACCTTCATGCACGGCATTTTTGCCCTGCATCGTCGACGTGCCGAGGACTGTGAGACTACGGCCATTGCTAAGACATGCACTCACCGCTGGTAGGTCTGGGGGTTCACCGTCAGATCGTGCAGCTAAAGCAACCACTGTTGGGTCGTATTGCATTGCAAGGATTCAAGCTAGGGCTGTCCCAGTTTCCCGCCTGGTAAGCTCGTCTACCCCGAGACCACCTGAACTTGGCCGCCTGGAGTGGCTCTTTGGCGCTATATGAGCTCATGGAGCTGGTATATTGGCCTCCTGTTCTAACATACGTACCAATGATGCTACCACAGAAGACTGGACCTCTTTGTCTCAATGTTTCTTCTTGGCTAGTTCCTTCTGAGAAGCGCCAAGTCTCCATTTCATCTATTCATTCCCACCCAAATACATCACGTCACGAAAAGGACATACGTTCCAACCACTTGTGTCCCGGTAGCAACCGAGAACAATGTTGTATATCATTCGGTTCCACGTCAAGTGCCAAGTGAGGCTCCTCAAAATCAAGACCGACGATCGTATGACCTGGGAAGCATTGTGGCAACTCGGCATCAAATCGACTTTGAAACTCAGCACAATCATCGGCGTCGAATTATCTTCCGACAAAGCCCATGGAACGAGTGCGAAACCTTGTACTCTTTACGAATCATCAGATGCAGAAGCGGCGAGAAGTCTCTCGTCAAAGAAACAGATAGTCCCCGATGTACAGGCGGTCCCCGACGATATGCTTCGAGACTCGTTCATAATGATCGACGTCTACGAGACCGGAAATGGCACTTTCCATGACTTTAGCAGCATCAAGCTCGTTAAATTGTCAGGCGAAGAGGAATGGGACGATGTGCGAAGTGAGCACACTGGCGAGAATGGGTGCGAAGAGCAACTTGGAGAAAATTACTGTGCTACTTGCGGACGGCAATGGCAACAGCAGCATTCTGGTTGAGACGAAATAAGGCAGCCCCCGAGACCAGAACCAGGCAATGGCCCAGCGATCTCCCAGGGCTATTCAACAAACGATGAGCTAGATTCTGTGTACTTCTTTAGAATTCCTCGAAGGTGGCGTCCGTCGATACGATATCGCTCTATATCCAAAGACAGAGTGCTTGCGATAAAATGTAGGCTTTCGCTGCAATAGCTCATTGTCCATTCGATCATCGCAAGGATATCCCTGTTGGCTATCGTTGTGATAGTGATCGAGGTGCGAAGGATTGAAAGAGACGCTTGCGCCCCTGTTCACCGGCCGCCTTCAACAGAGCTGTCAACCATGGCGAAGCACGTCCATTCGACGCTCTATCTAGCCCAACATGGCTGACCGGTCAGTGATAATGCCACTCGGCTCGGAGACGGCTATATATTACATACTGTTCAGTCGCGGAAGTCCTTTGACCACCTGTGGTGACATAGGCGGAGGCTAGTTCTGATATATCCTGCTGTAGCTTCCATGTCACACACCATTGCAAATACTAACGGACGACTTCGGCCATGTTATGTATTCAGGTTATGCATGTTCAGGTGATGCAGGAAGCCACAAGGGATGGGTCAGTGTCCGGATCCTAAGACCTTTGAAAGCATCATAATTTGCTCATCCTATCCTCTTCACACTGTTTGCGCCATGCTCAGTCGTTCCCAGAGCTTTGCAAAAGACTCAATTCTGTGGCTGGCGATGATTGATATCTCGCCGGAACGGGACAAAAGAAGTCACACTGGTGGCAGCGGAGAAAGATTCCCTTTTGAAGGGCCACCCACCAGACTCCATTCGCTGTGTACAACAGGCCCTCAAGTAACACGGTCAACCGCAGAGCTCACCATCGCCGCGGCCTGGCACACTTCGACCCTTTTCCCTAGGTAGATCATCAGGTAATCACAGAGACTCGCGTGAGTATTGCTAGAGGAAGGACTTCTTCTCCTTGTCAGGACGTCTTGCTAGCGCTCCGACAATTCGCCTTGTGGGAAGGTTTATCCCAACAACCACCACAATAGCACCCAGAGCAAGTCTTGCAAGCCCCTCCATCGCCGGGTACAGGCATGTCGCCGCATTCGACGCAGATTTCCTTCGCCATCGTTTGGTAGTATATATATCTCTCCTCTGCATATTCGGGATTCAGCAGAGATTTCACTCGCTCACTGTTCTCCATCCCGACATCCAGGTAGGGAAACCAGCGTGTAAGAGAGTTTCCAGCAGCCGCACTGACGACACCGAGAGGAGAAAGTATCTTAGTTCTGGGGATATAAATCAGCGAGTCTAGACCTTTGATCTTGCTTTTGAGACCAAAGTCGAGGAGGAGCGTTCTCAGCATCGATCCAATCCGCTGCGCTCGCTCGGGAAGCTTATTTTGCTTGGCAAAACGAACTACCGCAAGAGACTCCAGTATCGCCGGCATGTAGACGACATTCGACGCTTGGCGGTCGAGATGGTTCTCGCAGAAGGTCACAAGATCGTCTTTCGTGAGCCCGAGGTTTCCCAGCGTTGCTCCAGACGGGTTCAATGCCAGGCCAGCAACACGGAGGGCCTTTCCGAACAGTACAAAGTCGGGTTGGTGAGCTTTATACTCTGGACGCTGAAAGGCAAAAGGTGCTCCGCATCTCACGGCGGTCACTGCTTCATCTACGATAAGACCGAGACCTGTTTTGCGGCACTGGGTTGCAAGCTTTGCCCAATGTTTCGCAGGTAGGGGATTGCCTTTACGAGAAGAGACCATCTCGACCATGACGCCGATGTATCCTTGGGAGGCAAGTTCTTCCAGTCGAACCTTCAATTTACGTGCTGAAACAGCCAGGTCGACAAGTTCAGGAACGTGCCCAACGGCAGCGGCCTGTGAGAAGGCCAAGACACCATGGTAGGCCTACAGGCACGAAAGAATTAGTAGGCATACGGATCGCTACCTTTGGGCAATTTTACCTGAGACCCATAATATGATCCGTAGCAACCCTTCACCTGAGCGATCTTGCAATGGTTCACCTGTAAAGCGCTAAGGCTACGCGAGATGTTGCTTGGGTCAGGTGTATCGGTGTCCCGACTGAACGCCAGTAGCTGGTGCAAGGTTGATCCGATTCGTTGATGCTGAATGTCGCTGATGTGCATTGCGAAACAGACAGGGACCAATCCGAAGAACTCCCTGCGTAGAGTTAGTAGATATGCGGCTTCTCAACATTTGGCAGACTTACCAGAACTCGTTCCTGTATGTAGGGAGCCATTTGCCCAACTGCGCCGCCCCTTGAATTTGGTTAGATCCGTAGAAATCGTATGCTTTCTTCAGATTCGGGTCTCCGGTGAGTGGGTTGGCCCGTGCGAAGAATGAGGCGAAGCTGGCGTTCATGTCCACATCTGGGTAGATGTGCTTCGAGAAGATGATCTTCAGGTCGACGGTGTTGATGTTCTTGTGATTTATTTTGTGGATATCGTGATAATGTTTGTTGAATGTGGATGGGTTGAAATGCGGTTTCGCCTTCCAATTGCAAAAGGAGTCTATGCATTGTAGAGGGATGCCGTTTCCTTGGCACAAGTTCTTGTGATACGTGTACTCGCTGTGCAATGTGGGAAACTCCGCCTTGCAGTCAGGGCAAGACTCCATGGCGTGCGGGAGGGAGCCGAGTTCGAAATAGCATCAAGTCTTCGCAACTACAAGCGTGCCGCTGCGACAGCAGCATATAAATGCCAGCCAAGCTTGGAAGTGGGCATCCAAGTGAGTGGATGGTGATGGATTCTGATTGGCCTAACAAAAGCCTGTTAGGCCAATCAGATTGGTCCAACCGTTGATGCTGTGGCCTTTTATGGGTCTGCCCTACCAGGCAATCCTTCTTCGATTTCGAGAACTGATTGCGGAATAATGACTTGCAATCCGCCTGCAGTGCGCCTCTACTCGATCGGCTGCATATCAGTTAAGTGACTGACGTGGTGTGATTGCAGCCCTTGCATTTGGAGACCGCATGGTGGCTTGCGTGATCCATTCTCGAGAGTGTCCATGGACGACTACTGCATGGAACCAGCCTGCCATAATCCTCCACTCGTGTATCAAGACCTCAGACGCCACCGTCTCGCTGCTGAAGCTACATCGGCAGCAGTCATGCTGGCTGCTCAGCTGCTGTGGGCCCTCCAAACTATACGCGCTGCAACATGGCCATCCTCATTGGGCTCCTGCATGGCGTTGGTACTGGGTGGGAGAGGAACCTGGTCCAGGATCTGCCCTCACACATGCGGCCCCGTTCCTCAAGGACCCCAAGCCTCAATAGCCCTCACGGACAGTTGGTTACTGAGTTGCACACCTTCGGCATGGGTGCACCATGTTGAACACTGCATACTGCATTTGCCAAAAGAGAAAATCGTTGAAAGATGCGTGTGGCAATTTTGATACTGGAGTACACGACCCAGATCACAAATGATGTATCGGGAACGCACGGAAGTGATCCGCGCTCGTCGACAACAGAGCTGTCTGGCCGTCGGACAACGGCTCCGCCTGAGTCACCATTGACTGATGAGCCCTCGGACTCGACAGGCTGAGATGTCGTGCCATCAAGCAGCGCAAGCGTGTCATCTTTCCGTCAGATAGCCGAGAGAGTGGTTGACAATGTAGTTGACCCGTACGGTACAACGGCACACCACACCCTCCCCAGATGCCCCCATGGCCCCAGGGATCGTGTCGCGCTCGTGCGAGAAGGAGTGTCAGTAGCAAGTTGAAATGACCAAGGCTAGCAGATCGTCCAACGTGCTCAGTTGGAGTCACCCGATACGGCGCATGCTCCGACGTGGCTGGTCCTCCCGCGAGGCGTCACTGCCAACCAGGCGGTGCGGGACAGGCTCACGTCAGTGCGAGGGGGAAGCCAACCGCGTCTTTGCAGACTCTTCGCACGCTCGGGCTACAAGTTACGCATCGGTGAGCACGTCGATGTGGAAGTTGGCGGGCGGAGTGGAGCTGGCCTCCTCCCGTGCATGTCTGATTAGACTACAAGGCTGGCCAGTTCGGGAAGCTACCCCCTGTCGGACACCAAGCAGGCGTGCATGATGCCAAAGGCCCACAATGTGCTGATCCCGCTCGAGACTCATTCAGCTACATGTCATGGCGGGGCCAGGATCTCTTCCGCATGCCGGGGTACCTGCCTCGCTAGCTTGTCAAGTCCTTGCCGCATGCGTCAGGCGTCATTGGTCCGGAAGTGCAGTCCCCAAGCAGGCCTCCTTGCTGCAGTCGCAATTGATGGCACGAAAACTGGCTGCGGAGGACCACTGCCAACACGACTGCTTTGACACGTTGAGGTCCCATGCACACAGCCGAGAAGAGCTCTGCACACGGCCGTCCCGTGGCATCACGTCATGCTCAGGCGACGCAATCAGATGCGGTAACCTCTCTACCTTATCTGAATATGCACAATGCTCACTCCGACAACTGTAACATCTCTTGGCCCCGTGGATTGGGGACAAGCAAGGGTCGACAGCATGGTGATTACAGATCGCCCAAGGCAACGCCGCGTTCAGGCCACAAGTCGACCCTTCTGGGGGCCCTAAGGGGGGCCGACCAGTTGGACGAGCTGATATGTCCTCATAGACCTAAACCTCGCCCTTACGGAGCTCTTGCGGGGGTGGCCTTGTCCCGAGACAAGAGTATGCGGGTGTCGCACCGAAAGCCTGCCGATCCGGATTGCCGCCCCCAGCACAACACCACATTTGGTCTCTTACCTGCAGCGTATCCTCTGGTCGAGCCGTGTGATTCAATGGCAAACGGCCCGCATTCGTGGTGGACGACGCCACCCGCCTGGTCCAGCTGAGCCGTGATGGTCTCCATTGTACATCACTGCACAAGCAAGACACATCAGGCCGTTCAGACCTGCACATGCAGATGCATGGCCACAATAGTCGTTTGAGGATGCTCGGATCCTATCTCCCCTCGAGTCGGGGTACATCCGGGCATGCAAACAAGTCGCGACAACTTCCCGACCGAAAAAAAGGGTGGAACGTGGTTTGCAATACGTGCGTTTTCCATTATGGTGGTTGCGAGTCAAATTACCACAACCGATGTCATTTTGATTGTGACCTTTTTCCCGCCGTCCTTCTTGCTGTCCTTTTCCGATCCATGGGCAATCGACTTGGAGACTTTCTTGATGAAGACTTTGATCGATACCACGCATGCCTTAAGGAACACTTGGCATAGCCGGCGCCGCTGAGATTCCATTGTTTCGGGAAACAGGTACCCCAATGTGCGATCCAATATGAGATACCATATAAGATCCAGCAATAACTTCAGCAATTCCTTGAGGATAAATTGGATGATCTTTTGCAATACATCATTCTTTGACACACTTAGAGCACTCGCCCATGCGTGACAAAGTGTCTTCCAGGGCGTGCTGATCCGGAGTCGAATGTCAGTACAACTCAAACGTGTGTCGTTCTGATGAGGTCAATGCTTACATCTGTGCTGAGTCCTCTTGTGCTTGGGCCATGGCTGTGTTGCGCGTTTCGTGAACATGAGAAGCACTGTGGAGCTTAAGGTAGGATGTCTAGGCACGACTTCGATCACAGCACGTACTGTTTTTAAAGCGAGGATGAAGTGGAATGCATACGTCGACATTGTGCGCCCATGTAATCCCTGTGGTCCACGGTCTGTCACTTCCAACTCTGCTGCTGTGCAGCTGCAGCAGAGGACTGTAGTCGACAGTCTGCAACAGGGGCTTCATTATCTTGTCACCTCGCATGAGCGGGTTGCATGCCACGTCTGCCATCCTGGACGACCTTGAGCGTTCTTCTTCCGGTCAAGAAACTCTGCTGGGAGCAGACGCAACCGCCGCATGTGTAGAGGGGCATAGAATTAGCGTTTGTGGCACAGAGTGTCTGGCGAAGCATAGCATCGACATGGAAGATTGGCCCTGGAATGGGCAGGTAATGCATTGCATCACAGAGACCAGTACCCGTACCGTTGTTCAGCTGGGTACATCCAGGTCTCTTTGCTATTGATCCAGGCTGCCAGACTGTGGAGGTGTAATGCATGCCAGAACCACGATAGCTGATCCCACCAAACAGGGGGTTAAGTCAGCGCTAAACCTCGCTCAAGATCCAGCCCCGATGCGATCCAGCCCCTATGCAATCCAGCCCCGATGCGATCCAGCCCCGATGCGATCCAGCCCCGATGCGATCCAGCCCCGACGCGATCCAGCCTCGTGCACAATCAATCCAACCCCGTGCACAATCAATCCAACCACGTGCACATTCAATTCAGCCCTAATGCACATTCATTTAGCCCCAGTACATAATCGATCCAGCCCCAGGGCAATCCGCCTAACATATTCCACCCTTGCGAGAACGGAAGGAAAAGTATGTCAGCTAACCCCGTTAACGAAACCAGTTGCCTGGTCAATAGTGATGAGAGGATTGACCGCCTGAGAGGGCGGCAGGAGCTGTCTCGCGATCGGGTGAGTCTCACAGGAATCTTATCTGACTAATGGGTCCATTCCACCGCGACTCGGCTACGCATTTTCCACGCTCTTGAAACTACCCCGCTCTTGGGCACTTGTTACGTCAGGCATCCACACTCATCTTTCTGTCAGGCAACGAAGCGGGGCATCGCCTTCGACTCGCTCTTTGAAATCTTCGCATAGCATCGAACAGTGTTTTGTACTCTCTGTTCTTGAACCACTACAACAACACCAGGCATGCAGGCGATTCCATCTCCAAGGAATATCACCTATCCCCCCGCGAGACATCGGTACTACAAATCGTTGCTCGATGGTAGGTGTTACCCCTTGACACCTTTACCCCTCATCTACCCCCATGTGTTCCAGCTGCCGCTGTCCATGCTCACCTAACATCTCATTGTAGTCCGACGACGCCATTAAGGCTATCTTTGACTACGACGACCTCCCCCCCGATCTTGACTGGGAAGGCGCAAAATCGGGTCCTCGATATGTCAATGGTGACGCGAAAACGCAGGTTTCATGGAAAGGGACAGTTTGTGTGGTTTACAAAAATGAGAATCGAATCGGCGATATAAGAACGGGGGAAGGCACGGGGACACCTGATAAAAATGTCAACCTGGCATTTCCAGGCGGTGCTATATTGATACGGAAACAAGAATAACCATCAGCACCGGCAGCAGAAGAGAAGGGTCCTAATCAGTTCCCCAGAGTCGTTCCTTAAGCCGGAGGCCTGCCAATAGGTCAAATGTAGAGTTCAATACCAAGGGATCTGACGGATTGTTGCTCAATGTGGCAGACACAGTCATGGTTTTTGGCAGGCACTGCTCGCGCTCGTCCTTGTATCCCGGACTTTGAGTGACCGCATCAAGGAGGTCGCCAGCGAAGACCTTCTCAAGCAGCGTGTAGTCGCAGCAGGTGTAAAGTGTTTTCGGTTGTGGGATCATCTTAACACCAGTCGGAATGACGGCGCCCCGTACCCCGTCTTCATCCTCAACAGTGACACCAAACAATAAGTGGAATACTTCCAACGCTTTAATGCCAGCCATTTCTAAGCTCGAGATGCAGCAAAAGTAACCCCGCTCCTCAGACTGAGGGAAGTGCAGTGACCACGCCGCAAGGTAAGTTCCGTCGTTGTTCGATGACGGGATTCGACGAATCGCTTCCTGGAGCAAGCCTTTAAGCAGTTCGCTAGCCTTTTTCATCGTCGGCTTCCCAAAATTGTTAGTCGGCATTGGACCATTGGTAGCTGTTGACATCATAACAGTGTCAGGCGCTCCAGAGAATCGACCGGCCACGGAGGCGCCATTTGCCAAGTTCCCAATTTGATCACCCACTCTTGTCCTCGTTCGTCTGGTTATCGGAGTGGTCGGTTCATAGTTCGGTGGGGGGGCAGTGGTGGCCGCATAAAGGCGTGACTGACTTGATCTGTCGATCTCGCTATTGGTATCGCTTTCGCTGGCGTCTTCGCCAACACCGCCGCCGTCGCTACAGCTGCCTGTGCCCATGTCGCTGTCGACTTCGGTCTCGCCGCCGTTAGCCCTGTGGTTGGGGCTGTCAATAAGACTCTCGGTATCATCGTGAACATTGGCTTCGGTCGGTCGTTCTACTCCAGCCGAGGTGTCAGGATTCTTTTGCTTTTTGGATTTTCGGTTCTGGTAGTAGGATTTTCCACTGTTGGCCAGCCGTATGGATAGATCTCGGTTTGATTTGATGTGGTCCTTGAGCGCTCGCGCAAACGCAATCTGATCTCTGGTGCTCGCTTGAAGCTGGCACTCGATATCGGCCTTACATTCGGCTTTGTTGGTGAGATGGAATGATTCAGTGGCACAAGCAGACTGGACTCGGTGGAAAAGCAACCACGTTGTGATGCCACCATGGTGCAGCATGATGGCATTGAGAAGTCGCTGAGCGCTTTCTGTCACCTCGTCTTGCCTGCTCAGTCGTTCAGCATCTCGTTTCGCGGTGACGTACGCATCCTGCGAGCTTTTTCGAGGTCGCGTGAGCTTGAGCTTGCTCGGAGGGAACAAGCCAAATCGTTTGGCTGCCGCTGAATAGTCTGGTGCTGGAGCCTGTGGTTCCATCATCACAGAAGGTGCAAAGTGGTGCACAAGAAACGAGACTGGTCGACGTGACGCGAGATGGACTGTGTTCAGCACTGTGATGGTGTCAAGCGAACCCGTCTGAGAACTGCGTATTGCGTAAGATAACACGCATCGAGGTCGCGTCAATGCGTCGGTTTGAGTCTTCGCGTAGCCCGAAGAACCCCACTTTTAGCTATCCCTGGCGAGCAGATGCACGGGACGGGTACGCGTCGCCGTCGAAGTCACCCCCGAACACGCAGAATTCGCCACGGCCAATGATCTAACCCATGCAACATTTTTCAAGTGTCGTACGGAGTGATAAGTGCCTCCATCGAAAATGGCGCATCTGGATAGTTCTCTTTCCCGAAAAACGCGCTATTTTGGATTGGGGTAGCTTCCAGTGAGGGCGGTAGTGATGGCGGATGCAGCGTAGGCCGTCGGTAACCGCGCGAGGGACCAAGCGAGTTACCAACTGCTTCATTTGAGCTCAAGTTTGCGTCGCAAGTGCCTCGAATACAAGATCGTCTTGGAATTTCAGATACTCCTTCACGTCAAAGCGATGGCGCCGATATGCGCAACGACAGTCAAGGACCCGCGGAGGTGCTGGATGAATATGCACAGAGGCTGGATCGTTTGTGCACCGGGGCTGGATCGTTTGTGCACCGGGGCTGGGATCGCGTCGGGGCTGGATCGCATCGGGGCTGGATCAACTGGGGCTGGATCAACTGGGGCTGGATCAACTGGGGCTGGATCAACTGGGGCTGGATCAACTGGGGCTGGATCAACTGGGGCTGGATCAACTGGGGCTGGATTGCACGAAGTGACGAAGTAATGTCGCTACGCATATCAGCGTCAAATAGCTGTTCGTCCAATCACCCCTGTTCTCAGTCACACTCAAGGACGTGATACATTATGTGCCCTGTAAGTTTAGCGAGGCTATATGCTGGTCGTGTCATGCAGATCTTAGTCCTCAAGGCATGTCTGTTCTTGCAGCTATACACAAGTGTTTTGAGCTGTGGCTTGCACAGCCGACCATCATCTCGTATGCCACTGCACGCGTTGGTCTGAGACTAGGATACAACGAAACACGTCGGTCGTCTGGCTGCATGTTCTGACGACAGGGTTGAGAACGTTCAGTGACACGGGCTGCGAGAGGTTAACCCCAACCTCAGGAGTTACTCGGGTCATTTGGAAGCCAAACGGACCTCCTAGGGTGATCTAGGACATGCATGCTACACTATCACTGATAGCCAAAGTGTCTAGCTGGGAACATGGTGGACTTGGAACGGCCCGGGGCAGGGGCGGCTGTTGGCCGTATCCACGAACCAAGCTATTCTGCATCATTCTGAATGCAGCTTCGTCCCATGCATGAGAATGCTGCAGGTCAGGGACTGACGAGCAATGGAGATTCTCGGCACGCCAACTGACCGCTAACAGGAGTACTCTGTTCCTGGCCGGATTCTCGGCTTATCTGGCGGTAATCCCGTCCGTAGAGTGTGGTGGCCTCTGATTGCCATGTCACTGTATAAATACAGGATTGAGATCATCCGTGGAATGACAATGCCCGACGCTCTGCCAGACGCGATGGATGAAGGTTCGAACTACCTCTGCGCGTGCCACAAGCTTTCTTATCCATACTGTTGTGCCTTCTGCGAGAACTGTTCGAAAAGCCACAAGACACAGTCAACAGTAGCTCCATCTAGGTATGTGGGCCACGAAGCCAGTATTAGACAGGACATCGTCCTTGTGTCGTGGCTGATACTGCTTTTGTTCTGGTTCAAAAGCGTCTTTATACAGCATATAACTGGGACTGAGGTCCACAAGAAAGCATCTAAGAAATCAGAACGAACTGCAGGTTTGGATAGTGAGTAGCTCTCGTTCTGAACTTGGTATTCTGGTATATCAATCGGACAGAATGCTCTCGAATCAAGCTGACAACGCTCTAGTCTCTGCCGAGATGTCTGAAATGACATCACCAGTAGGCTCTATCCAGGGCGAAGGTGGCAACGGTGGTGAAGTTGTGGGTGGTGAGGCAAGATGAGAGGGGCGACTGTGGACGAAGCAATCCCTTTCACCTCGCCATTTCGTCGTACATCTTGACCGTTATGATTGCTGATACAATCGCAACTGTTGCTTCCACAATATGTTAACAGTGACTGGTGACGATGTCTTGGCTGCGAGTTAAATAGTAAATAATAGTAAATAATAGTATTATGCTTTAGTGTACGCGTTACCTGCCACCTGATGGGTTCAGTGGGGCTATGAGTCCATTGTATACTGAAGATACACCCGGCGCCTTCTCTGCGCGTGAAAATATCAACCAAGCATTGTGAAGAAGGGAAGCCAAGAGTACGTGGCCGCCACATCCGACTATTTGCCGGAGAAAGGGGGATAGTGGCTCATCGTACGATTTGTACATTGTGTGCGCGCTCTTCCTGCTCGCATCTGATGCTGATTCTGGTATCCGGGGCAACTGATGCAGCACTTGACCATCTGCTGACTTCGTTGTCTGTGTTTCCATCTTTGTCCAAGCCAATCATCACCCCGCGAGTGCCTTCATGACGGCGGCGTCGCCATCCCGCCGTCGGCGCGTGTGCAATCCTAGGTATCTCCGCCTGGTCCACCCGCGCGAAGCATAGCAGCAGCAGCAGCAGCACCAGCACCAGCCAGAGCTGCCTGCTCCAAGTCTGGGCCCGGTGCCACCCGATACGCCTGTAAGCAGCATTGCTCTGAGCCGTAGCTAATATGTCCTCGTAACCAAGAAGGATCGGTGTGACCCTGCCGGTGGTGTCCGCTCGGAGCCAAGTGCCTCCTGTGTTAGGCGCACCGTCACCGTAGCGGAAGAGCACCATCTACTACTCAAGAGCCAGATGGGTAACTGCCGTGGCGTTGAATGAAGCTCGTGCATGACCTCGCCTACAATACCTGGTCACGCCGCGGACTCGCCCCGCTCCTGCAGCTCGATATAAAAGGCGCAGGTCATCATCGCCTCGAACGGTTTCCTGATTGTACTTGACAGAGGGCTGAGTCTTCCCACCAACCAGGGGATGCCTTCCTTTCTGATCAGACTATTTCCGCGTGGAGCGGAGCGCCGCTGTGCAGGTGGATGCCATTCGAAATGGGACCCTCCGTGGTGTTCACAGCCTGAGACACATCTTCGCTGCTGACTCGCTGCGGGATTGGTAAGGTTGTTCTGTGTCTGTCTCATCCAACGTTAATCCAATTTGGGCAAGAATCGCCAAGCTAACACGACCCCTTTCTCGCCATGAATTAGCCCCGTCAACGCCATGCGGTGACTCCCGTGCTCAGTTCTGGACATGTGAGCCCCATTTGCCTAGCGCCGGATGTCTTGATCCTTCTCGGAGGCAGCGACGAGCCATAGGCGCCTGGGTTGCTCGCTCGTCAGCTATTGCGCGCCGTTGAGGGGATCCGCCGCGTGGAGCCCAATCCACGTGTGTGTTAAAGGGTGCGTTGAGTCCCCATGGCGAGACCTCTTCGTGAGGTGACATCGTCGGCCAGCCGCTTGCGTTTGTTACGCGGGTCGGGGGCGGTGCTATCGCGCTGGCATTGCGCACGCAATGCGGGAGTGCGCGGTGTTGCTTCGGGCCTGGTGCATCGCGCCCTAATATCTGGTTTCTAATTGACGACCTCATCGCCGAATACTTTCCATTAAAGCGCATTTTGCTTTGGCTCGAACTGAAGAAGGAGAAAGGTGATCGTCTCCTTCGCCCCTACACTGCAACCGCGTGGGAGAAGTGAGGGAACTAGCCCTTTTGTGCGCTTGTACACTTGAAAATCTTTTGGCTTCCTTTGCCACCATGCGAAGCTCACAGAGACCTTCTGCTTGTCGGTCTGCTTGTCGATGGGGATAATGATCGCGAAATGTGCTTCTGGGACTGGCCCGATTCGTCCTTCTACTAAGCGGATGATCACAGGGGTCCAGTCCCATGAAGCCTTTTTGAGCCACTTGCTGAGTAATGGTGAAGTCCGGATCAAACTATTGATGGCGCCGTCGTTCATCTCCTTGAGCGCCTGGAAATCGTACTTGATGGAGTACGCCACGAATTGGGCACGAAGTTGTGGTTGTTTTGCTAAAGTGGCTCGACTCACGCGTTTTCCGAATTTTGAGAACGTGTGAAGCTCAAGGGGTTCGCTTTCGAGTGCATCCAAATCGAGCGGCGCAAAATGTGTTAACAGGGCCTCCGTTTCCTCGGTCGGGTTTGGAAAATATTTGTTGTATCTTTTTAGTTTCGCCTTAAGATCGATGAATTCGTGCCACTGGAATGTGTCCGCATCCTCTCCCGGATTGTCCTGCTCGTAACATGGATCTGACGAACATGACTCCGAGTCTGACGAATCTGATGAGAGCACATCCAGACAATCGTCAGAATTCGACGAATGGTCTGCTTGTGCAGGCGAGATTTGGTTGAAGGATCCTGCCGATTTCGGCGGGCGATTGTGCTCGGACGGAGATTGCGTTGGCTGTCCCGTGGGCTCTGCCGACTTCCTACAAAGGCCCCCGGGAGATGCGCTAGCAAGTTCCTCGTCACTTGCGCCGTTGCGATGAAGGTGATGGTCAGGGAGGACTCGTGGACTCTGTTCAACTGCAAATTGCATCACCATTCGACTTGAGGCGCTTGCCCTGCTATGGGTAGGTTGACGCAATGGGTCTGAACCACCGATCGGTGATTCAGCCACAGCTTTTTCCACACCGGGTGATGTAAGTATAGAAGAATGCTTTGGCGCAATAGATGAATAGGTTTGCCCAGCCGCCAGCGCCGGTCCCCGGGGTTTTGCGGTGGACAGGGGCCGCCTTCTTTGCACCGTTCCATGCTGAGGCTTCGGCGACGACCGAGGCTGGGCCGGTTGCGTAGCCCTGCGTTCCTTTTGGTTCTGTGAGGCTCGTCAGTACCTGACATTTCATGGCAAAGCTGATTCCGTACAATTTTGTGCTTGTTAGCACAGGCCCCACACCGGAAACGAACCTTGCCGACTGGGACCTCTTTGCAATCTCGGCAATGCCATTTGTCGCCAATTCTGGGAGGAGCCATTGTCGACATGGTCTGATCGTGGCGTATGGCAGTCTTCATGCCAAAGGGATGAAGTGCAATGAAAGTGGATGATTTGGGAAGCGAAGGGGCTCAAGCATAGATTGGAACATGGTGACAAATTGTGGCGTCGTTGCTGTGGCTGATTATTTGCCAGGGTTGAGGTGACCCTCTCGATGCACCTATCCCGCACTGTGGGCTAGAATCAATTTCCGTTTTAAGTACTGTATTGTACTGTGCACGGTAACTGGGACAGCAAGCAATCTACCGAGTCCTATCAACGCCCTGATGGAGCGGTCGATAGAGCACCTTCTTGAGCCGATAGCCTGGTGCTTGGAGCCATCTTCCTTGTACTTGGTGAAAGATGCGAGTATGCGAGACTGGGGCATGTGGCCGTGGGTTCCCCCTGTTGTGATCGGGTCCCTGCGCTTCATGGAGCGAGTGGGAAGGGACTAATTGGAGGAAACTTGTGCGTCTTCGATTATGAATGTTTATGGTTCCTCCGTCGGCCGTCAGCCGCCAACTACGCTTGCCAAGGATCTCCTTCAGTAAGCGGGTGCAAATGACAGCAGGGGGCAAGGCTGCTCGCGTACGGCGGTAGCTACTGTGTGATCTCGTTGCACGACGCAGACTTGGTTTCTGCCTTGACGCAGTACTTGGACAGGTAGGTTCTAGCTCCGCTGGCCCTCGTGCAAGGCGGTCGATGTCGATGTCGGGTTAGCCAGCGATGGCGTCTTGTTGTAGGATCAGTGCGAGCGGCGATGAATGTTCTATGCGTAGTCTCGCGCGGGACATAGAAGTGATACTGCAGGTCCGATAGCAGCTTGCGGGAGCTGTTGGCCTGCTCGTTGGCAGCGACAGAAGACCAGCCGGGGATGAAGCATCAACAGTCTGCTGATTCTACGCTGTCATGGTAGCAACATTGCGCCGTGCTGCTTGCCGCGCAGGCAGTACGACAGGCGGCACTGGTACAGCTGGACCTTGTTGATGATGATGACTCAGAGTGTACAGCTCGTCAGAAGAGCACGCCTAATCAGCGGCCAGCGGGTGGCCCTGGATGGCGGCATTTTCTTCGATGTTGATGGTGGTAACGTGGAGGCATCAAAAGCGCGCGAAGAGGTCTCACTTCTCGTCGGTGCTCATGTCCTCGACAGGTGCGCCATCGCGCCACGCGGACCCTGACAATGGTGGACGCCCTATGCTGTCACTCATCGTGATCCCAATATCCGCTGACCCTCGGATTGGGCCGCTTGGTCACGAATGCGCGGAAAAGGTGGAACGGTTGCTAGGCATAGATGGGGAGTTGGCCATGCTGATACGCCGGGAACCATCGACCTTGTCGACGTCGGCGGCAGTCTTCCATGCCTTATACTTCGGCGTGTGCTTCATGATGTCGTATTGTGGTAGTCCACCACGGGACCGTGAGGAATAGAAGGCGATGAGATCATTTCTGCAGTCGTTCCGGAAGGGACGGGTGTCAGCGAGGGGGTCGCTGGCACGCAGCAGCGGGCTCAGAAGAGCGCCTCGAGGGTCTCTTTGTTTCCCGCAAAGAGCCCTCGTACTGATTTGAGAGTGACCGGCATCTGGCATCCTCCTCAAAGTGCTGACCAGACTGCGCCGTTCTCGGGGAGTTCTTGGTGCATTATGTAGTTGAAGATGACCCATAGATGGCGAGGTAAACCGCGCGAAGCGCCTATCGTACTGCCTAATGTGATGAACCTCAAGCCTCGCGCAGGTGATGTGATGGGGACGTTACTGAAGGAGATCGTTCTCGCCATTGCGACACAGAATCGAGAACGTCCTTGGTAGCATAGGGAGGGCTGTCGAAGTCACTGATAAGCGCGGCATGGAACAGTGGCATCTCAGGCCGGCCAGTTGTCCACGAGTTCCTTCCCATGTTTGACGCCGTGTTGTGGAGGATCTGCTCCGGCTCTAACTGGACGGCAGTGGTATCAGGGACGACGCCGCGCGCCGTTCATGAGCCCATAAAGCTCGACCCTTGTGAATGTCGTCACCAACAACCTTGTTAACGCTGGCGTGATGGTGGTTCTCGCGCGGTTTCGATATCTGCAGGTCGATCAAGAAGTGTGGATGTCGAGGTTGGTGGACCTTGAGAAAGATCTGACGCAGGTGTGGCTTGTTCGGCTAAATCACGGTGATGTCGAGCTCCTTGAGCATCTCGGGTAGCACTCGGATGAAGCTACGGATGCGACTCTTGTACTGTCTATGAGCTTGCCAACGGTGGCAGACCTCTAGAGCGGTGTGGTTTCTGACACTCAACATCTCCTTGCTCTGACTCTCGGAGGTGGGCAGGCGGTGCTCGGAGCCCCAGCTTGTTCTTAGCCGGATAGAACTTGGCGTCGAGGCGGGTATCGTGCCCCCAGCTCACTTGCTGGATGTTGTCGGACTTGCTGATATAGAGGACTATGCATGGTTTCCATCTCTGCTAACCACTCGTTCCCAAGTCTGGAGTAACCGTGAACACCGGCTGTCAATGCCGAAGCGAGGCTGTTCGAGATGGGTGCTCTTCATGAAAACACTAAGGTCGATCATGTAGGGGTGTTGCCACTATCTCGACCCGAAACTGATGCGGAACTCGTCCCAGTAATCCATCCGATCTGGTAGCATCACCTCCAGAATACGAATTGCCAGTGCAAGACATGACTGGAGACTTCGAAGCTTGATGTCGTGCCCCTCATTCTGGACCTTGGTGCTTTGTTCATCAATCTCGTAGGGCACCAACTCGTTGAAATGAATGGGTTGCCGAACGTCATAGTCCTTCAGTTGCAAGAAGATGGTGAGCGCACAGAACGTATGCTCGAGTGTAAGTCGAAATGAATGTGCAGCAACTGTTCTTCGCGGAGGCGACGCCAATTCTCGAGATGCGAGGAGGAGCTTTTTTTGAATGAGATATCCATAACTGCTCCCGGACAGGGCGCAGCAAGCCCTTTATCCTCTGATACTGTGTCGAGTATGAGTGCCTGGTGGTGCGGAATTCTGCAGCTCCGTCGAGGGGCAGTGATATGGTGTGGGGGATTTTGAAGTCAAGGATATCGGAGATGTTGAGCCCACCAATACTGGGGACGTTGAAGTCACTGATGTCGGGTTCGTCTTGAAGGCAGCAGACAATAGCGGAGAGAAAGTCTGTGTAAGTTGTGACTTTGTTCATCATGAGAACCTGCACGCCCTCGGCCAGCCCTGTACTCAGGTGGAGCACAAACATGTCGCATTGCTCCCGAGTCTGGAATCGCTCGCGTGCTGCACTGAAGAGGAGCTGGGCTGAATGAACATGCCCACAAGCGCCCACTCCGAGGATCTTTGCTGCTGCATGTGCAGCACACAAGACTCTGATTTTATATGGTCCTGCCACCCTTGCAACGAAAGACCAACCTGGCACCACCATCTCAAAGGTTGCCGGAAAGACTCTTCAAGGTCTGGTTGCTATGCACATAGTCGATGTGTCCACCAAACAGCCCAGTAAGGAGGCATATGCGGCCACCTGGCTCGCTTTTGCTTTCCTATAGACAGTGTCTCAAAACCCTCTCACTTACAGTACTTCGGACGATGTGCAAACTGCCAAGGTGTAATCTGTGAACCATGCTGCTTACATGCCAAGGCAACCTCAGCCTCTTCTGATAATTGGCGTCACCCGCCCTTTCACGGTCGGCAAGCATAGCCAATCAGCATGTGGGCACGCGCAACCAATCAGCATGTGGGCACGCGCAACCAATCAGCATGTGGGCACGCGCAACCAATCAGCATGTGGGCACGCGCGATATCTCCGAGGGACACAGGCGGCCAGATGCACCTCAACCTACATATAATCTGGTCGCCTTGCAAGTAAGATGATTGCCTTCTCGCACAAAACCCGCAGCTCACCCAGAAAGATGAACACTCCAACCGAAATTACGAATACAATCCAGCAGAACCTCCCATATCGCATTGTAGCAATGGAGCTGAGACCCAAGGGGCAACCCGCCGCCGCTCACGCCGGATAATGAGATCAGGCGAGCGCTAACCCTCTTGTCTCTGTGCACCCCGAAAACTCTGTCGAACGGAGCTTGCAGCAGGCCCATGATCTAGCGACTAGGGTCTCGCAGGGTTCCGATAATAATGCGTCGGCGCTGCACACTTCCTGTCGGCCCGGGGAGCGGCAGAGTTGGGCAGTTGGGTTGTGTGGGGCAGCTTTCAGTACCAAGATAGCGCGCCCTAGCTGATGTGGAGGTCGACACCCCACGCATTCAGCGTGCAGCGGGTCCCACTTGGTGCAGGAGCGCAGACACTGATCTCCCACCTCTACTACCCCCAAACTTAATTGGGTAACGGTATCTAAAAGAAGAAAAGATGTCGCAGACACTTTGAAGCTCCCGGTATGACGCTAGTGCACCGCAGCTGCAGGGAGCGATCATTGTGCACTCACCCAACTGGTGTCTCTCTGGGTGGCGCTCGTCCTCAGCCTCCGCAACGCGACAGACCCACAACTCACTGATTCCGTGGGTGAGGCCTGGAGACGGGTCATGTACATCATATAACAGGGATGGAGCCGTCACATGCTGTCTCCTGGCACTGCTCGCCCTGGCGATCCTGTTCCATACATAAGTTCGTGCATGAAATTCGGACTGCCCGACTCATTCCCGCCTAGCGAGTTCAGACACATGCCGCCTTCGCCGAGGTCGCTACCGCAGAATCCGCGTGCTTCTTATTCCTCTTCAGACCAGGTACTGCGCACTTCACACGCGTAGCAGAGCCACTGCGCCGCGGGGCCATGGCGAGCGCTGTCGGAATGTCCCGGGCATTTCCCCCCAACGAAGACCAGTTTTCTTCGCAAGAGCCAGACCATTCCATACAGCCGTCCGATGTGAAGCGAGAACCAGACACAAACGATCCTCTGTCCACCCCGCAACCTCCCGACTTGACGAAGCACTCGTTCGACAGCCACCATCCGCCAGTTCATGTGACTCATGGTCGACATCTGCAGCCGCCACCTGGCCCTCTCCAGCGGCAACCGCCAACGAGCTTTGCGTCTTCCTCAGTTCCATACTCGGGCCTCCCGACGCCAGTGCCTCTTCATAACCTGTACGATGGTGGCCTATACGGTCATAGGGCTCACCCAAGCCATGCACCGCCTCTCCAGCTGCAACCGCCAACGACCTCCGGGCCTCCCCCAGCTCCATATTCGGTCCCCCAGACAGCAGTGCCTCATCATAATCGGCACGCCGGCGGGTCATACGGCCTTGAGGGTCATCCAAGTCATGCACCGCCGCGGATGACATACCACACACCACTCGGGATTGCTCAAGCCGCCAGTACCAAACCGAAGGCGGTGAGAGCATCTCAGGTATAGAGCCTTCCTGCCCGCTGTGCAGCAAAACAATACTGACTCCGCTTCATAGGCTTGTGACTCATGTCGTCATCTCAAGTCCAAGTGTGACGAGTCGAAACCGTGCAAGACGTGCAGAGAACGAAACATCCCATGCGTGTTCCGCGACCCGCAACCCAAGCAGTAAGTCGTGCAAAGGAACAAGACGTCCACGTGCCGAATACTAATCTATGGTGTTGCAGATCCGATAAAGCCAGTGCTGACATACTGGATGTCCTGAATGGCTTGAGAGATGATCTTATGCAGAGTTTCGGCAAGATTGATAACCGCCTTGAGCGGTTGGAGAGTGCCATCCACGCAGGCGACCGTAATGGCACTGTGGACTCTGATATAGAGTCGATTGAGGTTGAAGATTATCAAGATGATGCAGGCCCGCACGACCATCCGTCGCCCGATGACCAAGGTGCCGAGGACGAATATGCGGCAAAGAATAGTGTCATGGATCCAGACACGGCAGAGAAAACGATCCGGATCTGGGAACACAATGACAGCGACGAAAAGCCGGGGCCTCCGGTCGCAGGCAAGACGAAGCTGCCCGCAAACCACACTACCTCGGCAGGACTGCTGTTGAAGTGGGAGTCGATACACCGGCTGGTCGCTCGCCATCTCGCTGTAGAACACATTGGCTATGTCGAAGAGTTCCCGATTCGACAGGAAAAGGCTCGCGGCTTGCTGCGCGTGTGTGGGGCGGGAGAAGGCTCTGGGGGGGAACATGCCCCAGCAGATCACACGGACCCACGAGCAGACAACATCATGACCGATTTCCAGGATGATAGCTCGGAGGCACAGTCGCCAGCACCCAACTCAGAAGTCTGGGGCCAGACTGGAGGGGTTTCCCCGGCCGCAGGCATGACGTTCAGAGGCGGCGTCATTGGCACGGACGGAAACCCGGATTTTTCGCCATCGACTGTGTGGAAATATGTCAACAGCTTCAAGGAGAACATCCTAAACATGCACCCGGTCATGATCCTGGAGGAGCTGGATGCGCTGGTTGTGCTTTTTCTCAAGGAGATCCCCCAGCATTCGCAGCAGTCAAGCGTGCGATCTAGCAGCAACCCCAAATTCGTCAACCAGCCAACATCTGCCGCTGCATCACTGCCTGAGGCTGTCGGTGCGAAGAGGAAACGCTCACCTGGCGGCGATGATCCGCTACCATCCTTCAACATCTTTAAACCTGGCCATCCTTTCCGTAGCATAACAAGCGCCATCGTTCTGCTCGTTTGTGCGCTTGGCAAGATTTGCCTCCACAAGCAAAGGATTCCTGATATTGTCATGGAGCAAGATGGGGCCCAGCCACATCGGTCGCCCTCCATGCGGAATGGCGACGCGATGTCTCCAATCCAAGACTCTTCTGGATTCGGTTCGCGCTCTCAGTATTCTGGACTGCCTTCGCCACAGGACACGTGCGATCGTGCTATGCCCATTCGCAGTACTTCCACGCGGAGTAATGTGACAGGAGTACGTCCGACACAGATCAAGCAAAACTACGACATAATTCCCGGATTTGAGTACTTCGCACTAGCAACGGACATTCTGGGCAGTCATCTAGGCGGGATCGGTCTCAAGCATGTTTATGCTTGGGTCCTTGCTGGTCTATATCATGGGCAACTCGCGAGGGCTGTGGAAAGCTGGGCGTACATAAAACAGGGCTGCACTGTTCTGCAGGAGGTCATCAGGTCGTAAGTCAAAACTACTATGGCTGGCACTGAGCAGCGCTAACTTCAAAGCAGGAGCATGTACCGTTTCCACGAGATCAAGAACGGGAATGGATATGTGCCTGTGGAATCCAAGAGGGACAACCAGGTACTGCTGGCGTACTGGACCTGCTTGCAGCTAGAAAGGTAAGACATAGGTCCAACTCGCTCACGTTGGCCGCCTGCTGACTTCTTTGTGCTCAGTGACATCCTTGCGGAGCTGCCACTGTCCCAGAGTCCCATTCTGCAGCACGAGGACAACATGCCTTATCCGAACACAACCTTTGTGACGACCCACGGTTACAGTCCCAAGGTGTCCGGTAGCTATTTCGCCCAGCTTCATCTCCGGCGCCAGCTCAATGAGATCCATGGCCACTTGTATAATCCCGACAAGATACACCAACCCTCTTCACTAGAGACGATTGACGAAGGCGTCGAGCATTTCCAAGCCCAATTGAAGACGTCCCGCGGCATCTGGGTTCCTGCCGAATTGAGGTGGGATGATAAGGAGCCGCCTGCTGACGATATCCTCTCTGCTCGCCTGCGTGCAAAATACTGGGGGTCACAGGTCATTATCTACCGCCCCTTCGTACGGCACTTGCTCGAGAAGGAGCCGATCCCGTATGGCGCTTATAAAGATCCTCGACCTCCCCTACCGGAAAGCCTCCCTGACTTGGCAATCGACAATGGCCACGACCCGGTCCCCGAGGGAGTCGACCCCCGCACGCTTAACTATGCCCGCCTCGGTATCGAGGCATTGATCAAGAGCACCAGTGCATTCCATGGCATGCCGCCCAAGCAGCACATCATTGTGACCAACATTTTTGGTACTGCCCACGCGTAAGTAACACACTGTCGGCCGCTCTTGTCACCGCATTAAGACCTGACTCGTTCGACTATAGCCAATGGGGCAACCTCCTCACCCTCGCCGCCTGCTACACCGATCCACTTCTTTCGAGATTTGTTGATCGCAAAGTGCTATCTGAGCTGTTCGAACGGACAATTCAGCTCTTTGATCTCATCGCCCACCAGTCAAGCCCCTTGAGGTCGGAGCGCAACATCCTAAATGGACTGGCAAGTGATCTGGGGCTGCTTCGCGAGGATCCCCAACCAGCTCAGGCTTTTCCAGCATGACGAGCGGCAGCCATTAACTACCTCAGCGACGAGCGATTCTCCTACAGGTCATCCTGGAGACATTCACCCACCCACGGGATCATCGGTTTGACGTCCCATCACGAGCACTTCTCGGCTGTAAGGAATCACGGCACCGCACTCGGCCGCCATGCTGTCCTTACCCTTGTCCCAAAATTTTCGACCTCATGATCCTGGGAGTTTGATCAAGAGCCCTGCACTGGAGAGGTTACAAGGCTCGTTTGTCTTACTCATTTTCTTCTTACTCTTGCATAACTCGGCGTTCTCTTTCGAAACAATTTCTACCCCGTCAATCAGCACAAGTGCGCCCCACAGCAGGCTCGCACACAACGCATATATGTCAAGGACACCTTTAGAATTTGAAGAGCCGGTATATTCATTGCTAGGCAAGGACGCCCTACCTAACGGTGCCACCTTGCTTCTGACGAGCCTGACGGGAATGCTCTCCGTAAGGAAGTTGCGCGCCCACCGGATGGACGGAAGGGAGCTCTGATCTTTGACCAGGATCTAGACTGTCGCGAATACATCAAAATCAAGCAATCAAGGGGCGACTGGGGGACGGGGCCGGAAAAGGAGCCTGGCTTCTTCGTTCATGAGATTGTCCTCTTGACGACTCCCGTTTTGCGCCTGCATATGTTGCGACGCCTGTCTGGAGTGGTTGCTGCGGCCCCTGAGAAGTTTGGCTCTGACAATGGGGCTGCCGGCACGGCCGTGGCCACAACATGTGGACATCAAGTTGGACAGGACGCTGCTATGATTCAGGAGGAGGACGAAGCTGCTCCTTCTGGCTGGTGCTAATAAGGTCATGTCTACGTCTGCAAATAGAGTTTGGACCACTTTCCAGAGCCATGGATGGTTGATGGAATTAGTGATCTGTTGGAGCTCGACAAGGGAGCCCGTTTATGTGCGCAGGCACCATTTGATAAGGAAAGCTTAGCTCGCCTTCAATATACGACAATAATCGGGTAAAGGTGACAGTCACCAACCTCGTGTCGGAGTTCTCGCTACTGATCGGAAATGCGAAGCTCCGGCCGCAAAGAACTGCCGCTCATTGGGCTGTCTGTTGTGCTTTGAGGCTAATGCATTCCAAAGATGGCGGTCGTCATGGCCGAGTATTGAAAGCGTGACAGGGCGATGTGTATCGTCCTTCTCGGTTGTCCTGCCGCAAGGGAGCCGGGCAGTGGCCAGGCCAAGTAAGATGATGTGGACTCCTTTGCCTGCGAAACAGGTGCCCTTCGGAGCTGGCGGTTCGGAGAGGTGATGGACTATCGAGATCTGGAGCTGGTGTTTTTGTGAGCTTCGGGGAGCGGCGGTAGCTACTTGAGCATGTTCGAGCGTCGATCGCACGTAGTCACCTCAGCGACTAAAGGCAAAAGCCATGGTTCAGCTGCTGAGGTTGCGTCGGCTTGCAGTTCGCGTGCACGTTCACGACACTCGCGCAGGCCAAGCTCGTAGTCCTGCCTCTTCATGTCGTGTGGTATCTTGCCGTCAATGTTTGAGGTTACAAAACCGTTGGTGGTTGCGCCGATAGCAAGGGGTTGGGTCTGGTCTGGGTTCGTTGAAGCACCGACTCGATATCCTGTTGGTCTCTGGCGCTTACTGCTTCAAGGGTAGGTCCTGGCTTGTCTCGAAACGGTTTCGTCGTGGATTGGCACAATCATGGTCGGAGGGGGCTGGATCCAAGTCCGTCACAGCACTCTTGTGATGTCTGGCAGCCACGCGCCGATCAGGTTGCGCAGGAGAGGAAGCTTTGAGCATAGCCGGAATCAGTGGAGAACTAGAAAGCGTCAATGGTATCGAGGTTACGTTGCCACGAGTGTTGGCAGGCACAGGTAGTTGTCAGATCTCAACAGCAGTGGCTGCGATCTCCCATGTAGCTGGTTGGAGGTGAAGCTGTCTCAGTCGATGTCGGCTTGTGAGCGTCTTCGTCCCGTAGAGTCTTTGTGCTTGGCGGCTTCCCCGGCCGACACTGGCAGTCTGAGTCGAGTGAGATAGTCGGCGATGCTGGCAACCGCCAGAGAAGCGACGGTGAGAGGAGAGCGTCCAGAGCTTCGAGAGGTTCGTGCCAAGGTGAGGTTGAGGACTGTGCGACGACTACGTGGTGGCGTTGCAGGCAATCTTAAACGTCTCGCATAAATGTCTACGTGGAAGCCACCGAGGCAGCGGTGGCATGAGGAGGATAGTCTGTGGCAGATGCGCATGAGTGGGAGGAAGCTCGCAATTGTTGAGAGGAGTGATTTCAGGGTGGGCGCCGCGTTGGTAGTTGAGGCAAGCTCTGAGGCCAGCTGGGCAGCCCTGGAGCAGCCTGTCATAGAGCTCTCTGGGGCTCTCGGCTGTGCTTGGGGGGCACGGTGTCCCAGTCACAGCATGTGTCGGCGCTAAGTCGCCCGTGAGTACAACCTTAGCTTCAGGGTGCCGCCTCTGCACTATTCGTTGGCTGACCATGGCTTGGATTTGTCGACAAACTCTAGTTGGCCACCGTCGACACGCCTCCTAGGACTTATGGGGTCTGGAATGTCTGATTTTGTCCTCGCGAGGCATTGCGGGCAAGGTTCCTTACGATTTGTCGGATGGAAGCCAGATTTTGCACCCAGTTGGGGCGGCATGCAGGCTGAGAGAATGCTGTGACCGGCCATCTGTGTCCTGAGACTGGGGCGCATTAGGCCAGTGGCGCCTCCCTGGGCCGAACGATCAATGTCCCATAAAGGCCGTGTCCTAGCTAGTAGGCGTCCAGGCATCCAGCATCATCGGTGACTGCAATTTGAGACTCGTCAGTGGATGCGCAACGGTGCTTGAGTAGCCCCGAATAGATTTTGTCGTTCCCCTACTTCCTGCCTCAGGTGGCTTGACTAAGCTGGACCAACCCTTTCCTCGACCATCTGCAGTGGGGACAGTATGGAAATGATTGTTGAAGGGCAGATTGATTGTGAAGGGGTACAACACGGGTCATCCCGTAACCATCATTGCGATGAAGCCATGCCAGCCGACATGACAGCGTTAGGTTGCGCCCAAGACATGGGTTTTCTTCACTGCTGGAAGCTCGAGTTTTCCTCTGCGAACAAGTACAGTGTTCTTGGTTCCCGATTTCGTTGATCTCAATCTGAATCTCAACTCGCGACCTGCAATACGGCAGATCTCTCTTAGCCAGCTCACAGAATGTATCTCAGGCTCTGCTCCTTCAGTGGGTATTGGCTGAACTTCGCCTATCCACGCCATTGAGCTACATATGCTTCTTTCCGAGGGGAGGCTTAAGACGATCCTGTCGCACTGCTTGTAGCCTCGCCGATACGGTTTGTGGTGTTTCTTCAGTTCACTCGCTTGGTGTGCCTGCGTTCGGTCGTGTCATGCTTATTTATACGTGGCCAACCGCGAGGGCTGGCTAACTCAGCCATCGGACGCGTGAGGCACTACGATACAGACCTTAGGCCCGACCGTCTCCGTCCTTCCACCCCCCTTCTTCCCTCCCGCCAAAACAACAGGTTTCGGCATCTCTCGCGTTCCGCAAAATGTCTTCAAATGCGCACCAGCATCCAGCATTCGATGAGCGCCTTAAGCGGCGGACCTAGCCAGATGCGCTGGCTGGGATCCTCAGGGCTCTTGCCAGGCGATCGACCTGAACGCTTCATCTCGACAGCGCTGTTCGAATCATGATCCCCCACCGACAGGCGCTTCAGAAGGTCACGTGTCCGCCGTGCAAAAGTCGGCGCCAGGGCGCCAATCAGGCACAAAAGGCCTGGCCCAATCGCGGACAATTGCTCTGGCTGTGTTTAGATGCATAGGTTCGCAGAATGAGCGGAGTAACATCTCTTATGGTAATGTCTCAAACGCCCCACTTCTCAAGGCAAAGGTAGGCTAAGGGCATGAACAGGCTCGTCAAAGCCAACGATGAAAATAGTCGAGTTGCTTGCAGAAGCCTTTATGCGCACGAACATGACAATGGTTGAGCGTAGCCGCGGGTGTTTGCTGTTCTGTGCTCGTTTGGCCAGAAGACGATGCAGTTTGAGGCCGTCCATCCCACGTCGCGCATAAGAGACAACCAATCTGAGGTTGTCAAGTTAAGGTTGCTTGGCAGAAGTGGCCCCGCTCGATGAGGCTGTGTCATCCAGGAGTGAAAAGCACGGACGCAAGTAATCCACTCTCTCCCGTTGCCTCGTTCTGGTTGGTGTGCCTTTCACCGTGACTGTGGGTGGCTTTGCGTGACTAATCTTCCACCATTTAGATTGAATTTGCCCTGCTCGTCAGTTGCGAAACCTTCATTCACACTGGTCCCACAACTCCCACGGGGATCTACTCGCAACGGAGAGGCCAGATGACATGGACCGGGCTGCGCCATTCCAAGTACATCACCATGTAGTGTTCGATTCGGTGGTGTTTCGCCAGACCTCTGTTTTGATGTGGACTCAGTCTGTGAGGGTTATTCCAGGGTGGGTGTTTAGCATGGCGACGTGTGCAAGGTTCCGTGCATGCCCGGCACTCGCAAAACAGGACGGTGCGTTGTCTGCATGCAGGGTAAATTGTCTGCACAGTGGTGTTGGGGACAAATCTACTTCCTGTCGAGGCATGAAGGCTCTGCCACTGCATCAATATAAGCCAAACACGCGAGTTGAAATGGTTATTCGAAGCGTTGGACAAGCAGGCACGATCAAGTGGGAACTGCCCGAGGGGACTGACGAAGCCGTAGAACAATGCAGATCCACACCCCATCTGGCGGCCAATGAGGCCAGTCAGTGCTGCGTGCTGATCGCGAAAAATGACTTGAACAGCCCCATGTGAGTTTGTGTCGACGACGTTATGGTCGTATGGAACCATGGCAGAGTATCCTTGTTAATTACGCCTGGGTTTGGTGTGAATCCGCCTTCAGTGGAGGGTGCGCCAATCGGTGTGCATCCAGGCGCAGCCCAACCCTGTTTGCCAATGTCGGCGTAGCTGCATGATCCTGGTTCTCAGCATCCAACAAACATCCACAAACAAACACAAGGCGCGCGCGCGAGTCTGCGCCGCAAGGCTCTGACAATTTTGCACATTGGGCAGAAATTTGAGCCTCATGAGTCACCGATACAGAGATGAAAGGCAAGACACCGCTATTTCCTGCTGTCTCGTTGGCATCTTGTCCGGTGGCCCTGGCAGGGCTGCTGTTGACAAGATTGTACATATGGTGCCTCACATGTCGCCGTCAAAGTCCCCAGAAACCGCCAGCTATGCCAAGACCAAGTCCACGATAATGCAGACCGGAGAGTTTGCCTCGGTCTTTGACCAAATCGCACCACGCTGCTATGTCAGCGTGGCCCAATATTTCCGCACATCAGCCGACCAGCACACAAGACGTATCACAGCACACCTGCAGCAGGCTGTGCAGAATCTCATAACCGTCCAGCCCTGCCTTGGTGGCGTCCTGTCTGAGGATGACACGGCTTTTATCCGCTTCCACCCGCGGCCTGTGCCAGAGCTCAACGATATCGAGATACGGGAGATTGACTGCCGGCAAGTCTCATTCGCCGACCTGGAGAAGAAGCACTACGGCCCGAGCTACTGCTGCAACCCCGAGTTCGCGGTACCCCCTCCCAACAGCGAATTCATCCCCGTCTTCCGGGCTGCCATCTGTTGGTACCAGGACGGTTTCGCCGTTCTGACATTCCTCCATCACACTGTCGCCGACGGACTCTCGTGCCAATATCTGATTGAGGCACTGGCGGCCGTCACCTGGGATGAAATCAAGTTGCCACGGCACCGCCAGCTCCGCTTCGGTGAGCCCAGCTGGAAGAGCATGGCCCGCCGTGGCTCGATTGCACCTTCGACCAGTAGCAGTGCTCCCGCGTCGACTTCATCAAGGCAGCATGGGCAGCATGAGGCTGTCCAGTTCGACCAACACTGCGCGTACGCGGCCAAGGGCTGCGAGTCTGGGCCACTTGCTCACCGAGGCACCACGACGCCCCCTGGACCCCTGACACAGCTTCTCGTCCAAGTCTCGACCCCCGGCACGGACGACGCCTCGTGCACTCGTTTCTGCAAGAGAGCCGCACAGGCCTGGATCCTTACCATGACCTCTCGAGACCGGGCCAGCCGCTTCAAGCGCCGCCATGAGATAACCACGGGCATCGAGGCCGACGTTGAAGATGAGCCGCTCGCAGACCTACTCTTCGCGGTCGGGCTGAATCGTGCCGATGATGAGCTTGGCAGCCGCGCTGTCTACAGCAAGGTCTCGTACCCTGTTTTACGCCTCATCAGGGCTCTCGATGACCCGGCCGAGCTCCGCAAGCTCGAGATCCACATCAGCAAGGCCGTCGAGACTGCGCGCCTGCCTCAGTTCCGCCGAGCCTACGAGGAGACTTTTGAGAACTACTTTCGCGAAGGCGGTGACCCCTCGCGGATTCAGGTCAGCGCCGACCAGGCCGACCCGTACGTCTTCATCTTCAACACCTGGCGCTTCATGGGCAAGACTGGGGACCGGGTCACCCCGATCCGCTGGAAGTTCCCGTGCTTCTCCTCACCCAAGGCCCCTGACTGCATCCGCAAGGTCGCGTCCGGCTATGGCGGCGCTTCATACGGTCTCGTCCAGCCCTCGACGCGCGTATGCCGCGACGGCAAGCGCAGCCCGGACGAGATTCTGATCACCCTCAAGAGCGGTGACGCCCGCGAGTTCACTGCGCTCGTTGACGAGCAGAAGCACGCGGGCATCACTTCATGTTGGGAGGTCCTCGACATGATTGAGCAAACTGCTTGACCTTTTCGGTTGGATCTCCGGCTCATTTAAAGCATCTCGATACAATGCCTGTAGGAAGTGCAATTGTTGCCCTGAGTTATGCCTTAGGAAAAGCACCTGATTCTCTTTTTCATGACGCAGAAAGAAATAGACATTAGATACAGTTAGACGACACGGAGTCTTGATTTGAGATAGAAAAGTTTATAGATAAGGTTCGGCTTATTCCGGTTTGAAATAATTGAAACTTCGAAATTTGCAGCATTTTTGCCATCAGTGAATCGCATGATCAGGCCAACTCTGGGAAAACCAACAGCACAGCTTTGTACGTACAACCTTGTGACACAGATGTCTGGTGACGCACCACGACTGGTCCTCATGCCCAAGACGGTCGGTCCCTGAATTCCGAATCCCTAAGATCGCCCTTCCATCTCACTCGGTTGCAGCATACGCTGCTCACCTGATGTCAGAGCTCATGCATGGGTGTCATTGCCCGTACATAAATACATCGCCTCTACTCTGATAGCGTCTACACCAACGGCTGACTGTGTTTAAAGTATTCTGGGATAGTACGAAATGCCAGAATCTGTTGCTGATCGCAGGGGGGACACGCGAAATCTGAGAGGCTGTGCAGATTCGTTGAAGCGCAGGAGAAGAAAGCCAGTCAAACGTAGACTGCATTAGTGATCAACGCTTCGCGAGTTGATTGTCAAACATATCCTTAGGCTGTTGTGCATGGACCCTACCAAGGCGGTCCCAATGTGGCTTAGCAGGGCATTGCTACACAGCCGAGCATCAGCCACCTTAGCTTGCCTACGTATAAATATATACTCATCTGCACGCACCGCCGTGTTGTGCAGTCGACTTGAGCATTACCGCAATCACTAGCTCAAGCAGCATTCAAAATGTCCTTCATCCATTCGCTTCTTTGGATATTCATTGTTCTTATCGGATTCCTGGTCCTGCTCATGCTTGTTGATATTTGTAGGAACACCTTCGGACGGCGATACCCCAGGTCGAGTTAGAACATGACAGCTTCGGACTCTCGCAACGGCCGTATGTATGTGTATCATGAGTGTCTCTCATTTCCATCGTAGGGCTAATCGCAAGACTTAGGCTAATGTTCTGGGCGGGCAGAGCTGATTGATAGGAAATTGTTGCATCTCGGCGGTCGGGGCCCTAAACTCTATGATATGGAGCTGAGCAGCCTTGGAAGTCCGCCAAATTTCTGCATGGCGACGGAAAAGAACTGTAGGGTCCTCATTCTGGCACAATAAGATCGGTCGAGATCTGTTTGTTGGGTCCGCATTTCGCATGATGGCATTTGTTTTGGCCTTGAATACATTGGCTCTGTGTCATATCTTGGCTCTAGCATAATCTCGCGATGCTTTGTGCATGATCATGCCAGCGAAATGTGTGTTTTGGGGCGACGCAATCACCGTGAGGACATCCGCCATCCATGCCAGCATTTCCGCAGTTCATCACCACCTCGACACCGCTCTGATGGTCTCTGCCGATGCACCATGCCACAGTTGTACAGCTCCACTGTGAAAGAACCAATGGTTGCCATGATAGTGACGTCACTTGAAAGCCATTGAGCCGCCTTGAGCTTCTAGACCAAATACAGACTCCACCATATGTCCTCGTCGCTCGCTGCCTCCAAAGCTAATCGTGCGCAGGCTCTACATGGCGAGTCACGATGCGTCTCAACTATGGCAAGTACACAGTTGAAAGCTCGTGCCTAGACACCTGCAATGAGGCTATGTGAGGACGTTTTTGAGCATCTGTTGGCCACATGCACGGGTATGCCGCAATCTTTGTCATCCTTCACTGGCCCCTTGACGTCAATATATTCATTGTCAACAGCAGCACCGCACGACCTCTCATGGTCGTCCTCGCCATGTTCATATGTAGATTCCGCCTTCACTCCGCCACGCTAGTCCGTATCCGAGAATACTTCGCAATCGGTTTCACCATGGCTGCTGCCACAGGCAGAACAGTGAAAGTTTCTGCTGTGTTATATCATAAACCACAGCTAGACCTTAACAAAGAGGTTCGCTAAAATGGATGTGTATATAGTTGCCCTTACAAGCTCCATTCTCTCGGCTGGCTCACACTCCCTCCTGCGATGGGCATGTTGTGTTGCCAATAAGAAGCTAAGAATTCCTTCCGAGAATGTGTCAACTATGGAAACGCCGACAGGTACTTGACGACGGCGATCATGTAGCACCTTCTTAACCCTACATGCTGTGTGCTGTATGTGTTCTGAAGCTGTATTGATCGTGCCCATCTTCAGCGGCATGTGATCTAGAAATTCTGCTGTCGGGCTGTGGTACTCGTCGTTACCGTGGCTTTCACGGTGGGTGGGCACTACGTGCCCAAAAGCGTTGGATGGGGACACCCCCTAGTACAGATTCCCGTAAGGCATCTGATGCTGTGGTTGACGCTGCGTCGACTGCTGTAACTCGGGGCAGTGGCTTGAGGGCATCGCTGATGACGAGCTGTTGTTATTCACCTTGCGGTCCTTGCCGCGGCCTTTGATGCCCTTGTTGCTGTTCTTGTAATGCACTGCAAAGTACTCAAAGAGCTCCTTGTGTCCCCCCTTGAGCTCTTCCCCAGTACGCAATATCGCGGCAAACTTTTGAGTTAGAGCTTTGATTGTCTCTGTGTGGAACTTGTTTTGATGTGTCTGGATTGCCATCAGCATTTTGTTGCTCGTTTAAATTGGGGGATACTGACCTTCATGTTCCCCAATTGGCTGAACTTCTTGGTGCACCCGTCGACTCGGCACGCAAAGCGCTTGAAGTTGTTGTGTGTCTCCTTGTGAGCACGTACGTTGCCGCGCTGAGCAAATCGCTTGCCACAAATCTCACACGCGTAAGGCTTCTCGCCAGTGTGACGACGCTCATGCGTCTACATGCCACCAGTCAGTATAAGCCGAGTCACAGCATGAAGCCAAAACTCAGGCGTACCTTGCGGTTGCCCAGTTGAGAGAAGCGGTAGTTGCATCCAGGCTGGGTGCAAGGCTATTTCCGTGGGTAAGTCTACATTGCTGCAAGTAAGGAAGGATCGACTGGGATGTGCTCACATATGGCCGTTCGTCAGTGTGCGATCTCACGTGTGTGCCCAAGTGAGTCTTCTGGGAGAATCTCATTGGGCAATTCGGGATTGTGCAAGGGTGGCGCTTCTCTGAGTTGCGTGAGCCACTTGAAGACTCGGGGTTCGATTCAGCGTGAGGCGGCGACGGGTAGCGAAACTCGCCATGGTCAGCGGCGGCTGAGATCGTCGTTCTCTCTTGGATGGTTTTCATAAGAATGTCCACATCTGTGTGGAATACGGTCTGCTTCTCGGGATCTGCAGGGACGGATGACATGATGGTCTTGCTGCTGACGACGTCCTTCATCGAGGCTGGCGAGGCCGGGGACATATAATGCTCCTGTTCCTGCTTGACGGGCTGGGCTGGTATGTAAGTCTGTTGGTCACTGCCTCGTACATAGGCTATGTTGGTGTTGCTGTTCTGAACGTTCATGCTCATCATGCGAGCTCTCTCATATTGATAGATCGCGGCTGATGACAGCAAGTCTATCGTTGGCGTTGCATTTAGAAAGCTGTCGTGGAATGGAACCATGTGTGCCGTGGGGTACATCGTCGCTAGCCGCGGGTCATCATTCGAGATCGGGAATTCTTCATAGTGGCCAAGGTGGAGGCTGGACCTGGTTGTGTCGGCCCATTGGTCACTCCAAGGAGCTGGCAAAGGGTGAACCCCCGCCATGCTGGTGCCGACAGCCCAAGAAGTCAATCGCTCGAGGGGGAAAACAAGCAAAGCCAAGTGAGGCTAGTCGGAAGTCAGAACTACTGAGAAGATGAGAGTGTGAGGCAAGATGAAGATCCATATATGTGCCTAGGGCGGCATTCTCGTCGGAGCAGCCTGTCTTTGTATGGAGTCGAACGGCTGGGTGCACGTCTGCAGAGTGCGCTCTTGAGGGAGTCTCGACCTTTCTCGCTGGACATGCGGTGCTGTCTCGTGTCTCACAATCGTAGACAATGCCACTTGGGTCTTCAGCCAGAACGAGACACGCAGTGGTGATGTCCACATTTGTGGTATCGGCTGCGAGCCGGGCCGTCAGCCGCTTGTCTCACAGCGTGGCAGGGCTTGTTATCACGAAAAAGAAAACTCATCAAAAGGCGGCGAATCCCGGCGCTGCCACTTGAGCATGATCTCACACGCAGCCAATGCTCGAATGTTGCTTTTGGCTCCGCGAAACATATCCTTGTCCTTGCGGTTGATTTGATCCATGCAGATGCTAGGGTACTCTGTGAGGCTGAAGATCGCTGGACGTGGCTGCACTAGTGCCACACCCTCGAGATGTGCCCTGAAAGTACTCCGCATGTCCACGCAGCTTCGGTCCTGTGGTTGGACAGCGTCAGAAGCCATGCCGAGTGTGTCTCCGGCTCCGTGTCGACATGACCACCCAGCGAGCGAGGAAGACGTCAGTCCTTCTGGGACATAGTCTTCCGTGCAGGCACAACGACGGAAAGACCCAGCGCTTACTCGCTGCACCTGTGGTTCGCTGGTGCTCGGAACGGCCGATGCGTGCTCGAGACGACTTACTCATGGGATCTGACCGACGTGCGATGGCAGTAGTCATCTGAACCACCCTCAGTTGGTGCTCGGCGCCGCCTGCCTGTGGCAGGGCGGGCTTCGCATGGCTTAGACGTATATACCGGGGCTGCGGGGCAAGCAGACTGCTCACAGCCCAGGGACAGCGACCTCACGACTCGCTCAGAGCACAAAGACAGCCAGGCATCACAGCCTTTGTTCTGAAGTCAGGGCTCGGCCTCTCTACGTGCAAGACGCCTCGTGTTTCTCTCTGTTACGCACACAAATGTTGAACATCGTTTCGAGTCCAGTTGACATCAGCCCATGCATCCAGAGTCCGACCGTCTGGCGCCATCCTTGTTCTCTTCTCTTCTCTTTTCGTATTCTGAGAATTGCCTAGAGTATCTCACCCTATCACGTCAAAGCACACGGTCGGCAACAGCTCATGCTGAGGGAGGCGACCGCTAAAAGAGATGGAAGAGATAAAAAAGAATCCGTCAGCCAGAGGCTGCTGAAATATCGTGCTCCGATTCCGACCCGCGGCCTTTGACATTGACGACGATCTGTCGGACGACCGCTCATCCGTGAAACCCCCACGTGGCCCCACTACGTCCGGCGCCCCACGTGTGGTGACTCCATTCGACAGTTGAAGCAGCCATTCATTTGGTTGAACCTACGCGATGACTTCCGGGGTTGTGCCAACTAACCGTGAAGAAACAGCTCCCTGTCCTCCTACAGACTCTGAAGTAAATGCTGCTCCTAATTGTGGACGTGCGTGGACTACAAAACGGGGAGTACAATCGAGGTCACCGCCCAGATCAACGACCGAGAGGAACGCTCTGAATTAACATCCTTTCGCCAATTAATTGTACTCGTGGAGAATGAGCTTCAGCTTGAAGCCAAACAAGGTCTTGAAGAATTTCATTTCGCCTATGTACAGATGGTCGAGAACAGGTCTTGAGATATGACACGCCGACAAGTACCCAACATGCTTGTAATTTTCCCGGGTCGTTGTAGCCAATCACTTCCCGCCACCTCGACGGGAAAATCATCGTGTTCAGCTGTTACCTTCACGACAACAGCAGAGCGAACAAAAGTTTGGGTTCAATGCTCTCCATCAGGAGGACCAGACGACCTATTGCTTCAAAGTCGGGTTTGGTGCTTGAAAAATCCGGGTTGGCCCCCAAGGCTTGTCGAGCACCAGTGCTGATGAGTTTCTCCCGGCGCAACCTTCCACATTCGGACGCGAGTAATGCAGATTCGGGAGGTTAGCGGTCGACTTTGGGCAGCATGGCTAGGACGCAATCAGACAATGCGACTATCATCACACGGCTGCTTCGGCGGTTCAATGCCTGATAGGCTGTATAACGTCAACTGCAGCGCCTCATTGCATGATGTGGATCATCTTGGCCAGTCACATCACTTATAGAGGCATAGCTGCAAGATGTTTATCAGACGATTCTTCAGCCTGTGAACCAGCGGCGCCAACGCGACCGTGATGGACTTCATGACCAAAGCCTCCCCACTCCCCTTCTGTTCAGTTTCTACGCCACCGATACGTGCACGGTCTGCCGTCTCGCGAAGTCAGCTCTCCAGAACAACAGCTGTCTCTTTACCAGCAGTCGCGGGCATGCAACCTTTTGCGTTGTCTTTCTCCCTACTTGAAGTCGAGCGTCGAGTTCAAGTTTTCTGTGGACTGCTAGCTGCTATTGTAGACTGCTGCATAAAGCTCATCCGCTAGCGATGGAAGGACCTGGCGGCTATCAAATGTTACGCAGAGAAATTCTGAGCCACTACTTATCAAGACAGCTCCGATATGACGGTAGTTTATCCCCAACAGTCAAGGCGACAACAGCGATGCGACAGCATCAACAATGTGATCGTGGCGCCCCCTGCAGCCACGGCAGAAGCTGCAGCAGGCGTCATTCGGTAAAGCAAATCTCCAGCAGCAACCACGAACACATTGAGATCAAGCCTATGGGAGTCCGGGGACGGCGGTGCTGTGCGACGGAACGGTGTCTTTCCAAGGCCAGCACTTGCCCTGACACCTGAGGGACGCATGACCCAAGGCATACACCAATGATTCCGCGCCGAACTGTCTCACATGATTCCAAGACAGAGCCGGCATCCAGATGTAGAGGTCGATATCAATTACGCCTGACACCCAGCAGGACGATGTCAGTCCATAAGGAGCGTCGTCTACAGTTGAAGTCGTGCTCACGGCAATGTTTAGTGCACTGAGTGTCACCTTTGTCCTCGTTCTGTTGTTTCTTCACCAAGTAGACTAATCAGGATACGCAATCACTAGTCGTTCATAGAATCATGACCTGAATATCTCGCTAGAGCTGCCTTCGCCTTCTGCACGACAAGCCTTGCATCAAATAGCCAGTGCCAGGGCAGGGGGCTCATCCGTGCGCTTTCGCCCCACATTATTCTGCCACCTGGAAATAGACAGTAACAAGCCTCAGATCACGCTCGGCAAGCCAGAGGGCCTCTCTGCAAGAAAAGAACATGGGGTCCTCCAAAGACTTTTGCCTGTCCGCCCCGTGTACCACCACTGCAGGTTGTCCCCGATCTTGTGTGTACAAGGGATGCTCTTGTCTGATCCTGCTTGAGCGATAACAGAAATGGTTCCGAGACTTCCTTAACGAGTCGTTTTCCTTTTCGGACCATTCTAATCCATTCAGGTTTTCGCGACGTAACACCGTCGCGCTTTAGGACAGTTGAGTTTGCAGACGGTATTTCTTCGTGATGTGCTCGATGAAATCGGCGAGATCCCGCGCCACCTTCGTTGTCGAAGATCTTGAACTTTCAGGCAATCACCCGCTCTTGCCCGTTAGTGACAACCTGGTCAGAGACAGCAGTGATGGTGCTGGAGGCAAATTTTGCTTCGTCTGAGTGCTCGGGCAGTGGTAGGAGTGGTGCCGCTGGTGGGCGCCAAAGGGCAGCCTGGGCGGTAGTCGCACAGGCTCTCGAGGCCCTGGTAACGATGTCTTGAACTGCTTGGGTACAGCCCTCGTGCATCGGGCAACCTCGCTCTGCCTTCAGGCGGCGGCGTAGACGAGCGCCGCGACACCAAGTGCATGACCATTGTCTCCTGGTCCGCCCCGCGTCTCGAGCTCAGTGGCAGACTGGGCAGGTTTCTCAAAGTGTCTGAGCCATACCGGAGGCCCACAATGCTGGCTCTCGAGTCTCTATGTGCGGCTTCTGGAGACGCTGCAACACTGAGCGAGCTCTTCTTGTTGCGGCGGTTAATGATGGGACCCAAGACCGCCTTGAGATTTGGTGGGTGCGCTCCCGCTCGATTTTGCACTTCGGTCGTAACGGTCCTTGCAAGGCGCACAAACAGCCTGCTGATCTTGAGTAGGGCCGCGTGGTAGCCTACCCGGACAATGGCGTGTTGTAGGGCGGTGCTGAGGGCGAGCTTGCGTAGTGTGTCGAGGATGTTGTCAGACCAGTCCTGTGGATGTTCAAGGTCGCGCTGGTGGCGTCTCGTCGAGGAAGACGATGTCGTGTTGACGTTGCCGGATCTCTCGTACGTGGCGATGGGGGTGCGCAGCTCCCAGGGCCGTCCCCCACAGAGGGCATGTACACGCTGGCATGCATCTGCCTGTCGCTTCGCTTCTTGAGGGGTGGAGGGGATGCCATCTTGTGGGCTCTGACACGAGCCATGATGCTGTCGTTATGGTGACAAGCCTCTAAAAAGACATCGACAGCGCACTGTCGACGCTGAAGCTACCAAAAGATAGTGACTGTACTGGCTGACAGAGTGTATTGGCTCGTAAGTCAAGAGGTTGACTAGGATATACGGAGAGAGTGTGACTGTGCCGCAGGGACCACGCGGTCACTTGTCGGTGTGGCACTGACAAGCGTCATAAGTCATAGCACAGAAAATTTGCTGGCTACGAGGAGCGATGGTTGCTCTTAGCGACGGGTAACCTGGGGCATCAAGGCGAAGCTTAGAGACAATAACCGATGATCGAAGACATGAACAAGCAGGAACCGATGTGCGATATTTGTGGATCCCCCTGTGTGAGGAGGAAGGCAATGAGTAGGCAAGCTTTCGAGGCCCTATGGGGCATGTGCTTGCGAGAGACGCGGATGGCGGAGCGCTGCTGCAAGCGATGGGGGCAAGGGACTTCTGGAGGGAGCGCGGATGTCATGGCAAAGGCAGATGGATATTTTCATCCTCTTTAGCATATCAGCGGCCAAGCATAGTCTCGGTGCCGGCGCAGAAAGCCACAAATCTCCAAGTGCGCCTTCAGGCCATAGTCAACCCTCAATATAACAGAGAGCGCCCCTTGTGAATGACCGTGATTTGCAACAGCGACGGCTATCACTACCTGATCTGGCTCATCGTGCTGCTAGTGATTTGCGGCTATCAAGCCACCAGAGCCTTGCGTGTCTTGGTGCTGCACCATTACCAACCTGCATGCTCGGCGTGCCAGCCCTGCGAGAGTTAGCCATTGCCAACACAAACACTCACCGCTGCTCGATCTGGGCAGCTCACTGCCAGGTCGTGCAGCAGAGAAACCACTGCTGGATTGGCTCTGGCAAGACTGCTGGGAAAGATTTGGGGCGCAGTTCCAAGCGAGAACTTCCGAGCAACTTTGTGCTGGTTGTGGATGGTTCATAGCAGCACCTTGTACGAGAGAGACGGTACAAGAAGGCCAGTAGTTGACGAGGTTTACGAGGCGCAAATATGAGGTGAGGGCACAGCAACTACAGTGCAATCACTGTCAGCTTGCTCACTTTTGATTGTACCGAGAACGTAGATGACCATTGTGATGATTTGAAACCCAGAGCTTTGACCTGGTGTTGAGGCCAGAACGCTCCCAAGCTCTGAAAGGGGTTTGTCAGCCAACTGTGGCCAATCTTTTCTCGACTTCTGATGGATACGCCCTGCTGCAGCACGCGAGATGTCATCGGAGCTCATCGAGTATATCCCAGGTTCTACCGGTAGTGGCTGGGGGCAGTTCTTGTATTTACGCGCATTCATGTGAGATACAACCACGTCATACCCAGGCACTCTTGGAGGCGTATTTGGCCGGTTGGGGAAATTTTAGATGCCGTATGTGGTCGCAGTATGGCTAGCAAGACGATCAGCTTGGGATTGGCGAGGATGTGTGCTGAAGCGGCCACCATCCGCGGAGAAATCGTGCCCGCGGCTGGTATGAGGTCTTTTACTCGCCGCTTGAGTATGGACTGCACGCCATGGTACAGTCGTCTGCTCTCTGGGTTCCTTCTCAGGTTTGGATCTGTATAGGGACTTCACCATGGTTAGACGCAATGGCAGCAGTTGTGGAGCCTGCGGTCTAGCCCGAGGAGCGCTACCGTGATCTCTTCCCAGGACAGGGAGAGAGGCGGTTCTCTGAGTTCATCTTCTTCTGTCCGCCAATGGCTTCGAGGACGTGTCGCCAATCAACACGTTTTTGAGCTCGCCTCTCTGACTCCAATAATCTGAAAACTTTCAGTTTCGTCAGTCTGAGCGACAGTGACCTCCAAGTGTGCGTGAGGCTGGACGGCAGGCGATGGACTTTGGCTGGTGCCGTGCGAGCGTGGAGCGTTGTTTTGTGGTGGGGCAGTAATGATGTGGTATCTGGGAACTCATCGTTTACGTCCAGAAGCGGCGGCAGTATCGCATTTAAGCTGTTGGCGCGACCGCGTTAATCAAGCAGAGACTACAACAGCTTGCGCTCACTGTCAACAGACAGAACGCTGAATGAGTGACTACAAGGGCTGAAGCGCCTAGAACGACCCAAGCGAACCGGGACACGTCTCACCAATGCATATGAGCCTTTCTGGACACGATCCAGGCATCGGGCATCAGGCGTCCGGCGTCAGGATGCAGGATTCAGTCAGTGAGCAATCAAGGGTGGCAAGGCTCGATGACCAACATAAGCCTAGACAAACGATACACACTGCAGGACCACCTGCTCGATGGGAACATGTGGCCCACCTTCTCATGGTTCAGGCAGTGGTACTTACGCCTTAGCGATCTCCCGAGGCCCGGCAACAGACGCTGAGCCCATTTTCTGTGGTTGGTCAGGAACTCCTATGTGTGGTCTCTGAGGGTATGACCTTGTACTGTATCCACCGACAGAGTGCTTGCTTGCGACAAAAATATCCCTTCGTTGTGCTGACATCTATGTCCCAATATCGTCTTCATCTGTCCTGGAACGGGACCTCATGTAGACCGCAGTGAGTGGACTGGTGACTTTGACACTCGTCCGCGCCAGAGCTCGCTCATCGAGGCGTACAGGGCACCTCGGTTTGCAGCATTCTGGCCGATACAGGAACCCTGACCAGGTCTTGTCCGCTTCCGCTAGCGTGGCCCAGGCTCGCGCTCAAACAGTGACTTCAGTGCAGCGTACCCACAGGCCGTCCGGCTGAGCACTACGTTGGCAACATCTGGACTTGCCTGTCAGGCCTGTTCCGCGTCATGGATGGCGGCTGCCCCACTGATTCACAACAGACTGCACACCACCTCTCGAGTCGCCAGGGATGATGAGAGGACCACTTCTCGGAGGAGACGAGCTGGCGTGCTATTCATTGGCTGGCGCTTTGGCCAGTCCAAGCCTCAAAGTGGCGCCGACTTGAGCTGATTGCAGTCATGGCCTCGTCTTCCGTGGCGAGGGCTGTGATGTCCCATCTCGACAGGCCTTGAAAGCCACATTGGTCATCTTAGTACACCGTTCCCGACGTCAGCTGGAGAAGCAGCCCGCCTGTGGAGTAGCATGGCTCGACAGGGCTATCCCTGCGCGGTGTTGTTCATCTGATGATCCGTCCTGCGGACAGAGCGCAACTTCTCGGCCCTCGGAGGCCTATGTTTATGTTGCTTACCGCCCCACTGCAGGTGATGGGGAGTTGATGATCTCGCTCCTGTTCAGCGGCTGCTTTCTCGTCATTGACTAGTGCACCTTCTATTCCTTTTCCTTACGACTCTGGCAAGTGGGACTACCCCGAGCTGTCAACCATCACGGTGCCAACGCCATTCATAGCCCGGCATGCGTGAGTGGTCATTGACGGCGCCACCAGGCCCACAGACTGGTGTATTTTTACATCATTTTCGGTAACGTCAGTCATTTGTCCACGTGTGACGGCTCAGCTGTTGGATGGTGCTGATATGTCATCCCGTAGTTTCCTTGGGGCACAACGTGGGAGCAACTGAAGCACTACTTCCGCATTGCAACTCAGAAGGTTTTACATGTTGAGGTCAGGCAGGAAGCTGCATGGGGATGGTCAGTGTCCGGGGTCATGCCGAATTCGACAGCATCCTCGGTTGGTCATCTTACACGCTTCGTGCTGCTGTTTATGGCATGCTAAGTCGTTCCCAGATCTCTGTGATAAGTTGCCTTTCGATGGCTCGCGATTATCGCTCTGTCGATGCAACAGCACAAAAGATGTCATCCTGACAGCAGCTGAGAAAGGCTCCCTACTGAAGGGCCACGTAAAGTCGAAATGCCGTTCGCAGCTATTCCTCACTCGCCACGGCCAATCGCAGAGCTCATCATCGCTGCGGCATGATGCATATCTGGGGCCAACTGTTTGCCAGCACGGCACGTTTCCACCTAAGCAAATGCCATTCGAACACCAACTGCCGCCCATTATCTTTTGCCGCGTCATAGGACCTTGGGGGTTTCCAATGTGGGCAATTCGACCGCTCTCTCTCGGACAAGCACACCCCATGCATGAAAGCAATCAGGACTCTAGGGCTGGTCATAGAATGATCGATACAATATACATTGCCGCACCCCCGCCTCCTACTGGGGGCTGTGCGACAGCGGTGATCCAGGTGACGGAGCTCGAGCAGTTCGCGTTTTCCGGAGACATGCTGTCGTCAGCTGCTTCGGTCCTAGGACGAGGACAAGATCATTTGCATGGATGTGCCAGAGATAAAGGGGCCCTCAACCAGAGCGTGATCCTCAACCCAAGATCGTTATTGCCTGCGGGACACACAACGCATTGGCAAATGCAATCAAGCCAGGTCGACCACACAGGCCTGTCACGACCGAAGCGCAAGCCGAATTCAGCCATGACGACAAAGTTCGTGAGCCAACCCTTAAGCCCGCCCTTGAACGCTCGCCAGAGATCGGCGTGCTCCGTCGCCAGCGCAGTCACAACGCGGTTATCGGCAATGACGACCGTGTGAAAGCACAACATTGGAAGTGGCTAAATCGAGCGAGATCCAGCAGCGCACTGAGCTAGTCGAGGTGCTGCACCGCCACACTCAGCTCGTTGACGTCGCCCGGCTGTACAACACACGCAGGCTCGAACCGAACGCCGCAGTTCTGTATCCCACGATAGGCATCCCACGATAGACCTCGACAGCTCATTATTTTTGTCTTTATGGATAATCAAATCGGTCTTTGTTCCGATTCCCAATACCTCGTGTACAAAGTGACTGCCATTGCGAGACGGATTAGACAGCCAGCTAGGATTACGCGATGTAGCTAGCTTGCCACAAGCATCAGTGCCGTGCTCCCTCATCTGACTGCCATGTCTGAGATTCTCTTAACGCCACCAACGACGACCATTCATGATCGAGAGCTGCGGACAGTGGGCCATCCCTATGATGCTCTCTTGGATACCGCCTGATGGCTTGCATGATCCACATCGAGAGTGTCCATGGACGACCGGTGCATAGAACTAGCCTGCCGCAATCCCCGATGATGCACTTGTGTCTGAGGACTAACCTACTGACCTCGTAAAAGCCCATGAGACCGCCTCGGACGTCACCGTCCCCTCGCTGGAGAGGGCCATCGGCAGCAGTCATGCTTACACGCGCAACAATATGATGTCGGTGCCGAACGTTCATGGGCCGGCATCTAGTGTCTGTGGCCCCAATGAAACAGAGTTCCACGAAGCAGCCCATATTGTTGCAAGGTATTACATGCCAACCCATATACCTGCATAAGAGCTTCGACGGGAGTTGATGAAGAGGCTCTCTAATGCTGCATCCCGTGTTGGCTTTACGCCACTTCCTAGATAACACTAAGTCTTGACGTGGGGATGAGCCTGGAGGCGTCTTGCCGACGAGGCGGCTTCAGGCCGCGTTGCACGTAGCACAAGCCTCGTGATCAATACGACAAAGTCTCCCATAACGTTTGCAGTCCATGACCATCGTTCCGATAATTATCAAACATAACTCCACGGGCGCGTGTCCTTCGAAAATATCAGGTAGAGGGTTGTGGAGGAAAGGTATTCCCATGCCCCTCGCGACGTCAGGGCAAGAACTTCAGTAGCATCGTGGCAACTGCCTGCATTACACTATCTCATGTGGTAGTGGCAACTACACCGTGACTGGCGTGATTATTCTGCATCTGCATAGTATTGCCGATTATGAACTCGTCGGCGTGGTCGAATGACCAGTCAAGAGTGAGCGCACCACCATCACCATCACCCGGGCAGAAAAGCGTTTTCAGGCGAGGTAAGACTATCGAGTGGTCGTACCCTCCACCGTCCTTGGGCTCCCTAACCAGCAAACCCCCAATCGTCCGGGACGATGACCAAAGGGTCCAGTCAGTTGTATATAGTTCTTGCCCCTTTTTGTTGTCTTTCACCCATAGATCAGTCAGAGAATGCGTAAGCACCATTCATTTGTAGACTCAGGACATGAAGCTAAAAGTTTTTGCTAGGGCTACCTGCGCATGGAAAACTTGGAATTGAATGGCCAGTTTCATGGCCAACCACTTGGGGGTAGTCAGGAGGCTCATCCCGTCCGCTCACGCCCGGGACTATCCGCCTCAGTGAATGCGAGGGCAACAAACACTAGCGGACTCTCATCAATAGAGACGGCCTCCTCAACGGTCTCAAGGAGAATGGGTTTCTTGACAGATTTATATTCCCAATCATTGTACCTTATCTTTTCCCTGAATGTACAAGGCATGAGGCACAAGGCTCTATATTTGCACGGTGCTAGCTGACCCTTCACAAGTCGGAGCAACAATATTGCTTCTACGTCTATCGGAACGGGCCGTCCCTGTTCCTTGGCTCGTATCGTGACCAGGTTGATCTTTATCTATCAGCGCAAGCCAGGTGCGAAAGACGGATGTACTCACGAGTTCTTGTTTTATTTGGCAAAGCAAAGCCGTATGTTCTTCAGGGCAGTCGTCGTAGCTGATGTAGTCGACTCTGGTGTCGGGTAGGACAGATATTTTCCATGGCAGGGTCTTGTCATTGAAGACTATGGCTTGTTCTCGTAACTCATTATATCGTGTTTCAGCCGTTCTATGCTCTGCTGGGTCGTCTATGGTCTGCTCTACTGAGTCAGCCATTGCATGATCTGCCGGGTCAACATCTCCCAAGATTGTATCCCAGAATGATTCTGTCCCTTCCCTGCGGGGACTGGGTTTGACCGGCTCCATAACGTAGTTGTACACGCAAACTGAGGCGAGGCAGGTGAGAAGTGATTGGGACAAAGGTCGTTGTTCAGAAGATGAGATGTCATGGAGGGCTGAGAGATTCTTCCTGTCAAACGTGCATGGCTTTAATACTTAAACTCTCGGAGGATCTATCCGAGGTTACGTACGTGCCTCAGGGCAGAAGAAGACGTAGCACTCACCCACAGTCATTCCATCTAATCCATATTCTCAGCTGGGATCCTGCCTTGATTCACATGCGGCCAGGACGGGTGGATATGTCCCGAGGCATGTCCAGCCTTCCAGCCATGCAACGGTGCATGCCAAGAACACCTGATTTCTCAAGTCATCTTCAAGGGGAAGACATGTCGGGGGTTGGGAGGTAGTGTACAAGGCTAAACCGAGGAAGCTACGACAGTACCGCACCAACAGGCATGATCGTGTGCATGGGTCGAGGCGAGCCGTCGCCGGGGAGGCTGCCGGTCTGCGTCCTAGACACAATCAACGACCAATGCAACAGGGAACGACCCTTGTTGACTGCCACAGCTCGCAAGAGTGACACGCATCATTACCTGATCGAACCCTTCGTGCATGAGTGGCTGATAATGATGTGTGCCCATCACGCCACAAGAGCCTTGCGTGTCCTCCTGCTGCACCCTGGTCTCAATGCCCTCTTCCATACACGGCACCGTGACCCACGGCCTCGATCCGCGCGCCACTCGTGAAAATATGAGGCCTCAACCATTGCTAACGCAAGCACTCACCGCTGGTCGATCTGGGAGGCCCCCCGTCAGGTGATACAGCAGAGGACGCCTGAATCACATGCGGGCGTCCGTGAGTGGACAGTCTGGCGACTTCGATAATTGTCCACAAGAACACTCTCTACAGCCTTGGCCATTCGTCGCCGTATATCTCCCCCCGAGACAATGAACGTCAATCAACATTGCTGCCCTCGCTCGAACCATGCAGCAAACAGCCGGCTCCACATGTGAATGCTCAGTCAAAATGATGCCAAGAGACATGATGATTGCCATTAAGTTCAAGCTGTGCAGAACCATCTGTCTGCCTTCTCGCTAGTGTCTAAACCACGTCTCTTTCGACCGCACCTCGTTCAAACCCTCCTGTCTCAACTGCTCCAGTCTCAACTGCTCCTGCTCCTGCTCCTGCTTCTTCGTGCGGTTTTCCTCCTGCTTCTGTCTGACGGAATCCACGACTGGCTTCTCTGCCTCATACAGGTTCGTATACAGTTTGGTCTCGAAGAACGTGGCACCCTCTCCATCTTTCACAATGATGGACGGCGTCCATGATTCGTCTTGCGGAGATAAACGAGCTTCCGCGCTGAGGAAGGTTTGCCCCACGAACACTTGTCTCCCGGTCTCCAAGTGCTCCCTGCCCAGAGCATACGCCCAGTTGCGTGAAATCTGCCGTGCTTCTTCCTTGTCTTTTGTCGGCACAGTGGCGCCCGTCAGCGAACCCCCCAAACTCACGTACGCGATCGCTGCCAGGGGAGCCGCCAGCTCTTGCGAAGAGGTGGAGTTGCCGCATCGATGCTCCGGCCAATATTCGTCCATGGCACTGAGCGATATGTTGTACTTGACTGCCCAAACCTGGAGGGCGATACAAGTCAGGTAGGAGGTCTTCCCATCCGTCCCTCCTTCCTTCACCAAGTCGTGGCAGTGGGTGACCACAGCCTGCAAGTCCTCACGGGCTTTGTCTTTCTTCTCCAGCTTATCCAAAGCGCCAAGACCATCGCAGCTCAGCAATGGAAATCTAGGCGGGGAACCCATCTCAGCCGGCACCTCGATCCCCAGCTTCTTGCAAAAGCTTTGCTGCAGGTCGCTCGTCTCTTTGTCCATCCTTCCTGTATACTGCTTTCTTTTATGATTGAATAGACAGGTTGTTGTTGACGTTGTTGACGCTGTTGACGTTGTTGACGCTGTTGACGTTGTTGACGCTGTTGACGTTGTTGACGCTGTTGACGTTGTTGACGTTGTTGCGCGTGCTGCTGTGGTTTGCTCTGTAAAGTGTGAGGAAGGAAAGGAAGACCATCTTTCTCCAGATGGACCTGAGCAGCGGTTTGCCTTTATATGTCGGAAGCCAGACACTTGTGCCGAGACTCGGGTTTCACGAAGCTGACTTGTGCCAAGAGTGGTTCACGCCCCAGCGGATACAAGCGAGGCACCCTCAAGTGGTTTGATGAGGCTGCAGCGCGGTTGCATCAGACTGCGAGCGTCATGCAGTACGGTAGTAGGTCAGGCTCTCCCAGCCCAGAACAGGGCATCAGGGACTGACCCACCAGAACGTGGTCTTTGCCAGGAATGCAATAGCTGCCTCGCCTCTGCGGACTTGGAAGCTGTTGGAGTCCCTGTCATGCGGCCCAAGGTGTGCTGGCGGTTTGGCAGAAAGCTTCCGGCGCATACATCCACATGCATGATCGTGTACATGGGTGAGTTGGGTCGTCCCCGGGAAGGCTGCCGGTCTGCTTCCAAGACACAACCAAGGATCAATGCAACAGGAAGCACCCTTGCTAGCGACCGTGGCCCGCAAGAATGAGGAGCATCACTACCTGATCTGATCCTCGCGCATGGCGACTGATAGTAATGTGCGGCCATCATGCCGCAAGAGCCTTGCCTGCTTGGTATTGCACCAGAGTCCCTATCCCTCCTTCATGCACGGTTGCCTGACCCTGCATCCCTAATGCGCGAGTCGAGAAGTGCGAGGTTTAGCCATTGCTAACGCAGCACTCACCGCTGGTTGATCTGGGAGGCTCACCGTAAGGTCGTGCAGCAGACCAACTACTGTTGGGTCGCATTGCGTTGTATGCCTCACGGTCAAGCTTGGCTTGTCCACTCGGTGAGGCCGCGCGTGGCTGCGGCCCAGTCATGGGGGCAACGAGGGACGTCGTCACAGGAACTCCATCATGCTCACACCCTCTGGCTTTGGCCTGACAGCGTGGCTTCCTGGCGCATGCGCACACGGGTCAACCCTGGGACGAGGGTCTAAGACTGCGGAGGAGCACCCGCTGTGTCCCCAGTAAGGCTGGGCTTATGCCAACAACAGGAGAAGCATTTCGGCTGCAGTGGAAAGCGAGCCGATTCGCAGCTTTGTGCTAGTTGCGCATGGCAGTAGTGAAGCATCGGAAGCAGTACCCTGAATGAGCCGGTCGAATGCAGCCGCTGAGACACGGCCCCGGCCATGGCACCTCCGCCTCAACGATCTGCCCAGGGCCAGCTTCGGTGGTTGATTTGACGCTCCTGAGAGCGGCTTCGTCGACATGATCTCACTGTGTACCCACAGACAGAGTGCTTGCTTGCAATGACATGCAACCCTCCGCTGCACTGGCTCTCATTGTCCAGTCGACACCCCTGCAGCAGTGAGTACGTCGATACTGCTATCGGATCGAGGCTTACCCAGCCTTCCTACCGCTCAAGCCATGCACCGGTACAGCAATCGCACGGGTGATGTCACTGCATACCACGCACAGCTGATCGCTTCACTCGCCTTCAGGGGAAAGACATGTATTGCTGTATTGCCTCATTGTCCAATCGACCGTCCTCCTCTGCCCTTGACCGGGGATGTCATATGCCGGGGTTGCAGTGGACGGACCGGCGACTTCGACACTTGTCTGCACGAGAGCACGCTCTGCAGCCTTGGCCATTTGTCGTTGCACATCCCTCATTTAGACATACGGGGTACCCCAGTATGCCGCATCCCGGCAGACACGGGGACCCTTCCCGGGTCTTGCCCATCACACACGCGCTGCCACTAGGGCGGCCCACAACCGTGCTTGCGCTCGAAGAGTGACTTCAGTGCGACGTACCCACAGGCCTAGCCGCCCAGCCTCGCATTACGTCTGCGGCATCTGGGCGTGCCTTTTCAGCCTCGCGGCCCACGGACGGCGTACCCCTGCCTGACTGCCGCGTGGAGGAACATGACCCGCAAGGATATCCCATGCTTGCTGTAGACAGAGTGCAACTTCTGGGTTCTCGCAGGGCACTGTCCATGCTGGCCACCTGCCCACCGCAGGGATCTGGACATTCGAACCGCTGTTTGCAGCCATTCCTCAATCACCACGGCCAATCCTAGAGCACTTCACCGAAGACTGTCTCTTTCGCTCATGCCGGCGAGCAAGGTACATGGACACAGTAGCTCGATACTCTCGTATGGCTTTTCGACAGCAGGATCGGCGCGGAGCGGCGCGAGTGGATCTTGAATGAGTATGCATTATATTTCTCGTTCTACCAGGTCCTGGCTCCAGCCTTGACTATCGACAAGTTTGCAGAGCGCCGGGCAGTGGATTGCTCAGCGTGAACTGATAAGCCCAGTCGGTGACGGTCGACTGTGCGTGGACGAAGCAAGTAGACGAGAAACTAATCTTGGCCATTGCGATGTTGTACTTTTCACGGTTGGAGATGTCGAAGTCCCGATTGGTCTCGCGGGCCAGAACATGAGGGAACGACGGGGGACGCACAGAGAGTGGGGCCGGGGAAGGGGAAGCGGGAGAAGGTTGGTCCAAGGTGAGATGCAGCAAACGAAAGCAGGGGTGTAATCAGCCAGCCGTGCCAGGGGCCACTCATGGCGCGACGAGGCGCGATGGTGTGCGGCCTGGTACCAGGTCAGTACATTAGTTGGAGCAGGGGAACTCGGCCAGCTGGCAGCGTGCGCACGACCGAGACCATGCACAATAGATCAAGCCTTATTTGCCCGTTCCGCATGTGCTTCTCGCATGCACCTTGCTTAGAGCTCCTGCTCACTCAGTCATTCCAGCCAAACAATGAGCTTTGTTACCAATCCGGCGAGCAGTCCCTTTCCGCAGTGGAAATGACGCACATGCCGTTCGACTGCAAGTGTCTTCCGAGAAGTGCTACCAAGACTTCGTAGGCACGAGCTTTCTCTCCTTCTCATTGAAACCCCTCCAGCACAGCCGAGAAGGTCACCGCTTCACTGGCCCAGCGAAGACCTTGTGAGCAGAAGATGGCGCACTCTTGAGAGAACAATCGACTGTCAAGAATACTCCAGACGGCATCATTATGGCACACAAGATGTAAGTACCAGCGAATCCAGCCTCAAAATCTGATCACCCATGTCTAAAACGCATCAACACATAGCTCGAATCCAGAGGGCTTTACGCCAGCACACGCCGGTCGCAGTGACCGAGCACCCCACACGCCAACTCCAATCTCCCACGAGACTCAGAAGCCGACGGGAATGCCGATATCCGAAACTGGACAGCATAACAGGCCGGACATTCGAGCAATTTGGGGGGTACCCCCATCTGAGAATCGTCAATTCAATGGAGATACCTACACTGCTCGAGAGAGTCTCCCAAAACTCATCAGCCCGCAAGGGGACCCGTGGTTGAGACAGCCAGCATGCGAAGCTGAATACCACCTCAACGGCAGGACGCCGGTGGCTTCGTTCGCCCACTTCGCCAAGGTTGGCTTTAATGAGCCAGGCTCAGAGGCACGGTCCATGAAAACAGGCGGAGAATGGTCAGCAGATGAGAAGGCCGTAGCGGTTCGCGCGTTGATGAACCGGCGGTCCGCCTGGGAAGATGTCGAAGTCTTTCTGCCAGGGAGAACTCGGCACGGTTACGAGCAAGTGTCCGGTCGGTTGAAACAGGTGTTGATCGAAAAAGGCCCCGAGGTCATCGAGATATGGGACAAGTACGTACAAAACCCCTTCTCGAGACGCCGAAACAGTGCATGCACCATCTGACACGACATAGATATCGTGAAATATTTTGGGCAGAAGCACGAGCCATGAACCTCGATATAGCAACGGCACAGGCAATCGGAGAAGTATACGGCTCTCGGAGTTTAGAAGAAGCTATACGAGCCAGACAAGCTAGAGAAGCAACAAGAGCTAAACAATCCGAACAGCCCAAGCAATGCATATATTGCAAAACCCAAATTACCTGGAAGTGGTATTATATTAGCAGCGAACCCACATGTAACAGCTGCAACAAGAGAATCAAGAAGTCAATACTCAAGGAGAGGCTCGCCAGTGGGAAGAAGTTCTTTGAGGATCAGAGAAAAACTCCCACATCCGAACCTGAGGATGAGGCGACAGTGGTGAGTAACACCCACGATAGATCCCAGATGGCGAGAAGATTGAGGAAACTAACAGACCCCATCAGCGCCTCCGCCTACAGCGACGGGATGCCCAGCGAGCATACAGAGAACGACAAATGTTTCCACTAGCTCCGTCTGCCTCGAAGCTACCGATGCTGCCATCCCTTCGAGAACCTTCGGAGCCGATGGGCCAGCATCTGATGTCTGGCCCTATTCAATACCACAATCCATTCCATGGAGACACCAACATTGCTCCAAAGATCAGACCGCCACCATGGACAGTAAATGAGAAGACCATAGTACTTCACGCTATTGTAGAAGGGTGGGCCACCTGGGAAAATGTCGAAAGGTTTCTACCAGGGAGAACTAAGGCCGGTTACGACAAAGTGTTCGCTTGGTTGGAACAGGTGTTGAAAAGGCAAGGCCAAGACGTCATCGAAATATGGGACAAGTACGTACAAAACCCTCTTCAGACGCCGAAACAGTGCATGCACCATCTGACACGACATAGACATCGTGAAGCATTTTGGGCAGAAGCACGAGCCATGAACCTCGATGCAGCAACGGCACAGGCAATCGGGGAAGTATGCGGTTCTCGGAGTCCAGACGAAGCTGAACGAGCCAGACGGGACAGAGAAGAAACAAGAGCCAGAAAACCCGGGCAAATGGAATGCAAATATTGCAGAACCCAGGTTTCCTCCAGGTGGCATTCTAAAAGCAGCACACCCACATGTAACGCCTGCCAACAGAGGTTCGCCAAGTTGAAGCTCGAGGAGGAGCTCGCCAGAGAGATCTCGGAGGGTCAGGAACAGGCGCAGTCGAGTCAAATCACGAACCCGACCACATCCTTTCAACAACCATATGAGTGGGGAACTGCGGTCGTGCATGACAATGGTCGCACGACGACCTTTGGAGGGTGGTAAGCAGTGCAGAGAGACGTGGAAGCTCAGATGGTGATGCGCGGGTCTACATAGCAAGCAGTAATATACGATTTGAATTAGTGGAAAGAGGCAAACGGCAGGCTGAAGAGCCTTGATTATTGTTTGAGCGGGAAAAGTGTCAAGTCCAGAGAGTCCTGATTCTAGGCCACCCACAAGCCGCACGCCCTGTTCTCCACGAGGGACACTTGTCGCCTCCAACCTCTATCCACCCAAAACGCACGACGGGTTCTGGCTGCGAGAAAGTCATGGACGACAGCAGGGAGCTTTGTGGCAACGGGGACTACGATTTCTACAAGAAGGCCTTACCTGATGAGGACTCGTTCACGAAGCCCATTCTTGTTGCTACCTGTTCTGACCAGCGTGATCAGTGGAAGGGTGAAGCCAGATGTAAGCACCAGCTAGCCACCGCACCCGGAAACTGATGTGAATCTGGGGCGCTCACACGTGATGACTGGCCAGCGAAGTGTTCAGCAAAGCGCAGTGACCGTGGACATCGTGATCGGGATCAGTGTAATCAGAGTCTAAACATTGCTCAGCGGTCCACAGCATGGGTGTGGAAAAGGCGCCCAGTCAAGATCCGCGGGAGTGCTCCGCGTTCCGTCCAGACAAGGCGGCAGGGGCGGGTCATGAGCGAAGCTCAGCTAATCGTTCGCGGCCCTTGCATGAGCCCTGCTCGGGAGCAGGCCCTGTCTTGGTGCCTCTCCACAACGCTGATCCCTGAAGACGTAGTGCCGGCTTCGTGACATGGAGGAGCCAAACCAGAGGGAGTCTTGGCTTAAGGCTTAGCGAGACACTGCAGCCGACACGACTAACCTTTAGACGGCCAGCCAATAACTTACGAGTCGCGCCTCAGTGAGCTTGGCGACATGCGTCCATGTGGGACATGGATAGACGGTCCATTCACAATGTCAGGTAGTCAGGCAGGTTGACTGGCTGTTGACGATGATGCTGAAGGCCAGCGCGGGCTACGGTCTTTCCTACTGCAGAATTGGCGCACATTCCCTAGCAGCAGCTCGATGCGCATGAGAGTCTTCTTCGTCTCAATCGGACGAGGTGTGCGTACTCAGATTCGTGGGTTGACCCGCTACATGAGGCAGCCCTTGCACACTGAGGCCTGGCCATCAGGAAGCCATCCTCAGACACTGCCCTGCGCGGCGCTAGTGCGGGTGAGTGTGCCATGGTGTGCATGCGCGGGTGTTCTTCGTGGACTGGGCTTCTCCGTCGCTGCTTATGTATCACTTCGTGCAGCCAATCAGCGAAGACAAGTCGGGAATTCGTAGTAATTGATAGGCGATAAAAAGGCGCTGGATGTCTGCACTACTCTTTGCGTAAACACCAACGCGCAGCCCCCGGGATCGCCTCAACACACTGGCATATCATGCCGGCCCAACCCGCTTGAGTCTCACCGCGATATATTCTGTTGGCAGCAACCTGTCATCATCCCCTTCAGGTCGCATCCATCGCTCGTCGCCAGTCAGTTCGCACAATTCTTTGCCGGTCACATCATGCTTTTACGGCTTGTATTTGGGACTCTCCTGGGTGCATTGTTCCTGACGTTCCGGTGGTGTGTTAGTAATGGTCAAGCTTCATCTTCTAATGTTTATACGGACCTGGAGTGTGAGTCGCACAAGTCGTGACACTCGGGGCTGGGGCCATGTTGAGCCTTGACGTGTCGGCTTCGTCGTGGGACGCAGTAATAACTGTAACGGTCTGAAAAAACTTGGCGATGTTAGATGACGTGGTTAAAAGGCTGGTAGTGACGTACGTCTGTCCCAGAGACGTCCGAGCAACCTAGTGATTCAAATTCCTTCTTGACCTCGACGGTGATATGAATCCTATTATTAGGCTGTGCCATGCTGATGTTGTGTCGGAGCCGTAGGCAAGTGATGTGAGGAGCTGTTGCGAAGCCGGAAGAAGGACAAGAAGGTACATGAACATGCCGCATGTTGCGACCCAATGTGACTAGACGGCACGAACGGGGAAGCTCTTTATACCCGGCCATGGCAACAGGACATCGAGCAGGACCGCACTCACACTCGATACCGATCTACTGGTGACAATGGTACCATCACAGTTCCTTGCCGATAGCCAATGATGCCGGGACTCTGGTGCAAGGAAGTAGCACGGCCAGCTGTTCGGTGGGTGGTAATCGCACGGGAGACTTCCCCGTGCCTGGTCGCTCGCTGCCCCGCCCGAGCGTTGCAGGGGCTCCGGCGCTCATGCGCCACCTATCCCCACCATAGCACATGCCAACGCAGGCTTCGTGCTTTGCAATTGGCTGCATTGCACCCTGACAAGAAGTCGAGTGCTCGCCTGCGAGAAAGCCATTCGAGACGCCGTTGGGGTAGTCAAGCTCGGATGCGCAACGCTGCAAGTTTGCGGCGGCCTGTCCACTGACTCCGCCATGCGGTTTGGGAAGGGATCCATGCCACCTTGAAATGTGTGTCATAATTGAAAGGAGGTATGTTGCATTGCAATGTGCATGTCATGATCAAGCCCAGCGAAGCCGTGCCGGTGCGAGAGAGATGTGAGAGGGTCAATGCTTCACTCGACGTCATTCTAAGGGCTGTGTGGGCCTGGGGAACTGTACCTGAACGTGTCAGTGCACATGCATGGGCCACATCAGCCGCTCCCAGACAGCAGCCGGTCTGCTTCGCAAACAGGACCCAGCAAGGACATCCCTGTGAGGCTGTCAGTATGATGCTTTCTGTGAACACGGCGCAACTTCTCTGCTTTTCGCAGGGAAGGGCCATGTAGCTGCAGCTCAAGTGCAGCCATCTGGCCCTTCGGATCGGGGTCAAGGCGCCAGGGGTTGGACAGGCCACTCCGCCCCTGTTCGGCCACTGCCTTCAGCAGAGCTTTCTCGTCCTCGTCTAGCGCGCATTCTCTTCCTTCCCTCATGACTCTGGCAAGCGCGACAACTGTCAACCATCACGGCGCCTACGCCAGTCGTCACTCCATCTCGCCCAACATGGCCGTGTGGGCGGTGGTGTTGCCGCCCAGCCGAGAGACTGGTGTATTTCACATATTTTTTGACGTAAGTCATCGGTTCAAGTGTGCTGCGCCACCTGCACACCAGCGCTCACATGTTGTCCGCCAGCTGCCTCTCCCCACGTGGCAATCTCCAAGCGATCACTTCGGAGGAGCTGGTACGGAGATAATCCATGTTGAGATCCACGGTTCTCGTGGATTTGGATGGGTCAGTGTCCGCGGCGAAGAAGGATATCAGAAGTTTATGGGTCCGTCGGATCGACATCCCTATTCTCTTTCATGTTATGCTCAGCCTCTCACAGATTTTCGCACCAAGAACTTCTTCGGTACACAGCCACCTTGGACCTTTGGAGTGAATAGGGGGAGCTACCTCGAGCTCCAAGCAGTTAACAAAGATTCTCTTTTGAAAGGTCTCACTGAAGCATGGAAGAACGATTTGCGGTCAAGGATCGAGCTCTGCGGGGAAATGCAGTGCTTGCGCCCTCCCCAACAGTTCCCACAGCCGATCTATCATTCTCCAGCACCACCTCCACTTCCACATCTCGTTCCTGGCCGGTACGGCAGCACTGCTGGGGTACATGGCCACGGGATGGTTGTCACGAGTTACGCTCCCTACCCACCAATTCCTAGGCGCCTCTCTATGCTATGAGCTCTGAGACAGCAGCAATTGAGGCGCAGGAGATCGAGAAGCTCGCGTCACGTATGGGGATGCTGCGGACGGCCGCTCCAGCTTGGCCGTCGCCATACGAAGCATTCCGAGGACGGCGATAGGCTCATCCAGTGCGCCTCGACCGGTCAGGGGTTTTCCGGTGCGACCTCCTGAGAGAGCGCACCCTGGTCTACGGCACGTCGATGGAACAAGGGGAGATAACACACGCCGCGACCAAATGGCTGGTGTTCTCGTCGTCCGTGGCAACTCCAACGCATCCGCAAACGTGACCACCCCGGGTCAGAGTGCTCGTTAGTTGTAGTATTATGGATAATCAAGCTTATGTGTTTCGATGTTCAGTTGTAATGATCCCATGCGGCGCACGCCTCGAGCGTTGAGATCCAAGCCATGGGCCAAGTCACGCCTGCTCTCCCACGAAGGCAACCGTCGCGTCTCTCGACCTCTACCCAAAAGCCACGGCAGCTCCCCCAACCATCCATATCCCAGTCTGCGACACATTGATGGTGACTCGAGCGTTGATTCTGAACTGGTGTTGACAGACGTGTCTTCTCCCAAAGGTGGGGAAGTACAGAGTCCAACCCTCTCGGACGGAGCTTTCAAGACATTAGCACGTGTAGGAAGGCTCAAGTTGACAGGCGAACTGACCCAGGTTCATTCGAGTGACTCCAAGTACAGACGAATCGCGCCAGGTATCGCCAAGACAGCAGAGACGAGGCGATCCCAGGCGAAGGTGCCGCGTCCCGTAGTTGGAGCACATGGTCGAAGATCTCCGACACTTCTGATTTCTTCTCGGCCGAGACTTCAAAATACTGGCACTTCAACTCAGCTTTCACTTGTGCCACGGTTCTCGCTCTCTGTGCTTCAACGATGGCCATTCCTTCTAGCTTGTCACATTTGTTGCCTACGAGGACGTATTTCGCCTTGTCGGAAGGCTCACCGGCGAACGACCGGACGTTCATAAGTGTCGGAAGCTGAGTGACATCGAATACGAGCACAATGACATCGGCAGTGCGTATATGACCTGGGGCATCTGGGTGTGCTATGACACCCGAAGTGTCGATAATCGTGGCTGGGTATCTCTTCCGTTCCGGGAGGTGAACGTCCAATTGAGTAGGGTCATACTGGATATGTTAATTCAGGTAATTTGAATGTCCAGAGAGACTCACATCATCCAGGAACATCTCATGCCGATATTGGTATATCAAGGTAGACTTTCCCACACCTCCATCCCCGCAGAAGACGACCTTCCAGGTGTTCGGCGTTCGCCGTGACATGGTGAACCGTAAGGTGCTGCTTGTGAGAACTTTTGGAGCGTGAATATGCAGGACTTTCTAAACTAGAACCAGCGCAAGAAAAGATAGAGTGCTCCTGCATGAGGCAGGCGCCTGCTGTCACGAGCTGCATGCGACCGACCTGAGTGCGGTGATATATGCACTGCTGCCCCTAATAGCGAGTACCGTGCAGCGCCTCTCGGGCCAGGGTCGGTCCCGCGCCCCAGTCCTTCAGGGCTGGCCCTGGACCAGAATTGCAGTGGCACATTGCAGGATCCACTCAAATGGGATGACCAGGACGGTTCATGTGCAAGCAGTCTAAACATCTGCTCAGCAGTCTACCGTATGGCACAGCAGGGGTGTGGGAAACAGCCCAGTCACAACCGCGGGAGTGCTCCGCGTTCCATCGAGGCGAGGCGCGGTAGGCGAGAGTCATGAGCCAAGCTCAGCTAGTCGTTCGCGCCCTTGCATGAGTCCTGCTCGGGAACAAACCCTGTCTTGGGGCCTGTCTACAACGCCGATCCCCGAAGACGCAGTGCCGGCTTCGTGACGCGGAGGAGCCAAATCCAGAGCGGGTCTTAGCTTAAGGCTTAGCGAGACACGGCAGCCAACAGGACGACTAACCTCTAGATGGCCAGCCGATACCATCCAAGGTGAGGGATCCCCTCCATCCTTGTTCTCCTCATCCTTGGGGAGTCTGGCCGTCACTTGACCGCCCCTCTCTGTGCCAGGGCTTGGTGGTCGTTGTAGGCCACTCAGCCATTGATCGGCCCAGCCCTGGGCGAGCCGGAATGTCCCTAGAGACCAGGGTGCCAGGCTGTGGGTGAGCTGCCGCAAGTCTGCTCATGTCCGAGACACATGCATCTTGGGATGAGCATGGAAGCTTCCGTCCATTCACTACATGAACTTTTGGAGCCACGCAGCTTCTCAGGCAGGCCGGGGTGGTAGTGAAGAAAAACAATAGACCGAAGGCACCAAGGGTGACCAGCGCAGGGGTAGCGCTGAGAGTCGCTTGCGCCAGCGTTCAATGTGAGGTCGAGATAACATGCAATGCGCCACTATCTAGTTGACCGCAACCACCTGACAGGCTACCCTGGCAGACACATCTACTCCCAAGCGGAATCCTAGCGCGCCACTGTCAGATCCACGATTTGCCGGCTAGTGCCATAGGCTGTGGCCGATTGCGATGACGCCTCGAAGCTCAGCATATTTGCTGGTCAACGTGCACCCACACAGGTGGATAGACCGAAAAGGATGCACGACTTCCAGACGGAGCTGTATGAGCTTGGTCCAGACCCGACCCGCGTCCGCCAGACAGCTGTCCCTGTAAAGTTCCAAGACCCCCGAGCATCGACTTCGAAAGTCGCTACTTCCCGTCAGATGATCGGAGTAGGAGACAATGGCATAACAGGCCCGTCTGGACTTCGCGTGCGCTTCGAACATCTTGGCAGTGGCGTCATTGGCCTTGTAGAGCGCCGTGGCTGATTTCAAGGCCCGCACCAGGTCCCGAGGGCCGCGCCAAGTCAAGTAACACCAGAGACCACTCACAACACACATGCTTGCAAGGTCAATGAAGTCTCGGCTTATGACAAAATCCTGGTGTTCGTCGTGTGCTCGACTCATGGCGGCTCTCTCTGGCAGAGTCATGGGCTGCGAGGCATCCTCGCTGATGTTTGTCAGTCCACAAGGCCGGGAAGTTTTCGAGGACGCTGACACTCACAATTTCTTGTCTCGCTCCCTTCTGGCGTCCTGATCCCCTATGGTAGTGCTCATGATTTGCCTCCCGCTCCAGCAGACCCAAAATCCGACGAGCAATGCGACTACCCAACAATCCCAGGAGACGAGTGTGGGCAAGAACTGCAGCACCGCGCCGATGATCGTGAAGGGGCCATGTACATACGTTCCCAGAGAAGTCGTCTTTTTCAGTCCTTTTCTCTTTTCCTTGGTGAATACGTCGTGGTTGTTCGTTGTGTCGTCCATGGCATCTGGCCCCGGCAAGCCTTCCGTGACTGCACGGAAAACCATCTCGTCCAGTACTCGGTCTAGCGGTGCCCAGCAGCTGGTCCCAAATTTCTGTGCTAGCACATACACTACCATCTGCCAAAGCGGGTTGGGAAGGTGAAGTGGTAGCATATCAATGCCTAACGTGCAAAGGTCCAGCACGAAACATAGGACATAGATCGTCTGGACGAGGAGCCTCTTGGGAGTGCATCTTGGAGACGTGGAATTTGCGCCCTCCGTGCCAACCGGAAGGCCTGGCTCGAGGTCAGGCGTAAGTAGAGACGTAGTCTCATGTGTGGGAGCCATTGCGGCAAGGCACAAACATCTGTGTGAACACATCTCTCGTCCTCGGGTTGGTCCAGATCACGTTATATGGACATTCTCGCAGCTGCAGGACAACGCATCTGATTTGCACGGATGGTGTCGTCGAGTCGCAGCGACTTCGCAATTCGAAGTACGGGAACATGTCCAGCCAGCTGCAGGTTTGGCTCCTCCGTTCAGACGTGGGTGATATGCAAGAGGCATCCGTTCAAGCACGCATCTGCAGCTGCATGCCTGGGGGGGCCGGAACCACATTCAGGCGCGCTCCCAAACGCGTGCCAACTGGACCGCACATGCTGCTCAAGGCCTGCTTCGGGCCCCTTTCGACAAGTTTTCCGCAGACCTCGACGATGATCGTTCGTCACGCTCATTTTGATAGTCCTTTGTCTAATGCTTGCAGGCCAGAGCAGGGGGCCGGTAGGAAAGGTGTGCACAATGCAACATCCGTGGCCTTGACTACACCTTCGTGCTTTGTCCGTTATCCTCAGCTCATGCCGGGCCGCGAAATGTTGAGAGGGTCACTTCTACTGTTTCTGTGGTTTGTTCGCGCTCCCTATTCCGATAATGACCCCTGTTGACTGACGTGCTGCAAGCGCCACGCCTGGAGAACCATCCCACGATGCGAGGTCTGCCAAGCTATTTCCCACCTCCGGCGAAAAAGCGTGGGCCACAGTTATCAGCGACAAAACACCATGTTGTGGATTTGCAGTACAGAACGACACACGGCGGTGATCGGGGTCAGAAAACGCCGGAGTGTGGAGTTCAGCGGACGGCCAGACAGGTTTGCATGCAGCTGGGTCTGATCGGCTTCCTCGTGCGGGGTTGGCGGGTCAACTTAAGGTGGAGCAATTGGCCTATTTTCTACGGTCAAGAGGGCAGCGCTTCCTTTGTCCGCGCGTCTTTTCATCGTCGACATCTTTACCAACCACGATATGGACACCACTAATGTCAACATCAAAAGCTTCGCCAAAAATTTCTCTACTGCTGTAAACAAGTACAAACATAAACCCTCATCGTTCGATAAGGAATGGAAGGAGTCCGACCAGACAATACCCAGCATCCTGAAAGCGGCGCTGAGATGTCGTGCCATCAAGCAGCGCAGTAGATAGCGAGAGTGGCTGACTGTGTAGATAGTTGACCCGCACGCCACAGGGCACATCCCCCCCGCCCCCCGGGAACCCTCGTGGCCCTAGGGATGTCTCACAAGCGCGAGAAGGTGTCAGGCGCGAGCTGAAGTGACCAAGGCGAGCAGATCGTCCAACGTGCTCAGTTGGAGTCACCCGTATCTGGTCCTACAGCGAGAGAAAGGGGGACAGGCTAATGTCATTGAGGGTGAGGCCAATCGCGTTTTTGCAGAGTGTCCGCGTTCCCGGTGCCACCCTCTTGGCACGCTGGGGGCACTCATTCAGCTAAATGCCAAGCCGGGGACAAGATCCCTTCTGCATGCTGGGGTACCTGCCTCGCTAGCTTACCAAGTCCTTACAGCATGCATACTGCGTAAGGCGTCATTGGCCTAGAATTCCAGCCCCCAAGCGGGTCCGCTAGCGCACTTGATGGCATGAAAACTGACTGAGGGGATGCCAACACGACTGCTTTGGCACGGAGATTAATAGGTCACACGCACACAGCCGAGTCGAGCTCTGCAAGCAGCTGTTTCTTGGTATTACACTATGCTTAGGACACGCAATCAAATCCGTAAACCCACCTACCTTATCTGAATGTGCACAGTGCTCACTACGTCAACCGGGACATCTCTTGGCCCCTACGAGATGGTGACAAGCAAGGGTCGAGCATGGTGATTACAGAAGGCTCAAGGCAACCAGGTTCAGGCCGCACGTTGATCCTGGGGACAACCAATTGGACGAGCTGTCATGTCCTCAGGGACCTAAGGTGGCCGTTTCCCAAGACACGGCGATGTCGAGTCTCGTACCAAAAGCCTGCCGATCCGGATCGTCACCTGCAGACAACACTGCATCTGGTCTCTTGCCTGCAGACTATCCTCTAGAGTCGAGCCGTGTGGTTCAATGGCAGACGGCCCGCTCATGTGGTGTCCGACGCCACCCGCGTGGTCCAGCTGAGCCGTGAAATGCAGTGGTCTCCATTGTACATCAGTGCACATGCAGCAAGACACGCCAGGTCGATCAAGTCTGCACATGGCCACAAGAATAGTCTGAGGGCGTTTGGATCTTGTCTCTCACCAAGTGGGGGTGCATCCGGGCATGCGCCAGGCGCGACAGTTTCCCAGCCGCAGTCGGAACGTGATGTGCAATACGTGCTTCTTTCATTGTGTTGGCGGCCAGTCAGCTACCACAACAACCGATGTCATTTCGATTGTGATATCTTTCTTGCTGTCGTGCTTTGGCCATGGATGTGTTGCGTGTTTCGTAAACATGAGAGTGTTGTGAATTTGAGACTGGATGTTCTGGTCCAACTTCGATTGCGGCTTGCACTGCTTTTAAAGGATGGAATGCAGCCGTCAACATTGCGCACCCATGTGATTCGTTCTGGATCATCCTAGTCTGCAGCTGCACCGGAGCAGTCGTGGAGTTTGGACATCAGGGCCTTCGTTATCTTATCACCTGGCATGAGTAGGATGTACAACAAGCTCGGCATTCTGCACGGTGTTGGGTGCTTTCTTGAGGGGTCTTGCGGCTGTACAGCCTGCGCGTCATATAATTGGCGAGGACTCATTATCCCCCCAGATGACCCTGCAATACTGCAGTGGTACACGCACTAGGTCCACAAATGATGTATCGGGGACGCTCGGAAGTACTCGGCGCTCGTCGACATCGGACGATCGGCCGATATCATCTTCAGCCATTGTCTGACAACTGGTGGAGCTGGCGCATTCTCGGGAGCAGAAGGAAACTCAGTCAACCAAACGTGTAGCACATACTATTGTGCAGGTCTGCTTGTCGTGGCGAGTGCAAGGGCAGCGTTACAAAATTCGGCCTACGACCATAGTAAATACAGACCAATTTTTGAAATCCGATTTCTACAATGTACTTAAGTTCAGTAGACCCACAAAAATCATGCAGCAGGTTTGAGCGCCAAAATACTCCATCATCCTACTCCCAAGAAACTGCTGTTGACATGATACCAAAAATCCTCCAGAGACGTCAAGCACGCTATGCTTGAGGACACTTAGGCATATCTGTGCCTATAATTTCTGACAAATCCCTTATCTGCGGTATTGGTGCGTTTTCCTATCCTTGCCCGCTGGTACAGGGACCATGATTAGCAGAAAAGCTAAAAGACTGGAGATGGCTGAAACGTGCTACCTTCGAAGTTGTAGGATGGAGTGGAAGGATAATGCGATGTACTCGGCGCATCGTGAAGCCACTTTTGTCCGTATGCGCAGGATCAGTCGCCTGCAAAGTGGAGGCGCTCTGGACAGAGCGTCACGTGAAGAATGCGAAGAATAAGGGATTGAGATTGTAGAAAATCAGATGTCGAGTCCGTAGATGCACAGTGCTGTCACTTCTTCCCCGGGCATCTGGTGCAAAATGTGCCATCTGCCTGAACACCATCGGTACAGTATCCACAGTCCCCCATTGCGATGCTTGAGATGACGTGTTGAGCTGACGAAAGGGGAAGGTCGGTGTCGAGTGGCAGAGCTTTGTGCGTAAAGGAAGGGACGAAAGTAGACTGATGCCCCCGGGCTTGGGCCGAGTTCTTATCCTGCAAGGCAAGCTCCCATTTTACCCCTCATCTTAGGCACCCACCCCACCAACACGCCACGATGGCTACTGAGCCCGACATCGACGAAAAGCTCCCGGATGAACCGACTTATGCGCAAGCTTGGGAGTACCTGCAAAGACATGGAGCCATCGTTGTAGAGTCTCCAGAACTTGGGGCTCTAATGAAGGAAGTTGATGGCGGGAAATACGCGCACGAGCCGCGTGCTTACAAGACTTTCCTTCCGTGTTTGCGAGAGATAAAGGTATGTCGATCTGATGAGGAGTTGGAACAAGACAGCTAATTCAATAAGAAAATATCTCCCATCTTCTCGGTGCTTCCAGAAAACCCGCAAAATTCGAAAACCTACGGGCGTGTAGCTGAACATTATTATTCTGTTGCTCCACAGCCGACTTCAGCCCTCGCGTTCGCTATCGTGAGCAAAGAATCGGAATGGGTCATCAGATTTGCATCACACAAGAAGAAAGCGCTGTGCCACCCTGATCCGACAGGATTATTCGTATTCCATTCTCTTAATACTTTTGGAACCGAGGGCACAGTGAGCTTGGCCGAAGGGGGAGTGTAAGTAGTTCCGTTGATCACCCTCTGCTAGCTCGGCTGACTCAGAGATCTAGCATTCTCATCAATGCAAGAACCCAATTTAAAATACTCAGCGGTGCTGTCTCGCTACATTGGTTCCAGCCGGCTCAAGGCAAAAACTGAGTTCCATCCCCAGACTGCTCCAACCGCCAGAATGTTCCCGGTACTGTGTACCAATAGTTGAAAGAGTTAGACATCCCAGCAAGGTTTTGATCCATTTCATCATGTGTAATCTCGTGGGCGGACGGCACAGATACTGAATTGAGTCGCTCGAATGTCTGATCCATCAATGGACTCGGTCGGCCTTCTATTGGTCTGCCACGAGCAGGCCCTGTTGCCGTGGACTCGTGTTGGGTGGGCGTGTCTGAAGCCGTCTCCTCCGCCACGTGGTTGTTATCCGTTTGTCGTTCTGTAGGAAGAGCGTTGTTGGTATGGATTGTCTGGACACCTGGGCTGCGTTTCCTCTTGCTCGGCACAACCGCGCCTTGGGTATTGTGGATCCGCGCACGCTCCTCGATTGCAAGCATGCGAAGCTTGCATGCCTCGAGTTCTTTCATGAATTCGGCCTTTGCATCCTCATCCTTGACGCATTGCACCATGCGATAGGCAGCAACATCTAGCGACATATTAGTTATAATCCTCCGTAGTCACACTGTGGAGGACGTACCAATCAAGGAGGAATTTTGTGATGTTTCAGGGAGATGACAGCAGTACGCAGTAAAATCCCGGAGAGAGATCTCCTGATTCTCCGCACACGTGTGTTTTTTGAATTCTTCAGTGACCAGGGTACTGGAAGAGCTATGTTCTAAGACCGATTTGTTCATGTGAAGTCCTGCATAAGTACGTTTGGCGATGTCGAGTTTAGCGAACTTGTTAGCACGCTGTGCGTCAACATATCGGCACGCCAACATCGCACGCGCCGGTCTTAGCTTAGCCGGCGTCGACATGGCACGTGCGGAGTGCTGAAGGTGTCGTTACGAGAACAAGCGAGTGTGAGGATAATGGGCAGAAAGGGATGGTTAGGCAGAAAGGGACGGGCGGGCAGAAAAGAACGGGCGGGCAGAAAGGGACGGGCGGGCAGAAAGGAATGGTTAGGCAGAAAAGAACGGGCGGGCAGAAAAGAACGGGCGGGCAGAAAAGAACGGGCGGGCAGAAAGGGACGGGCGGGCAGGAAGGGACGGGCGGGCAGAAAGGGACGGGCGGGCAGGAAGGGACGGGCGGGCAGAAAAGAACGGGCGGGCAGAAAGGGACGGGCGGGCAGAAAAGAACGGGCGGGCAGAAAGGGATGGTTAGGCAGAAAAGAACGGGCGGGCAGAAAGGAATGGTTAGGCAGAAAAGGGACGGGCGGGCAGAAAAGAACGGGCGGGCAGAAAGGGACGGGCGGGCAGGAAGGGACGGGCGGGCAGAAAAGAACGGGCGGGCAGAAAGGGACGGGCGGGCAGAAAAGAACGGGCGGGCAGAAAGGGATGGTTAGGCAGAAAAGAACGGGCGGGCAGAAAGGAATGGTTAGGCAGAAAAGGGACGGGCGGGCAGAAAAGAACGGGCGGGCAGAAAGACGACAGGCCGCAAAGAGGTGGCCCATAATTATGCACGGAGGTACTGTAATCCTGGCTGCAGATGTTCGTAGTCTCCCGAGTACGTACTGCGGACTCGCACGAGCCCCTGTCTCCCGAGTACGTACTGTAAGGCACGCATTCTCGCGTTCCACAACTTGACTCTCCGAAGCGATGTCCAGGGTCGAACGTCCCCTGTCTCTCAAGCCACTGCACATACTTGCTGGCCAGCAGCGAAGCTGTCTCTAGGGTGTCATTGAGGTTTGATGATATTGATTCTACGGTTTCATGGTGAAATCTGATCGGTAAAGTTGAGTGCTTATGCGTAGTGGTGAACAGCCAGCGAGCGCACCTGGATTAACTGGCGGATAACTTGAAGGAGCCCGGCGATGAGAGAAGTGATCGAGCTGGAATTGCCAGTGTCGTAGCCTGCAGATCCGGGTTCGCAGGGGTGAACAGCCTCAACGCCAGAATGGTATATGGCGGGCGAGTCCAGCATTGAAGTCGATCCGATGCAGGCCATCTAGTTGGCCGCGTATCCCGGAGGCATCCTTGACACCCTGTGAACTACCTGCATATGCTGGCATGCGTCGAGCTGTTCGAAGTCCCGAGCGACCTCGAGCATGGTGACCGGCCTGTCAATGTCCCAGAGTCGCTGCTCAGCTACAGGCATGGCTGAAAGAGCTGTTGGCCGTTTTGTCGGCTGCTTCGTGTACAGAGCCTTTTGTGTAGATATAAGAACCATAGGAAACACGACAATGGCTGGATTGATGAATGCGCCAGACACTATCACCCCGACGGCCACTCGAAACAACGCCCTTCTTCACAACGTTTTGATAGAACCACCTTCGTTCGTCCCGCTGTGGTAAGAAATGTCCTTCCCTATGTCCTATTACCGATGCATGCCAACCTCCTGATCGCTGCCGCGTCGACTGGCCGATCTGAACAATGCGTCGGGCACATAGACACCGTGAGAGCACGAGCTGACATGTTCACCATTGACCACATCCCATCAGCCCGCAAGACTGCCCTCCCTTCATCGTTTCTTAACCCGTACAAGTCACACACACCCTGTTGTCTCCATTTCGAACTCGCTCCGACCTAGGCTCTGGTAATCTCAAAGGGCAGCACATTTCGACGGTCATGTCGGAAGTTGGAACCGCTCAAGGGGGCCCCCCAGTGATGGAACTTGACAAGCCAGTTTCAGATGGTCCCGTTTGCAGTGCACGATAGCATCAACCCTGGCCTGCGTGGTCCATGTAGGTGGAGCCCGCCCGATCTAAATTGCACCCTATGCTAATCTTGTTCAGTTCGAAATGCCAATGTATGTCCATGCATAAGTCATCATTGGGCCGAGAAGCTCGAAGTTCCGTAGCTGGCGATTGGCATTAGGTTCTCCCCAATTGTGGTCCATTGTGTGAGGTTGCTCTGGGTCACGACACAGGTGAATATGATAGAGAAGACACTTGTTTTTCAGTACAATACACAAGTACAATTCCGTTGTTAACTATTGAAAGCTACATGTGATTTTACTCCTCATAGACTCCGCAAAGTAAAAACAGTATCGGCGACACATGCACCTGGACATAATCCATCTTATGCATTATCATCAACGCCGGTCGGGTCACAGAGCCAATGATAATTGTTTCGGCTTTCTTGTTTCTGATGCAATGCCTGATGAAACGAATTTTGTTATCACCCGCGCTCTTGGACGATACAAGCAGCGTGGCGACAGGGATGAAAAGGTATCCGAGGGCGTCTTTAGGACATTTGACGGTGCCGCACTCAAGATAGTAAAACGCTGGATAGCATTTTCGCCCAGGCCCGTAAAGTCTAGCGATCTGAGGTTTGAGTTCCTCAAAGCAAGCTTTGAATGGCTCTGTAAACGATGGCGGCCACTCGAGCTTGGTTGCGTCGAGCTTTGATAAGTTAGAGGCTAACTCGTCAGACTCTAGTTTCCTGCCATTTATGGTGAGGCTCGTCAGACTCAAAGGCTGACATAGTATCTCGCCTGGTTTGAGTGCACGGGCCGCTTCCTCTAATTGCTTCAGGCTTGGTATCGTAGAGCCGTCGAAGAAAGATTTCTCGTATCCAGAAGGCATTCCCGGCCTAAAATTGGGGTCCAGGAACTCGTCCTCTTCTTCTACTTCTGGCGTGAACTCCGCTACCTGGCACGGCCCTGGAGGGTCGAACACGAACTGACCTGGAATGCCTGTTGGCTTGGCACGGCAAGAGGTTACCAGAATCTTGATCGGAGACGTTGGACTGAGAGTGGTAATCGGAGTGGGAGCAGGCACGTTAAGCTCCGTGCCGGGTTCTGATGGCGCTCCGAGTCCGAGTGCCACATTGGGAGTCCTTGTGACACCGTCGGGTGTGGTGCATGTTTGGGACCCGAGGGCCACGCTCATTGCTTCATCATCGGTCTGATAGCTCGAAGGAGTATTGGTGCCCCGAGCAGATGTCACCGAGGAGGGAGAACCAGTCGGTGTGACGACAGACGATGTGTCGCTGTCGTGCTGTGTGCCTGCCTCTGCGATCTGTTGGTGACTCGCTTGAGGTCGGAGGTCTGGTGAAGGGAATTGTGGCTGACAGGCTGTGTTGCCTCCAAACGTGGCGGTGACCGTGGCTATGTGTCGTGTCGAGCAACTGATGAGGCCTGCTTCCTGTCGTGGCGCCATAACGCTGTGTATGTCCGTGACCTGATGACCAGTTGTGATCGCCGAACTGCCTGCCAAGGCTTCATTCGCTGCTTCGGAAATGCTGGGCATTTCTCCACCTATCGCTGACGGTGTGGCAGGTGTGGTTTGCTCCAAAGTGGTCGAAGTAGGTTCTCTGCGAGCCCGCTTGTGCAAGCCACCACTTTCGAGCGCATCTGCTGCTGATAAGCCTCGCCGCCGACCCCTGGTTGCAGCAATTTGACGAGAAGGAAAAGCGGAGGTTGGCTCAAATTGTACAAGCTCTCCGGTTCGTGCTTCACTTCGGTAAGACTGAACCACGCCATCAACGCCAAGGACTTCATCAGTGCCAAGGTCATAGTCAGACCCAATGACATCATCAGTAACAAGGGGCTCGTGGGAGACTGGAACGGTGGTTGGCAGCCATGCAGTCGCAAGTGGCAAAGATGGCGCTGAGTTCCGGATCTGACTCAGCAAGTCGAGAGATGTTTGTGCAGGTGGAGGACAAGTCCGCGTGGCTGCTGCAATGGACTCATGGGTAGCCACTCCGCCATCCGGCCTGCCATTATCTTGCGCTGGCTCAACTCCGCTACCGTTCGACGGACGTCCCGTATCCGGACTTGGTTGTCTTGCTTCTGGGGAGACAACTGGAAGAGTAGAGGATTCTTTTTGCTTTTGCCGGAAGTGGTCTGCCCAAGATGTAGCATAATCGTCCACGACTAAGCCCTCGCCGCATTTGAGGATTGCCTTCATTGGCTCGCGAAAGGGTGCAGCAGCCTCCATGACATTTTCCTCTTTAAGTTGCCGAAGATACCGTTCGTAGAGTGTCGATCTCTTGTACATTTTGAGAAAGCTTGCATTCGTTAGCGGATTTAGGGCCAGGATTACCTCGTGCATAAGGACAACTTACAACGTGTCGTCTTTCTTTGCTAACACAGCTAGTGGACCGTACCCGTCGCTGGGTTCTTGTCCATTGTTCTCCTCATCGGCGAGGTCCGTCAGAAGCTTGTTTATCACAAAACCTTTTGCGCCTGCATTCTTGATTGCCGTATAAGCCTTGGGGTCATATTCCCGGCCCAAGAGCACGAGCTCGGTGAGGTGCACCCAGCGGCAACCAGAGATTTTCTGACCAAGCTTGTGAAGAAGCAAGTACGCGACCAGAGCTCGAAGCCAGTCGGTTTTATGATCAGCTTCATATTGAGACACGAAACAAAACAGTTCCCTCGCGCGGTTAGGATGTGGATCTTCCGGTGTTGCGATTGATAACACGTTACAACGTTGGTAGAATTCAGAGGGATCCTTTGCGGATTTCTCGATTAGCTCTACAGCTTCGGGTATGACAGCGACTGCAGCTTCTGAGGCAGAAGAGACTCCAGCTGGCGAAGTCGATACTTCTGGCGCTCCCTTTGGTGTTCTCGGCTCATCTCTCGCCTGATTTTGGCTGCTTAAATCAGATGCAGGTGGCTTCGGGCCGTTTTTAGGTTTTCGCTTCCGTTTGCGTTTATTTGCCTGCGTTTGTGCATCTGAGCCTGTGTCATGATCTACCACGGCCGATGGCGATGCCACAGGTGGTTCAGAAGCGCTGGGTTCTCCTAGCAGCATCCCAGGGCCATTGTGGCTCTGAACAGGCACCTCCGCTCGTACTGGTAATGGTGCAGTGTTTTCTGGGCCAATGGGGCCATACACATCGAGAGCGGCGTCGCCTTGCCTCTGCTGAGAAGCAGCATGGTGGATCAATGAGCTGCAGAAGGGACCGTCTGTGACAGGGTCCCTTCGAAGGGAGATGCCCAGAGGCTCGTTCGCCGTTGACCTGGCGCGGAGCCACTCTTCAAAACAGAGTTGAACCTATCCAAGTGAGTCAGTCTCATTGCCTACGTGTCCGCGCCATCTGGCAAGCACTCACTAGGCTGTCGTTCGCGAGCTCGTCGAAGATAGACGAACCAGAACGCGCGCTTCTTACAACCTCGGCGACCGCTGCGCGGCAATCGTGGCCTGGGGGGTGGCAGTACATCGCTGTTGCTGCATGGCTCGAATGGTGGACGGAGGAGGAGTTTGTGAAAGTGGAGAGCATGGCTCCCATTCTCGGTCGGCGCAGAAGGCGGACTGCAAGAAAAAGCGCTATACCTGATTGAGCGAGTACGTTCCAAGTCCCATAATGGAGGGGAACGTAGTCGCTCAATCGGGTATAGCACGGAGTCCGCAGAAGGTGGACTGCAAGAAAAAGGCGCTTGACCCGATTAAGTGACTACGTTCCCCTCCGCTATGGGACTTGGAACGTACTCGCTCAATCAGGTATAGCGCCGAGTGTGGAGCAATATTGCGACCGGAGCAGTGTATTGGCCAAGAGGTAAATTGTAAGCAGCCATCACATTCAGAAGACCCATGCCATTGACTTTGGATGCACTCTGGACTCCTGGAGTCCTGCCCATTGCTCGTCACATGCTGGGAAAGAGGAACATGTCACTCGCTGAGAGTCATATTGAAACTACCTCCACTACCTGGTCCTCCGCTAATGACATGAACATTGGCGTAATCTCAATTCACACATATGGGCTCTGACGCGGCCTCCTGATCATGGACTCCCAAGCTGATAACGGGACCGGTCGACAATCCGCTGTTTGTGTCAGTCGGGCTCCAGTGTCATGGAGGCTGATGCAACTTACGACAGACCTCATCGCCCCTACAAGTCAGTTAGCAACAGAGAAGCTGGTTTGAGATGAACGTACTGACCTCCACTCAGCACAAGTAACGTTGGGCTGGCACTTCTTATGCGTGCGTTCGTAGACGTGGCACCAGCGCTGCACGGGAAACCGGAAGTGGCCGCAATGATATTGGATCTGTTATCAATCAGCTTCTGATGATCTTGGTGATATCGGGACAGGTATAGGCACCTGAATGTAATTGCACATGTTGACTGGGATGAGGACACTGTCGCAAGAGGTGTTGCAGGTTGTTGCGAGATGTTGCGAGATGCTGCCAGATGCTGCGAGATGCTGCGAGATGAGATTCCAGAGGGACGCCCAGACGCGCACCCTGGATTCTTGTACCACCATGGGGTCGGGAGACAACGGGGCGGGTTCATGCACACCCAGCTGAACCTGCGGTCCTCTCGGGGCGAGACAGCGTCCGGACACACGCTGTCCAGGAGATGTCGGAGGTCGATAGCTGATTTGGGCGAGCTGGATCAATGCTTGTGTCGACGCTGATGCTGGGGAACATCCGATGTCCGATGCGGGTCAGACCTGCACCCCTCTTTTCCCGCAGGGGTCGTGGAGTGGAGTACCAGCCTTCACTGCTTCTTGGCAAGGGGCATTGGATGGAGCACGGCACCATCATCACGGCCATCCCCAGAGATGAGTGAGCGCAAATGACGCGATTCCAGAGGGGCTTTTGTAGTGGCTTCCATCAGGCGAATGATGTACGGTCCTCAGCGAATGCTCGTGCGAAATGTCTCAGCCCATTCGCCGGTCACATATGCGATATCGACTAAGACGAACAGACAAGCCCGATCCGACCAGACAGGACGGCATCCTGCAAGCGTGGCGAGAGACTGACGTGAGCTTCTCTTGAGGCATCCAGGGGTGCTCACTCGCGATTAGCCAGCGAAGTGTTCAGCCAAACGCGGCGACTGTGGATATCGTTATCGGGATAAGGAAGCACCCATCCTCACGGCAGGTCCACTGCAGGCCTCACACCAAGTGGCCTCCACAGCCTCTCCTGCCTCCATGAGCTCGAGTCGGGAGTGGGAGCACGCGTCTCGTCTTTGCGTCTTGTTGGCTGGCGCACGAGTACACTACGGCTACCCTGCGGCTGGCTGCTCCAGTCATTCCGGCGTGCAGTGGATCCGGTGCAAGAGACATTTCCTGCTTGTTCCGGGATCTGCTGCGGTGTTGGAAGGTACGCTCATGTGCCAGTTCGGCATGTGGATGGGCAACTATGCGCTGCGTGCTGTGTCATGGCGTGGGCCGTGCAAGCCACCCAGATAGCGGCCTGGCTCCCTGCACGGGAAGGTTCGGTGCTCGCCGGCAGCGCGGCCCCTGGTGTTCCGTGGTGCCACCCCCAACACCAAGCTGGCCTCCGCGGCCTGCCAAAAGCCAAGACCGCGCGTCGTGGGTCCTTTCAATGAGACATGGCTATGCTCAGTCTGATAGAGGCTGGCCCGTCCCGTTGCGGGACCACTAACAAGACGGGGGACTTCAGCAGTAAGCCCCGGGACATGAGTGCACCAGCTGCGGAAGTCGAGACGGCTCGTGTCAATCCTGACTGCCGTGGTCGATCGCTGATGACCAGGGTCTAATGCCAGCTGCGTCTGCAGGCACTTAAATGGCCTTGTCCTGTGCGTGTAACCACCTCAGCATGCAGCGATCATCTGGCAGCCACTCCCAACGTCTGAGCAGGTTCCTTCACTCAGCTACCAGCATGCCGCAAACAGGATCAGAGCGTCTTAAAGGGCAAGTCGTCATACTTGGCGCGCCTTTCGTTGGCAAGACTCGCCTCCTAGAGCAGATACTGAAGGCTGTAGGCGAGCCAGATCTAGACTTCAACATTGACGAGGTCTGTCGCAACCCGAAAGCTATACTGCGTTAACTAACGTTGCCATAGCGCACACGGATCGAGAAGAAGGACGCGGAGGATATCCTGCATGAAATCACTATTAACGAGGTACGTGGCTCTCAGAGAGCCGTATTGCGGTAACTAACGTTGTCAAAGTACATACGGACTCAGCGGGAGACCTGGGGACGCTTATTGTACAACATCGGAATTGTCGATGTTCCGGGATTGACTCGGAATATCGACCACATTCTGAGAAGCCGCGATCGTCCCAGAACAGTGATCCTGCTGGTATACGATCCTAGGTGTCCGTTCACGCTCTCTATGGTTCTTAAGATGTGGCAGGAACTCAGGAAGGGCTCATCTGACGAAGCTTGGTCAATGAAGCCCATTCTTGTTTCTCCCTTCTATGACCAGCATGAGAAGTCCAACATTGATCCCACCTGGGTGCTCGATCATGTAGCCAAGCGGCTAGGTTTGTCTTTCTTCCAGACTTCTTTCAAAACCTGCGAAGGTTTACAAGATCTCATCACCGAGACATACCGATTGCTGGGAGCAAGGTGCCCGGACTTTGCGATACAGCTCTACAAGACAGACGGAGAGAACGAGAGCCCGCTTGCTGAGCCCAACGAGGGACTGCAGGTAGAGATGTCGCCTACTGAGCACGACAAGGAACCGCAGGCTGAGAGTCCACCTGCTGAGCCGCCCAAGGCGGCGGATGCGCAGAGGGACGATGTGAGGTTGAAGGATTCGTGCGGCGAGAAGATCAGGCCCAAGCCGCCGTCCACGGCTTCGGCGGTACTGAGCTGCTGTGGTTGTCCCCTGACAGTCGTCTACAGGAGCTCGGTAGACGGTGTGAAAAGGCGTATCAACCAATTGCTAGCAAATCTTTCTGGGCGCGGTCGTCTGCGCACTCGTGCGCGCGCCTTCAGCGGCGGCACCGAGTGGCGCGACTCTATGACGCCGCTTCTCGAAAAACCCGTGTAGACTGCCAAGGCGAGCGCAGCATCTGGCCAAGTCGCTACGTCATAGAGACTTCTGCAGGCAGAACACCAGACCGACACAATCAATGCTGCATTACCTGCAATCGAGCTCCCTGGTGCTGTCTGTGCGGCTGGCAAGCAACACCCTGCCTGCCGGAAGGTGCCATTCCTCGGCTCCATTGTGTGTGCTTGTGGCTTATTGCGGGCCTGGCCACCCCAGTGGATGGCCCTCTGTTTCTGGCGCAACCCCCAAGCGCGACTCTGCCCGTTCTGCACGGCCCGACGTGAGGTGAGAACTCACTTGCCGGCCCTGCAGCAAAGTCAACACGTTGTGGGTCCGATCCAACCAGGGCGGAGCTGGGGTAGCCTGCTGGCTGCCTGCATGGCTAGCCAGGGGCAACCTTGTCCGCCAGGCGTGGGTGATGGTGTGCAGGGCTGCAGGTTGAGCCAAGAGGGCCAATCGGATGGCTGGACTCGTCGTGCCAGGGGCTGGCGCCGAGTCCAACCATTGGTGACCAACATTGACGGGGAGGGCTGAACAGCGCATGTCTCGATGTTCGCACAGCGCTCCGTCTTTGTCCATCAGCGGCCCCGTCGTCGTCATGCTTCCTCATGCTGGATCTGGGTCTTGGCCGTTGGCCCAGCTGCACTTGCTGTTTAGAGAAATGAGACATTTGATTATCGCACTCATGCAACATGCTCGGATGAGCCGCCCTGGCGGCGGCTGCCCAAGACAGAAGGCGCCAGCAACGAGGTTGAGGTTGCTCGAGCATGCCCTCATACATTCAGCAGGTCTCGAGACTCTGCCAACTGACAGTGCAGATTTATATGGCCCTTGCGTCCCGGCGTCCGAGAATGCCCAGTGTGCTGGCTCTTCGCGCCACCACCCATCAGAGTTCTCGAGTACCGCTTCCTGCTCCTTCAGCACTTCGACTTTCTCCGCCAAGATGTCTGGGTGCTCCTCCAAATTTCTTTGTAAATATTGGTTGATTTACAACTGTCGAACTTGGGTGCGCATCAATCGGTCTGCGTGTCCAGAGTGCGCGGTATGTCACCATCGTACTCATAGACTTCCGCCGCATGTTGCTAAGTCGCTGACCCTGGGCACACAGGCCATGGGGCGAGATAGTGACCCGCCGCCTCCTAATGGCTATCGGCAAAAGCGGGAGCAACAGCTCAGAGCCAATTTTGTAAAATACTTGAAAAAACGGGGCCTTGAGAAGATGATAAAATACGTACCCTGAACATTCGGCTCGCTGGAAGACCTTCGCATCTGGCCAGCTACCCTCAGCTTCAATGCGAGAACCCTGCCTACTAGACACTTCGGGTTGAATCCACGTGCGTGCCATGCCGAGTGATGATGCCTGGTGCTCGAGGGGCTCGACGACACGGGGGCTTTCACCACACTGCCCTGCTGCACCAGACAAGCCGCCTTGGCTGCAATGGGCAATGACTGCATGTCGCTGATCCCCCGGCCCAGACCCTAGACCAGACGAGGTGCTCGCGCCCACACATCGGCACACGGACAGGACTGTCTGCAGTGTTGCGCGCAGCGACGTCCGCTCTTTTCGCAATGCAGCTGCAGCTCTCTGCTGACCTCCAGCATTTTCCGGATAAGCAGAAACGGGTCGCCACATCTCTCGAGTGACCCGCATACCAGGCCCGATCTCGTGCCGCTCATGGTGGACTGGACAGCTGTGCGGCAGGGGACCCCGTTTGAAGGCCCAGCTTGCTAGACTGCCATGACTGCATCATCCTGATATCACGCAAATTCTGTTCAATGAGATGGGATCGGTGCAAACAGAAGCTGAAGATAGTATTTGTGGTGCTTGATATTAAACATGCTATGGAAAGAAATTACGAGAAAGGAAACCACTGATTGAACGGAGAAGAGGTGTTGTAGCTGGCCCGTTTTCAAAGGGGCTTTCCAGGGCATTACCAGCCAAATGTGTGGTATCTGCCATGGCGGTTGAAGTAGGCCTTCTCCTCGTCGGATTCCTCGGAGTCCTCGGAGTCTATCTTCTTGGAACTCGTCCTGAGACCATCGACCTTATCCAAAGTGTGTCGCCTCTTGAGACCGGCATCCGCGGTCTTGTCCTGGCTAGACGCGCTGTCCAAGTGCGTCCCCTCAAGCTGCTGCGGGAGATCGGATGCACCGTCCGAAGGGTTGTCCGAGGAGTGTCGCCTCTTGAGCACAGCATTCGCCGTCCTGGTCTTTTGGTGCCTCTCCCAGAGCAGGCCGCGGCGAACAGACTCGGTGAGCTCGATCGCCAGCATGGTGCGGCGTGTGGTACGAGGGGAGAGCGCGGGGGCCCCGTGGCGGCTGGGCCTTGCTCGGGTGCGTATGGGCTGCGACGTGGAACGAGGAACCTTGTTGATGGTCGTGGTCTGGGTAGGCTCGCGTTTGATCTCCATCATCTGGAGGCCCTCGTCGGAGTCGTGGGAGGGGCTGCCACTGGTCGACTTCTGCTGCTTCTTTCGCGAGGGCTCAGGCGAAGCCGGCGACTGCTGTGAGGCGTGGCTGTTTCGAACGGCTGTGCGCTGGCCTTGACTCTCAAACAAGAGGCTGATGAGAGATTTCCCCGAGGCCAAGTTTGGCATTGAGGAGATACGCCTGAATACTATTGGGTCGGCTACACTGGACTCCCTGCTCTCCTCTTGCGTGTCCTCCCAATCCGAGTCTGAGTCGTCATCGTCGATGGCACTCTCGTCATCGTCGTCCGATTGATCACTATGGCTGGCACGATGTGCTGCAACAATTTTGGCAAAAGTCGTCTGCTTCTTGGCACTTAGGCTAGGGGGCGCTAGGGCGCTCTTGAGAATTGGGTTCTGCCCGACAGATGAGGATGCACACGGCGCAGGCGTGCTCGTCTTGGAGGCCGATATGTCGTCCGAGGTAGGGCCCTGTAAGTCTGAGCCCAGCTGCAGCTCGCGAAGAGACTCGGTGAGCTCGGTCGCGGTCAGGAGGCCCTGGCCAGAACTCTTGAGGGAGTTGCCACTGGTCGAATTGCTCTGCATCGTTCGCCAGCGCAGACGTGAAACAGGCGGCTGCTGTGAGGCGTGGCTGTCGAGCGCCCTTGTGGACTGGCCTTGTGCTGCAAGCAAGCTGCTGCGAGGAGATGGCTGTGATGCCAAGTCTGCTTTCCCGGGAACATGTCGGAATGACTCCTCGACGGCAGACTCGTCACTGTCAGACTCGTCGGTGGTAGACTCGTCGCTGTCGTACTCGCTGTTCGAGTCCGAGCTATCGCTGGCGCTCTCTGGGGCGGTGCCTTTCACGAACTGCGTAGGCATCTCGAACACCACAGGCTGGCTGGCAACCGGATGAGGGTCGCCGGCGCGTGTCGGGTTCGCAGCCTCGTCTGAGAGCCTGTGAGGCATCTTGTCGATGAGGAGGCAGAGTCATCTGCCAGGAATGGTCGAGTAGATGTGATACCGCGTAATGTCGCAAGTCGTAGCGTGCTTCCCGACATCTAGGTCTACAAAGCCGCAGAATACAGACGCGAGTTGTTGGAGCGCTCGAGATGACGTTGATGGGTACGAGGGCGAAGACGAGTTCAACGACAGGACAGAGGGGAGAGTGGCAGCTCCAGCCCGTCAGCACCCCGACCTTGAAAGCCATGTCATGCAGACGGGGGACCTCTGCCGCCCGATCTCCAATCCCCCCTGCGTCCTAATCAGTCTCAGCCCTCTGTCGTACCGTACGTCTCGCGCGTCCTATGTCTCGCGAGACTCGTCCGCTCGTCAGGCCCCCACCCCAACATCCATCCCGGCTTGTCCCTTCGCTTCCCCGTGTCGGCTGCATGATTGCACACTACATGGGGAAAAAGCAAGGGACTGAGCCAACGCGCCAGCGCTGCTCCGTTATCACTCTCACAGTGGTGTGTTAGCGTTGCCGGCCGGATGCCGAGCCATGGTGCTGCTGTAGATCGTTGGCGTCCCCGCGCTCACACAGGGTGAGCAGGCCCGTGACAGTGAGCTGCAGGCATGCGTTGTCATGATGGCATGCTGCGTCGCGCCCAGACTCTCCTCTGCTGGAGTTCGCATGGGCTGTGAATAGATCCCCATGAGCCCTCGGCTGGACCTGCCTTGCTACAGGCTCCGCTCATCCCAAGTCTACACGCTTCCGTTTGAGAGCAGCGTTGCTGAGCAGTTGTCTCCACTCGCGACCAGAAGGACGTAGCCGCTCATCGGTGCCGAAGGGCCCCCTGAGAAGCTTGCATCTGTCGTCTACCGTCGTGCCTCCTCGTCGTGGCCGGCCTCCTCTCGCTCTCCAGCCAGACGGGCCGGCCCAAACGATGCTCGCAAGCCTGCTTTCTGTCCAGTATCACCTCTCGTGCTGCCGTGGGTGGGAACGCCAGGTGCTCGACAGGGCTGCCTGACGCCCATCAGCGCTCCCACAAAGCCGGGTATGCCTGTGGTGCCCCAGAATCCGCCCTCCTTGCCTATATGCCAGCAGCGCTCGCCACTCGCTGTCCGAGAAGGCCAGTCCCCTAGCCCAGAACGAAGGCGCTCCAAGCCACCCACCCCTTTAACACTGCCTACACTGGTGCGCGCACTACAAGCTTGTTGCCTTGCGCTGCCTTGATCACCTCAAAAGGCCTCCCATCTCCCACTGGTCGAGTGTTCTGGACGTTCCCGTCTTCACCTCTCCCGAACAGCCTCCAGCTCGTTCTGGACACGACAGCCACCATGAACGACCTCAACGAAACCGGCGCCGAACTCCAGCTCAGCGATGTCTCTATTGTCGTTTCGGCCCTTTTCAAGGACGAAGACAGCATCGATGCCACCACAGACAACTTCAAGGATACTGGTGCGGACTCCTGGAACAGTGATGACAATACCAACATTTCGTACCTTTCCGGAGACGAGAACAGCATCAATGTCACCACCTTCAAGCCTGGCAGATACTTCGTGCCCTTCCACGACAGCAGAAGTGCGCAGGACGGCGAGCACAGTGGCCGCCTCTATGTTGTCTTGAAGAAGGGCAACACAGGTTGCAGCGCGGGCCAGGACACCGATGAACAATTCGCACACGCCACGTTCGTCGCCCGTTTCACGCGGTACACACCCGAACCTTCCGCCGAGAGTTCCCAGCTCGTAACTCCTATCCTCTACGTACATCCGATTACTCGAACCGTTACAGGCGAACGACTTCACGATGAGGGCAAGATCATACTTCCGAACATTCAATTAATGGAAAATTGCCTCTCCGGGAAGGCCGACGAGGAATTAGGAGAGACATATATCCTTAATACGGAACAGTATCAGGCCTTGCAAAAATTGGTCGACACACTCACCAACGACATAAACGATCTTCTCATGATCTGTGAACATCCGAACGCATGGGCTGACACGAAGCGGCTCATTCTCGACAAGGGAGTTTTGCGTAGCTGGTGGTCACAAGGGACAGTCCCATTGCTGGGGTGAGTCATATCTTACTACAATGAGACTCCTGATCACGCATGGTCAGTCTTGCTACAACGCATACAGGAACTCAATTATCTGAACGAGAATATTCCCACGTACAAAGCCTTTTTCGCGCGGTGTCTCGGTCACTTAGCACGGGTGGCCAGGTGTATGTCGCCTCTCCAGGAAGAGAAGGATCAGTGGGCTGGAAATGCTCGACTGTGGTACAGCAAGGCAGCGAGCGCACGTAGCACGCATGAGGAAGGGACCCAGCCATCTAACACACATGAGGACGGGCAAACATGGCTGAAATCCGATACGGCTGTTACTGGAGGCAATGTGCATTGATTGGCCACCCGGTTAAGGGTCAGTAGTTATTGGATAGGGGGCCGTCGTCTTGATGGAAACCTCGCGAGGTAGGGTGGCAGAAGTCTGGCGTCTCGCCTCTCGAGGAGGAGAAGGACCAGTGGGCCGCAACTGCTCGACTGTTGTACACAAGGGCAGTGAGCGCATGTTGCAGAAGGCGGCGTTTCAACAACCTACAAGAGCTTGTCTCCTGCCTCCCCTACGTCATCGTCACAGTGTTGTTTCTTCTTCCGGCCAGGCCGCGTCGCTTGGCACTCAGCTTCATGGATCCGGTGCCAACCAGGAGCACTTCTTCATGGGCACAGAGTCCTGTCTAGCAATACTTGCACTTTCTAATGCTATATCTACTTTAGTGTTCATGATGCTCGTGCCTCGAATTGTGACGTGAACACCCCACGACGCCGGATGGTTGACATCGGTCGGTTGGACAACTCAGCATTGAATCTACTTAACTCGAGTGACTACTTCACTGGACCAACTTGTCGAGCAAGGAAGGCAAGGTAAGATTTCATGTCCGGATACATGTTGTCCTCACTGCGAGGGGCCTCTGCACTGAGCAGCTCAGTACCGTCCCCAGCTGTAGGGTAGCGCTCCTCTTCGGTCCTGCCATCCCATGGTGCCCAATTCTCATTTACCATACTGGGCCGCACCCCATCGATGAAAGCGTCCGCAAAGTCACCAGCCCGTCCCATGGTGGCTGCTTCAGTACAATGGTTGAAAGACTTGCAGACTTTGGTGTGCCTCATGTATTCTTGGTAGGTATTTTTGATGATCTCTTGCCGTCTATGCGGCGAGACTCCAGCTTGGGGCCTTTCCGGAGATTGCTGTCCTTTTCTCTCGCGAGGCTTCTCTGCCTTGGGTTGATCGCTGTCCTGGTCTTGCGGCCGGGCCAGGTGAGGCCGACTGAGGTGACGTTAGCGTGCTGGGCACATTGAGAGGGGAATCCAATCTTACTCTGCGCTCGATGATGTGGTACAGGACTCAGATGCGGCCATCGGAGAGGAGGTGGTGAGTCGATTCCCGCGAGGTCGAGAGGAAGGGTAAGACAAACACAGCCGAGGGGACTTATGTGCGAAGGGGTCAGATGTGATGCCACGACCGAGTCAGGTCTTCAAGGTTCGGCGGTGTGTCCGGGGACCCCTTTCTGTCAACAGTGCCGAATTCTGGGTGCCTAGAGCCTAGAAAGCCACCGTCACTGGCGCTTGAGGAGCTTGTGGCGGCGAGATAGCGGCGGTCGAGCCGAGTCCCAGCGCTTGACGCCTCCTGCCCTGAGGGTCGCTTCCGGGGACTTTTGCATCTGAAGCGGCTTCCTGCCCTCCGCTCGCCCGTCATAACGCCAGGGCCAGGATATCATCACGCCCTCCTGGTCGCGGATTTTCACGGCAGGGTATGGTCAAGAGCTCCGAAATCATACAGCACCGAGCATGCTTGATGACCTAGGAAGGCAAGCCTCCGCACAGCCTGCATGTGCAAGGTACTTGAGGCAGGCCTTGTGGATGGGTTCGGTGGTCCTCGCTCCCACAAGACATGGGCAGCACTGTCTGCAGTGTCACACACACTACAAGCCGTCGTCTCTCCCCCCGCCTGAACCATATGCTCCTCCGTCGTCGAGGACCTCGGCCCACCCCAGAGGGAAGCCGTGTACAAGTCCAGCACAGCGAAGAGCCCACCGATGTTACATTCGCACTCGTCGACGGCTACGGCACCCAGGGCAGCGTCTCCTCGATGGACGATCGCTTCCAACCACGGAGCACGATTGGACAAGGACCGACTCTCTCTCTCTCTCCTTCATTGGATACGCCATTCACGAGCGTCACGGCACGGCGCAGTCCACGGACAGGCTCCTGCGCTCGATGAACCACCTCGTTCTGTACACACGGCCGCTCTTCCCGAGTGCCCCCTGGTCGCCACCCGTACGCTCCGTCCACTACCGTGTGCTGCTGACGAGCCAGCTCACTCAGGTGCCATCTCCTCGACTGCACAACAGAGACAACCCTGACAGGTTGGCCGTGGTTCACACCAATCCACTGGGCTTGCGACCCCCGGCACTCAGCCATAACAAGCAGATATAAGTGGCCATCTTGTCTCTTCTGACTGCCCCTTCGATCTGTTCTCGCACCCCAAGCCACCATATGAAGCTTACACTTCTTCTCCGACAGACGCTGTCCCTGGATCCTCTCCTTGCGTCCTTCCATCGACCATACTGCGACATCGTCAAAATGGTTACGATCCAGCCGCTCAGCTCGACCACCTCCCTCCAAGGGTGGGCAGATGCTATCGGCTTACCACACCTGCCAGAAAACATCCCTTACATGGTCATGTCTGCACTCTTCTTCTGGATCATGTATGCTTCCCTTTCGATGGAAGTATTCAAGCTTGTGTTCGGCAGCGAACAGTGGGACGAGCTCAAGGCACAGAGACAGAGTACATGGAGGATGTGGATCACGAATCTGGTCAAGGCGATCGGCATTAGTTTGGGTGCGGCCTTTCTCACGATCATGGTTGACCGCTTCGCTAGCTGGAACCTGCGGTTCGTAGCTTTCGCTGTGGGGTTTTACTTTTGGCACATTTTCTACATCTCAGGCGATGATCCTTCATATGTGGTTCTGAATTATTTCCATCACATCGCAGTCATTACTTGCAATCTGCTCGTCTACGTAAGTATCACACACGGCCTTCATGAAGATTGTTTGCGATGGCCTATCTTGCCGGCAAAGCAGCTGCTAACGCCTGTTCGGAATCTAGACACTTCCCAAGGACACGAAAACGAATCTCGCCCAGTATTTCCTGTTGTTTTTGCTCTCCGAGTTCACCAATATCCCGTACAATATTGGCTCGATGTACCAGGACCTAAAGCACGAATACGCAGCCAAAATTTGTCACTACATACGCATTGTGCTTTTCGTCGTGCTTCGAATTTTCTTCGGAACTTACGTAGCATGGCTCACACTTCAGGCTCTGCAACAGCTTTCATGGAGCTCGCGATCGACAACGCTATTCGGGTTCATTTGCTGGTGCGCTGTTTGCGCCCTCGGACAGCCCATCCTTAACATCATATTGTTTTATAAGATCCAGGCCAAGCAATCTCGCACCCATAAGGGAGGGTAAACATGCCAGAGATCCAATATGGCTGTCGCTGACAATCCCGGCGATCAGCTTTCATGAGCTATCTAGTGAGAGACCGGCAATGACTGTACGGGGGACCGGGTGATGGGGGACCGGGTGATAGGGGACAGAGCGATGCAGGGTGGCACAAGTCTATGACACCATGTCCGATCGAAGCACTTGAAATAACCCCGCCAGGCACAATGAAGCGGCCAGTCGGGCCACGAGGCGAGCGATGTGATACTGTCTAGGCAAGCTTTCACACAGGTAGTTGGAATCGTACTAGAAATACCGCAGAGTCTTGATCACTTATACCTGTGCATGCGGACAATGTCCGCCCCTCAAGCATCGTAGAATAGAGCCAGCGCGTGTTAACAAGAGTCCAGTTGCCAACGTTGGATGGTTGCGCCTGCGCTTGGATGATATTTGTCTGGTGCCTGCGCCAAACTTCCATACACTCTCGACAAGAAGGACAGCTCCCGACAAGGGACTCAGCAGCCGACGAGGCAAGGCAGACGCGGCCCGCCAGTCCACCTCACTTCTGCTGGACCGCGCCCGCGCCAGCCTCACTACCCTATCCACGATCCCCGCCACAGAACCACCGGCCTTCTGTGTCCACCTGGCCCGCCTCGCATGGCTTGAGCTGACGACCCGACAGCCCACATTGTCGCGCGGGCGAGTAGTAAGTCGGCGCAGATGGTCACATTACCCGGCTGAGTTTTCGCATGTCGACCTGAGTCGCCCATTTCCTCATAACATAGATGTGACGTAGTGCTTGCCCCCATCGACTCACGAGCCCGGTCAGTCTTGCTCGAAGTCTGCGAGCAGCGGTCCCACAAGCGACGCTCTCGGGCCGAGTGAGCCAAGGCCAAGCACGGCCCCCACAGGTCGGTGCTGCTGCGCGGAGCCCGGTCCGGTTCCTGGCTCATGGACGTGCATAAGCGCCAACCGCGGGTTGGGGTGGTCCAGGGGCACAGACAGAAGCGCAAGGCCCTATCGGAGGGATGCTCGAGGTGGTGGCTGATCCATGCCATAGACTACTCTATTGGTCATGCGAGTGCCCACTAGTGCGGACAGTGCGAAGCACCTTCGCTCCCGCAATCATGCCCTGCCAAGAAGTACCCGATGCAGACTTGCTTGCTTGTCAGTGCTAGAAAAAAATCAAGGACATTTCACTTGGTACTCCGATAAGTGAGTGCCGGCACGACGGAATGCTTCTCTCGCACTTGTTTCTGCACACTAACCCCCGGCACACTCCTCCGCCGATGCGAGCATCACCAATCATGTGTATCCTGGAGGAAGAGCGTGGCAATTGCAACAATCTTTGCGTCGTCAAGCGGACCAAAAGGGCCTGCAGAAATGGGCTTGCCAATGCCCACTTCGCTGCTGCCCATACACATCAGATAGTCCGTCAGGAGATACTTTGCGTCGGTCGCTGTCCATGCGGCAAACCCGAAAAACACCAGGACCCTGCTGTTGATCTTGTCGGACATCACAGGTATGTGGCCCTGCTTTGCCTCTTTCGCGAAGGGCATGCTCTGATTGATCGGGCAGTTCGGCGAATGTGCCATTCGCGATGCTGTCTCCACAAGCCCAGATCGAAGATTGCCTTTTTCGAGTTCGAGACCTGGCCAAGCGCTACGCTGCTGGGTAGCATGCACTTCGTCTGTCCTCGCCAAGCCAGCGCCATCAGCGCAGAAGCGAGCGATGGATCACCACAGCCTTGAATTACCACGATCAAGGCCCAGTGGCAAGGCCGCGATCGAAGCGGCGTTCACGTCTCTGCGAGTCACTAGGCCGAATATCCTGTAGCAAAGATAGCATGTATGACGTTCACCACCACCTTGCAAAGCTGTTTGAGATAAGCATTGTCTGCCCATCTCTCTGCATCTCATTACTCGTGTTGGCACAGGTTCCATAGTGGACCTGTCGTTCAGGTACTGCTCACGTTCGGTGCATTTCACCTGGCGATGACCATGCGTGCCTGGTGTGTTCTGAAGAGGTGTTGGCGTAGGGCAGCTTGTGCTCGTTCTGGTGGCAGCTCTGAGCACCGCTCATCCTGTGTATGGTGCGAAGTGCCAACATCGAACACGAGCCGCACAGCCGCACAGCCGCGCAATAGCAGCTACGAGACGGCGTTCCCTGTAAGCACGTCCGGCGCCGCTGGACACATCCCGATCGGAGCCAAAAACAGCTCCACAGTCCACATGTCGGGTTGCGCCACCATGGCGAGATGGCGCACGCACTCACTCTGAGTGGATTCCTTTCAAGTGTATCCCAGCGATAGCCTGATGGGCTGGTAGGTGGCCCACCTCGGCTGCTGAGGCCCACTGTATCCTTTGTCGAGGTGCAGTGCAGGCTCGCTCCGGTCAAGACCATGCGAAGAGCGTTGTGTGCCCTTTCCTGCCCAGTGAGTGCTTGACTAACAACGCAGTGTGGCTTAGTGTGCTTGAGTGGTCCTAATCGCCACAGAAAGGGACAGCTACGTGCCGGTGCAGGACTTTGCTGGCATTGATGTCTGTTCAGGTCCTGGCCCACTCTGCTGGTGCTATGCCTTTGCTTATAAAAGACCAGTCGCACCTTGTCCCTCCATGGCTCGCTCGCAGCTGTTCACACATCCGGTACACATTCGCCGACATTTTCGCCTAAACAAACGAAATGGCGACATTCCTAGACCGTGTCACCGCAACTGGCCGTGAACATGTTCGGAATCATCTCCATCCATTCTGCAGCTTATGCAAAGAGGAGCTCGACATATATAGCAAGGTCGTCATCTGTGAGTCCGGAGTCTGTGAGTCCGGAGTCTGCTTGTGGAAGGACGAAACATTAATATCATCTCTCAGTTGACTTGGCCTCTGACGACGAGCATCCAATCGGTTGCAAAACACACATGATCCGTTCATTCAGGAGATCTCATGAGATCACTCCTCAAGAGATTCCTTGTGAAGCACAGAGGTCGTATTGCGCAGACATCAACTGCCATCAGTGCTCGCCTAATTATCGCAGCGTGAGCGCACATCAGCAATGCGTCAAATGGCTACAAGACATATCCCATGCTTTCGAAAAGCAGAGTGTGCTTGATTCCGACAGCTACGTTATTTTCTTCCTACGCACGCAATCGCCTTGGACGCAATGCTGGTCTGGTCCGCTCTTACCCCCGAAACTACTGTACGAGCCTGGGCATGAAGCGCCTAGCGGGGAACAGCCGCCTCAGCGTCAACTTCGAACGTGCGGCCCGGCAGAGCAGGATGAGCATCCACCTCAGCCACCGTACTTGCCGATTGAGATAATGATGCAAATATTCAATCTCGCAGATGAAACCTCCCGCCGGTGGCTTTATTTGCGTCATTCAGTTCTAAGGCCCAGACCTGGGATGGTAGAGAAGCGATGGGACCTCCGGCGTGTCCGCTCATGGAAACGCGGCGAAGATCCAAAAGTGGTGGGTTCGGCCGTGCCCAGTGAAGACCTCTGGCTGAAATTTGATTGTTCTGGACTTGTCGAGCTCTGTACTGCGAGTGGGGCAGGTGTTCACGGCTGGAATGACATCTACCTTTTCTGCAAGGTCGACTCGACAAGCCTTCTTCAAGATAGCCATGCTATCTTCCAGGTAAGGGAGCCACTCTGAAACCTTGAAGACCTGCACGCTAACGAGTCAGTCGGGGATGTGCTACGTCAAGCCACCGGATGACTATGGTGGGCAGATATTACTCGCGAACTCAACAATCGCGTACAACAAATTGCTGCCACCCGAATCTGAATCGGCAATCGTGGCGAACGGGGTACCGCTCCAGAAGTGCATTGGCATCACGTTCTTTCTTCTGCGAGTCACCGACGAAATTGTTGGTGTGCATGTACACACCAAGAGCATCTCACACCCCACCAGAACTCACAGGTGGTTAGAAGCTTCCAAGAACTGTCGGCTGGGGAGCATATTCATACCACTGGCGCCACTCGGAGCCAGTTTCATGGTCGTGAAGTGGGACAAGGGCGGGTTCTCGGTACGTCTTGGCAGCCTCTACAGGAAAGCTTGAGCTGACAAGACTAGTTTCATAATGAGTTCGGGACTCGTTCTGTTGGCCGTGCTCGAAAGCACATCAAGCCAGGGGACAAAGGCGTGGCTTGCAACGTGGACGCTAACCCTACACTTATTTTCTACACAAACCAGGCCAGTGGTGTAGAGTCGATCGACCTTGTTTCAAGCAACACATTCCACTACGAGCACACAAGAAGTTCTCCGTGCCTGGGCTGTGTGTCATTCCTCAGTGTCAGGTATCTCAGCCGGTTTTTTCGACCACTAGAAGGCACAGACCTCGTTTACTGTTACGCTGCTATCATAATTCATGAGGATGGGTCTTGCAGTGCAGTCGGTGATTTCGGTTCCGAGCACTTAGTTGAAGAACGTGTCGGCAGCCTGGACGAGATCAACGAGATAAGGAAGGAATTGAAGAGCTGCAAAAAGTGCGGAAGGGATGCTTGCGCGTCATCACTCATACGCCGCTGCATCAAACGGGCCGGAGGTCTATTTAAGATACAACCATAAGCACTGGGTTCCCCGTTTGTCAGGTTCTGATGCCCTAAGCGCATCACACAAACAAACATATCGTGATCATGTGAATGCACTAACTGTCACGCCCCTGATCTCACACTTCCCGAACATGATGAACACTGGCACATATTCCTGAGTGAGAAAAAAAAAGGTAGCTGCTGTTGCGTGCAAAGTCACCGAGTGTGATGAATACTGCCTGTAGGCTGTTGTGACCGGACACCATCTGGAATGCGCGGTGGTGACGGCTCTTATCGGTGCCACGCTCGCCGTGTTCGGATTCTGGTCAGCCAAGGCCGACCAGTGCTATGTCTGAGCCTTTTTCACCGCTGAATCCACGGTATACCCATGAAGAATAACAACAGCATCCCGTGTCTGGCTCATCTGCCTCTGGCGAGAACCCTAGCTGGCGATCCGGCGGTTCGTCCTGGCCAGAGGCCGAGCATCGCACAGCAGGACCGATCGCCAGCCTGAGTGCCCTGCGGTGGTAATGGATGCCTCCGCGCTAGAGTCACTCTTCAAAGCGTCGGCCGGCAGTAGGGCCTTTTCGAGGCTTCAGACGCCACCACTGTGGGAGGGGTCCCATCTGCTGTTGTGCGCTGATCACCCCCCGCAGCCCATAGCCCGCATACAGAGAGCCCTACTGACACGGGCTGAGAGACAGGCTGCCCACTGGCGACTGCTTCTCCCGCCCTTGTCCTTGCTAGCTTGCGTAGCTGGGTTAGGGGTCATGTTGGACTGACCATGTCGATGGAGCTGGGATATATCACCTCTCTAGGCTCCATTTCCGGCACAGCCTAGCACTACAGGTGACTGGGTCCAGCAGGGGCGACATCTAGGAGGCAAGGATTCGTGCGTGCAAGGTATGGGATGGCTTAGAAGCAGGGCGTATGCGTCCACAGTTCTTCTGCCAGGATGTGGCGCCAGTCTAGGTTTACGGGGCTGATCGTCAAAGCCTCTGCACCAACCGATTTGGCCCCAGTCGTTGGTTCACTAGGCTAGCCGATGCTTTGCAGGTCATATCCTTGAACGCACTGGGACAATCCCCCTGCGGCTGGGCTTCGTGCCAGCTGCGACCAGCAAAAAGTTGACAGCCGCTGGGCACCCGACTGGAATCCGCTGGCCGAGTCTGTCCCAGTTGATGCAGCTCAAGATGGAAGTTCCCAGTCTAACCTCGTACTGCACAGTGGAGTCTCGTATCTAGGTGCTAGTTCACTGCACTGGGAGGCGAACACTGAGCCTGTAAAGCAGCCACGAAACCAGGAGAATGTGGGCCTCTGGACGTTTATTCTCCAGGGGCTGCAAGTTACCCTGGCACATGTTTGTCATTCCTGCTCCTGCCTGAACGACGAGAGATTGTCAGATCGCCCCCGCCATGGTGCGAAATCGCAGCCTGACATTCTTAGGGCGTTCCGATGCTGGGCCTCGGCAGCTCATTGCCGGCTGAGTCCAGGATACTTGTCTGCAAGGGCATGATCCGGTGGCTCAGCGCAAGGCACAGCGCTATCTGTAGCACCGGACTGGGCTGTCTCGGCGGCCGACAGAGGGGCGACCAGGAGTGCACCACTGGTCTTTTGTGTATAAATTCCATTCTTCCCACCGCGCTCCCAACACTTTTCCTGATAGTTCTCGCTACGCTCAATTGTCATTGTCCCATACAGAGAGCCTCCAGAGTCACTGCTTCTTGCTGCAATCCGCCCAGTCAAGATGTCCGAATACGGACCCCACGCGGCACTTCGCATTGCCCGTACCCAGACACCCTATGGAAAGCAGTTCCCTATTCCAAACGAGCAACAAGTCCATGACATTGAGGTGAACTTCGACGTCACCTTCACCACCCACGATGTGGCAAATTTTCCAAACGACTTCATCCCAAAGGCTCTTCTACACAACGAGGAAGATGATATACCCGTCGACTGGAATGAGACGTTGGAGCTCCAAACAGATATTCACCTTAAGAAGGCACAGCGTAAAGCTGTTCTGAAAAACAACAAAATGGCCACTAGATGGACTGTGAAAAGTCTCAAGGCCCGAAAGCCAGGGCGTTATGACCTGATCTTCCTCATATATCCAGCCGACACAACGCAGGGCCTAATAGAAATCTACGACTATAACGCCAGCGCTATTGAGATTGTTGTCCAGCAACCACACCCAGCGGTCGAAGTCTCAAGGGGAACATCGTGAACTGGGGGTGCACGTCCAGACTCCACCGTCCCTGCAGCGGCGTCAAGACCAACCACTTTGTCAATCAGTGCGCGGATGGTGGAGATATAGTGGAGTCCCCAGAGCATCGACTTCATGAGAGGTGTCCCAACGACACAGGAGAAGCTGCCATTTAGTGATAGCTAAGCCAAATATCAATGTGGCTCAGAATAACCGCATTACTAGGGAGGGGAAGTATTTCACTTTGAAGTAATGATTGGCCTCACAATGTCTCTCAAGCAGAACTGTGCCTCCGTGCAACGTGCAGCGCCTGAATGTATACAGTCCACGTGCTTTAGCACGAGGGGTTAACTCTTGATGCATCATCCTCGCGACCCAAACATCTGTGTCACCATCTTAATGCGACCTTGCCAAACTGTTCAATGATGCTGAAGATGGTGTGTCGTATACATCTGTGCGGCAGCCTGACAACGACTTGGTCAAACCAGAGCATTGAAGAACGGTTGATCTGAGGAGACGGCCCGGGTCCCCGGGTCAGTTTGGACGCTTGTGGCCTTTCTGACGTGTATGACCAGGCCTGTAGCTAATGTGCGTCCCGAAGACGCTCAGTACAACATTTGGTAGGGGCTGCCCAGCGCGCCTGGCTACAAACAGGCACATGTGCTGCTAGACGACGCTCGCTGTACTGGCCCTCAGCACCCCACACCCTGCCCGGTCCCGTCCTCGCTGTTGCCTCAACGGCGAGCTGGCCATTCTCGTTTCAAGCAATAGGCACACCCAGGCCTCTTTGTTGCTGCCCTGCACCGGTCACAGGGACTTTTCTCGAGCATCCGTACCTGAGCTGTGGGACGTGGATCCCTCCCAGCCCCCTTTCCTAAGCACTTCCTTCCCCAGCAACCGGCTCCTCTGGCCTGCATTTCCGTCCCACGTTATATGCGTGATGTACCAGCTTCCCTGCCGATCGACGCATGTTCACCGAAAGGATGGCGTATGACCCAACCCAGTACGTCTGCATCCATGGCGCCCCACACGACCTCGAAACGCATGCAGCAATCTAGCGTCGTTGCAATGTCTGAAGAGGCACGATCAAGAGGCGGGTCGCCTGCGGCCACAGGCCAAGCCTGGACCACTACCTACTCCTGACATTGACTTTCTGGGGGACGCCATCCAATGGTCACCAAGCGCTCATCACTACAAGTGAAAGAAATATTGTCGTTGGCTGAGTGAACTTTTAGCGGCCTTTCTCTGGGTGCGCCCTGATTGTCTTCCACCCTAGGAGACCGCCCTGATCGCGAGTCTGAGGAGATTCGGGCAGCCGGCGGCAGACATGATCTTTGATACTGTTCGCAGCCTTGCCGCGCAGGGTTCATGTTGCATTTTGGCTCTTTCGGGGAGAGGGCGTGACAGGGCGGCCTGGCTATCAACGCCGGCCCTGTCGATGTCCGAGATGCCTATGGTCAGTTATCATGCCGCGCAATCTAACCTGCAGCCCCAGCACTGAGACGTGGCAGGTAACCCTGGTCCTGATCCAGACCCCAGCTCGAGAAACATTGTCCTGCAGCCCTGCTTCGGCTTCTTAGATAAAACCTAGCGGCCAACCTGACCGTCGAACCTAATCCTTCGTCTTTTCGCTTTCTCATACCATCCCTCATAGCTACCTCTACTTCAAACCCTTACAATCGTCTTCGATATGTCGCGCATAGACCCGTCCCTCACAATGCCTGAAGCTCCAGACTCATCAGCTGGAGTATTCTTCAACCCCGTACCTTTGAGCTCCCAGCTGTACCTCAATGTCAAAGACCGCCACTCCATCCAATTCCAGACGGCAAGACTCCCATGTGGACGCCACTATTTCTCAGCATCAATGTTTATGGATTTGGGCAGCTCGCCCCACGAGCTTGGAAACGCGGTTCCTCACCTGGTTCGTAACCAGCCGCTTTACGCCTTCGGATGGAATATCAACCCTGCTTATATCCCGGAGAGCGGAGGCACAATCACAATCATTGCCGAATGTTGGATACCTCACGAGTCCGAGCCTATCGTTCTTTGGGACACGACTTGCAAGATTGTACTGGGGATCAAGCGCGACTTCCACGTGAGCGTATTCACCGGCGATCTTCTAGTTGCGCAGGCGAGCGCTTTGATGAGCTATGTTTACGCTCGACCCCAGTCCTCTTGGGCTAACTACCCGAATGCACGTGTTAACCGTGTGGTGGCGAGCGACGCTGCTGATGGGTGCCGGCTTAGCGACACGACATTCGAGCCGAGTCCCCCAGACTCAATCGCCGGCGCTAACGACAAAGAACGCAAACATGGTACCTCATGTGAGGACGGCAACCCGGACGAGGAGGACGACTTCGGTGAGGGGAATGACCTGGGCGAAGAGGATAAACTGGGTGAGAAGGGTGACCTGCAGGAAGGGCAAGCTTACAAAATAGTCTGTGCTCGTCTCAAACCCTCCGTCGTGGACGGGCGACATCCGAGGGCTAATAGTGGGCAACTCCAACTTCTCCAGCGTCCTGTTCTTAGGCTTGGTGGGAAGGGCAAGCTTGAAGATGAGGACAACCTCGGGGGGAGGATCAACCGGATGAAGACAATCTTGGTGAGGAGCATCTACCGGATGAGGGGCCGCCCCAGTGTGAAGACGGAGACTTCGTGCTGGTCTGATTTTGTCCCAAACATTCTGCCGTGTAAGGGCAACATTGGAGTGTCAGAAAGGGGCATTGCCGTCTTGCTTGACGTCCAGTCCATGGGCATTGGAATGGCCAAGGTCTCATTTCAACGGGCACTACGCTGTAGTCGTCGCATCACTTTTAGTAACAAATGACAGCTGCACATATGTTTCGGCTATGAGATGTATCTGCCCGGTCCCTTCTCGCTCTTGCCTCAACGAAGCGCTGGCCATTCTGTTCGCACAACAGGCCCCCTCCTCTGCCTGCTGTTCCCCTCCGTCAGGGCCCTCCGTCTTGCTGCCAGGTACTGTTCGCCTGGCAAGAAGGGGCGTTTCTCGAACATCGGCACTCGAGCTGTGAGCTGTAGAGCCCTCCCAGCCCCCCTTTCCAAGCCCTTCCTTCCGCAGCAGCCTTCTCTATTACCTGCGTTTCCGTCAAACTTCATATGCGTGGCGTGCCGGCTCCCCTGCCGACCGACGCATCCTCCCGACTTGGCTGGCGTATGAACCATCCCAGAACATCTATGTCCCCTGCGTCAGATATGACCTCCAAGCGCACGCAGCAGAGCAAGCTGGCGTCGTTGCAATGATCGAGTACACGCGAGATCGCGACGCGGATTAGCTGCGTCGACAGGCCAAGCCTCGCCTACTGCCTTCCCTGACGACGGCTTCCGGGCCGAGGCCATTACACGATCACTAAGCGCTCTCACTAGAGGCGAAAAAAGGTGTTGCCACTGACTGAACTGCTAGCTGGTGGTGGCCTAGATTTTAGCAGGCTTCTGGGTGTCACACGCCCCCCCACCCCCCAAAAGGCAGTTTCCTTGACATGATGTTTGATTCTGTTCACAGCCTTGTCGCGTAGGTTCCCGTCTCTTCTCTCTTTCGGGGAGGGGGGCTGCCAGGGCGGCTCGGTTATCAACCTCGGCCCTGTCCGAGATACCTACGGTCAGTCATCATGCCGCGCAATCTGACCTGCAGCCCAAGAACTAAGAGGTGGCAGGTTACCCTGGTCCCCGTCCCCAGGCCGAGCAGCATTGTCTTGCAGCCCTGCTTTGGCTCCGACGATAAAAGGTGATCGCGAGCCCGATCCTCGCACCCGATTCTTCGTCTTTTCGCGTTCTCATACTACCCCTCAACGATCTCTCTACTGCAGACCCTCACAGCCGCCTTCGATATGGCGCGCATTGGCCAATCCTTCTATATTCCCTCAGCTTCAAGCTTGTCGATTGAGATATCCTTCGTCCCCGCACCTTCGCGCGATCTCGAACCGACAACATGGCCATCCGAACCGCACCGTCCCTCAGCATCGATGTCTACTGAGTTGGGCTCCTTGAGGCCCAATTCTTGCACTGCGACTTCTCGCCAACCCTGTCACTCCTATCGACGGAGTCTAGATCCTGCTGGTATCCCGGAGATCGGTGGTACAACCACCATCACTGAGATCAGTCACGAGTCCGCACCCATCGCCTTCAGGAACATGGCTCGCAATATCGTATCCTGGGAGAAGCACACGTTCCTCGTGACGGTATTTACCTGGATTCTCCTACGTCCGGACGTGGAAGCTTTGTCAAGACGTGCCTTTGAGCTTCACGCTCCATTTCATTACTCCAGACGCATTTGCTCGAATACGTTTCTCAAACGCGTGGCCGCGAGCGCCGAGGCTGATCGACGCTTGCCTGGCGACACGATATTCGAACTGGCCGACGCTGAAGACGACAGGCACGTACATGGTCTCACATGTGAAGAGGGCAACCTTGGTGAGGAGGACGACCTGGATGAGGACGGCCTGGATGAGGACGGCCTGGATGAGAAGGGTGACATGGGTGAAAAGAGAGCGTCTATGGTGCTCTATGTCCCTCTCAGACTCTTCGTCGTGCAAGGTCGACATGAGAGTGTCAGGAGAGAGGACCACCATCTTGTCCGGCGTCTCGTTCATGTGCTTGATGAGGAGGACAATCTTCGTTCAAGCAACAGGCACCTTCAGCCAGCCCTCTGCCCGCAGTCTCAACTCACTGCTGACGCCAAGCAACGCCTTGCTTCCTTCCATACTTCACGACTTGATTCAGCCGAGCTGGCCCACACGGCACTGGTCCCGATCGCGAGGGCCAGCGGACTGCAGATTCAGCAATTCCACGTGGCAAGCTTGCTTCTGGCCTATGTAACGTTGTCTCTCTCGCCGCATGCCGATGGTGCGGAAGACGACATACTTCCCTTGATGACTTCACCAGCCAAAGATGCTCCAAAGTCGGAGTGTTGCATCTGTGGCACGCCAATTGATTCAGGCGCAGAGGGCGAAACTTGGCGTGGTCATGCGCAGATATGCACCTCGCACGAGGGCCATACAGCCCACATCAGCTGTCAGAGAGCGCTGATTCAAGCAAAAGAGGAGCACCCTGTACACCGAGGGAAGGGGAACAAACTGAAGTATGACCCTGCATCATGGATCAGCTTCATCGAGAAGCTCGCCAGCTGCCCGACAGCATTTGACCTCCCTGTGCGGGATTCTTCTCAAGAGCTGATCCCGGACAACACTCCCTTGAGAGCGCTGCCCGCAAAAGCTTGTCTACGTGTCTTACACTACCTCCAAGAGCCCTCAGATCTTCTTTCACTAGCGCTGGTGTCTCGAGCATTCTATTCATACGTCAACTACTGTTGTGAAGAGTGGGCTTGTCGGAAACATAATCTGCTGAGAAATTCCCACGTCAAGCCCGGGGCTTGGTACAAGGTATGGGAACAGGTCGCACCCCGAGCTCGCCAGTCGTTCGAGGATAGCTCGGAGCATTTGGTCGCGGACTCACCAACGGAGGCAGAGACTGAGATCGCGGTGCCGTGCGAGGCTTCGACTTTTCCTACTGGATTGATACGGTCAATTGTCTTGGGAAGTCTTCAATCAGCAGAGGGCTTGATAAGTAACATCGAGCAGCCGCGAAGGCGACCACGAAGGCGCGGGCGCCAGCTGCGACCGTCTCGCACGTCCTAGTAGAACAAGAATGAGGTAGATAAAACCAGCATCGATCCATGAACCCTGTGAAGCGTACTGCGTCTAAGCCAAACTGTTCTCGCATGTGTCCAGCTCTTGATGAGGTTTTAAACCCTCCATCGTGGAAGTGTGATGTTCGAGTGCCAGGAAGGAGCACCGCCAACTTGTCCCCTATCCGATTCTTTTACTTTGGAATGGTCAAGGTTTCATCCCAACGGGTATTATGCTCTAGTCATCACTTCATTTTCGGTAACACGTGACAGCAACATGTATGTTCAGGTTGTGAGATGCATCTGCCATGCTGCGGATTGTGCCTAGGACGATACCTTCACATGTTTGCAACCTTGCGATCATGCATACGGACATAAATCCCTGCCAACGTTCACAAAGCGCATCCATCCGAGATAGGCCACTTCTTAATTCTCGCGAAAAACCATCATCTCACTTCCCAGAGTCCGCGCATGGCCAGCAGCTCATCTCCTGGAGGAGCGAGGATGACAGCTTTCAGTGATATAGTGTTGTCGGCGAAGGATGAGGCTGGCTGCTGGCTGCTGGCTCGGGCCATTCGAACGGACCGGAAGTTACAATTCTTCTGGTAGTGTTTCAGGTGCGAATATCATCCAAAGCATCGATGCTTGCCGTGGAGAGCCCCCCCCCCCCTAAGATGCGGTTGGCGCAGGGAAAGGACGTTCCCGCCGCGGTTCAACCGACGCAAATGAAGCGCCCTGAACATCAGTCCCAAAGCGGAACGACCTCGCCGCAGCTCAGTTGGGGCAGACCATCGTCGGGATTGGTTCGCAGACTGATAAACTGGCCTTGACGCGACTCGATCTGTATGATCAGTCACACTAAACACCTAGTCGCCGCCGCCAATACCATCATTACCGCTCAGAGTACGACGGCAAAGCGACCGCCCATACACGCGTGCCTTGAGCACAAACCTTTCCCTTGCATGCATCTCTGGGCGGCACAATATTCGGAACTCGGGAAGATGAGTCGGCAGGATTCCGCAAAGCTCTGGGGTCTTAGATGTGCTCTCTACAGGATATCATGCTGTTGCAAGGCTGCCCTATCGTTTGATACCATTCTGGGCCAATGGATAGGCTCGAGTTTACTGCAAATGGCATACATCAGACCCTCGTCGTCTTCATAACACCAGTGACACCGTCATTGGCTATTTGCATACCACTGCTCGACGTGAGCCGATCCTTGCTATCAAATGAGGGAAACACCCCTGCAGGATGGTTGACATGATCTGGCTTGCAGTCTGCATGGCCCTTGCCACCACGTGTCATCCAGCTGAATCAAGCCCCAGTACACGTCTCCTTCAACCAGCAGGCTTGTCCTTGATCGTGGGGTCCCAAAGGCGGCCCGACACATCTACAACCACTGAACGTACTCTGACATTTACCGGTAGCCAGTCTGTCTCGCGTGTGTGAAGGACGCCACCAGATAAAACAACCAGCTAATACCCATTTGTCCAGTCTCCGCGCAACGCCCAGCACGTCGCGGGCTGTCTTCTGGAGGCATCGCCTTGCATTGATGATCCTGACTGGATGTCAATTGCGTGATGCGACCCTGGTCGATAATTGCTGGTCCCTTGCTCTGAGGCCGTTCTTGCGAGTGTGGCGCGGGAAACCCCGACTACAGCTCGGCGCCTCAGCGCGTATGCCGTCTAAGCTGCGGTGCCAAGTTGACACTACCGCCATCTCCGTCATCGGCAAATAACTTCAGCGTAAAGGCATCAGAGCCCGCCTCGGTCGGGCTCGCATCCATTAGCACTGGCTCCAATTGCTGAAAAAGGCTGTCCCAACCCAGTGCCGCACTGCGACATTGACCAGACACTTTTGCCCTCGTCCATCCTCCCATCTCAGAAAAGTCTTTGCCACAACTCAACACCGTTGCAATCTTTGGCAACATGAGAGCCAACTCTTGGAGACGAGCGCAAGCCCGGGCCTGTCGGAGAAATGGTGGCTGCCCCACATTTCATCACTTGTACCCTGCCGAGCCAACACAGTGGAGGACAGCCTCCAACAAGATGCTGTAAGCACGAATGAACTTTTGTCAATGGCCGCACGCCACCAACTTCACTTCCTCCCTGTATCTTCTGGTGCGGCTGCGCCGTTTGTCTGCAGCCCTGCAAGATACCAACCTGTGCCCATCTATGTCGAAGTTGAGGTTGTCACTCACGCGTATGCTGCGCCCGACCATGAGAGGTATTCTATCAATGAAGCCAGGAACCGAGCGGCAATGCACCGCTCCGCTGCTCATGCCGAGCAAGGGGCTAGCGCAAACCCTCTTGTCCCTGCGTGGCCCAAGAACTCTCCGCCGAACGAACCTTGCAGCGGGCCAATGATCGAGCGACCAGGGCGTCGCAGGGTTCTGATAGCAATGCGCTGCACACTTGCTGTCGGCCCGCGCAGGGCAGAGTGGTGGGCGTACCCGAGAAGAATGAGTTGTGTGGGGCAGCTGGAATGCCAAGATGGCCCACCCTATTGTGCCATCCATGGATGGCAGCCGAGCTGACTGGCTCGTCGCGTGGGGGTCGGCACCCCACGCTTTCAGGGTGCAGCGGGTCCCACTCGGTGCAGCTGCGCAGACGCTGGTCGTCCTCCTCTACTACCTTGAACCTAATTGGATGAAGGTCTCTAAAAGAAGAAAAGATGTCGCCGACACTTTGCAGTTCCTGGTTTGACGCTAGTGCTTCTCTTCGGGTGGCGCTCGTCCTTGCTCCAGCCTCCGCGATACAGCAGATCCACAACGCACTGATTCCGTGGGTGAGACCCGGAGACAGGTCATGTAATTACAACACATAACAGGGATGGATCCGCCACATGCTGCCTCCTGATGCTCCTCTTCCTGGCGGCCGACTTGCATTTCTACATACTTAAGTTTAGCATGGGCTTCGGACTGCGCAATCCATTCCCGCCGTGTGAGGCTGGACGGACGCAACCTCGGCCGAGCTCGCCGCCGCAGAATCGCCGTGCCTGTCGTTCTTCTTCAATCCACGCATACTGCGCCAGCAAGTCGCGTGAAGCGAGATCCAAAAGAAGAACCTCCGCTGCCCCAGCTGCGACGTCCCAACTCGACGGGCCACCCGATCGACAATCACCCTCCGACACCTCATGCGCCTCATCATCGACCGGTGCAGCCGCCACCTGGACCACCTCGCCAGACGAGTTACGACAACGGCCAGTCCATGGCGCAATCGCCAACAACCTTCAGGCCTCCCCCGGTTCCCTATTCGGTTCCCCAGAAACCAGTGCCTCATCACAACCCGTACGATGGGGGTCCATACGGCCATGGGGGTCACCCAAGCCATGCACCGCCGCCGATGACATACCACACACCAATCGAATTCGCCCCAGCCGCAAGTACCAGACAGAAGGCGACGAGAGCATCTCAGGTATGGAGCCTTCATGCGCGCTGTGCAGCTCAACCAATACTGACCTCATTTTCATAGGTGTGTGACTCGTGTCGTCAGCTCAAGGCCAAGTGTGATGAGTCGAAACCTTGCGAGAGTTGCAGGAAACGAAACATCCCATGCGTGTTCCGCGACCCGCAACCCAAACAGTAAGTCGTGCAAAGGAACAAGACGTCCAAGTCCAGAGGTCTAATCTTGAGCGTTGCAGATCCGACAAATCCAGAAGCCGACATCCTGTATGCCCTAAATGGTTTGAGAGATGATGTTATGCAAAAGTTCGACAAGATTGATACCCGCCTTGGTCGGTTGGAGGGTGCCATCCACGCAGGCCACCATAAGGACGCTGAGAAGATGCTAGAGTTGACTGAGGTTGGCGATTATCAAGATGATACAGGCACGCACAACTACCACTCGCCTAATGACCGAGGTGCTGAGGACGATTATGCGGCAAAGAATGGTGTCATGGATCCGGACGAGGCACAAAAAACGATCCGAATCTGGGAACACAATGATAGCGAAGAAAAGCCGGGGCCACCGGTCGCAGGCAAGCCGAAGTTGCCCGCAAACCACACTACTTCGGCAGGGCAGCTATTGAAATGGGATTCGATTCGCCAGCTGGTCGCTCCCCATCTCGATGCAGCACGTATTGGCTATGTCGAAGAGTTCCCGATTCAACACGAAAAGGCTCGTGGCTTGCTGCGCGTGTGGGGTGCCGGAGAAGGCCCTGGAGGAGAACCTCCCCCTGCAGACTATACAGACCAACGGGCAAGCAATGACATGACCGACTTCCACGACGATAGCTCGGAGACACAATCTTCCGCACGCAATTCAGAAGCCTGGGGCCAAACTGGAGGGCTTTCCCCAGTCCCAGGCATGACATTCAAAGGCGGCGTCATTGGCGCGGACGGAAACCCGGATTTTTCGCCATCGACTGTGTGGAAATATGTCAACAGCTTCAAGGAGAACATCCTAAATATGCACCCGGTCATGATCCTGGAGGAGCTGGATGCCCTGGTTGTGCTTTTTCTCAAGGAGATCCCCCAGCATTCGCAGGAGTCAAGCGTGCGATCCAGCAGCAACCCCAAATTCGTCAGCCAGCCAACATCTGCCGCTGCATCACTGCCTGAGGCTGTCGGTGCCAAGAGGAAACGCTCACCTGGCGGCGATGATCCGCTACCATCCTTCAACATCTTTAAACCCGGTCATCCTTTCCGTAGCATAACAAGCGCTATCGTTCTGCTCGTTTGTGCGCTGGGCAAGATTTGCCTCCACAAGCAAAGGATTCCTGACATTGTCACGGAGCAAGGTGAGGCCCAGCCACATCGGTCGCCCTCCATGCGAAATGGTGGCGCCATGTCTCCGATCCACGGCTCTCCGCCTGGGTTCGTCTCGCACTCTCAGTCTTCTGGATTGCCTTCGCCACAAGACCCATACGACCGTGGCATGCCCAGTCGCCGCACTTCTATGCAGGGCACCGGGACAGGGGTGCGTCCGACACCCATCAAGCGAAACTACGACGTTATTCCTGGACTCGAGTACTTCGCACTAGCGACGGACATTCTGGGCAGCCATCTAGGCGGGATCAGTCTCAAGCATGTTTATGCTTGGGTCCTTCCTGGTCTGTATCATGGGCAACTCGCGAGGGCTGTGGAAAGCTGGGCATACATAAAACAGGGCTGCACTGTTCTGCAGGAGGTCATGAGGACGTAAGTCAAAACTACCATAGCTGGCACTGAGCAGCGCTAACTTCGAGGCAGGAGCATATACCGTTTCCATGAGATTAAGATGGGCGATGCATATGTGCCTCAGGAGTCCAAGAGGGACAACCAGGTACTCCTGGCGTACTGGACCTGCTTGCAGCTAGAAAGGTAAGAGAAATAGGACCAACTCGCTCACGTTGGCCGCCTGCTGAGTTCTTTGTGCTCAGTGACATCCTTGCGGAGCTGCCACTGTCACAGAGTCCCATTCTGCAGCACGAAGACATCATGCCTTATCCAAACACGACCTTTGTGACAACCCATGGCTACAATCCCGAAGTTTGCGGCAGCTATTTTGCCCAGTTTCATCTCAGGCGTCAGCTCAACGAGATCCACAGCCACTTGTATAATCCGGACAAGATACATCGACCCTCGTCCTCGGAGACGATCGACGAAGGCATTCATGGTCTCCAAACCCAACTGAGGACATCCCGCGATATCTGGGTTCCTGCAGCATTCAGATGGAATGATAATGAGCCGCCTACTAGCGATATCCTCTCTGCTCGCCTGCGTGCAAAGTACTGGGGATCACAGGTCATCATCTATCGCCCCTTCGTACGACATCTGCTCGAGAAGGAGCCTATCCCACATGGCGCTTATAAGGATCCTCGACTTCCCCCACCAGAAAGCTTCCATGACTTGGCAATCAATATTGGCGACAAGTCGGTTCCTGAGGGGGTCGACCCCCGCACGCTTAACTATGCCCGGCTCGGCATCGAGGCGTTGATTCAGAGCACCAGTGCATTCCATGGCATGCCGCGCAAGCAGCGCATTATTGTAACCAACATTTTCGGTACTGCCCATGCGTAAGTCACACTGCCGGCCACTCTTTAACACTTGTATTAGTATCTGACTCCTTGGACTTCCAGTCAATGGGGCAACCTCCTCACCCTTGCAGCCTGCTACACCGACCCGCTTCTTACGGGATTTGTTGACACCGAAGTGCTGTCTGGGCTGTTCATGCGGACAATTGAGTTCTTTGACGTCATCACACACCGGTCAAGCCCCTTGAGGTCGGAGCGCAACATCCTATATGGACTGGCGAGTGATCTGAGGCTGCTGCGCGACGATCCCCACACCGGCTCAAGTTTTTCCAATATGACTAGCGACACGACGCCGGTGGCTACCTCAGCCGCGACCCATCCTCCTACAAGTCATCCTGGAGATATGTACACACCCACGGGATCAGCAATCTTCGAGTCCCACCACGCACGCTCTTCTCGGCCGTGAGAAGTCACGGCGCCGCCCTCAGCGGTCACGTTCTCCTTGCGCTTGTCCTAAATCTATCGGCATTATGATTCTGGGACTCTGATCCCATGAGCCCTGCTTCGGAGAGGTTATGATGCTCTCTTCTGGCACTCAACTTCTTCCCACTCTTGCATAGCCCGGTGTTCTCCTTTGAATCAACTTCTAAACCCCTTCTGAGGGCCCTGCAACGCATTGCACATCATGCGCACACATCATGGTGGGCCCCTCCGAAAGCTCAGTTGTTCAGCATATCATAACAAGCTCGAGGGTCTGACTCTTTTGATCCTTTTGAGGCGGTTTCTGTGGGGGGCCATGTTGGTGAGCCAAGCCTGCCGGTCTGCCTTGCGGACTCGGCTGGAGTGAAATTACTCGGTGGACATTTCAGAGGCCGAAGCTGGAATCGAGGGAGCTGTGTGGATATGACCTGTACATTTTTCAAATTTTTGTCCATCTATGGGGCCACCTGTTGGATCTTGTGTTTGACTAGACAACCTGCCGGCATATTTACTAGAATGGCAATGGGGCATTGCGGGTTGTAGAACATCAGCGACGGCACTGCCGTTGCGTGTTACGACTCTCTCGAAAGCAGAAATCTTTTGCGATGAGCCACGGGCGATACTTATGAAGGAACGAGAATGGCTGTTATTTAGGCTCTACCGTGTCTCGAGTGTATCATGATATGCGCGCTCCGTCGATGGTGCCGCCCAGTGGTATGGTTGACGGACGGCTTTGCTCACCTTGGGTGTAGAAGAACAACGGGGTAATGATGTAGATTACAGGCTTCGTGAGGAGCTCATGCTAGTGCTTGAAAATGCGAAGATCCGCCTGTAAGGGACTATCGCCCATTGGGGTTTGTGTTGTGTGGTGAGGATTCGTATCTCGAGGGTGGCAGTTGCCGGGCCCGATTGAATGCGGGAGAGGAAAGTATGTGTCGTTCTTCTTGGCTGTCCCTGCCGTGAAAGAGCCGGACAGCTGTGAGGCCAAGTGAATGGAAAGTGGACGTCTTTGCCTGTGAGAGGTGACTTGGAGGCTACGAAGCTGTCCGTTTGCAGATTGGCGGGAGTAACGACAACCGGGAGCTGGTGTAGCTGTGAGCAGCTACTTGAGCTTGCTCGAGTGGGTAGTCGCCCAAGTGACAAAGGCATTTTCCAGCTGCCGACATTTGTTCGGCTTGTAGGGCTTGTACGTCGTGGTCATGACACGCGCAAGTCAAGCTCGTTTCCTGCGCCTTCATGTCGTGTAAGATCTTGCCGTCAATGTTTGAGATTCCCAAGACGCGCGTGGTCGGCTAGTAGCGAGGGGTTGGGTCTGGTTGGGTTCGTTTGAACCCTGTTGGTCTCTGGCACGTACTGCCTCAAAGGTCGACGCTGGCTTCTCGTGAAGCGGTTTCGTCGAGGTCGGCAGGATCATGGTCGGACGGGGCAGGATCGAAGTCCCTCCCAGCACTCGTGTGGTGTCTGGCAGCCAAGCACCGATCAGGTTGGAGGGGAAGCTGTGAAGTTGTCTCAGTCAACGCCGGCTTGAGTGTCCTCGTCCCGCGGGGTATTTGGCGTTTGGCGGGTGCCCCGGCCACCGCTGGCAGTATGAGTCGAGGGTACGCTGAAGCTGATGACCGCCAGAGAAGCGACGCTGCAAGGGCACTGTCAGGAGCTTAGCGCACCGATGCGAGGTTGAAGACTGTGTGACGACTCCGTGATGATCGTGTGGGAAATGTTGAGCGAGACAACTGCTCGCGACGAAGCCACCGAGGCTGCAGTGGCGCGAGGACGACAGTCTTCTGTGGCAGATGCGCGTGAGCGACGGGCCCAGGTTGGTAGGAATCTCGTGATGGTTGAGAGGAGTGATTTGGGGCGAGAGTCGTGTTGGTGGTCGAGGCAAGGGGCAGAGGCCAGCCTTGGGACAGCCTGTCGATAAAGCTATCCGGCGCTCTCGGCTGTGCCCCGGGGCATTGTGTTCCAGTTACGGATGTGCAGACAAGCCCTGACCACCGTAGACACGCCTCCTACGCTTTCTCCGGTCTCTCGAACGTCCGAGATCGCCCTCGTGCGGCATTGCACGCAAGATGCCTAACGATTTGTCGGAGCCCGGGCTTTGCACCACAGTCTGGCCGGCAAGAATGCTCTGACGGGCCATGAAACTGGGGCGACAGGGCGGCTCCCTGGCACAATTCCGCGTGACAGGGCTGAACAATCAATGCTTCAGAACTCAGGCATTCGACAGTATTGCAATGGGAAGCTCGACGCCATCAGTCAATGCGCAACGATGCTTTGCTCAAGCAGCGCATGAATAGATATTTCGTTACCCTACTTCCTCTCTCAATGGCCTCAGCTTGGGAAGACACAAACCATCTCCTCAACTGCCCACAGTGACGACAGCATGGGAATGATTGTTGGCCAACACACCGGTCTGGATGCGGCCACACCAATCGACATGACCACGCTAGATCGCGTTTAAGACATTGGTTTAGTTTGCCGCCTCGCAAACTCGCATCCTTGTCATGGGCAGTGCTTCAGTCTTTTTCAGCGAACATGCAATCTGCGATACGCCAATACCTCTTAGCAAGCTCTGCCTCAGGCCTGGTCATTCAGCGGGCACTGTCTGACCTCCCTTAAGCGGGCTGAATACGGTCCTTACCAAGAGAAAGCTTGAGACCACCCTGTCCCAGGGCTTGTGCCCTCTCGTCAGCCACTGGACGGGCGACAGCCTCCACCCCAAAACAACAAGCCTCGGCATCTCTCGCATCCCGCGAAATCTCTTCGAACACGCGCCAGCATCCAGCAGTCGATGAGTGCGTAAGGGGCGCGCCCGACCAGACGCGCCCGCCGTGCTTTCTCCGGCGCTCTTGTGCGGCGATCGGTCTGAACGCTTTCTCTCGACAGCGATGTTCTAAACATGAGCTCGGCCACCAAATCTTCTCAACCCTCCTCATCGAATCGTTCTCGCCCTACCCTCACGCGTTCTGTGCCTGGCTATTTCACCGACTCTCGGCACGATTAGCATAGGGCTATTGATTCGCGTGGTTGGTGACGAGAGATCATCCGCTTACGCCCTTGCCAGTGCAAATTGCTGACCACTACATGTCCACCAGCAGGCGCAACGCTCGAATTCACCCGTGCTCGAGGCAACCCCCCTTCTCGACACCTAGCCACCAGGGCCAGCTCAACCTGAAGTCCTTACGGGTCCGGACGCCTTCGATTTCTCTCGACAGCTATCGCAAGATTTATGGTCGACTCTCGGCGGTCTCCCTGGATTCCCGGCCGTCTCCTTGGACTCTCGGTTGTCTCCTTCGACTCTATATTCAACTCCTACCAGACTCCAAACGAAGACCAAGCTGCGCATGCACAGAGACCGGACAATAGACTGCATCTGGATCTTAGGATACAATACTGTCAATCTTGGGCCTCGTCGCCTTGATGGGAGCGCTTCTCCAAGATGCGCTGCTCATGTTCTTCCTTGGGCTGCTGAAGCTAGTCACCAAGAACGGAACATCAGCGGATCTCCTCTCGACCACCACAAGGCAGCTCTCATCACAACTCTTGCTCAATGCCGGCAACGCCTCGAGCCAGTCCGTGGCAGCTCGACTTATTGCTCGATGCTGTAATGGGACAGTGCGACCTGTTCAAGCCGGCATTACTTCGAAGTACGAAGCCATCGTAGCCAGTCTTCCTCAACAGACCGGGCTCCAAAGCCCGTCATACGACCAAACACATGTCACCACGTCTCTATCGCCCGAAGGCTGGCCACGCATGGAACGTCTCTGATGTCAGAGGCTCCCATTTTGATCGGAATGGCTCACAGTGGGCTGCGACTGAGGTGTGTTTTGTCAGCCATGCCAGTATTGGCAGGGCTGGACTCACATTGGTTGTGGTGACACGCTCCCTTCGATCAGAGACATGGAGACGTTTCCAATGCCGGTGCTGACAGTCCTGCACCAGCTCAGCATAACTCAATGTATCAATGATGTTACTACTCGCTTTGGCTCGCATCGTGTCAGGTGCCTCCCCTTGAGTCCTCCCCCCATTTCAGCTTCAGATCTTTGCTTCTTTGAACCCACCCTCTTGACGACCTCCCTGACTGACATCTGGCCTTGACCGCAGATGCGATCATCCTCTCTATTATCCATTGCTCCGGCTTGGGTGGCGAGACCAGCGGCTCTCAATGCACGTTTTCTTCGGATGAACCCACCGAAGTTGTCTGGCACCACGGAGGCGCCGAGACAAGCAAGGTCTACTTACCGAGACCTATTTTCGTAGATTCGGCCACAGTCACATCAGCAACTACGCCGGCTAGATGGTGGATTGGCTCTCCCTGCTCTTGCCCGCATCCGTCGAGCACGAATCACATGTGCCGCAAAAATTCCAATCAGCAGCTGCTCGCTCTGGCCAGTCTCTGAGGGGTGATCAAAGGCGGCTTGTCCAATGGGCCTCGCTCATACATGATATCGGGTCATCCGGTCATGAGTACAGTGTCCGGTCGTCATTGTTGAAGGTGGTGTAAGGGTTGGGGAAGCGCGAACTTGTTCGTAGTGTCGGGGGCGGCAGTACGGGGCGAAGGGTCGCTTGTCATTGGCATCAGGATGATCAAGGATGGCAGCCACGATCCTGAATGTCGCACGGAGGCCACGGCGTGAAGGGCATGATCTCTCGCTGCTTTGTGCATGGCCAATTCCACCAGAACGATCACTGTTGGTAGATTCGAGCGCCATTCGGACGCCTTTCATCGTGCAGGCTTGGAGGAGCAGCCTTCACCTATAGAGCGGGTTTCCACACATAGTCCATATAGCAGATCTAGGATGGCTTGTTTATTTCTACTGGAAATTCGCTTTGCACTGTCCATGTCGTTTGTAGCGCAGGCCTTCAAAGAATATGATGGGCATAGTGCGTAATGCCTCAAGCTTTACATGATTCGGGCTTCTTGTCATTGCGGCAGTTAACGCTCGGTTTCTATGGACAACACGGCGTGCCTGAAAACAATGGCGTATCCGCTAATGAAATTGCAAAGAGAGCGATGAACCTGACAGCAGGTCTTGCGTCGAACTGTGATGAATGACCAGCCCTCCCGCAGCTATCGATCTCCAAGTCAGGAGCTGCTCGAGCGAAGGTGCAAATACACGAACCAGGTTCAGACCGAGAGCAAAACGAGGCACAGTCACAGCGAAGGCTGTAGACGCCATGGCCGCACCATGCGAGAACTGATGCGATGGCCCACCAACCTCGAAACCCATCGTGAGAAGATGATACCGTACACATTCCCAGTTGTGAGTGCTGCCCGGTGTCGAAGTATCCGGCACTCATCCACGGTTCAAAGCACGAGCGGATGAGGCGCAGTCAGCATTTCATGTAAGTCTGCTGCTTCCTACTGTCGTTCATGCAACATGTGCCGCCTGTTGTAATAGACACTCGAGATAAGGTGGAACCAGAATAGCCCAGCCCAGACCAAGAGCGCAACGCCGGTCGCGGCGACAATAAGGGCTATGGACGCCATTGCCACGCCTTACGCGAACTGCTGGAACTGCACAGCACCCTCGAACCGGTCCGTCGCCAGCGCGACCTGCATCGCCGAGAGCATGACCGTGATGTACACGAACACGACCAGGCGGAGCTCGCCGTAGGTGTATCGCGGCTGGTCGGCGTCCACGCGCCACGTCTGGTTCCTGATGACGTCTCGCGCGAGGAGCGTCCAGATGGTCCAGTCAACGTCGTCGGGCAGAAGGCCAGTCTCGTGCGCAATCTTGAGGTCTGGCTTTGAGCGTATGAGCCAGGTGTAGGACTGCAGGAGTCCTCTAGCTGCGATACGATGCCTCGTGAGGGCAGATACTGGTCGACCAGAAATCGTGGCTCAGAAGGTATTCGGGCAGCGGCTTGACAAAGATCGAGGTCTCGTGCCATACTAGATGTTCATCGGGATTTTCGGTGATGACAATTATCCGTCCCAAGAGGCGCTGCCGGTGCAGCGTACGGGCGGGGCGCGGGAGTCCAGCCAGCCAGAGGTATTTGTGGAGGAGGTCTAGCTTCGGAGTTTGAAGATCGAGCTCCTTGGAAGTTTCGAAATCGGCACCCCATCGGAGCATGAGAGACTGCCGAGCACCATCGGCTGTCCAGCCTTGGGGGGCATAGTCTTTAAGGGACCGGATGCGTCGTCTGATGCTGGTCCATGGTGCCGTGGGGAGTCTGCATCCAACCTTTGTGTATGCCTGATTGGGGAAGCGTCGATGACTCCAGGTTGTCGTTCATCCCAGGTTGTCGCTCATCGACATAGCCGTGCTCAACCAGACGCGCCTACAGCGCTGGGTTGCCGGGCCTTCGGGCTGCGTATCGCATGTTGCGTGCGCAAGGCAGTCTTGCCAGGCCTAGAAGCGGGACCCGGCGTACTTTGCTGGCTGTTGGACACGAGCCGCGCGCGGACGGCATCCCCTGAACTGTGGGAACAGGCTAAGCCAGCATGGTATCGTTGCCGCGTGTCAAGTCCTGGCCCTTAGCCCAACCTCCCCGGACGAAGCCAGCCTTTCGGGAAGCAAGACACGCTGTGATGCCAGCGAAAACATCCAAACAGGAAAGGGGAGCGTGCCAGAGCACCGCCAGGTCCCCAGGGTGCAGACTGTCGGCCGTTGCTGTCGTCAAGATAAGGGCCCATGTCCCGGACCGCTCCAGCCTCACTCCAATGCGTAGACTTTTGAGATAGGCGAGGTACTCACGGCGCCTTGCATGTGGGAGCTTCGCATGCCGTCACACATCACGCACGCAGGCCCGGCAGGGGTAGTCTTAAGTGTGTCCATGTCTGGAGGGGCTCGCGGGGACGGGGCGTGATGGAGGTGCACAGGGCATCGGTCAGGCCCCATCCCCGAACATGTCTCGCCAGTGAAGCCACCAGGCGGAGATGCTGTGCGAGAACCATACCAGACGCGCTTCTCACCACGCAGTAGAGTGCATCTGCTCTGTGAACAGGCTTGGCAGCGATGTCGCCTGTCCGAGGGGCCGGAGAACTTCCCCGCGACATGCCTGGCGTGATTGCCGTGCCTGGCCCAGCTGGGCTGGGTGACCAAGACCTGTCGTGCAGAGATGTGCTCCGTATGAGCGAAACGACCGTGCACGGTCTCGCTGAGCTACAAGCGCACGAGGCAAGTGACTTGCCGGCCACGAGAGTCTGGGAATGCCACCAAACCAGCTGGTCAATCCGTGCTTCAATACTGTGCCAGGTCCAGGGGCGGAATCAGCCCAACCTTGGAAGGCCCGTGCTCAAAGCCTCCGTCGCCTGTATGCAGTATCGGGGCCCACTCTCGGCTACCGTACCACCGAGTCCAATGGGCGGAGCCGCCCCACTGTCGGTGTGTCAACCCTTGCATCCGGGCCGGGAATCCCATCCCCGATCAGCATTCCGCTAGCTAGGACTGCCCACGTCCTTGCAAGCACTGCCCTTTGGTCATGGCTGGGTCCGTGACAAAATCCCGTGGGTGGCTTTCTTCAAGAGCTCTGAGATTGTCTGAACTCGTCCCGTAGGCCACGGCTTCAAGCACGACAAGCACCAGGCTGACAGTCCGCTTGCGTGGTTGCAAACGCTCGGTGGAACCTGACTTACATGCACCCAATCATGATTTTAATATCCTTGCGGCCGTGGCATCTGTTGTTTCCTGCCTTTTCATCCTCGTGGAGGAGCGTGCTTTCCTCCCTGGCGATGGCTGAGATGGACCCATGCGCCGAACTGAGAAGTGTGTACTGCCTCCGCAAATAAACAAGGCAGGAACACGCCCCAGCCACGATAAGCGAAAGCGGCTCGACTGACCACCCTTCGTAGTTGCTTTTGCCATGGGTGCCTGGCCTGAAATATGTTGGTTCTGGCCGCACTGAAAGCCAATGGACCATGACAAGGCTCCCCGGCTCTCTTCAGCCAACAAAGACTTTGGCCCCTGCTGCGGCAGGATATTTCAGCACATTCTGCTCGCCTCTGAAGCTATCGGCATTCAATTCTCATTTTCCACTCTCTGTCCATGATTCAGCTCTTCATACTCCAAAATTCAAGTAAGTCACTGGCACTCTGGTCCGCTTTGTTTATCTCTCTGGTTGTTGTTTGCCATGCGCAGTGCCCGAGCATGCTGACAGACAATGCTTGCGAAAGCCACTTCCTTTGTTACCGAGCTTATATCACACACACAACATCACAACGCGCGGTAGACATTTACCATTGTTCCTCCACCGCCGGGGCATATCAGTCACCTACGCCGCACAAGTATGAACGGGGGAGCAGCACCAGACGAGCACACAGCGCTGCTGGGCAGTGGCGGTCGCAGTGCCAACGGCAGCCACTCGACGCGCGACTTCTTCTTCAACTCGCGGGTCACGCCGGGTCTCGAGAGCAAAAAGCCATGGGTCAAGTATCCCGCCCACGTGTGGCACATCACAAAGATGACCCTGCTGAGCAGTGAGTGGTGGTCCCCAATGCCGTCGCATGGCATGCGCAATGCCCGCGCCGCGCATATAGCTGACCGCAGATGTTCACAGGCCCTGTCAACATCCTCCTCGTTTGCGTGCCCATTGGTATCATTGCCGGCCAGGGCGGCTGGGACCCGATTGCCGTCTTCACCATCAACTTCTTCGCCATCATTCCCCTGGCGGCTGTCCTGTCGTTTGCGACTGAAGAGATCTCTGACAAGCTCGGCGAGTCGCTTGGTGGACTGCTCAACGCGACATTCGGCAATGCGGTTGAGCTGATTGTGAGCATCATTGCGCTCCAGAACAACCAGCTCCAGGTTGTCAAGTCTTCCATGATCGGGTCGATTCTTTCCAACATCCTTCTTGTCATGGGTATGTGCTTCTTCTTCGGCGGCCTTGTCAACATGCGCGACGGCAATGGCGACGGCACAGAGCAGTCGTTTGCCTCTATCACTGCGCAGACGACCTCGTCCCTGATGACACTGTCGGCCGCCTCCATGATCTTGCCTGGCACTGTAAGAAATACCCGGCGTATAAACACCTGAGCCTTCTTTCTTTGTGCTGACTGTACATGGTGGCACAGCTCTTCATGATCATCAACCCTGCCGACGACGAAAAGTCAACTCGTCGAACCATCCTCGCCCTGTCTCGTGGCACCGCAATCATCCTTCTCATCCTTTACGTCATGTACCTCTTCTTCCAGCTAAAGACGCACCACAACCTCTTCAGCCTCGAATCCGCGACGACCCCACCTGACTCGCAGAACGCTTCCGACGAGGAGAGCAGTAATGCGAACCATCAGCAGGAGGACGACGACGAAGAGGACAAGGAGGAGCACATGAGCCCCTGGTCGGCTGGTGTCGTTCTCATTGTGACGACTGTCCTGGTCTCCATCTGCGCGGACTACCTTGTCGACAGCATCGACTCTCTAGTGGAGCGCGCTCACATCAGCCGCAACTTTATCGGTCTTATTCTGATTCCTATTGTCGGCAATGCGGCCGAGCACGTCACAGCTGTTGTCGTTGCCGTAAAGAACAAGATGGACCTGGTGAGCTCTTTCTGGCGCCTTCGTTTAGTAACAGGTACTGACATCGTCCACTCTAGGCCATGGGAGTTGCGATTGGCTCTAGCATCCAGATCGCCCTGTTTGTCACGCCGTTACTCGTCATCCTCGGCTGGATCATGGACCGCGACATGGACCTGCACTTTGAGACTTGTAAGTTGCAGACTGCTTATTGATGTGCACGCAGTTGCTAACCCTCACGTAGTCGAGACTGTCTCTTTCGCGCTGTCCGTGCTTGTCGTCATCTACACCGTCATGGATGGAAAATCAAACTACCTCGAGGGTGTTATGGTATGTCTTGCAAGTCTGGAGAGTGGGAAGCTGCATCATGTGCTGACACACCGCGTAGTTGATGGCGCTCTACATCATCATTGCGCTCGCCTTCTTCGTAACCCCTAGCGAGGACTTCGACAACGAGAACGCTACTCTTCTCTCCCACGCCGTGCGCAGCATCTTTGGGTCCTCTTAGACATGGATTGTAGTACTGAAATGGGGGAGAAAAAGGTCGGAATGAATTAACAAGGGGCACACCGCGCGCTGCTACCGGGCGGGCATGACAGAGTTGCCGAGGTTACAGGAGGACAGGGTTGAGAAGACCGGTCTTGCGCCATTGAAGAGATCCGCCCAGAGCCCGCTGATGTCGAAGAACTTGTCACGACAGGCGAATTCGGTTGTCATCGTGGGGAAGCATCGCAGTCACGCAGCCACATTCACCATCTATCTCTCTCATCATATAATAAAAGCAGTAGAGAAGACAATGCACATGCAACTGGGATGCGCAACGCATTTAGGCTATTTGAGAACATGATGCCGCGTAAGATACCATGACGCTGTGCTGGCCACTGTAACTCTGGAGCACGATATGCCCGACACTGGAATAGGGGCCCTAGTCGTCCTACAGACAGTCCAAAGTCTCTCAGTAGCGTAGCCGATTTTTTAATCAACAGTGGTCAGCAGTGTCACGAGAAATGGACTTGAGCACTAATGCGTATGCTGGAAATCAAGTCCAGGGCTGCTTTGGTCAACCTTCATCGACTCCCGCCTACGTTGCACGACTTATGACTGCAAATTGCAGGCTTAACAACGCCATGTGAACTCAACCGCGAGTCTCCGTGGAAGCTCAATCCTCGGACACCTGGTGACTGAACTGCCATGACCTGCTCATAGGCTTGGTGTGCGTAACTCAAAAGCATGGGTCGAAGTTCCGCGACTTGCTGTGTGCCTGTGCCCAAAGCGTATAATCTGACTACGCTGCAGCTTGAGAAGGGACTTGCATCGATTTTCATCTCTAGGTTTCTTCTGCCATTGAGCTACGAAATACGACCAAGTACATATTTATTCTAGAAGAAAAAGCAGACGGTGCTGGGACATTTCATACGGAAGTCGTCGTCAGTCAAAGGCGATGGCGTGATTTTAGGGTGCGCGTAGAGGCACCAGGCACATTTTGCGATATCTGTCACTCTTCGACATGGCGACTCTCCAAACGAGCCGGGGATCACTCCCTCGAGACAACGACATTGGGGACGTCATTGGCATTGCCGCTCTCGACACCTGCCTCCTCGTCGGCATTCTTCTTGTCCTTCTTGAAGACACGGAAAAGCTTCTGGAAGCCGCCCCGAGCAATGCGCCAAGCCTTGGCCACTGGCCCACCAAAGATCTTGACGAGTGTGGCGAACCACGTATCGGGAAAAAGTCTGACAAGAACAGCCCAGGGCAAGCTGATGGCAGCGACGCCAACGCAGACGCCCCACTGGGTGCCGCTGATACCACCAGGCGTGATCTCGAAAGCAATGCCACCGACGTAGATAATAGCCACCTGGAGGCCAACCATGAGCAAGTTAATGAAGATGAAGAAGTGGTTGCGCTGGACACCCTCAAAGATGTTGAAATTATTGTCGAGGCGACGGTTGTTGAACTCGTTGAAGATTTGCATCCACACAAACATGTTGAAGATCATCGTCTTGAGCTCCAGTCGCGCCTCGGCGGTATCGGGATAGCCCAGAAGCTGCATGCCAGCAAAGTAGAAGACCAAGGTGACGACGAGCTGGAAAATTGCCTGTCCAATGATCATCTTCCACATGTTGGTCGTGATCAGAGGAGCAGCCTTGGGCTGAGGCTTGCGGTCCAAGACCTTATCCGTGGGCGGATCCGTAGCGAGAGCGAGAGCGGCAAAGGTGTCCATGATGAGGTTGACCCAAAGAAGCTGCACGGCAGTAAGAACGGACTTCATCTCGGGATCCGAGACAGCGGAGATGAAGGCAAGGAGGACGGCGGTAATATTGACAGTGATTTGGAACTACACGATAGCCAGTTAGTGTACATTCAACTCCCATCATAGATCATGAGAAACTTGCCTGGAGGAACTTCTGCACTGAGTCATTGACAGCGCGGCCCCATTTTAGTGCAGTGAGAATAGACGTGAAGTTGTCGTCCATGAGAACGATCTCAGATGCCTCCTTAGCGACTTCAGTACCGCAGATACCCATAGAGAAACCGACATCAGCGGCCTTGAGCGCAGGAGCATCGTTTGTGCCATCTCCGGTAACGGCAACGGTCTCGCCGAGGTGTTTCAATCTGGCAACAAGAACACGCTTGTCCTCGGGGGAAGAGCGGGCAAGTACCTGCAGACGAGGCAACTTGGCGTCCATCTCACCTTCGCTAAGAGCGCGGAAGACAGGACCTTCCATGATGATTCCATCAGTGTAGATGCCACACTCCGTAGCGATGGCCTGTGCGGTCACCGCGTTGTCGCCGGTAACCATGCGGACAGTGACACCGGCGTGCTGGGCCTTACGGACGGCTTCAGGGACACCAGGGCGGACGGGGTCCTGGATACCGACAACGCCAAGGAAGACAAGGTCCTTAAGAATAGAGGCGAATTCGACGTGACCGTCTTCACTCATCTCAGCATGCGCAGGAGGCCACTGAGGGAAGTCGCGGTAGATGAGACCAATAGTGCGAAGAGACTTTTTGGCGTACTTGTCAATGACGGCCTCAATGTCCTTGCGGTCAGCTCGAGTTAGAGGAGAAGTGGCGAGAGTTGTGGCATCGGTCTTCTCGGAGCTGTAGCTAAGGAGAATTTCAGAAGCGCCCTTGACAAGAAGCCTGTGGCCAGAGCCGTCGCGGAGCTTAATGACAGCACCCATGCATTTCTTGCCGGAGTCGAAGGGGAACATTTGAACAGTCTGCTCGTTTGCGCGGGCTTCGGGGAGTGATTGCATGCCAAGATGGTCACGGACAAGACTGAGAAGAGCAGTCTCGGTCTTGGAACCGATGAACGCAAACTGGCCGTTCTCAACACCCTCGAAGGCAGTAGAATCGATCGCAACCGACTGGACAATGGCATCCTTGGTGATCTGCGGGAGACCAGAAGCCCACTGCGCAGGGCTCGATTCGCTCTTCTCGGTCTCTGAGTTCTGGCCAAAGCTGGTGTTGCCGAAAGTGCCTGCAACAACCGTCATCTTGTTCGTAGTCAAAGTGCCGGTCTTGTCCGAGCAAATGGTAGTAGCATTGCCCATGGTCTCACATGCGCGCAGAACGCGCACGAGGTTGTTCTCTTTGAGCATGCACTTCGTTGCGATGGCTAGAGCAAGAGTGACGGCCAGGGGTAAGCCCTCCGGAACGGCCACAACAATGATGGTGATGGCGACAATGAGAATGTCCATAAACTGGGAGGCCTTGACAGCCGCAGGATCCGTACTCTGCGAAAGGCCAGCAACGAAGCGGAAGAGGAGAACGAAGAATAGGAGGGCAGCAGAGCTACCACCGATCTTGGCGATCGCGACGGCCAGGCCCTCCAGCTTCTTCTGCAAAGGTGTCGCCTCAATCTCCGTGCGAACCGACATCATGATCTTTCCGAAGCTGGAGTTGACACCAACCGAGGTCACCATAAATGTGCCCATGCCCTCGAGCACCTTCGCGCCAGAGATGATAAATGGATCCAAGTTCTTCGGGTTGGCACCAGCCTCGAGCTGCTTCATGACTTCATAGCCAGACGTCTTCTTGAGCGCATCAGATTCGCCGGTTGCTGAAGACTCGTCACACTTGAGGTCGTGGCCCTCGATAAAAATCCCGTCCACCGGGACAAGGTCGCCGGGCTCCAAGTGCAGGACGTCTCCGACGAGAACGTCGTGGACGCTGATCATGTACGACTTGCCAGAACGGAACACCTTGACCTCGCGGTCCTCCTTCTTCGCGTTGAGCTTAACAAAAGCCCTCTCCTTCTGCCAGTCGTTGAGAGAGCCGACGAGTGTCACAATAAGAATAGCCGCACAGATGGCGACACCTTCAATCCAGTCCAGGGCGGGTTTGCCGTCGGGATGCTCAACACCAACAGCTTCGTAGATGCCGAGGGCAAGAGAAATGACGGCAGCAACAGTCAGGAGAATAATGACGTTGTCGTTGTAGGCAGTCCAGGCGAGCCGCCAGAAGGAGGTTGCCTTTTTGACGGGGAGGACATTCTTGCCGTATACTCTTACACGGTCAGCGAATGGCTCAGAGGCGTTTCCGCCTAACCTCTCCGAAGCAGCTGGGAACTTGTCCGAATTGACGCGAGTGGCCTGTTCGAAGCTGACATTGGACCTGACGGCTGTCTCGTCGACGCTAAGACCCGTCTTGGTATTTGCCTGCAGGCCTCTCTCGATGCCCTCCAGTCCGCCGAGGGCTTTGAACGCCGCCAGCGATTTGGGGTTGAGCAGTTTGTTGAGGTGCCCAGGGGTGAATGCGAAGGGGTTGTTGTCCACCTGGAAATCGGTCTCGGTACCGGGGTCCGGCTTGAGTGCTGTCTCCGGGTCGACGGTAGCACCACATTCCGACTGTGCTGGCGTCAGGAACGGGTTTGAGGCGTTGAAGACGGAGGAAGCACCGGAACCGGCGCCGCAGCCTCCAGTCTTTCGAGGGACAGCAAGCTGGGCCATTGTCACTGAGGAGTCAATTGTCGGCTGGTATAAGTGAAGGGTAATTGAGTGTATGTAAGATCAGGCACAACAACTGCGGGTTTCCAGATGGATGCATATAAAGACCTTGCGCTGCGATTTATAGCCAGGAGTGAAAGTGAGCACTGCCTTTTCCTCATGTTCTCCAACCTCCCCGATCCTACAGATACTGAGGACTTGCCTGGATCTCTGCACACTTGGGGCTGTGCACATCGGTGAGGATTGTTGGCCTACTATGCCTGCAAGGTTGAGTTGGCGAGGCTGTGCATTGCTACCTTTAGCCGTCCCCTTTCGACGAATCAGCTATGCGTGACTCACTGTCTCGCCTTCTACCGCTGCATTACACTGCTGCCCCTTGCCCGAGCAATCAGCCCGTATTCAACCAACGCTGCAAATGCACTCTCTCACCCTGTTATCACCCTGGCACAAGGCTATTCTCTTTCGGCCTTGGAGTTACCAAAGCACACCATGCCACAAGACTGGTGTGAAATCGTTCATGCCCCTTGCAACCACTCAAAGGCAGCAGCAGTAGACTAACCTCATTCTGCCTTGATGGCGGAGATGACAGCAGGAGTATGCCCACGGTGCCCAACCAGAGGTTTGTGAAGCGAGTGGAAGAATGGGGTGGCATCCTATTAGGCACACTGCCGCCTTCTGACAGCGCAGGGCCAGCTTCGCCATTGACAAGTAGACATGACGTCACAAGATCACGCGCGGCCCGAAGGGCCAGCCACTCGTAAAAGCAGAGAGACTTGACTGGTCCATTGAACGGCGTGTGGATTGTAAGGATGGAGAGAATATCGCAAGCGAAAAAGCAATGCTCGCAGAGCTTCAGAATGAGTATATAGAATATCAGTCATGTAATCGCCTACCTACAAAAGGATTACACATGATGCAAGGTGGGACCGAGTCGCCGATACTCCACCGTCAAGCTGTCCCAATGACAGAGCAACCGAGCATACTAGGTCGAAAGACATGTCTGGCGAGATCTTTTCTTTGTCACTGGATGCTCCTATGGATTATGCACATTTGCCCTGCCATACTATGTGGGTCACCACGTCCTTGCGTGGACGCGACGTATGGCCCGCGCCGCCGGAGCATTTACACATCCATAGAGACGGTATTGAGAAGCAAAGCATAAACCCGTGTTGTGAAACAAGTAGACCCATCGACATCTCAGGGCCGTTTGAAGAAACATCAGTATCACTTTTCTTAGCGCCATGTCTCTGCATAAAAATCTATTTCATTGTTGAAATACCTTATAAAGCTACGTGTGGCCGTGTTGGCGCTCGAACATTCCCACAGTAGCAAGGTAATGCGCTTGCTAAGGAGTGCACTATAAATGCCAGCAGAATGTGGCAAATACGGGATCTTGTTCTTCTCGATTGTGCATTTTCTCGATGCTAGGCCGTGTCTCTTACCACGAGTTGGTTTCAGACAAGCGAGTCTCGAGATTTTGAGGATACTTCCCACCGAGCCAAAGGCGCCGAAAGCAATTCACTCAGCACTTTGGCCACACCATTTTCCGGCGCTCTTTGGCTGATAAGCGCAAAATCGACCATGGTTGATGCAGAAAGGACCAAAAAGGATACGAGCATTGTCTCGAGACCCATCCGCTTGTGTCAACGACTCGTTTGCACCGGTGGCGGAAGAGGGGTGATCATAAAGCTGTGAATACTTTCACACCGCAGCTGGCCAAGCGTCTAATTCGACAGTCTGGCGCCGTTGTGAGACCTCTCCTGAAGGGATGCATGGTGACGTGCCACGCCTGTTGAGTGCATGCCGGAGAAGACACCATATGGCGAAAATTACCACAAATGAGGCGGAGAGCACATCAACGGTGTACATTAGATAGGAGAGGCAGGTGCCGATGATGCGCGTGACCAATGAAAGCACAATTAATCCTATCAATATCGTTCCCGCGGAGCGGTTGAGCAGAAAGGACTGCCTGAGCAGTGGCGCCAAAATATCTTCACCTAGAAGAACTGCCATACAGTCCCTCGATACGGTCGTCGGGGGACCTTTAAAGGGAGCCTGACCTATGATCTTGATTGCATCACAATGATAAAACCCTAGCATAAACCAAGAGCCGTCCTCACAGGTCAGGTCATATTGACGTCTGTCGTGACATACATCAAGTAACCGTAGGCGGCGCGTCATTGCTCAATGGTACGGAGGTCCTGTGTAGAGGTCCTTGCCAGCTAGCAGTAGGTCTAGGACCGCGGATGGGGCACGCCAAAGGTTCTTTCTTGGGATGATGGTCAAATAAGTATCAAGCTCTGCGGCAACTGTGCTCTGATTAAGTTCTAAGCTTGTGGCTGAATACTCGTCAATGATAGAACATTTCCATAAACACGGTTCTATTGCATCCTGATTTGCTTTTACTGCCTGGCAATCATTGTCAAGTCCTCCAAGCCATTGCGTCTACACTATACCTACTTTGGCAGCATGCTACTTCCTAGTCTAATATCTGCGACCAACAATGTTATGTTTCAAGCTAACCGCAGAGGTCCTGGGTTTGCCCAGTGGACATTGACCGGTACCAGTGTAGGAGCTAGATCGGAATACTTATTCAGTCGTTTGGCAGCGTACATAGCCCATCAACTGCCACATCCGCGTTACGGCTGCACAGCAACCACAGCACCTAAGAATTCCTGAACAGGGCCACCACTACCAAAGGTCTCAGACATGCGTCGGTTTTCCACTTCGCCTCCTTTTGTGTGGATCATTTAGCTTATCGTAGTCGATTCTCTCCCTTTGGCGTAGCTGGCGCTTTTGAGCATCGCTGCTAGAAGCTTCAGCATCATGAGAAAGGGGGGGAGAACCAAGAGGACTGTATTGCGGAAAACTACATCCTAGAATGAGCCCGAAAAAAGCCACGAAGACTGCAATCGCATATAGTATAAAGTCCATGCGATGATTGCAGGTGCCTCGCATCGCTTTAAGTAGGAATTCCATCTCGTGACAAAGTCTGGTCATACTTGTGGTGACACATAGCGAGTTTACGTAACACCATCCATAACGTCAACGAGCAGTGAGACATAAGGCATGATTTATTACTCCTTGCGTCCTACGAGAGCAGGTTTCATGTTTAGTTTGACTTCAAATCTTTTTATGAGTGCTATCCGCCCACTCCTATGTAATGGTTAATTCTACGCAGTTCTTCAGCCGAGCATCCTCTTGGCCTCCATAGGGTAAGTTCCCATATGCGAACCAGTCTTTCACCTTCCACATTGAAGCTGAGACACACCTTCCGGAATACCTCCAACTCGCATCTGTGTTGTACCAGAGCCTGAATTTGCGGGATTTCCCTTTAATGAACCTGAGCAATTCTCTTTGAAATCCCATGAGTATCTTTGTGGCGCGTGGCCGAGGCATACTATGACCGTCGTCCAGATCAAGTTTCTCTGCACAGTCACAGTCCCAAATGACCACGTGCTTTCCGTATCCGCTCGGACTTTTGATGATCAACAAGGCAAATGTGTGCCAAATCTCATTCTCGATGTTCCGGCCGTTATGAAGACCATCCTGGGGAACAGCGAAAAGAGCGATCCAGGACTTAGCACCCCTTTTGGACCCTTGCCAGAACTCTTCGAATGTATCTCGCGCGACGAGGTCATGATGCCACTTCTCATCAGTGCGTGTGAGATAAGTGCGTCTTTGTGAGGCTTTCGCAAAGGTGACGCAGCGCGGATGGACATATGGAATATCAACGGGTATGCTGACATCTGCCAATCGAGTTTCGAGCTCAGTCCTTGGTGAGGCCCTGTCAAATTGCGCTAAAAAGCGTTCGAAAGTTCTGCCGAATGTGTCGGGGCTGGTAGGCAAACGTGCTGGTCGTCTTATAGGAATAGCACACTTCATGGCCTTCCGGGTGTGTATCAAAATCTGGCGGCTACAGCGTCTTCTCTTTGGCGTCATTGTCAGATGTGTGCATGCTGTTGACAATAGGCGTATCCTCAGTTATTTTTCACCATGACTTGACATTCTACCTACCAGGAAGTGTTGTGTAATATTTATGTGCAAATACACAAAGGACTCCACGAGCCTCACAAGCTTCAATCCCATCATCAACATACCGTCTCCACAAACATGCCCCAAAAACATACCGTCTCCACAAACATACCAGCTTCAAAAACATACCCCCTCCACAAAGTTACAGCCCTGGAGTCATGCTCTATGTCCTTCTTGCCCCCTCAAAAGAGTAGCATTGTGGGGCGACTAGGATCCTCCTTCGTGAACAAACCAACCTGGTGGGGACATCTCATCATGCGATCGTATTTCTCCATCTACATAGTCACCCGGTTCCATAGATGTCCTGCAGTATTGGTGATCGTCGAGTCTTTCCCAGTCTTCTGTCCAGTGCCTACGAAAGCGTTAGGCAGGCTTGACATGACGTTGCATACAGTTTCTTAAAGTGGTCTGCCATTTCTTGCCGGTAATGTTTGACGTCAACGAGCAGTGAGACATAAGGCATGATTTATCACTCTTTGCGCTCTACGAGGTAGGTCTCATATTTAGTATGATTTCAACCTTTTATAAGCGCGTTATCCCCCCACTCCTATGTAAGGGACAACTCTACGCAGTTGTTCAGCCGAGCATCCTTTTCGCCCCCGTAGGGTAAATCCCCACAGGAGAACCAATTTTTCACCTTCAACATTGATGCTTGAACACACCTTCCAGAATATCTCCAACTCGCATCTGTGTTGTACCAGAGCCTGAAGCTGCTTTTTTTCTTCTTGATGAACCTGAGCAATTCCTTTTGGCATCCCGTGAGCACGTGTGTGGCGCGTGGCCGAGGCATCCTATGACCGTCGTCTAGGTCAAGTTGCTCTGCACAGTCGCAGTCCCAAATGACCACATGCTTTCCGTATCCGCTCGGGCTTTTGATGATCAACAAGGCAAATGCGTGCCAAATCTCCATGTCCATATTCCGGCCGTTGTGAAGACCATCCTGGGGAGCAGCGAAAAGAGCGATCCAGGTCTTAGCACCTCTCTTCGGGCCCTGCCAGAACTCCTCGAACGTATCCCGCGCGACGAGGTCATGATGCCACTTCTCATCCGTGCGTGCTAGATAAGTCTGTCTTTGGGAGGTTTTCGCAAAGGTGACGCAGCGTGGGTGGACGTATGGAATACTGACGGGCACGCTGACACCTATCAATCGAGCCTCGAGCTCAGTCCTTGGTGAGGCCCTGTCAAATTGCGCTAAAAAGCGTTCGAAAGTTCTGCCGAATGTGTCGGGGCTGGTAGGCAAACGTGCTGGTCGTCTTATAGGAATAGCACACTTCATGGCCTTCCGGGTGTGTATCAAAATCTGTCGGCTGCAGCGCTTCTTCTCTTTGGCGTCATTGTCAGATGTGTGCATGCTGTTGACAATAAGCGTATCCTCAGTTATTTTTCACCATGACTTGACATTCTACCTACCAGGAAGTGTTGTCTAGTATTTATGTGCGCATACACAAAGAATCCACGAACCTCGCAACCTTTAACTCTATCAAAGCCATACACGCCTCAAAAGATACCGTATCAAGAACATACCACGGTCTCCACACATACCTGCTCCACAAACACACCTAACCCTCCACACACAAACCTGCTCCACACACAAACCTGCTCCACACACAAACCTGCTCCACACACAAACCTGCTCCACACACAAACCTGCTCCACACACAAACCTGCTCCACACAAAAACCTGCTCCCCACACAAACCTGCTCCACACACAAACCTGCTCCACACACAAACACACCTGCCCCTCTCTCAAAAAGGTACCATAGTAGGCATCGGAAACACACGATTTGGCTGCCAGGATCCTTTCTCGTGAAAATACAGACTGATGGGGAGACCTCGTCATGCTATCGTATTTCTCTACTTAACATCCACACTCACTTCAAAAACCGTCCTGCAGTATTGGTGATCGTCGACTTTATAACCAGTCCTCCTTCGACGACTGTAATGTTGTTTTTTGGGGGTCAACGCCTACGAAAGCGCCAGGGAGCCTTCCCATGACATCCTATAGAGCTTCTTGAAGTGATCTGCCATTTCTTGTTTGTATTGTCGCCTAAGGTCAGAGCGCCGCTTTTCGAAGTCTTGTGCGCTTGCCTCCAATTGGATTCTGAGGATATTTGAAGTGTAGAGAAGCAAAGTATCATATTCAGCGCAAGAGAGGCTTCTAATCGAATTGTAGTTTAATTCGTAGATCGTTTGCAGATCCAACTTCTCCATCTCGAATTGCTTCTCGAGCCGAGAGAGTTCGGCAATATGATCCATTTCAAGGAATTGCTTTTCTGCCATCCAAGCAGCATGAAATTCCCCTTTGTGCGTCGTGGACATGGCGATCTTGCGGACGATGCAGGAAACGCGAGTAGTCGTCTGACTTCTTCTGAGGCTGGGACAGTTACAACTTATACCCAGTCTTCAGTTTGTTTCGCGGGGCTACTGTTGACAAGTACACTTGTCATTCTTAGTGAGTGTGACCAAACGGCACATGACATAATAAGGTTTTATCCGCTAGTTGAAGTTCATACGCACGACTAGAGGACCTGCACTGCGGAGAACACACGGAAAGTGATTGTCACACATTACTCATGAATGTCATCCCGATTATGTGTATTCTTCTAAGTTCCTTGCCAGGGTACGCATTACAGTCAAATGATGGTCACATAATTAACTATTGCTGAAAGCCAATCAGAGTCGAACATAGGTGCGAAGGACGATCGATTGATGGCTAGCTACAGTGAAGGCGAACATCGTGTGCGATCTGAAACGCATGATTGAGAAAAGGAATTGTTGCTAAAATGGAGGATCAAGGCGCAGTAACCCTCCATTGTTCCGCAGGAGCGAAATTATTGGGAGGTGGAAAATCCTTATTCACCTAGTATCTCGCTCTTTTGTTTTTTGCATTCACCTGAGAGCAGCTTGGAAAACGCTTCTTGAACGGCCTCGGCAAGGTAAAACATACTTGATTCATTGCACCCCTTCCTCACCGACCTTTATATTATAGCCTGTAGGAGGCAGCCGTCTCATTTCTTCTGGTAACAACTTGGTCATATAGTTACTCATTATTTGATTTCTCTCTATAATGATGAGATTCTTAGCATCAGCAGGGGCGAGACTTCAGTGCTACGATGACAGAAAAACCTTACAGAGGCCACTCAATCTAATTCCAACCTCCCACCCAGTGTGAAAGCCCCGGCCAGTGCTTATTTAGACTCCACGCAAGCCACTAAAGTATTTTGGCAGAATATAACCTCGTTCTCATGTCTTTCCAAGAATATGATAGTGAATATCACGAGTATCTCCAGTCTCTAGAGCAAGATCCTGAGCTCAGGATTGACATTAGCGGACTGTGCAGATTTTTTAACAACGACCTGTTCTGGCGAAGCAGCATGATTGACAAACTACTCGCCTTTCAGCAGCCACATAAACTTTCATTCCGGACAATCTCGCTATCTGTTCGAATTCTTGATCAATACCACAGCAGAGCGAAATACTCATACCGGCAGGTGAAGAAGCGCGAGGCTTATGCCCAAGCGATGATTTTCAGCTCTTCCTATATTGCGGCGAAGTTTTCAGAGCAACAGGGTACATACGCACTCCTAGATGAACATGCAGTTGGCTCAAAACATGCAGAAAGGGAGATAATCATATTGAACGAACTGGACTACAGACTCGTGTATCCGTGCATATCCGATTACTGCGCACCACTTTCTAACCAGGACGATCTTTTCAACAAGGTTATGTGCCTTCTGGGAGAGATCAGCCTTGTTGACCTTCAATTGAGCATCTATCTAATAGGGCATCTTTCTATCACCATCGCAAAACTAGCTTATGAGATTGCGTGTGTTGCCCCTCGATTCCAGCGATTGTTGCGCACGTACGATCTCTATACACCCGAAGAAGCAGATATCCGAGCGAGATTTGCTGAATTTCTACTGGGGCGTCAGTTGCAATACCTCCCAGAGTTAAGACAGCGAAGGGACAACGGTATGTAGGAAACTTAGCGCTGCTAACAACACAAGAGAAAGACTAACTAAATGATGTAATTACTCGTTCAGAGCTTCGACAGTGTAAATCTTGGGCATTTAACATCACCATGATCAAACTGATTAGTCCAAAGATCCCCACAACGCACGATTTAAGAACCTTATTGGATCTGAACAATGATGCGCAGTCTCAGCAAGATAATCGAAGGCTTTACCGACAAATGACACATCGTTGAGAACAATTCACCCAAAAGACTCGGGTTATGGTGTATCTATACAAACTTTGGCCGAGCCCAAGATTCGGACGAGCACATCTCACTTCGCCTTCTAGGATGCTGAGTGCGCCTCCAACGAGATGCAGGCTCCCCGTGATCAAAGGATACCTTTCCTCACCCGTGAGGGGCAGTTCGGTAAAACCTCGAGCTCTGCACGACTTGAGGTTGATATATAGCTTACGAGGAGTGTAAAGTCTTCCACGTCTGAAAATTGATTGCACTGGCTTTGTAATTCCGCGAACACCCAAATCATCTCCTGTGACGATAGAAACATGCCGTAAAAGCCAAAAAAAGTTATGCAATCCATAAATGCTTTAACAGGCAGTCAAGTCAATCCAAAGATACTTATACACCACCTGCGCTTTGTTTTTCGGAACACACAATGGTGTCGGACGAGAGGAAGTCTAGGTTTGAAGAGCATCTGGAGTCACCTCTTAGACATTGCCAGCCGGATCTTGACGAACAGAGCAGGACCTTTTCCGATGGCTTACGACCCTTTTTGAAAGCGAGACTAATGGACTGGCAGAAAAGGTTCACCATTGCAATAACGTAATCCACGGGTAAGCGGGTCACACGGGTGAACGGGTCACCTTCCAGTAACTCGTACGACAATATATAAGACAATTTAACCACAACGCCTTAAATCAATTCAAACTATTCAGAATCCTCTTCTTCAGAGGCAGATACAACTTTCTGACACGTACGAGCATTATGACCGGGCTCGCCGCAGACGCCACATCGTCGCGCGCGCGTTTCGGGCCTCCTCGTACGACCACTATTCTGACTCGTTTCCGCTATTAACTGCTGCGTCGCATCGATTTGAGCCTTCAAATCCTTTGCCTGATCAATCGTGAGGGACCCTCCTTTCTGTAGCTGCTTTCTTTTGGTACGACGACGGCGGCTGAGGCGGTCATTTGCATCTCGAAGTTCGGCGAGCTCTTGGCGCATAAGGTCCTGCTCGTGTACCATCATTATAACTCCTTTTCTCAGCTGCCGTAGGCTCTCAACAATGGACGACGGTGAGCTATTCTGGTGTCGTACGATGCGATTTTCAATATACTTCGTCTGCGATTCGGTCTTAATTAGGTTGTTCGGCGTCTTTAAAACCCATGGGGGTGGTAGTCCAGCAGAGGAACCTGGTGGTGTCGGCGTATGAAACTTCATATCTAGCTGCGAAATCACATAATTCGGGTCGTACGGTACTAGTCCTGTCGCTCTGAAGCCTGCCTGGATGTTTGATTTGGTCATTGCAGCGTCGTACGCCTTATAAAGGCTGGGAGGAAGTCCTCCTTTGAAACGTGGGTTACGTGCGCCCGCATTAGACCTTCGATTTCTTTACCGTACGCCCGTTTCAGAGGTCCAAAACACCCAACATCGAGAGGCTGGAGCTTATGCGACGAATGAGCAGGCATACAGAGCGTGACAATATTCTGTTCCTTGCAGTAGAGCTCGAAATCGACGGAATGGTGGCTCTCGTGGCCGTCGAGGATAAGGAGGCGGTGGGTACCCTTCGTACGACTCTTTGTATGGAAATCAAAGTGTTTTACCCATTCTAGGCCTCTCTCGTTCGTCGTCCAACCGTTTTCTGAAAGCGCGATTACCCAGTCGGCCGGTAGAGGGCTATTCGCGGTCCAGGAGTCGAGGTGGACCTTCCCGGCGAAGATAATGTATGGCGGGATTGAATAGCCGTACGACGCGATACCCTGGATTACTGTAACCCATTCCTGATTGCCTTGTTGTACGGCTCTTGGCCTCCCGCGTCGATCGGAGGTCGTAACGACAGTTTCGGCGGAGATCTTGCCCATCGCGAAGCCCGTTTCGTCGAAGTTGTAGATATCGTCATCGTGGATCCCGTATTTCGCGATTATGTTTCGTACGAGCTCAAACCACGCGCGATACGCGTCCGGATCCTCGCAAAGGACCCTCTGGTAGTCGATTCTTCGATTAAAACGCGTACGGATCTCAGGTCGTCGTCGTACGAAGGTTGAGGCCCAGTTCGTTCCAAAGCGTGGCGCGTCGCGTGCGCGGAGGAGTCGATCCGCCATTTCTCGAACACCACTTAACCGCGGTGGAAACGAACGCGAATCTAGGTCGAGTACGTATCGTACGATACTCTCCTCTTCGTATGAGGTTAATTTCTGGCAGGGTGGTCGGGTGTCGTGTTTCGCAGCTCGGCCGTGGTATCGTTGCTGGAGTGTCGTACGAGATACATTATAGATCTGCACAGCCTTTCGTACGCTTAATTTTGGGTCGGATTGGAGCGCATTTAACGCTAGAACCAAATCACTTTCAATTGATTGTCGTCCCATGATTGGAGGTGGAGAAAAAGGAGAAGGAAGTGAACCTCAATTAAATTGCAGTAAAGTGACCCGTTCACCCGTGTGACCCGCTCACCCGTGGATTACGTTAACCAATATGTTCCGGTGATTGAGATCCAGTGCCTGTAGAGATGATGGACGGCTGTATCGAAAGGCAGTTATATAATTTTCCCTAACTATAACTAGTGTGAGAAGTTGATTGAGCTGAAGGGCATCTAGGACGGCGAAGTAACGTTTTTGCGATCCAAGTCAACCGTAGAATTCATTCTCACAAATGATAGTGCTGGCACGCCGAACTTTCAGCAGTAACCATTTCGTCTGCCCTTCCTAAGCACTGATGCCTCAGGTATTAGTCTGTGGGTGAGCAAAGTCTGGGGTGATGGTGAGGCAACCCCCGGACAATTACTTCCGCTAGGCATTCTCATTCGGCAGTGCTGGTTGCAACCGCTCCAGTCGTCCTCGGACTCGTCCGCTCGCACAACTAACTCTCAACCAACACCAACACCAACACCAGTACCAAGCTGCGGCGCATAGACTTCAGCACGACAAACGCCAATGGAGCTGCCAAACGAGCAGCGTGACGGAGACGCCGACATGGCAAGACCAGGAAACACATGCCCTCTCAACCGCCTGCCGCCCGAGGTTTGCTCCCCCTCGTCGTTGTCCCAGACAGAGGCAAGCACTGACGACGCAACAAATTCAAAAGCTCAGGCTGCAGATCGGAGAGTACGCTCTCGGTGGCCCCGAGCTCTCGCTCTCGCAGCAGGGCGGCCGCACGAGCAACGTTTAGAAAGCGTCAGCCGGCGAGCAATACGAGGCAGATACCCAGAGAATCGCAACCATACACAACTCCAAGTTCCTGTGCAACCTGCTTACAGGAGGTGGCTCGCTAAGTGTAGTGCGGCACAAGTTCTTGGACTTTCATGAGCTCTTCGCCTTTCTGGCCTCTCACAGCCCCGGCGCGCTCTCGGAAATCGGCCATCTGGTTGTCCAACTAAGCTGCCTGCCGGATACTCAGGAGCTTGAGGCGATGCTCACAGGCGTCAGTAACCAGGCAGCGTTGAATTCTATCAGCGAGCAGCACAACCACATTCTGGCGCTGCTCGTGCACGCCGTACGGCTCAAGCAATTCGTGGTCCGCATCGATATGGCCGACTATTTCGATTCGGCCGGCAACTTCGACGCGAGTTCAACAAACGCGCTGCACATACAAGGACTGAATGCGATCCAGAGCGTGGTCACGAACACGCCTGACGAGACCGTTGATATCAAAATGAAGAAGGTCAAACACCTCATAAACCTGCCAGCATTCCGCCTGGAAATTGCTGTCTGCACATTTAACGAGGCCACCGGCGAGCTCAAATACGACGAGGCCGTCGACCTCCGTTCTCAACATGGACTGCCGGAGGGCTTCGGTGCGCACCTGTCCTCGCATGTATTCTGGACAAACGGCAGAATCCGCGGCCACTTAGCCCAGATTGCCAGCGAGCTCCAGCGTCGGCATGTCCAGCATCGCGACATGGAGAAACCAGTTTTGACGGAGCCAGGCGGCACCGAGGACATGTTAGCGGCCTACGACGCCAGCGGTCTCACAGTCAGCGGCCGCTAGAAGCGAGTCGAGTGGATCGAGCGGGTGGACCAGCCGCCCAGCTCGCGGACCCGCGGCCGGGGTGTACTCACCAGATTCAACACCATTCCCGAGCATACCGCGAGGATGATCGACCTAGCCGACGGCCTGGTCATGTGGTTTGTCTTTGTGCGCGGCATATCGCGATCCGAGCACGGCATCATGGCGGCAATTTGGTGGGCGCGATGCGAGACCGAGGAACAGCACGTGCCCTTGCGCGCGCTGATGAACCACGATGGCATCAAGGCGCTCGCAAAATTCTTCAATGCTCACAAGGACCGGCTCGCGGAGATCCTAGCGGACATCAAGCCAGAAACCCTACTCGAGGAACTTGGAGAGTATCCCAACCAGCAGGCCACGGCGCTGAAGCAGATCCAGCGCCTTCTGCAAGGTGCCGTTCATGGGAGATCACGAGTCTAAAACTAGCCACCATATGCAGGGAGTATCTACATCATTATCGTTGTCACAAGTCGTTCCTTGAAGAATGTTTGTGGCTGTGTGTCTCTGGAGTGCCCAGAGTATGCCTGTCTTCAGAACAAGTTGTCCTTATGTTGGAGTTCCTGGACGAATGAGCGGTTGATAGAGCTGCCTACATCATTCTTTTGGCCTTACGCGATGTTAGACGAGGTACTTGGAGACATTTGGGTACGGTTGTGGATCTGAGGTGGTATCGTGTTTTGTCGCCTCATGGTAATGGTGTTGACGATAGAGGAAGCCGCGTGCACGCGCTGAGGCTCTGATGCGCGACACCCAGTATTTGATGAGAAAACTGTCTGTTGATCATATGCACATGCAACTCGGAACAACGGTGATTGCAGCATTCTCTGGAGCGACCGTCCTTGTTAGACAGCGGGACGTTGAATCATGACTTTTCTGAGCACCATTGTTGTCAGGATCACGGTTTGTTGTGGGTCTCGCGGCTCGCTTAGTCATCCATACGTGCAGAGCCCGGGGACGACTCTCGAGAAGCCCTGTCGCGAGCCCGTCTACCATAATTTCTATAAATCTTCAAAGCTTTCACCAGCTGGAGGATGGTAAAAAGCACGCCCTGCGAACTTCCAGACTGATTATACCACAACCTCCCCATGATAATGACACTCAGCGACAGAGGACTCTTGACATCATGTCCCACTTTTCATTGTCGTTTTTGTGGGACTGGTTGCAAGGCACAGCGCGTGAGCCGGAAATGGTGCGGGAATATCACTGGGGCGTTCTGCGAGGGGGCAAGAGCACTTGGGGCTGCCTATGTCCCACCGAGCAATTGCAGCCTTGTTTCTTCCTTTTTTATATCTTTCTTCCTCTGCTGGCTAGCATTCGGTGCTGTCGGCGCGAGAGATAGCGTACATGTCTTACAGGCTTCCATCGCGATGTGGCGAGCATTGCCTGCAAAGTGCAGTTCCCACACGCACGAACCCGCTGTGTCTAGGTCAGTTGGTGTCTCCGGTGTGCTCAGCCTCCCGCCGTGTTGTGGCTCGCAAACCTTGTTTTGAGACAGCGTGCTAAGGCCCAGGCTCTCGATTTCGAGGCTGGCACATTGTTGGTGTGTGTTCCTGTACGCTTTCAGCATTGCAGCACACTCTCGCCTGGGTCAGGGACGCTTCCTGGACGTCGAACATCCCCACCTATGGTGCAGAACCATTAGGCCATATTCCCCGAAGGTGCAGGTCATGCAGATTAGAAAGGGCGCTTTGACACATATTTGGAGCATCACAATCCAATTCAGTCAGGGCCGCGTGGTGTCGGGCACGAATGCGGCCAGGGCTTGTCTATGCGAGCCTCGTCGAGTGCAGTATCGATGCATCATGCGAACGCGAGATTCTTCAGCAGCCACTGTTGCACCGCTAGAGTCTGGCAGCTTGGATCCTTTCCTTTCTGAGAACCATCTTGGCCCCTTCACCACAAACAAATTTCGCTATGGCTGTGTCCTGGTTATCTTTGCCTGTCTGGTGACAGCTGGATCATCGCCGGATTCCAGACGCCGACACATACAACGACGTGGGGGATCCACCTGCATGTCATGGTGTACATTACAGCTATGGCTTGGGCTGGTGTCCTAGGAAGGCTGGACTGAGGGTTGCGAATTTGCTCTCGCATTAGCCATGCTGATCCTTGCCCTCGGCCCTCATGATTCTCCACCACGACCGATGCGAGGCTCCGTCCGCCAAGAAGAGAGTTGGTGATCGAGGCCGCGCGACATCCCTGTCTCACATAAAAGAGCCTGCGAAGCCCACATAAGCCCGCAATGATTCTTAGGAGCCGCATCGGAAGACAGGCTGGAGATTGTGATGGGCCCCGCAGGGCCGGGGCCAGAAGACTGTGCGGAGTGACTCAGGCGAATTATACGGCGGCTAAGCGATGATTGGACATGCGGTGTGCGATACAGGATCCCTACAGTCACTAAGCCGCCGGGGAAGGAACACGCCAGCCTCCCATGACAGCTTCCTTCCGGTACAAGGAAGCTGGACAGTCAGAGTAGTCAGCGCAGGTCATGCAGGTCGCCGGCTACCAGAGACCCTGGCCAAGGCTAGCCAGTCACGAGGTTGTAGCAGGCCCACGTCTGAATGACGAGCCCTGTCATGGTGGATGGCGGATGGTGGGGGGGCCGACCATCTTCCTCCAGACTTGTTTCGAGTCAGCCTCAACCCCACATCGTGTGATCCTGTCCTTTGTCAGCAAGCCCGCCAATCGATGCAAGCGGATAACCTTATTCTGACCTCACCCCAGCTTATGATGGCGCCTAAATAAACTGCCTGGTTCGTCCGGTGCCGCGGGGGCGAAGCAGGGAGTGTCAACCCAGGAGCTTGTGATCGCCGAAACCTCCTGGCCAGCTCTGGCAGATGTCCGAGCATCATCCAGCCTTTCGCAGGATGCGATTCTTCGCTTGTTTCCGTGGGCAATGGCAATCTTGGCTAGCCAGTGCCCTCTCGGTCACGCAGTAGTGGGCACCACAAGCATCGCTACATGGGAGGCGCAACAATCACCGCTTAGATGCGGGCCGATTACACGCCTCGAAAGCTAGCCTCTCCTCCCGCCATGTAAGAGCTACCCTGAGGCGGGCGAGGAGGACATCGCGACGCAAATACACGCTGTGGTCGTTTGTGCGTATTATGCAGGCAGGCTGGAGCTGATTCTCTTCCAGTGTGAGCCTCTCTGGGAATAATGGGCGTCGTACGGGATGAGTCTCTGAAATGGGTAGTGCCGTATGGCTGAGTGAGCGAACTCGTCTACTTGGGAACAGATGATTTGGCAGCGACATCTCCGTCGCTATTTCCAATCCCCTCCTCCGCAGAAACGGCGACGTATGGTAGCACAAGATGGTGGCAAAGCTCGTCATAGAATGTGTCGTTTGTGTCGGTGTGTATTGGGGGATATGACCGCGATCTCAAGGAGCTATCAGGCTGACCTATAGACGTCCGATGTGACGCAGCACTTGCTGGTGTATCAGCATGACTCAGGCAGTGGCTATGCATGCTGAGCACATCCTTCAATCATGCCGTCTTGCTTCCAACTCACAGAGTCTAGTTCATTAGACGGCGCTGGTACCGTGCAGGAGCATATGAGGAGAGCTGTTGATACCGTCGGTATTGTAGAAACAGCAGCATGACCCTTTCTGGGTAGCAGGGGAGGTCGAGATGTGTCCTCTTCAAGCGTTCCGCCTGTCAAATTCCTTGTGAGACATGGTGAGGTATAGCCAGCCCGGGGATTCCATCTACATGCTTGTTCACACATTCATGGGTGCTGGCCGACGTCCTACACGCAGTTAAGAATGCCATTTGTGTCCGTTCCAGGCTTTGTTTTCTGCATTGTAACTCTGGCAACGGAAGCGGGTTGAGCGGCCGTGGTCCAGTGAGCGTACACAGTCAGATTCTCTCGACTAACGACGGGCAGCCTATTCTGCGGGCGGTGCATCACTAGACGTGGCCAGGTGCAGACAGCACATCGGGCCGGAGACCAACCACGTTCCAGCCTGCAGAACAGTGTCCATGTGAGGCTTCGTAGCTGCCCATCTTCAGCGTTGTTCAATGACTAGAAATGTGCAATTCACAAGCGCACGAATCGGCCTGGAGAGATAGCTGTATGTGGCTATTATGGCACCGAGTTCGGATGTAGAGACCTTGGATAAGCTTCTGGCTGGAAACTGAGCAGAAAAAGGACGTCAGACTTCAAGCATAGTCGTGGAAGCATCAGCCATGAATAGACAAGCAAGCTCGAGGATTCATGCCTGCAGAATCATGCCGCAGTGTGAGGCTTGCGGACATACGAGGCATGACTGCAAGGCTGGATACTCCGGCAGTCCAGAATTTACTCCGTTGACCTGACTGAATATACATTCAATCTCTCTGCGAGCCATCGGCCAGGACGAGGATGGTGACTCGACAGCTTGGACGACACTACTTCATTTCAGAATTCGCTTCCATTGCCCGCTCGTCCTCAGCCACGTTTAACTCTAGAGCTCGTACCATAGACGATGTGCCATTGCTAATCACCTGTACTAAGCTCAGTCTCGGAACTGTTCGCGCGGTGTAACTTTCATCATCACTGTGCATATGTAAACTATGTCTCCGTGTCATGATGATTGCCCCAGACATGTCACAATCCACGCTTTAATGGGTTTCAAGACTTAGTAGCCTTGCATGGTCGTGCCGGAAAGGCTTCGCCTAGCGAAGCCCACCAGCTCATCGACTTGCTCAATGACAGCCTACTGAGAAAATTGGATGTCCATACTGATCCCCGCCCAGATTATGGGTTATTTGCTGGGGAGATGGCCAAACACAGGCAGTTTCAGACCATATCGCAACGTCAGCTCCCCTGATGCGCAGTCTGCACGACTAAGTACTCCATGCTTGGGATACACCTCCTCAATCCGTTCGCGCAGGTTATCAGGTTACTGCTATGCGCAGGGTTTGCTCATCGCCTGTATGCCCCATTGAAACAAGGTGGACGCGTCTGGGCACGACACACGCACACAGTCCTCAGAGAGTTGCTGCTCTATTTGGAGTCGCCAGAATTGTCATAGCCTGGCATGCCTCGGCTCTGCCCCCCAAGAACTCGCATGTCTGTTTTTCATCACCGCCCTGCGCCTTCTCTGGATCTCCCAATCATACATTGTTAGCGGCGGCGGCCAAGGCGGAGTGAAGGCCAAATAGAACCCGTGCCGTGCGAGGCAGGCCTGAGAGGCATGGAGGCAGGCCTTTTCTTTCACCACTTGGGGCTTTGTGCTTTTGTGAGGGCCTCATGGTTTAAGGGTCAAGAGTACGAAGCACTCTTAGCACTGCATCACTGACCTCATAATTTTCAGGCAGTGCTGCCAACAAGCATGAGCCCCTGTGCCGGGAACTCTGACGTTGCCACCAAACACAAGGTGTAGTATGTAATTGCGTTCTTCGCCAACACCAATCACCGTGGATGGATGTCATGCTCTGCAATCGTTGGTGGCTCAGCAGCCTGAACAAGCATGTCTCCACAATCATGCAGCGGTGTTGAAATCCTGTCATCCAGGGCTTTCTGCACTGTAAACGCGAGGACAAATTGAGCTACAGGGGTGATAGCCGGGGCGGGCGCCCTTCTCGGTCAAGGGTACCCATGCCAACACATTCGTCGTCAGGCTGCTCAAAACATGGCATGGCTCAAGCCCACGACTTGTTGCAGGTGCTTAAACAGTATCCCTGCGTATGAACACGGCGGCCACACACTCCCCTCGATTCCCTCACTTCCGGCACACAAGCCGCCAGCGCGGTCTTCCTGGCCGTTCTGTGACCAGTGGTCCCTTATCGCTCTGCATCGATGCCGGGCCTTGTCGCGCGAGCCGTATGCAACCAGTCGTGCCAATACACTCTTCGCCAACGCATGTTTGAGCGCATAGGGTGATTTGCAAGGTACAGCTGTTCCCGCAAAGTTTTTCCGTAAACAGACTCGCACCCAAAGAGGCCAGGAAAAGTGGACTAGGCTGGTCACAAATATGGACGCGAATTACAACGCTCTGAGAGCTTCCAATGTCTGGCACCGCGCCCCCGTGTCCGAGGACTGCGTGGAAGGGATGAGGCTCTGCTACGCATACGGTAGGCCAACAACAAAATTGATGCTGGAGACCAGTCTCACCTCTGGCTATCCAGCTCTTTACGGTGGGCTCTCGGGGTGCCGTAAGAATTACCACTGCGCTCTAAATTGTCGGGGCTGTGAAATGTGAATAGCCAATGATGCCATACTGTCAGGCAGGCACCACCACCAAGGCGCAGTTCCAGTCGCCTTGTGCCGCCACAATCCTAGGTCCTGTCATGATCGGGGCACCCGACTTTGGGAACTTTTGCACCAAGATCTCTCCGCTGGCCGCATTTGTTGACGTATACCTGCCCCCAGTCTGGTCTCCGGCTGTGAACTATGCAGACAAAGGCCACGCCATGGTTGCTACCCAGCCCCCCGCACCCACGGGGACCTTCGCAGCCTCGCTGACAGGATACCGCCATCGGTTTCCAGCATCCACTGAGTTGGTGGCTCATGGGACCGCACACTACTACGGTTGCATCACCTTGCACCACCGCAACGGCCCCGGACTCTCGTTCTTTACACACGTCTGTAGAAACGTGATACTACGCCTCAGCAACGGCAATCCAGACTCTTTAGATCTCAGGTCTGTTTCTTGACGGTGATGGCAAGTCAAGCTTACGCTCCGGGCCGTCGTAAAGCCCTGCAGACAACCAGAATACGCGACCACCGTCGCAGTACCAGACACGACACCGCCAATTGTTGTCCCAGGAAGGCAACGGAGCATTGGAAATGAGGTTGACAAATGGCCCAGGCAACGGTATGTCAGATCCTTGTCGGCCGAGTGTGCTGCGATGCAGGAGCCGCGTTGGTCTGCATGGACGAGCAGCCAGGAGCTTGAGGACCGGCTCAACCTGTGAGATGGGCTCAGCCGTGTCTTTAGAGTACGGATGCGACGCCTCTGGGCCACAGCCGGACTTGCGAGGCTGCCATACAAGCAGCCGAGCGACCAGAGCTCGACCGGAGATCTGCAGCGGTGAGCAAGTTTCAAGGTACATGCAGAATCTATATGATGTGTCGGGCCTAGGCACCGTGGCGTTAGGACTGTGCATGCTAGGGCCTTTACAAGGAGGGCTTGAGGGGGCCTGCCCCACTTGACGGAAACACATCAGATTGAGGCTCAACTGGCCTGATGACGCCTGCCTCGAGTCAAGCGCCAGCTGCAAGGTTACCAACATCATGGCCAGTTGCAAGGATAGTACGTACATGCTGCACGAGTACGTGAAGTTCATGTACGCAGACCCGATGGGCTATGACTCACTAGCCCAATCTAGCCAGATGCCGAGCTCGCCAGGGTCACCACATCCGACACCCAGCTCTTGAATGGTACTGTACCGTACTAAGGTACTCGATCTAGAACAAAGCTGGGCGGCATCTAGGGTATTGCCACCACGGCCTTTTGGGACTAAGCAGTAAACCCGAGCCCCTTACTCAAGCGGACAGGATGGCAGGCGAGAATTCAATCTTGCTTTGCAACAGTCTGCTGGGATACGCCGCGACTCCATGACTGCCGGACAAATGTGCTTGCCTACACTGCGATTGAACATCTAGCGGTCAACATGAACGTCGCCACATAGGCTGCACTTGCTGAACCCCGGCAGGCGTGTCGGGACAGCCTGGGAGGTCTTCCGACGCCGCCTGGGTCGTGTGCCACAGGCCGTGCTGCAGAAAACCAGACACGACGGTCGGCGCGGCTTCTTGTTGAGCATGTAGGGAAGCCTGTTCGCCGATTATGTGGAAGAAAGCCGGCGGGGGCTGCAAAGGGCTACGATTCGCGCCACGTCCTTGGTGCATGCGGTCTGCTAGCCAGCTTACTGCAAGGCAGAAAGTTACAAGCCTGCAGGCGTTCATTGGGCTCATGTGGCCCCCTCAGGCGTGTTTTTCCATTTCCGCATACACTTGGTATCTCTTCAAGGGCAAGGGTGGGGGTCATAGAGGAGTTTCTGATAGGTCTTCAGCAATGAAACACGAGGCAAGTAAGGTTGGCTCTTCTCCTGCTGCCTGGTGTCTTCTAAATATTCCAGCGCCTATCTCCTGTGAAAACACATTTTAACAGTCCTAATGAAATCCAACCACAGCTTCTTGCCCCTGCCCTCAAAGTCGCTGAGCTGTTGAGTCGGGCGGTCATTAGCCCTGACCTCGAGACCAGCTGTGAAATCCTGAATGCTAGTAATGTAAACAAGTTCTTTCCTATGCGAAGGCGCAAGAACCTCCTCTCGCTCAACTGGAACATGGCCCGGTGTAGTATCACCGCTGGACCCTTGAGCTATCAGATGGATTGCAAGCTTGGCACGCTCTGGTGATTTAGGAGCAATGAATTTGCTGTAGAAGCCAATCATGTCGTCCTTGGTGAGCCGTGACACTGTAGCTTCATCATCGTGCGCTATTTTGCACTGAATTAGTGTTATGATCGATGAAGCTTTTGTGTTTAAGTAGACTTACAATCTCCATCCAGCTTCCCAAACCCGTCACGACATGCATTGGCAATACTCCGCTTGTGGCTCTCAAAGTCGGCCTCGCTCATCTCTTCCAGGGCAGTGCCCTGCGCAGCCAGGAAGAGGTCGACTTGTGCCGAGAGGTATTCTGGCTTCTCTGCGCTCTCGATGGTAATACCGTAACCATACATTGAGCCAACCGTGCACACATCAGCGAGAATGGTGTAACCGAGCTGCTCCCTTGTCTTCAGCTGCTGGAGCGCTGGCTCGTGTAGTATCTGGCCGAGCAGCTGCGTCTTGGCGCGGGTACCCGGATCGCCTTTTGGGTCGATCTGGAGGAAACAGCCGATACAGTGGTGAACACTCTCCGGGTTTTTCAATGTCTTCGAGAACACAAAGTTGGATCCAGGTGGAATGATACGGGAGCGCGCGATGGGCCATTCTTCCTTGGGCAGAACACTCGACTTCAAGGTTAACTCAGTCATCTCCGTCAGCTCGCGTGCATCCTGCTTGGTGAGATTGCCGCGCACCAATGTCTTGATGTGCAGCTGCGACATGACCTCCGTATGAAAGCGGCGAACTCCGTCAGCAGTGACATTTGAGGCTGCCTGCACGAGCTCCTCCACACCGTATAAGTGCTGCAAAGTGAGACATCCCACGTAAAGTTTAACCTGCTTGTAGGGCTGCAGGAGCTCGGAATCTTGAAGGCTTCGATTGGCGCGTTCCCGCGCAATCTCGAAGCGGTCGTCGCGGATCTCGAGGTCCCGCATTGTGACCAAGATTTTTTCCAGAAGCACAGGAAGCTTGTCTTTGTAACCGGAGACCTCGACAAACATACCGCGACTATCAACGCTTACAACGTACGACAAGCCGGCAGGACCGGCACCATACGCGTAGTCTTCAACAGCGTCTGTCACGAGACCTGTAAAGAGTCTCGCCTTGACGAAATTCCCAGCCGAGGCGAGAACGAGTGGAGTGCTGAGGCTAACCTTGACGTTGGCCTTAGGTCCCCAAAACGTATCGTCCTTCATGTACAGCTTTCGCGGGATTGTACACTTTCTGAGCAATTGGAGCAGAATGGCTAACTGCTTGACCTCTTGCTTTTCCGCCTCCAATGCTGTGGGCATGTACTGGTTCTTGCCCGGTAGGTGCAAGGTCGCGAGCCGGTCCTTCGCATTTCCGTTCGCAATTCGAGTAAGCTCGAAGATGAAATCCTCTGGAATATCCTCGATCTTGTACTTGGTTCCGTACCACTTCTCCTTCTTGTCCCAATCTCCCGGGAACTCACTCGACGCGAGGGTCATGAAGAAGTTGTCCGGGCGTAGCAAGTCTAATCCCTGCTTGATGAGCTTGTCGTCAAACTTCCTGAGACGGTACTGACCACTCAATAACCACTCTCGCGGAATTGGCTTCTGCATGACGGCAGATATTTTTGATGTGAATTCGCTTGCCGAAGTTTTTGGCATGAACTTGAAGCCCCGATCGGCCATTTCCTTTAGCTCGTTGAAGATCCGCTCGTCAGGCGGCCCCTCGCGCAGAATCGCCACATACTGGAAGAACACCCGGACGATTTCTTTGTGGTGCACCAAACCCTGTTGAATATGTCAGTCTGGATCTTGAAAGAGCACGTACTCGAAATCGAACGAACCTTCTCCGTTAGTTCGACATAAAAGAAAAACTGACCACGCGTCCCTGGACAGATCTGGTGGGTGCCTGCAGCCAGTGTGTTCGCCCAGCCCTTCACTTTGATGTAGGACATAATGCTTCCTGGACCTAAGTGACCGACCAAGTAACTGATATAGCGACCTGGTTGACTCTCGAACAGTGCCTCCTCGTCCAGGAAAGGAAAGCACAGTTGCAGTCCGTATATGTTCATTATAGGCTTGGCGTAAACCTGCTTGCACAGCCGGTCTTGAGTCCATGGCAACTCGGCCTCCCACGCTTTCTTTGGCAGATCCTTGTTCGGAACCTCCGCAAACAGTTCCGCTACCCACTTCTCCAGCACGTCGAGGGGTTCTCTGCCCAGCACGCAAAGCATCATCCGATTGGCCGAGTAGTGCGTCTCATGAAACTTCATGAGTTTGGCGCGGACGTCAACTCCCTTGCTCTCTGGCAGTATCTTGAGCGTCTCGAGGTTTCCTGTCGGCAAATAGGAATATGGATGATTTGGATTGGACAGGGACTTGTGGAGCTGAGATAACCGGCAGTCGTCCCTTTGTTTATAACCCTTGTCCTCCGAATCCATCACGCGAAGCTCTCTGTCCAGTGTTGTTGGTTCGAACAGCGGCGCGATGAAAAATTGGGCGAAGCGGTCCAAAGCGCCGAACAGAGGCGACGGGTTCGACCTGGTAGGTTTTTTATTGTTGCTGGGCTTCGCGGCGACATCAAAGTAGTAGTTGGTCGAGCAGGCGTGGGTCTGCGCATTTGAGCTTCCGGAGTGTAAGGACAGGTATTCGTTGTACTCATTCTCAGGAGATTTTTTTGTGCCCATCAAGACGAACTGGGTCACAGTCAGTCATTGTGATGTCCCCTGTTGGTGTAGATGTGAGCGGGGTTCCTCCTACATGCTCTACAGCGTGGGCCATTCCAGGCATGTCGCTCTCGTCGCTGAAAGATCCGACATTGACGTCAAGGGCCGCGGAGGCCTTGTCTGTGTCAGCATCGTGGACAAGGAGGGCCTCGAGCTGGTTCGGCAGGCGGATGACGCGATAGCCACGATTGTCAACGGAGGGAGTCTCGAGCTGGTCGGTCACCCGCTCGACTTGGCACTGTCGCTGCTGCCTCATGGTCGGAGGTTCAGCAGAAGGGCTCATGCTGTGACGGCGAGGGTCGACGCGACTCAGGGTACGAGGGACGATGGCCATCCTTGGAACGGACGCAGAAACCTCTTGGCTATAGCCTATTCCCCAAAGGTGTGAATGAAAGGAAAGGCTCCAGTCTGGCGGCCTCAAAACGGCATTTTCTCTGATCCTTTTCGTCGCCGAATGAAACCTCCTGAACCTATCGCTATATGATGCTCTTGCTTCTTCTGTTGTATACAGAAGTATAGACAAGTGGAATCCCTGTAGTTAGTCCTGGAAAGCCTAGGGGATGAATCAATCGTATCGCCTTCGTGGAAGCACTGTGCCCGTATCTTTCGAGGGGTGGCGGAGAAGGGGACCACAACAATGGCAACACTTCATGCTACCCTTGGCGTGCTGATCATGAGTTGCTGTCGTTGGCTGTCTGCTTGGCAGCCACACGATTCGGAACTGGCTCTGTATCGTGGCAGATACGGGGTGCTTATGGAAGGGGACTTGCCTAGTGCCGCAACGCACAGCGTTCACGATGTTTGGGGTATCGGCTTGTTTGAAGATGATGAGACAGGACACAAAGAGAATCGATCCCCTCACCAATGGCTAGTCTGTCGGAGTACTCTCCTACTGTGCCGCCAAGGTATGCTTTCGTCCTCCCGGGAGAGGTGCGTTCTTGGGTCCACTCGAAAGTCAACTTGGCCGGTCCCTCGGAGGCTGTTGATGATGGCCTTGTTTGCACAAACATTGCCTGCCGCGCACGCCCTGTTTGTTTGCCCACATGCATGCTGCCTGGTCTTGCTGGAGATATCCCAGCCTGCAGAGAACTCTGCAACACGGGGGAAAGGAGGCTCCCCAAGGTACAGGTTATGCGAAATTACCGCTCGATTTTCAAAAATTCCAGACCAGGACAAGGCAAGTAGAGCAAGTAGAACAAACTGCATGGAAGGCGTGTTCAGCTTCATTTCACCAGGCCTTTCGGAGATGTGATGCCCGTCCAGAAGTGACCGCTGGCAAGGCGCAGCCAGTCCGTGGCATTTGACTCATCCTCAAGAGGAGTCCAGAGCTGGTTAGGTTTCGTTGCTTGCAGTACACCTGGCAGGCCGAGATCCGGCATGTCTAGCTTGCCACATTCAGAGCTGGGTGTCTTCAAGCCCGCACTTTGGCATCAGACCTAAGCCACCCACGCGCGGTGGTCGCTGTGAGCCATGATGGCAAAGGAGCCAGCACACTGAAGGGCGTGGCGCGCTTTAATGCTGTCAGTCAGGTGGGGATACATAAGTAACGTCTCGTCCGCCCTCTAGCCATGCCCTTCAGTCATATCCAAAGCCACTTTCACTAAAAATAACAAGACCTCAAAGAGCTCTAACCAAGACAACCTTGCATTCGAGATTCACTCTACATAGTTGTAACCTTTCTCGATTATACCATTACTCACCATGCCTTTCCTCCTCTCCCGTGAGAGCAAGGCCAGCAACTATGCTAAGGACACTGATACTGACGTCGGGTCCGTTTGCTCGTGCGACATCAAGGGGGACAACAGACAGCAACCCGCTTCTACAACCAGGGAGATCACGGCCAAGTCTTCATTCTCGTCGAGTGAACGCATCACTCCGGAACAGCTGGCCAAGTACAAGAAAAGTAAATCCAGACAGACACTCGTGATATCATCTCCCGCTGACCAAGGCGCTTCGTTCGCAGTGGCGATGCGGAATTCTATGAGAATCTCGTAGGCGGGATTTTGGTTGGAACTTTCTGACTTGGGCGGCTTTTATGCGAACAGTCAGCTTCCGGAAGATAGGCATCTGTCAAAACTGTCTCATTCACCCTCCTTAAATCCAGTACACATGAGCTTCCATTTGTAGCAGTTCTAGCACGGCTCTCTCTTCTTGGTCTCTTCAAAGGCAGATTTGCTCCCCGGTGCAACGAAGTTCACGTGACAATACGAAGTCTCTGGTGTAGGCCGGCTTGTAGGGTATTGAGTGCTCGATCCCTGACGCAAGAAGCATCCATGCTGAGCCTCAGACCACTCCTACGCCTGTTTGCCGAGTGATAAGAAAGCCGGCGCCGGCGATTGCTACTGAGTGTGAGCTTCACGCCCCGCATTATGCTGGAGAGAGCACTGTTCTGCGCAGTACTGCGGAGCTCAAGGGGTGAGACGCATAGGATAAAGTCTAGAACCCCAGCTGTTTCCATCACTGAAATATCACTCATTCGTTCTTTGTGCTTGGCTCTGTTAACCTGGAGCCAATCAAACCAGCACATAATGGAGGCGTGGGGTGATCTACATGACATCCTCGTTGAAGGCGGTTCCATATGTTTTCCCATAGTATAGTAGAGTCCTGTTAGGCTAGACTGTAGACAAGTACAGTAGTGGCCACAATCAGTGTCCACAAACAACTTGATTGAAATGATTCCCGCACGGGCCACATTGACCCGATTGTGGCTTAGAACTGTGCCAAAAAGGTTCAGTACTATGTACAGTCCATATAAGCTCCACCTCCCCCCTCCATTTCTGGCTGCCTTTAACTTAGCTGATGCTTCAGCAATCCTTTCTAGCCTCCTGATCGAAAGATGGTTTATTCAGCTGCATATGCTTGAGTGATTGAGCCATCTAAATACAATCCAGACTGTCACCTTGCGAGGAAGAGGTCCTCGCACAGGTTGCGCTACAATACGTTGAAATCCACCTGCAAGGTTCACAAGCCGAGCGCCGTACCACGGTCGGAAAGCGGGGTTGTCTCCAGCTTTTACCCCGCTTCATCACCACTGACGACAACCATTGAACGATCTAAGGTTCGCCTTGGGTCTTCCTTCCACTTGAAAGCGGTCGAGCACCTGCAACGTGGCTGCCGCCATACAAACCCTGAGTCCCGATCAGCACAATAGAGCACCGCGCATCTCGCCGAAGATGGATCAACTTCGAGCGATCTTTCAACCTCACCAATTCACAGCCGACGAGCAGTACATCGATCTATATCATGTCTACGACAACCTGTCTCGTACCCCATACCAAGACGGCCTCGGCATCGTATGCGGAGATCGCGATGTCTACACCATGAATGCTTGGCATGTTATCACGCCTTCTGCTATGAGGAAACATCTTGAGTGGAGCAATCGTACTCTCACGCAATTCATATCCTTCTACAAAAATCAGCGAGACGCGGAGGACGAGCAACAAAGACGACGCAATCAAACACGGGTTGCAGGCGGCCACTACAGGAAACCAGAGTCCGTGCGCATTGCGCATGTGCGCCTGGAACGGAATACACACGTTTGGGCTTTCTCGCGCAAGGAGATGCTGAGCATGATGGGCAGCCTTGATCCTGCGTCGCAGAGGGAGTTGTCCCCAATGTCTGGACTAAACGAGTGGTTTGTTTGGGGACTAGTTCCTGACAAATGTGTAGAGAATAGACGTTCACTTTGAGAGTGATTAGAACGAACGAACAAGTAGATACTGTTTGCGCTGGCCTCCAATATTTCCTGCCAGTTCCGCATATTGCTAGGTCAGGCCGAACATCTTGAGGATGACTGCAACAGTCCCCACTTCCCCATTCACATCCCCAAGGTAGCCAATCCATCCATCTCCAGCTCGGGCAAATGCAACTGGAGTTTCGAGAATGTTGATCTCAGACCCTGGTGCGAGTGATTCTACGACAGAGCGATCCGAGATCACGTACCACGCTACATCGGGGTTGACACCTTCGAGAAAGACTGCTTTTTGATTGTATGAGGAGAGGAGCCCGGTAGTGGAGCGAGGGATCGCCTCCTGATTCAGATATAATGTCGTGCGATAGTAAGAACCAGCTTTCCAAGGCAGATCCCACTTCGCTTGCATGTACGTTCCGAGATCGTCCGGTCGTATATCGGTACTGAAAAAGCCACCATGTATGACGATTCCTCCTTTTCGAACATATGCTACTAGTTTCGTGGATAACTCGTCGTATTCAGGGTGGACAATTGTCGGATTTGCTATTAGAATCCCGCGTGGTGGTGCTTCGCGGTCGAGATGCTCAAAAGTCTCACGAGCAGTGAATGCCCAACTGACATTGGACCTGGAGTCGAGAGAATGTAATAAAGATCCATGGACTTGCTCAACATCAGCCCGCGACGATCGGTTTCCCAAAGATAGAAGGAGGATTTCCGGAGCAATTGTCGTCATCGTACTCGAAGTCGGTCGGGGAGGCAAGAAAGTGAATTGAAACGAATGCTGGGATTACGGAAAGTTCGTCCGTGCACCGAGGAGTCAATTACATGAAACCAGCTGTCGTTGAGCCTGACGCTCGTTGAACAGAACTTTTTAGGATGATGGAGAGAGTCTTGTAAAATGAAGTAGCCGCGACAGACATGGGATCATTCGAAAGCGGGGTCACTAGCCATACCCCGCTCTCAGGGTCGGAAGCCAGCAATGAAGTCGAAATTACAGGACTTTGTCTTCTGACTTTCAATCGTCTCGAGGATATATCTAGTGAACATGTATGAAAGGGCGTAACATCACCATGTGATATTGCAGGAGTAACACATTCGCTTGTCTAGCTTAGAACGGGGTTATTCTGAGTCGTGTCGTTGGATTCGGTTTCCAGATGCAGTCGTAATGGCTTGCACTGCCGTTGTAAGCTGCAAGCCATTTCTGGCAAGTACTTGGTGCGGGGCCGCCAGCACTGTACGCGCCACAATGCGCCACAACATCTGGTCTGTGCGGAAATCGTAAATTCAATCGCCAAATAGGACACTGATTGTGGCCACTACTGTACGCTGAGATGAGATCAAAATAACAGGACCCAGAGGGCAGAGACTGAGAAGGACGGCGGACCAATCAATCTCGTCGAGGACTAGGATTTATGTTTGTCTAGTCGGTCCTATCAATAAGTCTGCATCTTTGTTTGTTAGGTCCAACGACTCTGCCCCTAACAATCACGGCGGGCGTCCTTGGCTACTAGTGGAACACAGGTTCCCGTGCTGAATGGCAACAAAGTCGACGTCACGCCTGGCATCCTTTGTCCGTTCTTCTTCCTCTTTCCTTTTTGTGGGATCATGCGGCCGAAAGATGCAGCCTATTCAATGTCAAGGCGGCCTTTTATGCCCCAGCGACGGGGGACCAGCTCTTCGGGACAACAGTGGTCACACTGGGACGCCCGAATCACATTTCACCAAGCATTTTTGGGTAGCCGGAACATCCATTCTGCCAACTTGGTGCGGGCAAGCGCAAGCTGTAGCATTTGTCGCGGCAAACACCAATAGCTTCCCTACGCGTCCACCCTCCGACCATCCGCCCACTTTCGAGACCATCTCCCCGCTAAATGGCTGTCATGATTCAGACGTTAGAAGACCTAATGAGCCGCTGGCTGATAGTGCAAGGAGTCCAGGGTCGCCTGGGTCGAGAATGTATTTTGGGGGTTTCGAGGATTCTTGCAACTGTTCCAGTATGTGCAAAGAGAAAAGCACAACATCATATAAAAACCCAGTTCTAATGACTCTCAATAGGCTTCAGACATAACGCTGATCTTCTGTCCAAGACGTCCTCTCCTCTCAGCCCAGGCTCGGACGATGTGTTCAGCTCTCCCATAGCAGATCAGTACGAGTGTACTAGAGAAAGTGACGTGGCCTGGAGGGAATCACAGATTTCAACTCACACAGATATGGATGACAACCTACCATCGCAGCCTCAGCCACTGTGGATGAATGAAAGCGACAGGCCCAGCAATACACCTGCTGAAAACACTGTGCAGCCGTCACTGCTCTTCAAGCCTATGAGAGCGCTCGCGTCTTACCCGCAGGCGCAGTCTACATGGTCGCCGCCACTGCCAGAACGGCAGTTGGCCATGTCTCCGGGTTCTGTCAGGGACGTGGAGGCCACTGGAGGCTCCGACTACCGGTCAGACTCGACTCCTTCACCGATCTCGCTCACGGACATGCATATACGCGAGCCTGCTGCAGTCTCCTCAGGCCACATCATCAAGAATCTAGCTGCCCCAAAACCTTATGATCACAAACAGCGAACTCTAGGAATTGGCTTCAACGTCTCTTCCGAACACAAGAAGAGAACCAGTAGCAGACGGTCCGAGAATCGGTGTCGGGACCACGGATGCAATGGCAAGAGGTTTTCCACGAATAGTAATCTGCGAAGGCACCAAAGGGAAAAGTCGGGCATGAATACGAAGGTCGCCTGCCTCCAATGTGGAAAGGAGTTCACAAGGAGCACTGTAAGTGGAGAGCTCTCCATCAACTGACGTGCTCTGCCCGATCTGTGGGTCCTGGGCCGTGAACGGGTTGCGCTGACGAGAATGTTGACGCACAGGCTCTTCGCAAACATCCTTGCATTACGGATGCGACAAGAGAAGACAATCGACTTGACGCCGTGTAAACCAAGATGCTCATTCTCACGAGTGGCTCGACCAGCGCATCGTAAACCACTCTCCTATCTGGTATAAGTTATACACGAACAAAATCTTAGGGTTTCCCAGCTGTGTTTGTTGCCAATACATCCAATCTCTCCTGTTTGACCGTGGTAGCTTTTGAAAGCAGGGGCCAAGAACACTGCAGCTTTTTTCAAACCGCGAGATCGACGAGTAATTGTGAGTGATTGCAACGGATCTTGCCTGCTGCGTGATATGATTGATATGATGCTAGCTAAATGTGAGACGAGAAAGGTGCCAGGATGGCTCGCCGATTTTCGCGATATTCGACTTCCCACAGACTTGGCGACATCAACGGCTTGCTCTTGCAACAACTCCAATTGCCTTTGTGTCCCCTGGTGGCCTTCGCCCGGTTGCCGCCCACTGCCGTGCCGACCAATGTCAGTCGAGTCGACACCTTTTACGCTTACTATTTCAGAAGAATGTTGTCCAGCCTCGTCCAAGTCGCAGGAGGGTCCCTGCCGTGCATACCAAGTATGCAAGCGTCACTCCTGTCACCGTAGCCTCCTCACCCAACCAGCCGCTCCGGGTCCTTGCATCGCTCAATACGTGCAAATTCCGCTCAGTGGCTGTCCTCGCTGCGCTCTCTACTGAGCATCTTCTCCACCAAGCACTGCATGGGCAAGGGACCTAGGCATCCTCTGTGAAACGGCCGTCCACTACCACATCATCATGCAGCCTGCATTGAACAGACTACAATGTGTCCAGCGGACGGGCAACACGGAGCCCAGTGTGGCGGGGTTCACCTGGCTGTCCAATCAGCATAGTGTTCCTTTTCAGGTTGAATGTGGAGGAGAGGAGGGGAGAGGAGGGGGGCTGCAACGTGAGAAGACGCTCAACAATCAAAACTGAGGAGCTGAGGCAACGAGCCACCTTGATGCTTCACAAAACGGCAGCCATGGTTTTGGGCTGCTGTAGCGGACCTTCCTCAACGTATTGCATCTCCGCGATCCCTCCACCATACGGAACACTCTGTCAATGGCTTCTTTCCTGCCTTCGACGAGCTCCCAACTGTTCCCTGCGGGCCACTGTCCCGATGGCGAGGATGGCGTCTTTGGGTTGCGAAACTGCATCTTGAGTCGGCGAGTCAGGTCACCGTCTGCACGAGGTCTGCGTGAGGAGCATTATCAGAACCAGCCAGCAACAAGGCTCTCGCAACGTGCCCACTTACAGTTCGTCGATAACGGACACAATCCGCGAACGCTTGAACGGACCGCAACGGGGCGAATTGCCACCACAGTTGCGGCATGCCCGTGCCACCTTCTTACGAATGTACCTAGTAGGCATAGACTGTTAGCTCTGCCCCATTGCCTTGCTTGTCGGAGAAGGTCCACTCACGCTTCTCCATGGCCAGAAATTGTTCTGGGCTGCTTGCACTCCGCACAGCCGGATGCTCAGCCGCAACTTTGCCAGTCAGACTTCAGTTTGCCCCTGGAGCACCCCTCGCACCACTCTCTCACTTGCGTCACTCTCAGGTCGAGATCAAGTTTGTGAATATTGTCGACGGGCGAATGCTCTCCAGCTCCATTCTTCGAGCCTACGCTCTTCTACTTTCGCAGAGCCTCCAAAGTAAACTAGACATTCCCCTCGTAAAGATGGCGATGGTCAACCAAGTTGTGATCGTCTGTCCTCCGTGAGGAGGGAGGCGTGTGACTGAGATGGAGGGAGCGGCGGTGGGAACCAGTCTGTGATTGCGTCGCACGGCATTGGGCTTTTCTCGCATAGCAAGCAAGTTGTCAAGAGTGCGGGATGACGATTTTCGACCCGGATCAAAGTTGGACCATCGACGCCGCTGAGAGCTCCGGAAAGCAGGGTATTTCTGTCCAAGGGTTATGGCGAGTCTGTGAGGAGCGAGAAGCCGACGGCAGATGGGGGGTGGTCTGTAGTACGGAGTGTGCTGAGGCCTGGTTAGACTTAGAGGTCCATTGAGAAGACTGGCAAGGCGGAAGGAAGACTCTTAGGAAGAAGATATAGCTGACATTGAGCGCCAGCTGCGCGAAGGTGGGAATCACTCTCCCGATTCTGCTTGGCATACGATCGAATCGTAAACCTGTGGCTAGATGATGATTCGCCTCGCAGATGTGAGCCATCCAAGCAGGCGATGCAGTCGAGAGAGGGGCAATCATTTAGTCCCACGGTGCATCGCAATTGTTGAAGGTGACTGGCTACACGGTTTCGGCAGAGAGTTGTGATGCGAGCGCAAAGGAGGCGCATGGCGTGAGATCGTGACTCGAGAAACGACATGGAGATAGTGCGAAGAAGTCGCCTCGCTGAACAGAAGCAAGTCATTCGGCATCTTGGAAAGGCCCGGTCGGGAACCAGAGGAAGCAGTTGAGGCAGGCGCGCGCAGGGCAGTGCACAGAGACATCTCCTCTGCGCCTGCGTATACTACATCTCTGCCCGACTAGAGAGAGCCCTACAGCACCGCTAGCTGGAGAAAGAGCCCCTGCTGGCCTAGCGCCACCTTACGGTACCCTCCAACCCTCGTATAGACGATAATCTCTCTCGCTTGTTGACATGCGGAGACAGGTGAGCGGGGTCAACCCGAGCGCCACGGAAGAATCGATGCAATCGGGGGGGATCGTTCGGCAGCAACGATAAGGGGCGACATGCTCGAAAGCAGTCAGTGGGTGATCCAAGGGTGTCGTGGATGCGCGTTTTGCGGACCTTGCTTGTCGTTGAGGGCAGACCAAGGCCCGCTGCTGACCTCGGGGTGTGCATTCCAGGCGAGGGGGGCCAGCCCTGCGTGGTCTCGAGAGCGCGATGACATAGAGGTGGTCGGGTCGCCAGCGTCCTCCAGGGCAAGGCAGGCCAAATGTGGCCAGGCAGGCATGGCAGAAGAGGGACGGTTCCACAAGAGGTGAAATGAGAAGAAGGCTCTGCTACGCTTGCTGAAGGCCATCAACAAAAGCGAAGCTCGAGACATCGCTTGTTTCTGGTCAGTCAGATCTCTGTAGTGGACCCTTGAAAATACCATCAGTGTTATTGCTGCGCACTTTTCGGACAATCTCTCCCTTGGCGCGTGGATTGTCGGGGTTCTGGGCTGTGAATCCAATCCAATCCGCGGTCTAAGGCAGTCGCCACCACTTAGGCGCGATTCCGGTCGCCTTGTGGCGTCACAATCGTGGGTCGCAGCATAATCGGAGCATCTGGCATCAGGAACTTTTGCACCACCGTCTGTCAGCTGGCCGCGCTTCTGGGCGTTTCTCCTCTTAGACTGTGTACCATGCAAACAAGGGCCACGCCATATCAGCTGCCGTCCGCTCACCACGGACCGTCTCACACAGCCTCGCTGGCCGGAGCGGCTGCCGTAGCCCGCTAGATTGATGCGCCAGCGCAACGGCCCGGGCGGGGCCCGCGCGCGTCGCATTCGCCCACAGCGATGTGCTGAACATGTGGCTCCAGCACGGCAATGTCGATGCAGATCCCAGGCGTGTTACTTGATGGAGGCGACAAGTTGAATCCAGGCTCCCAGGCCGTCGCGCAGCCCTGCAGACAATCACCATTCGCGACCACGGTTGCGGCGGAGCGGATACGGTGCCGCCTACCAATGGGGCCCATCAAGGAAACCAACGTGCAGCATGGTCCTGCATGCCGGCCAGGTTGTCAGTCGGGCTGTGGGAAGCGAGGTTGACAGTTGATCTGGGCAAGGGTATGTCAGATCCTTGTCGGCCGGATATGCCGCGATGCAGGAGCCGCGTTGGTCTGCATGGACAAGCAGCCAGGGGGCTGGAGAATTGCTCACTCTGTAAGATGGGTTTTAGCCTTGCCTTCTGCCTTCAGAGCACGGACGAGAAATCGCTGGGGGGGCTCATCCCGGGGCCGACAGGGGCACGGCCGAACTTGCAAGGCTGCGAAGAGATTCCTAGATGTTCGTGCCACGACAGCTTGGCATCGGATATAGGAGTGCTGGTACTTTTCCGAAATACTGGCGTCCAGGTGCGCTCCGTTGCTGACTTCCCTCTGGATGACTTGCAGGGCTTCAGAGTGTCGAGCGTCGTTCTTTGCAGCAACGAGGAGTGCGGATAAGGTAATTGACGAGTAGCCATTCTCTCTATGGTCTACTAGAGGCTGGGCAGCGCGGCATACAGCATGAAACCGCCGGCAAGTGCCCAGGAGGGAGCGGAGATCACGCAAGGATAGCATGCTTGCGATCATCGTGAGAAGCTCAGATGGAAGCTGCGAGGGAGGCATGGGCAGGAAGAACTCTCCAAGAGCTCACAGAAGGAATATTAAGTATGTGAAACTGGATCTGGACGGCTTGGGAGGTCGTTTAGATTCATGATGGTCCTCCAGACATCAGCTTTATATCCTCTTTATTCTCTAGTCTATTTGCTGGACTACTTCCTGTTGGACGGATGCTCGATCAACTTTTGGACTAGGCATTAAGCACAGTGGAAAGGTTGCCTGGCACCGGGGCAGGCGTCCAGAATCTGATGAGAATAAGCCAAAGGTGATATGGCTTGTCCAAAATCTGGTGACCCGCCAAGTGCCGATCAGGGGACTGTATAAGCTTGCCCAAAGTCTGGCGGGGAGCAGGTCGCCCTGTGACTTGGAAAATATCAAAGCCTGACTGGCTCTTTCTTCAGAAAAAGTGGGCCGGGTTGTGACATAGCCAGAATTTAGACCAGCTTACGGCCAGCCAAAATCTGGTCGTTTGAACCCTGCAGGCTCTGCCTGGGCGTCCAAAATCTGTCCAATTAAAATCTTGCGGCAAACACATGCATATGCCGCCAAAATCTGGTCGCTCGAACCCTGCAGGCTCTGCATGGGCGTCCAAAATCTGTCCAATCAAACTCTTGCAGCAAGCATTTACATATGCCGCCAAAATCTGGTTGCCAAAATCTCCAGATCCTGCATGTGCGACCAAAATCTGGCCGCTTCAGCCGAATCTACGTAACACGTGAACGGTGGAGCCTCAATAAGGCTTTATCTATGGAATGGTCCGTGCGCATGACAGCTACGTCACACCACCGCGCCTTCGGCGCCATCCTTCGATATGAGCCCTTCTGCCGTCCCCCAATGCTTCTGCTGCCGGCCGCGGCGACAGGCACTTTAGGTGGCCACGTAACTAGAATGAATTTTGTCGTTTTCCAACTGAAGTGTCTTAAACAAATGGCCAGAACACCAGTATAATCCCGCTCAGCGGGGCTTTACAGCACATTCGATCGAATATCTCGGGAGATGGGACAGAGCCGACGCGCTCGAAAGCCTCGAAAGCTGGGGTGAAGAGCTGACGGGCACCATAGTGGTCGGGTCTGATGATCGCTTCTTCCGAGAGCGCCTGGGTCACTCTGGAACGCTGATTAATTCTCCGGGTTCTCTCAGAACGCAGGGGACGACGACCGAAATGGCTGTGAAATCTGCACTCCTCGATGGTTAGTAGCGCAAAGGAGAGCCGTTGCAAAGGCTTTCGGTGATATATTTTATGGCCGTAAGGTATTTTTGAAGCAGTCTGAGCGACAAATATCGTAACCCGCGACATCCTCTCCACATGATTGGCATGTATCGAGATTGAGGCATTCGACAATTTGCCGGAGTTCTGCGGGCCAGCAGCATGCCGCCGGGGAGGAGGGGTGGTGGCGGGGTCACTCGCGGGACAGATCAAGAAGCCGCATGAAACAAAGTGCGGCCCGTTGCGAAGGCCACTTGCGATCCGGCAAATTGACATGCGTGGATTGATACTCTGAATACAGGGTCTACCTGTCTGCGATCTGCCTCAGTCAGAACACGCGAAACCCTGTGCAGCGCTTCCGCTCCATCAGCCTCTGGCTTAGACCCATGCCGTGGGCGCTTTAGGCCGGGGTGGTGACTGGGCGAACGCGGTGGAGGCATCATGCTCGTGCTGCCCTCCGCGCGTTGGTCCCCTCCACTCCGCATACACTATCCTCTACCATGCCGCGTGTCGCAGTTATGGTCGTGCTGCCCGAGAAGGCTGTGGCGGCCACGCTAGGGCTGTCGCCCCGCAGCAAGGTGCCCCTGGAGGCGCCGTAGTCCCAGAGGAGCACCGGTGGGGGTGGAGCCACGAGCCGGCACAGCACACCCCGCACACAAGTTCCCCTGGCAAAAGGCCGCACAGCAATCTGGTGACGATTGGCGAGAGAGATTGGCTTCTGATTGATTGAGGACACACTGGACTACTGGTGATATTGATTTGCACAGCTTATCTTCGTCGGGCGCAATAATGGATGAGAACAAACCCCGTGAGGATGGAGATAAGCATCTATCGGACAATCCGCCTCGATCCCCGCATGACAGACCAGTCTCTTCCGCAAATTGCTAGTACAGATGCAGGAGCAGATGCCCCCCGTGCAGGACCTGAAGATGCCCACCAACATGCACATGCCCGCCAACATGCACATGTGGGAACAGAAGATGCCCGCAAGCATGCCGACGCAGCGACGACTAATGCTGTGGTAGCAGCAGCCACAAGAGATGCACTTGCCTACAGCCGGTACGCCTGTCCACAGGGAAGCCCGGCACCTCATACCGCGTGTGCGGCACCCTACTAGCAACAAAATCCACTACCGCCGGACGGACTGCGCAAGCAGCAAGGAGGTGAGACAGGACCCCCTCGACTTTATCCATTTACGTCGAAGGCTTCGGTCATTTTGCAGCAAAGTACAAGAGCAAAGTAGCTGGGGTCGTGGAACTTGGGCAAATGAATGAGTGTGAGGAATGGCGACAAGGCGTCGTATGTCCCGTGGTGTCTCTTTATGAACTATCCTGAAATATCAAAAGAATGATCAGAAATCTCTAAAACTTCCAGGCCGATTATCCAACGCCTTGACCGCATGCTCCAGGATGCTGATAAAGCGGTCAATGGGCACAATGACGTCCTCGGCGTGAACATCCACCCTCCTTTCCACTACGGGTACGTGCATCTTGTAGTACCTCAGACCGCGGTCCCTCGCCATCGCCCGGAAGCACCGCAGCTCAAAGCCCTCTGGGAAGATCTCCACCAGCGCGCCCATGTCCTGCCTCATGAACAGGGTGTGCGTCAGCCCCGCGCCATGCACGCCGACCAGGATGTCCGTCTCCCGCGCGAGCGCGATCTGTTCACGGAAGGAGAGTGTAGCAAAGTCAACGGCGCGGATGTGCACGTTGGCCTTTGCCAGGGCGTTGCGCGTGTGTGCCAGCAGCTGGGGTGTGTCCTGCACTCGGCGGGTTTCTTTGCGGTCGATGAAGGTTATGCGAAGGGCGCCGGGTTTTGGCGGAGCAACATCTTCTTCTTCTAGATGTCTGCCGTTGTCGCCCGAGGTGGTGGGCGCGGCGGTGAGCTTCTCCTTGTTTGGTGCGAATTTGTTTCCGGCAGGTGAATCAGCGAAGGTATTGTTGTCGGTGTTGACGCTCCGGAGTCTCTCCAGAGACTTGTTCTCGCTGATGCCGCTCTCGTTCCCGTCCTCCAGTGCCCGCTTCCTCCGCTCGTCCGGCCCATCGACCTTTTTCGCGACAGGCTCCTCCGGCGGGAACCCAAAGAAGTCGAGCACTCTCCTGACAAACACGGTCCTCAGCTCGTTGACGCAGTCCCACCTCTCCCAATCGTCGTGCCACACAGGGTTCGACCCGCCGGCAAAGCCGACAATCACATTGTCCAGCGGACTGGACAACCATGTGGCACTGTCGTCCTGCGCGCTTGCCTCTCTCGCGAGAGCCGTCTCGGCGGCAGTGTTACTGTCCTCCGCCAAATCTGGGTCGCCGCTGCTTCGTTGATCTTCTCTCATCTTCCTCCTTCTCCTGCGGCGCGGATTGACAAGCTCCACGATCCTCTTAGGTTGCCGGCCAGAGAACAGCCGCCACAGGTCAAAGTACGGTCCGTCGCTGTGCCCGTCGATGATGACGATCTGCGTATTCGCGACGTCCTGCATGGTGACGAAGAAGGGGTTACCCGTGACCGGGTCGCGCGTCGTGCGCAGCGCGTCAAAAGTCTGCGTCATGGACAGGATCTCGTGCAGGCAGTGGAAGATGTTGCCCGAGCCTTCGCGCTTAAGAAGGTACGTGAATGTGCGCGGGGTCCAATCGGACGCGGCGAGGGCGGCCTTCTCAAGGGCCTTGGACTCCGGGGACAGTAGGAGACGCAAGGTTGAGTCTGAGGAATCTTGTGATGGTCCCGGTGCTGGTGAGCGACGTTTCTCATGGTGGCTGCTGCTGCTGTTGCGGCGGTCGTTGTCTTCGTTCTCTACCACGGCTCGCTCAGTTGGTCGCCCTGGTAAGTCTGGTTCACGGTCGTATTGTGGTTGCTGCCCTGGGGAGGCTGGTGACGACAACGACGAAGACCCCAAGGCTGGCTTTGCCACGCCACCACCGCCTATGACCACAGGTCCCTTGATCGGGGCGTGCCTGACCATCCCGGCCGTGTCCTGCAGCGTGATCCACCGCCAGAAGATCGGCCCCGGGCCCGTCTCGTACCAGTACTGATGGAAGGTCCAGGGGGGCGCGGGGACTCCAGGGGGAACGTGCTTAGTGAGGGGGCAGTCGAGGGTGAACATGTCCCGGCCGGGGTCGAAGACGACATTTTGCGCGATGCAGAACGTGTCGACGTGCTGGTCGTTGTGGAATTCGGGCGGCGTGTGGAAGCAGTGCAGCCGCGAGGCCGCGCTGCCGATACAGTACTGCACGTGGCCTGCGCGGACCACGTCGAACCACTTGGTGGTGAAGCGCGCCGCGCAGAACTCTGATGTTGGGTCGTGGGCGGCGTACTCGTCCGGCAGAGGAAGGTTCATGCTGAGAGTGTCCGGCCGTGAAGATGGAGGGAGTAACTCAGGCGGCGGTACACTCGCTGGCGGCAGGCCTGGGACATCCTTGGAAGTCCCATGGGAAGCGATATTATCCCGGGGAATATCACCTTGAACCGGTGCAGCTGGACTACCATCGTGCACGGGAAGCGCATTCTGAGCCGGCTGCTTGCCGATCGTGGTCGTCTTCGAGGAGATGTGCAAGTAACGGTAGATCGTTAAGAACACGAGCAGGGCTAAGCCCGCCCTGAGCAGGTGTACCGATCGGGCCGGGTACGGAAGTAACATGTTGTCGCGGTTGTAATGAAGACACCTGGTCAAGAAAAGCTAGGTCTGTGCGGGACGATGCGCGGGCGGGTTGCGGCTCGTCACACGGCCATACATAGTGTAAGCATCCAGGCGCGATGGGAGAGAGATGGTGGAGGGAGGGGAAATGGGTATCCAGAGGTAGGAGGCACTCTAAATGCGTAGCGAAGGTCTTACATAGCACAGATTGTTGCAGGGATTGATAATGAAGGATGGATGGATTGGTGCAAATGGGGACCCGCCATGTACCTGCGGTATGGCGCCTGCTCCTCGTTTGTTTCATTCACTACGTGGATCGGCACTGCCCTTGGAATTAAATGTGCCCATATATTTGCAAGCCGCTCCCTTCGGGTAGCCTTGTGGATGAAACTCAAGACATTACGATGCCAGACACTTCGATGCCGCATGGTATTATCAATCACTTACCACGAGCGCATCCACCTCTTTAACGGATTGAGTTGCTCACCACTGAAGACGACCTAGCTGCCCCAAAGTCTGTGGGAGGAACCAGCCATGCCGGCGCTACAGATGCTTCCCCCGATATCCCCGACTTGATCTTGCAATGCCTGAGTGGGAAGGATCTCAAATCTGCTCGAGAGAGTGGCCTCCGCGTCGATGAAACCGCACGCAGGCTACTCTATCGGCATGTGCGACTCGTACTACTCGATCACGATCGATCCACGTTCCTCTCGCTCGCCTCGGATGACTCTCTCCGCAAGCTCGTACGAGAGTTACACTGGATCATGTATCCAAGCACGGCGGAGCGGCTAAGGGAGTGGCTAACGTACAGCCGGCGACTACCAAACTCTGCGAACGTCGTCCGTAACCGCGAGGATGATGGGTCATCAAGACACTAGCCGGGCAAATGCTGAACTCCTACTGGATCGAATCCCACAGCTGGTTTCAACGATGAGCCACCTCTCCAGACAGCTTTCGTGTATTTCCAACCAACACCGAGCGCCGCAGTTCAGAATCTGCCGTGTCTCAAAAGCGTCCATAAACAACCGTCCTACGAGTGGCGACCAACTGGTAAACCGATACTTGACAACCAACTTCTGTATAATGTTATCGGTAATAATCATTGGATCTCACATATCACGAAGAGCTGGACATTACGCGCCGCGGTCTCAGATCGACAATCGGCCTTGTGACGAGTAAAGCAGGGCACGCTTACCATGGAAAGCTCGCGGACCACAGATCTGTTAATGAGGATGGTATTCCACTCCGGGCCTCCAGCATTCACGGCGCAGTGCCTAGTCGCTTTGTTTGGCAACATCAAAAGTGTCCACATGAGGGTCCAGCTCACCACAATAGACCACAGCGTTCTAACTCTACGTACAGTCCTGTCATTTTGCCCTAACCTTGAGCGACTGTTACTGGAAGGTGTAGAGGGCAAGTACCATTTGCCCCCAACAGATACACGCGTTCGGCACGAGCTAGGAACTATTGTCGCCAATGAATTCCGTAATTCTCGAATCAAGCGTCAAGGCTCGAAGATTTGCGACTGCGGGAGTTTGACTTCACCCCTGAAGAGCTTCGGGACTTGGTCTGGCATCATGCCTCAACCATCAAAGATCTGGACCTCTGGTGCTGCGGGGTCACTGTTGGACACATTACTGCGCTTGCCAGCGTGGATGGGCTCAGTCTAAGGTCGATATCAGTATGGCAGAGGGACGCCGAGATAACTCTTTGGCCTGACTTTGTGAAAGACTACTTCAGATCTACCCATCTACCAGCCCATGTCCACTTTGAATGGCTCTACAAAAGCGAGAGACGCTCGCGGGCCATCCTCTCCGCGGAAACTCTAATAGAGGTAAAGGGACTGCACTCACACTGGCCTACCATGTGCATGGAATTATCCTCGGAGCGATATTAGCGACGTCTCCAATAAGTACTGCCGCCGACCCCGATAACAACAAGGATGGAACAGGACGACGATCTAATGGTAACAGCTGCAGTTATAACGAAGAATAACTTAGTGCGCAGGATGTCCAGAGGCCTCAATGTCTGTCTTCCTTGGTGGGTCGAGTCGCTGCTGAAGCAACCGAGTTCGAGTGGTCACCGCCTAGTATGTAATACTGGGACGAGCTGAGGATGCGCATAGTATGTGCCTGTAGTTCCTTCGTGCGATTCATTATGGTTGCATAAAGTTGATGATGCTTATAGCACGGCGGCTCAGGATAGTGGAGTCTATCGTCGCTAGTAGACCTCTCAATCTGAGCTCTCGTCAATGATTTCTTACGTACAAAGTGCGCTCAAGTCCATATCACAGCCTTCACGACACAAGCCCACCAGAACTACAGCGTTCCTGATACAGTAGTGACCACTAACTGTGTCCACTTTTCAAGATATTAATGGATGTTTCCGCACGGACCAGTGAGCTGTGGCGCATGGTGGCGCGTACTGTGCAGAATGCTCCACAACAAGTACCCTCCATAAGTGGATTACAGCATGATATGCAGCAGTTGCTGCTTCTTCGTCGCCCCATCTGCAGTGGTGACCATCGCGAATCGTCGGCCAATCTTCGCCATACCCTTCGTAAGCTGACAGCAAAGTATAACATAGCAAACATAATACATAGCATCAAAGGCCAATTTGTGTCTGTTTATACAGTACAGGGTACTTTGATAGTGAATGTCTATTCTACATATACTTATCAGGAACTGATCCTCACACAAACCATCATGCGGCGCAGAGACTCGGGACAATTCCTACTGCGGCCCGGGACCAGAGGTTGGAAGATCGCTCGAAGGCAGCAGCAATGTAGATGGTGCCGAACGCTTTTGTAGAGGTGAAAGGCTCATCGTGGAACTAGGATTTGTTCAATGGTTATCTTCAGTGGTGTTGAAGCGGGGTAAGCCAAGAGAGGACCCCACTCTCGGGCTGGACTGCAAAAGCGGATCCAAGGCTGCACAGCGCTGGTGGTTGAGTACCTTCCAGAGGCAATCGTCAGGACAGACGCTGGACGGGAGTGCTAAAACCACCTCATTCTCGGCTAGACGGGATGGCGGCATCACAGGGTGATCCCGCAGCTATCCTCGACCCCAAGGACTATGCTATCGTCTGGATTGCACCCCTCGAGATCGAAGCCAAGGCCGCCTTGTGTATGCTCGACGAGCAACACCAAGGCCGATTTGCAGTGGATCACGGCGATGAGTACGTGTTCCACGCGGGTAGCATGTGCGGCCACAATGTCGTCATAGCGACTTTCCCAGCTGGCCAGGAGTATGGCACAGGGTCGGCGGCAGCACTCGCAAGCCAGATTCTCAAGTGCTTTCCCCATCACTGGTTTGGACTATTGGTTGGCGTCGCGGCGGGACTGCCAGACCTGTCCTGCAGTCCACCCGCGACATCCGCCTCGGCGATGTGCTCGTCAGTCTCCCTGAGGGCGAGAGAGCCGGGATCATCGCGTACGATCTCGGCAAAGAGACGGACGACGGATTTCAACCCCTACGGTACGGACACGTCTTGACCACGACCAAGCCGATAGTACGGTCGGCAATCGGCAGAATTAAGATAGAAGCACCAAACGACGCTGCAATCTTCCTTCCCTATTATGAGACGATCCGCGATAGGGAGCACGCGACTGGCACCTTTACCGACCCTGGGCAGGATCACGACAGACTTTACTCAACAACAACCGAAGGCAAGCCGGGCGCAGCCATCGAACGCGCTCGAAGGCCAGACATAGCCCGCACACGTGTGTGGTACGGGCCGATTGGATCGGGAGATAAGCTATTGAAAAATGCACAGAAACGGAACGAGCTCAGGGACAAACACGGGGTTATTGGCCTCGAGATGGAGGCGGCAGGGACGATGAACCGAATACCCGTAGGAGTTATCCGGGGGGTGTGCGACTATGGCGACCAGCAGAAAAACAAGGAGTGGCAGCCGTACGCGGCGGCGATGGCGGCTGCGTATGCAAAAAGCCGTACTAAGGAAATACCCCCTGTTGAAAGTCCATGTAGTACAGAGGGCACTACAAGGACTTAAAGATCCAACGGTAAGTGCTACAAAAGACTAGTATATCCCGAATCAGATCACTGCTAATTATTACCAGCATCTGCTCTTCCATGTTACCATATCCAGCTTCCTAAGAACGCCCGCTCACTGGTCGGAATACCATCCTGGACGCATTGAAACAAGAACTCTTCGCACGAGAGGAAACCCGACGAATGGCACTGGTCGGTCTAGGCGGCATCGGCAAGACGCAGATTGCGCTACGGTTTGCTTACGATATCAAAGCTAGCCGGCCCGACTATTCCATCTTCTGGGTACCAGTTCTGAGTTATGGCAGCGTAGAACAGGCGTATGTCGAGATGGCCAGGAAGCTAGGTGTCCAGAAGAAGACCGACGACGAAGATATCAAGGAACTGGTTCGGGAATATCTGAGCTCGGACGAAAGCGGCAAGTGGCTGTTAGTGATGATAACGCCGACGACCAGGAGTTGTTCTTCGGATCTGAAGACAAGGCTGGTATCGAGGAGTATCTTCCTAAGAGCGAGAACGGGCTGATCCTGTTGACGACGCGATCGAGAGAGGTAGCTGTGCAGTTTGCACAGACCAATACTGTTGACATTGAAGCAATGGACTCGAAGGAGGCAACACTGCTTTTCAAGAAGTCTCTCACGCAGGGACAGACACCCCAGGACGAAGCACTACTGGAAGATCTCCTTATCCAACTGACTTATCTTCCACTCGCAATCACCCAGGCAGCAGCATATCTCAATCAGACCAAGGTACCAATCCGTAAATACCTA